AAACGGTCAATTGACAAATTTTATAGAGAAATTTTTGTGTTGAATAACATGGTAAACATGAAACACTATTCAAGATAAACACAGTATAAAGATAAGAACCATGGTCTAACATGCAAATACGCAATGGTCTTAAATAAGCACCTCTAAAGATAAAAAAATTATAAGTACATGTATAAGACCCACGGTCTAATATGAATATTTCTAAAGATGAACATATTATAAAGATAAGAACCATGGTCTAACATGCAAATACGCAATGGTCTTAAATAAGCACCTCTAAAGATAAACAAAATTATAAGTACATGTATAAGAACCACGGTCTAATATGAATATTTCTAAAGATGAACATATTATAAAGATAAGAACCATGGTCTAACATGCAAATACGCAATGGTCTTAAATAAGCACCTCTAAAGATAAACAAAATTATAAGTACATGTATAAGAACCACGGTCTAATATGAATATTTCTAAAGATGAACATATTATAAAAATAAGAACCATGGTCTAACATGCAAATACGCAATGGTCTTAAATAAGCACCTCTAAAGATAAACAAAATTATAAGTACATGTATAAGAACCACGGTCTAATATGAATATTTCTAAAGATGAACATATTATAAAGATAAGAACCATGGTCTAACATGCAAATAAGCAATGGTCTTAAATAAGCACCTCTAAAGATAAACAAAATTATAGCATGTATAAGAACCACGGTCTAATAAGAACATTTCTAAAGATGAACATATTATAAAGATAACCATGGTCTAACATGCAAATAAGCAATGGTCTTAAATAAGCACCTCTAAAGATAAAAAAATTATAGCATGTATAAGAACCACGGTCTAATTAAAGATGAACATATTATAAAGATAAGAACTATGGTCTAACATGCAAATAAGCAATGTTCTTAAATAAGCACCTCTAAAGATCCATAGTCTAATATAAATAAACATGACTAAAAACAAACACCTCATAATGGATAACAACCATGGACTGACATAAACAACTCCTTTCAAAATATCTATTGATTGATTCGCCAGCAATCAAGTATATCTGGTCCTTCTGTTCAACTGGCACATATCCTAAATCAAATCACATGCAATTAAGAATTACAATTTCATGATACAACTGAGTCCCTTGTGAGTCAACAATTAATTCTTCATAATCTCTCTCAATTTGCAACCACAACTCATCATTATTTAACTCAACACTGTTTGTAAAATTGTAACGCTACATAGCCTATGTAACTCAGCCCCAAAAATCAACATTTTTGTCTGGGTCCATCCTAGGGGGGGGGGCTAATCCACCAGTCATTTGTAACTCTACATAACACTGTCTATAACTCAACCCTGTCTGTAACTTAGACACTGACTGTAACTCAATACTGTTTGAACTCAACCTTATCTGGAACTCAAAACTGTCTGTAGCTCAACATCATCTGTAGCTCAAAAGAGTATTTTACTGAAATTCATTTGTAACTTAACACTCTCTGAAACTCATGGCTATTTGTAACTCAGAATCGAATGTAACTGAACTTTGTAACTAATAGCACTGTCTGTAATTTTTCACATTGGTGTTGACTCTGTGACTCTGAGATTTCTGGCTGAAGAAAGGTTTGAAGCTTACCAGTGCTTGAAACTCAGACAACAAGGTCTCTCAACAAGATTTTCAACTCAACAAGATTTTCAACTCAACAATATTAGTAACTCAACAATCTGTAAAGGTTAAACTCAACAAGGTCTCTCTGTTTTAGACAATAATATTCTTGTCAGACACTCTATACAAAGACACACAAATCAGAATGTATTCACTTAGGAACAAAACATTTATTTCTACCATTGTATAATATAACAAAAGGTCTAAACACTCTAAAAGTCATGATTCAGTTCCACTAATTACTTCTTTTATATAGCAAAGTAAAATGTATTAGAATATCTTATGCTAACACTGGTATTGCTATTACATACAGACTATTATGTTGCACTCGAAAATATGGCAAATATGTTGCCATAATGGTACATATTGGTTAATTATATATATGAAATCTGCAAAAAATAATACACATGAATTTACATTCAGAAATTGTTTAAATAGTAAGTCACCCCCACCCCCCCTTATATTCGAGAATATAAGAGGGAGGGGGTGACTTATTCTCCATGCTAGGGAAACAAGGTATTTTAGGAGATTTTAGAGGAACTCTGTTACTCTGACAACATTCTGATTGACCCATTATATATATATTATGTAATGACCATCACTGCAGCAAACCTGGATGAAATTTTTAACTGTTTAATAAAAAATTTCCATCTTCGTGATTTATAATCAAACTGTATTTTCTATGGTGAAATAAAGTCTAGTTCAATAGAGAGAAGTCTATTGATTAAACCATAATTAATATTGATTAGAGCTAGGCTTAAGTTAGTATATAATTCATAATCTTATTCTATAATAGTAAACAACTGCATCAATTTTGCATTCGACCTCACTCAATCTAACACAGAACCATGATCTTGCAGAAAACCTAAATCTTGCACCAAGCCATAATCTTGCACCAAGTTACAATCTTGCACCAAGCCATAATCTTGCACCAAGCCATAATCTTGCACCAAGCCATAATCTTTCACCAAGCCATAATCTTGCACCAAGTTACAATCTTGCACCAATCCATAATCTTGCACCAAGCCATAAAACTTCAACAACCCACAATCTTACACCAGGGGTTTCAATAAGCACAGGCGGATGGCGAAAACGCCTGTTCAAATCTCAATTACGCCTGTTCAAATATGTAGAAATAAAATTCACTGTTACTTACCATACCCTAAATTATTTTAGTGAAATAAGTTTCAGCCTGTTGAAATTGCCAAAAAGCCTGTTGAAAAAATATTTATTGAAACCCCTGTTACACCATGCCATAATCTTGCACCAAGTTACAATCTTGCACCAAGCCACAATCTTGCACCATGCTACAATCTTGCACCAAGCCACAATCTTTCACCAAGCCACAATCTTGCACCAAGCCACAATCTTGCACCATGCTACAATCTTGCACCAAGCCATAACCGTGTACCATGCTACAATCTTATTCTTGCACCAAGCCATAATCTTGCACCAAGTTACAATCTTGCACCAAGCTACAATCTTGCACCAAGCCACGATCTTGCACTAAGCCACAATCTTTCACCAAGCCACAATCTTGCACCAAGTCATAATCTGACACCATGCTACAATCTTGCACCAAGCCACAATCTTTCACCAAGCCACAATCTTGCACCAAGCCACAATCTTGCACCATGATACAATCTTGCACCATGCTACAATCTTGCACCAAGCCATGATCTTGCACCAAGCCACAAGCTTGCACCATACTACAATCTTGCACCAAGTCACAATCTTTTACCAAGCCACAATCTTGCACCAAGCCATAATCTTGCACCATGCCATAATCTTGCACCATGCCATAATGCTCAACCGAACCATGATCTTGGACCGAAAATCAATCTTACATAAGGCCATAATCTTGCACCTAACCCTTACCTTCAACCAAGGCTCAATCTTGTAACATGTTTCAATCTTGCACCAAGCTTCAAAATTGCACTAGTTCTACACTAAACCAATCTCAAGAGACTGCATTTGAAACATCACAATTCATTAGAACAATGAACCAAAACTCTGATTTGTAACATTGTTTTTTTTTTTGTTTTTTTTTATGGTATTAATAACAATTGCATTTATTCATATATTGACTGCCTTCAATCAAACTGACATGTATCGAAGAAAGATGATGCTCATTTAATCATTTTGGCATAAATATATCTTCATTTCTAGGCATTTCAAATCTATCAATAATGAAACAAAATGGTTCTCCATTTTTGTGAACCTTATTGTGTGACACATATAATGTCACGGGGGTAAAGCAGCCCCGATGATGCAATGAGCTTGCTCGGCGGTATCATGACTGTGTAACGGGTCTTAATGTATAAGTGAGCTCGGCGGTAGGTTCAAACAACGCAGATCCTCAAAGCATGTGCTCATGGTATCATCGTGGTTTAACACCCGTGTAATGTGGTAAAGTAGATAAACATATCAGATATCAACAATTCAGCACTACAGTCTGTGCAGTGAATAGTGTTTCCTGTCAACTATGTTATTCAACACAAAAATTTCTGTTTTAGATATGTCAATACGCCGTTTATAAGAATATTGTATTGAACAAGATACTAAAAACAACTTAGAAGAACATCAAAAAAATTCAATAGATAGCTGTAAAGGAATTAGTTTTCCTCCCCCAGTTAAACTGCATGTATGAAAATTGCATTATAAATTATAAAAATACTAAATGTTGCAAAAACTTAATCACGAATATCAAAAAAGAATTTTATTGAAAACTAACACAATTTCTTCCAAATTTGACTTATTTCATAGCTTGAAAAAAGTGATTTTTTAAAGAAAAATTTGCCTGGGTGCAATTTGGGCTGATGGGCTGTATATATGTCCCCCTCCCCTATACATTTGATGTTGTAGATGGGCTCCAAGAATGTATGCTTCCCAACCAAGGTTTGAGAACTTCAGACAGCCTGGCACATTTAGGCTATTTAGGCAACCGTTGATGAATGCAGAACCCCCGGGGCAGAACCTGGCTCCCAGAAAAGAAATTGGGCCTAAATTTGGTAATTTAGATAACAAGTTGACAATACTGAAGATTATCATTTCATTTTGAGCCTTTTTTTTAAGAAATTGGCCCCAAAATTTAGAATCGTGGCCCAAAATGTGTGCCCCCCTCCCTCTTGATTTCAAGGATCAGCCTAAGACTACATGTATGAGTCCGAAGGTGTCCTTTCAATTTCTTCTGACTGGCAACTGAGATTATTATCAAGATATAAGAATCTTAAAAGAACGGTGTTTTCAACGCTTCAGTGTCAGAACATGGCTCTGGCAATGGGCTCTTCAAATCAGAATCATATTTAGAGTGAAAAATGGAATCGGAAATTGAACAAACCTGTTTGGCCCTTTCCTAAGGTTTTTTCGAGCTTGTATGGCCCTATATATTGCTCTTCTCTGTGTGACATGTTGATATGATATTCACGAGCTGCTATCCTAATCCATGTTCATATATTTTGAGGTAATCCATGTTATTTTTAACAATTATTCCATAGTGAACAGTCTGTATCGATTTCTTTTCCGATGCCATCCAAGATGTTACATCCGGGTAATTTCCAAGATTCTGCGTGCCCTCATGCGGGAAATTTGAAAATCAAATGTTCTTCGTTTCGTGCACAGTCTGTGCTATTCAAAAGTCTAGTTGAAAGAGTAAACGAAAAATCATTTTAAATACAAAAATAATCAAAACAATAGCAACAAATCCATATATGCCAATAAAATAAAAAATCCCGGGATTCACACCGAACGAAACTATAATTATCTAACGAGTAGGAACTTTTGTAAGCGTGAAAAATACGAAAACACAAAAACTTCGTTTTTTGTAGAAAACTGAAATGATAAGGAATTATGTGAAGAAATAATCATATCTCATAATGAGTAAGTATAGTAAGAAATTGTTTTTACATTATCCCCGTGTAAAATATAAACTAGAGAAGTTTATCAGATACAAAATCAGATTTTTAAAAAAAAAATTCAATTTCAATTTGAAATTTCATTTGATTTTCTTATTTCTAACTTCTAAGCCCTATTCTAGACTGGAAGGGAGTTTATTAGAATACTTACTAATTGAACAAGTCAACCACAGTGAGCAGACATTTTTGGGGAATATAACTCAGTCAATAGAAAATATGTCATCAAGTGTGCCACTCAGCCATAGGCTAAGGGAAAAGTACTTTTGAGCTTAATAAAGTGACTTTCTATTATCCCGTGCCAGGACTATAGTCCTGAGAACGTCTCAATCTTTTGCCTGTAGGATTACAACATGGGAGAATTTTCTTCGCCTCTTACACTTATAGTGCTGATATATAATAATAAAGGGTGCGTTTTCAAACTAAACAGAGTGCTCCTACCAAAACGAATTTGCCTACATACCCCTGAGACTCTTATCTAATAGATAGAATGCACTAATAAAACAAAAGTTTTGCTATTATAGGTTAAAAGTTCTCTTGAAATTTCGAAGTGATTTTACCTGTTAAGGTGCTATGGAACTTAACAGGAAATGACAAAACAGGAAGTGACAATTTTTTTGCATTTTTAGACATTGAATGAGGATGAAATAACGTTTTCAGCCCTATGAAAATGTGACTGAAAAATAGCTAAAAGTAGGAGGGTAGGAAAGGTCACTGAACAGAATCTTTTGAATTTTTCAGAAAATGTGCCCAATACTGTATATTGCTCTAAATGAGACAATCTTTTGATTTGATATCATTCATGGAAAAAGAAAAAAAATGAAAAAACTGATTTTAAAAGCGATTTATTTATTTTCCTTTTTATGACTGTCATTTTTGTTTAAGACAATTTTCTAAAATTTCAAAGATTGTATCAGTTGGAGCATTATATTGGGCACATTTTCTGAAAAATTCAAAAGATTCTGTTCAGTGACCTTCCCTAGCTCCTACTTTTAGTTTTTTTTTCAGTCACACTTTCAAAGGGCTAAAAAGGTTACTTCATCATGTTTAGGGTCATTCTGACCCTGCACATTGTGATCCTGGACCTGTAAATGGTATTTGGAACTCGTTGAATCAACTGGAGGTCAAAACACAACTCTGTTATCTTTGTTCAAAAAATGTCTAAAAATGCAAAAAAATTGTCACTTCCTGTTTTGTCATTTCCTGTTAACTTCCATAGCACCTTAATTCTGTCCATGGTCCGCCATTTTTGCGGAAGTTACACTGAAACGCAAACTCCATGGAACGAAACGAAATTACTAGAAAAAAACATGGCACACATTGTGCGCATGTGCAGCAAAGTTTAAACCAATCAGATCATTTGATTATTTTGTGCACATGAATTATTTGCTTTCTGAGCACTTACAAGCTTAGCACAATAAACAAACCTGGCAGAGACTACCCTTAGCCTACTTCATTTTGGCGAAATTTCAGCTAAAACTCGTGACAAATGCATTATGCATACGCTGGTGTGAAGCCTTGGAGACACTCATTTTGGTAAATATGATTTATGGTGTATACTTTTCTGCAGTTTGTGGGAGTTTGGGACATTTAATGTTAAAATTCAAGAAAATATGCCAATTAAACGACTTATCAATTAATATATACCAGCACTGTAGATACCTACTTCAATAGATTCCTGGGTATTTTAACATTCTTTTGTGTAGTTGAATCCATAATTATCTGGGTTTATCGGCAGAACGGGAACATTTTTCTTTTTTATCGAGAGAGATTCCATCACTTTTCAAGATGGCGGTTGGATTTAAAAGGGGATTCCCCCATTTGGCCCAGAAGTGGCCCGGAAGTACCGATAAATGGAGGAATTTGACGGTTGAAATAAGTTAAATATTACACACAAATATTGCGATCAAAAACTATCAGTATAGTGGATGAAAGGTAAAAAGTTGATACTGCATAGAAAATGCCAACATCGTAGTGTAGTTTTTAAAAAATTCTTGAGGGTTACACTCTCCCGAAATTTCTCGAGAGGAACAAGTTGAAATTTTTACCCCTCAAGAATCTTCAAAATCTGACAACATTGCGATACTTTCGTGGTGACTCTTCAGGGGCGGATCTGGGAACCACCAAGGGGGGGCCCCAAATTTCAGGTCAGAGAAAAAATGTTTTGTTTTGCCCTTAAAACCCAAAAGTGGGCCCAAATTTTGAAATTTTGAGGCCCATTTTCTTCAAAATTTGGCCTGAAATTTAAAATTCTCTTCTTTTGATTTTGGTGAAAATGGGCAGGTGCAGACTTCATTATAAAGATTGTAAAATTAGAATTATTAAACCTGTTTAATTCAAACACTTTTTGGACTGCTAAAAAGTGTTTGGGTAAGAAGGTGTTCACATTTAAAAATTGGGACGGAGATAAAGGTCTTAAGATATATACATGTTTTTCTGAAGTTTAATACAAGATACTTTGGTTTTAGGTTACTGAGCATCAAAGGACCAAGTTTAGTAGATTGAAAACATTGAATGTCCAGATTTACATCCAGTGTTATTGCAACAAATTGAAAACTTTACTTGCATTGAGTACGTACAATTTATAAAGATGTCAGATGACGAAGCAGAAGTAGTTTATGTTAAACGGACTAAGGTGTTGCATTATGGAAGCTTGGAGGAGCAAGAAAAGCGTCGCCAGGAGTCTGCAACTTCTGCAGGGTCTCTGGCGGGTGATGCAATCAAGGCAGGAATTGCTGCAGGAAACATTAACATCTCATCTGGAAAAAGTAAGTTTTGGTTGTGAAATTGCAGTATAGTAGATTTGCAAGTTCTGTTTTGGAGAAACATTAAACCTTTTATTAATATTGTACGTAATGAATAAGTAGAAATTAAGCATACAAAATAGACATGAGATGGTTGACTGAAACAGTCCCATTCTGCGATATTTCAGGCTTTGATATCAGAACTCAGATTGAATTACTTTTCCCCCTATTGGATAGGCATATCAATATCAGTATTTGTTGTTTTTCAAGTTTTACTTATTAAGTACAAGTATATTTATTAGTACAATTGGCGTTAACTGTTACATCTTTTCCTCTTATTATTTTAACTTTAATGGCTTTATGAATATTGACATTTTGACCCCATCCCTTTTCTGACATTCATATCATAATGGCTATTAATTATGAGAAAATTGTGTTCTGTTTATTTTAGCGGAGCACATGGACATAGAAGAGGAGAGTGAGAGCAGAATGGAGATGATGGAGGAATTTGAGAGGAGGAAAAGGGTAATTTTGCACATGTGTTTTGTGTAACAACAATTGTTATGCTTATTTCCCCAACGAATGAAGTTTGGTAGGGATATAGTGAAGCCCTCCGTCTGTTCCTTAGTCTGTCAGTCCGTCCATTTGTTCGTCCGCTCATTTGTTCGTCTGGGAGATAACTCAAATACTAGTGGATGGATTTTGTTCATATTTGGTGGAAAGATGTATATTAGTTAAACTGAAGGGTGATTGAAATTACCCCCCTGGTCAGTGGGTGGTTGAAATTACCTCCCTGGTCGATATTGGATTGATTGCCCTTAAGGTGTGATATCACATCACTGAGAAAACTATATCCAATCAGCTTTTCAAGGTCAATAGAAAACAAAATGTAATGTAAGAAGTTAATCGCATATATATATGTAAATACCTAATTCTTTACTCTTATGTAATATTATGTAGGCTCGGCACATCAACGTATCAACTGATGACGCAGAGGTAAAGGCTCACCTTAGACAACTTGGAGAACCAATTTGTAAGTACTGTAATAAACTCATTGATATAAGATATAAATATATTTTTGTATTACAGAAACTGGAATAAACTGTTTCTATAGTCTAGCTGAATCTAAAATGATTTTTAGTCTGAAATAAACAACTGTACTGCATATTACTGGTGTAAATTGATAATTTGTGTGTTTACATTACATGATGTCAGTGCAAAGCCCAATTATGAATACAGTGCCCACACAAAAATAAACAAAGCATAAACTTTCCCCCAAAAAATTATTTTTGGCATTATGAACAATTCAAGGAAGACTGCCTCAATATTTGTCATCCATTAATGGGGCCAGAAGTTTCAGCTAAATCTAATAGACTAGAAGATGATTTATCAATATGACAGACAGTTATTCAAGAATCATAATACCTGTATGGTTCAGAGCTGAGACCATCATAAAATTTCATGTTAGTCTCAGGTTCAGAGTGAAGTATATACAAGCTTTACTTTCAAGAATCATAATACCTGTATGGTTCAGAGTGAAGAATATACAAGCTTTACTTTCAAGAATCATAATACCTGTATGGTTCAGAGTGAAGAATATACAAGTTTTACTTTCAAGAATCATAATACCTGTATGGTTCAGAGTAAAGAATATACAAGCTTTACTTTCAAGAATCATAATACCTGTATGGTTCGGAGTGAAGAATTTACAAGCTTTACTTTCAAGAATCATAATACCTGTATGGTTCGGAGTGAAGAATATACAAGCTTTACTTTCAAGAATCATAATACCTGTATGGTTCAGAGTGAAGAATATACTAGCTTTACTTTCATACTTCAGGTCTATTTGGCGAGGGACCTGCAGAAAGACGAGAAAGATTGCGCCAACTTCTGGCTGTCATTGGAGCAGACGCAATAAAGAAAAAAAGGTTAGAAGAAGAAAAACAGAGGAAAAAAGATGAAGAGGTTAGTTCATAGATCTGAAAAATTTAACCAAAAATAATTGAAGTTCAAACAGCATTGGAGAATCTGGTGAAAATTGAAAACCAAACCCTCTGAGCCTCTTTAGTTGTAAAATATATCAACTAGGCCTCTGTTTTTACAGAAAGCTGGGAATTGTATTTTAGATCAATTGATCATTTTGGAACAAAGAAAAAAATTTCGTTGCAAAATAGAAATAAACACCCACTAGAGAAAACATTCTGGGCAAAAATTGATATTTATATCTATTATATCAACTTCCTAATGTGTTATTGCTTAGAGCTTGTTTGACTGCTAGTTTTTTTAGTTGACATAGTATATTTGTCTATTTGTATTTTTGTAACTCATATGTTTTGCCTTGGGCATGTGCTAACTTATCAATATTCTTAGTATGACACGCAGAAAATCCTGTATAAATTGACTTTTACCCTCTTCCCAAACAAATTACAGTGAAATCTGTATATTCGAAAACCTCTCAATCTGAACATTTTTCTTTGTCCCAAATTTGTTATATCCAATGACATACATGTTTATAAAACATTGAAATGTGAACACCTGCAAGTGCAAACACTTTTATCTGGTCCCAGAGTCGTTTGGATTAGACAGGTTTACTGTACATTTGTTAGCATATTGATTTGGTGCCTAAAATTATTTACATTAAGAGGTGCTGACGATACAAAAATCATCTACTCTCTTTTAGTCATTGATCTTGCTTACATTAACAGGATAATGTGACATGGTATCATGAAGGGACTGATTCTCTCAAGGAGGCCCGTCTTTGGCTCGCTGAATATTCACTCCCAAGAGCCAAGATGAGAATACAAAAAGCACTAACTGAAAAATACATGTCTGACACACAGAGAAACGCACAAATTCAAGAGCTGCAGAAAACTGTCCGAGTAAGTTATTTTGATGGCTGTTTTGTAGAACTCATTGAAGAAATCTTTTTGTTTGAATTCATAGCTCGTCAATCAGCAATATCCACAGTTCTTTCAATTTTTGAAGACATACCATTTGATATCATGGATCTTTTTGAATGGCAAATTGCTTGGAAAAATGTTAATGTTGTTTGCACTTTCATCCCAGTCTTTTATCTCGTATTCAAGCATGAACAATACAGTTTGTTGCATAACTCTGAGAATTGAGTGTCAGCTCAATTTGCTCAATTTTATTGGGACACCTAAGACTGTCTTCAAGTGAATTGTTAAACATATTTTGAAGAAATTAATGTTTCTTCAGAATATGCCTAGAGATAATCTGATTATTCTTAATATTAATAGAATGTATGATTGTCTTCTCAAAGTTTGCTTGAGATATCTTTCTTCATTTCACTTTTATTTATTTTTAAGAATTTTATTTTTAACTTGTGTTATTCAAGAAATGATGTACATCCTAAGGTCATTAATAAATATCTTAATTTCATCAGATTTCAGAGAATGCAAAAATAACCATAATCTAGAAGACCGCATATTTTACAATTATATTTCAGTCTCTAACAAATGAATGCAGTCAGATAGGAGACACGAGACCAATATCATCCTGCCAATTTAGCCCAGACTCTAATATGCTGGTCACTGGCTCATGGTATGTACTTTCTCCATCTTCATAGCACAGCTTTCAGCATGGTTTATTGAACATACACAGAATGGAATCTCATGGTGTTTTTTGTCACCATCATAAGTAGTGACATATTGTTTTAGTCTCCAACTTTTTATATAGACAGTGTTCGGTGCTTGGTGTTAGGTGTGTGTAACAGCATACAGCATACAACTACAATCGTAGAATATGATTGCTGTTTTTCAAGGTTTTGCAATGTCAATGCTATAAAAGACAATTGGGTTCTACTATTATTATAAGTGAATTACTTTTGCAGGAGTGGCCTTTGTAAATTGTGGTCAGTTCCCCAGTGTGAACCAATTAGGACATTGAGAGGTAGGTACAAACAAATCATTGAATTTAAGACTATTAAGACCTAAAGGTCAAAATTTAAACTCTGGACCATGTTATGTTATTTTCCTATACAAGCGGAAATTATCGTCTGGATCATAGTTAATACACTAGAGATTGTTCGGTTCTTAGTCCTTTTTTTGCCACTTAGGGTTATGCTGCATTAACTTGTTCGTTACCTAGAGTACACTGTTCATTCAATTCAAATCACAATTGCAATCATAACTTGAGCAGATGTAATATTTCAATCCTATAGCTTAATTCACTTCATGTCACATCTGTTCAATTGCTTCACCCCAACCACAGTTGGCAAAAAATAAATAAAATTGTACATTATATACAAATTATATCAGGTCATTTTGAGTGATATTATTTTTATGGACGATTTGGTATACAATATCCACATGAGTGAGCGAAGCAACATATTGGGCTGATAAACCATTTTCTGAAAGATATCACACAGATCTCCCCAATATAAGAAATATCAGTGATTGTTGTTGTATGGATAAACGATATAAGTATAAGATAAGTATGGGATAAGTATAGGACATCCTATGATTTTGATTGATATCATTTTATATTTATGGAATATTCTCCCTATTCCACAGATATCAATTTGTCCACGCACTTGCAAAATGTCATACATGCTATCATACAGAGCTGACATCAGCTTTTGGATAATAATAGATATTCAGCTGTACTGAATACTGATATTTTACTATTCCAGGTCACAGCTGTAATGTTGGTGCAATAGTGTTCCACCCTCAAGCCACATTGTCTCTAGAGGACGATGCTTGTTGCATGGCATCATGTGCTGCAGATGGCTCAGTTAAACTATGGAATCTCAAAAGGTACTTAACATCACATAGTGTGGGCCACTAGCAATCTTTCATCTGATTCAACATATGATCAGCACAAATGCAAGTGTATAATGAAAAATCAGCTGAGTTTCTTATTCCATACAAGGTTTTTATCCCTCATTCCAATCATCACCACTCTGTGATCATTTTTGTAAACATTATTTTGAAGTGAGTCTGTCAAATTGTTCACATCCTTAGATACAGTGAATATACAAGGATAGATGTAGCATTCCTGTTATTGTGACAAAATATTATTGTGACAAACCTATTGTGACCTAACATTATCTCATGTTCCAGTGAGGAGCCTGTTGCAGACATTGAGGGTCACGCCCCCTACAGGGTATCTCGTTTGGCCTACCATCCCTCCGGCAGATTCCTTGGAACATGTTGGTAAGTACAGAATGACCATTTCTCACTCAAACACTTATCTAAAGCATCTTCTATGACCAGATTCTACCACTAGAATAATGAAATTAACATAAATGAATGAAATTTATTTAACTAAAAGAGAGAAAAAGTAAGATGACTGATATGAAAAATCTCTCCAGTTTACATTTACTTCTACAACTGCGTTTCAATCATTACCAACATACCCATTCAGTTAAGAATGTTAACCACATGACCTGGTGTACTTCATTCATTGCTGCTTCCCCTCGTTTCCATTATATTTGGGATTCTAAAACCATTACCATAAATATAAATTTTATCTTGTGCCACAGTTTTGATAACTCCTGGCGTTTATGGGACCTTGAGGCCCAGGAAGAGATTCTGCATCAAGAAGGTCACAGTAAACCAGTTTATGACATCGCATTCCAAAATGATGGATCTCTCGCTGCAACAGCTGGTCAGGATTCATTTTGTCGCATCTGGGATTTACGAACTGGCCGCTGCATCATGTTCATGGAAGGGCATCTCAAAGGATTGCTTTCTGTTGATTTTTCTCCAAATGGGTAAATATACATGTAGCTTCATTCTTTGCTATCTTGTTAAATTCATTGATTTGATATATCTCAGAACAACGTTCATAGTACTGTATTCTCTCTAATAGGCGCACAATATAATAAACGTACACCCAACTTTTCCATGAAAGACTGGAAACTTGAGTAACAAAAAACAAGAAAAATATTTAAAATTTGAAAAAAATAATTGGGTAAATTCCATTAATTCACTTACCGCTATCGATTGAGCCATTTCTGTGCACAATGCTGTTACAGACATGTCTCCGAAATCTTAAGAACTAAGTACATTCATGATAACTTCTAGTGATGAGTTAAAAGCCAAAATAAATGTCAAATACGACAGAAGCGTATCGGTAACCATTCGCCACTCGGAGTTCATCATGGGAGCTTCCAATCCGCAGATATGTTCCTTTACCTTTTCCTACAGAAACAAATATTCATTCCTTTTTAAATATGTAGTAGTATTCTACGAACTTCATGACTATGAAGACCAGTCAGTTAACAGAAAGCCTTTAGATTTTGACTCTTGTATCGGCGTCAATTTCCAAAATAGCAGCCTCGCCAGAAGGATTGGAGTGAATGTTTTCATCGATATTGACACATATTATGTACAGTATATGTTGATTACCTATGAAAACACATTCAGCCGATCGATAAATGTATGAGAAAAACATCGAGGTATAATATTATGTTATCTACTCGGACTGAGTCCACTTTTAAAGAGGAAAATCATGAAATACCCTATTATCGCCCATATATTCATCTTTCAAAAAATCTGTGGGGATTTTGTCATTTGAGACTGCTCCTCCAGGAGAGTTTGGCACTGTGCATTTATTAGAGAGAATATGGTATTTGAATAAAGATGAAGACCTTACCTGAAAATGAATGTTGTAATATTTTTTAATCTAATTATGTATACGTTAACTACATGACCTTTTTTCTAATTTAATTCAGCAAAATTTACTCAAGATTTCTATTTTTATGAAACCCTTAACAAATCATTGGGTATTAACCACAACTTACAATAACATCTGTTAAAATACAGTAACATATTTACTAATTTCAAGTTTAAAAACATGCTTAATAGCTGTTTCTTGTTCATTGAACTCTCATTATTTCACAATTAAAAATGTTACTCATTTGTTCTTTTATATTTTCAGATATCACGTGGCTACAGGAAGTGAAGATAATTCCGTTAGAATCTGGGATTTGAGGCAAAGGATGTGTGTCTATACAATACCAGCCCATACAAACCTCATCTCAAAAGTTAAATACCAGCGTAAGTTTGAATTTATGTCTGCATTTTCTCTTGTTTTGATTGTTTTTGTTTGGAACACTTTTGAACTTATGTATGTAAAATTTTAGATCAAATATGGCCGCCAATCTCAAGTTTTAACTGAATTTGCAATTTGTCACATTATAGCGTTTTATAGTGTGAAATATGTATAAGAGGATCCAACCTTGAGTCAAGCACTCAGAAATTGGTTCAAAATCTGTCAATCTTGTTGTTTTTTTTATTTATTTATTTGTCAAACACTTTTTAAGCAGTGGCACAATGGAAAATTCCAGTGCGGCAGTACATACAAGAAATACATATACATAAAATACAATACAGATAGATAAAATAATATGTTAAATTGTACACATGTTATGAGTTTAAAATATCTTTATTAATAGTCACTAAAAATTATTTGGCACACTTGTCAAACAACATCTCTTAGGCACCATTTTATTTTTCATTTAAAGGAAGTGTTAAAAACATATTAAATACATCAGGTGAACATGAGGCTTGTATTGTGTACATTCAGCGATGGAATTCTTTTTTCTTAGCTAGCTTTGTAGACATAGTCAGAAAACAGATAGATGTCTCTTTGAATATTAAAAAAGGTTATACAAATATGAATAATACTTCTGTGGATAGATAGTGCTGGTATATCTGGAGTATCAGCAAAAACTTTGTTTAACAGGCATTATTACTTTGATATTTGTGAAGAAGGCCAATAGTTCTACAATAATTAAGAGTTAAAACAAAAATAAGAAATGATGAAGAATCAAGTTAAATATCATTTAGTTATTTAGTAGATATTAATAACTGCTTCTCAGCCAATGCTTTTGTAAGTCGTTTGAGATAGTTGATATTTTAAATTACAGCACTATTAATCGAGATTTTAGTTTAACCGATAAATATTGTTTGTTAAGAAAAGGTGACATCAGGTTTTGGCAATACCATGGCAATGAAATAGAAGACTTAAAGACATTTTTGAAACAGCGACAATTTAAGAGTAACTAGCAATAGAAATTAATAAATTAATATTAATATTTGTTGCCAGTGTACTTGTATGCCAAAAGGGTCTGAAACCTGCTGGTCAAAATGGCATTATGGACCAGTTGCAATTTTATTTTCCTATACCTATACCAGTGAAAAAATCAACTGGTCCATATCAAAAGTAACCTGGTAATGACCAGTATACTGGCCCTTAGGGCCTACTGGCAATGAATTACTACGGTTGTTTTGTCTTTTTATTGTTATTGCTTGTGTCCATTACTGGGGTAATTGACACTACCAGTGTCCTCACTCGAACTCAAAAATACATATATAAAAAGTCTTGTATATATGGAAAATGTTTTGACAAATATTTTGCTGAAAGAAAATGTAAATATTCTGACATATAATTTGCTCATAAATAAATGATCTGTATGAGACTGGATGCAAAAGTGTCTCATATATACTGTTTAGTAGTCACTACTGAATATGTGGCATATTTTTTTGCACACATTTGTATCCCTATTGGAAATCAAGATCAGTATATATGTACATTCAAATAACTAAAGGAAACAAAAATCTATTGTTGCATTACTGGTAGCGCTATTTCTTATAGTACATACGTGTATATTATAGTATCACTTTTCTAGGCCCATCCTGTATTTTCAGTCAGGTGACCTTGCCTGACCCCAACTACTAATGCCATCTATTTATCCATCTGGGGGAACTTCGTAAAGTTAAGAATTTGTAAAGTCCATTGTTCTCTAAGTGTGACATCATTATATCCCTGGTTACAACAACTGATTTACGAATTCGTAACTTTACAAACTTTCTGTTAATGACCCCCTATATATTAACTCCTCTATTAATTGAGACAGACGCCTCTGTGCAACATTGACCCCAACATTATTTCTACATTTCTCAATAGAAAAGGACAGTAAGTAAGGCTGTGTGTCAGTATAAACATTTTGTATTTCTATAAGAAATCAAATAAAACTGTACATTAATTGTGAACTGTCAAACATGAAGGCATAATTGGCCCCCTCTAAACAGAAAAATCAAGAAAAGTATACACAGTTTTAATTCATACACATTTGGGCGACAAAACATTTTTCACGAATAGTTATGAGACTGGTGATACTAGAATAACTGATTCGGTAACGTTATAGAGAATAAATCGGTTCTTGGTTACCACAGTGCATATTTCAAGCAATAGTAATTTGCAAGAAACACAAGCTCTTTCTCTCATAAGACTTGGTTTCATAGACTTCAAATTAAAATCAAAATAATTACTAGCGACTAATATGGTATTGAGAGCAGTAGATTAGCATGCTAGTTCTGTCACTGTTATCAACTTATAATGTTTACCCTTTTTGTTTCAGCTGAGAAGGGAAATTACCTGGTGACGGCATCATATGACGCTACAGCTAAGGTATGTGTCATTATATAGACTCAGGTTGTGCTAAATGCTTTGCTTACTTAAAGGGGTAACAAGCCCTGTAGAGAGAAAATAGGAAAATTTTTACTTTTTCTGAGCTATCAATACAACATTTGGCTTAACATCTTCCTTGACATACCTGTTTTCTTAAAATGTATGGATAAACTATCAGTTTCAGCATTAAGAAGTGTAAATTAGTTCAAAGCCTCAAAAAGGGGAAAGCCACTTTTATATGTTTAAGATCCACCATGTTTCAAAAAGAATATCAGCTGAAATAATGTTTATCTAAGTGGTTTCTTTAGATAATAAATATAGATGTAAGTCTTGATGAAATATCCAAACTTAAATATATTTTGACACTGGTCCATGATCGTTGAATTGCCCCTCTGCACTACTTGTTGCCCTTTTAAATTGTAACAGGGTAGAATGAACTTCAGTTAGCATTATAAATCATATGAGGAGACACTTTCTGACATTTGTCTTTAAAGTTCATGTTACCTTATTACGTCAAAGAAAAGAAGATTGAAGTGATTTAAAGTCAACTCAAACAACAACACAATCTAATTGTATGGTGTTATAATATTTGAATTAAGAGTGAGATCAAACTAATGAATGGTGAATTCTCCCCCTCCCGCTCTCAGTTCACCACTCGCCTTGTCTCTCCATCCATACTTTCCCTATTCACATCTAGTTACCCCCTCCCAACATATTTTTCTCAGTCTCTCTTTCTGACAGTAGGACTCATATGATCTCATTTATTCTTACATTTCAACGGTTTATTTCAAAGAAATACTATTGGACCATATTTGGAATATGTAAAGTGACATGAGAGATTACTGTGACCTTATACAATTCACGGGGATGACATGTGCTTTATTCAGTACAGGTTACATTGACCCATGAATGACTTTAATGAAAGATTTGTAACCTACAAATATTACTTATACAAAATGTCTGGAAAGTCTTGAGAGAATCCCCTTCAAATTTAGCACATATTATCCAAGTTTGAGTCTAAACCATGTACTATGTATACGAGTTTTTGAAATACACAATTGTAACAGAAATGAGATCACAATGAGAATAAAAATGATTTCTTAAAACTTGAAATTTTCAGCTTAGTGATTATTTTCAGTTAACAGACTCGTCAGACACTTTCCTCTCCCCAAAGGGAGGTGCAGTTTCACAATGTTACTGGCACTAGTCAAATGATGTCAGAGATACACTGATTCAGATAGCGGAAATGAATGAAAACTGTACACTGCACTAAGAATCAGATTTTCTAATGTGGAAACCTACGAACATTGCAAAAATCAGTGAATATTATACATGTACGATACTAAGACAATAGAGTTAATCAAAAGATCAACATTGAATTTGCACCTGTCGAACTCCCCCCCCCCCATCCCCATCCCCGTCATCTAACAGGCTTAAGCTTTATAAAACTAAGAATGTTCCATATCAAAAGAGATTGTAGGATCGTTTCACTCCTAATAGGATATCGCACAAAGTAAAATCATTCTGTTTTTGCTCATTTTTGTACTCTATAAACCATGCGCAGTTAATCAACTTTGAAAATTTGAATTTCCTTGAAAATGTGACTTCTAGGTCGGGGAGATTCCCCATAGACCCAATGTTGTAAAATCACAAAAAGTGAAATATCTTTTCTTGTTATGGGCTGAAAATATGTTCTTTTATTGGACATATTTTAATTTGAATAATCACGAGACACATACATATAAGGATTAACTATCAGATATGGCATAAGGGCAATGTGAAAATTGAACCACTAAGGCTGATGAATATTTAAGTTTAAGGGAACTTTGTAATGCTCTGTCATGTTATTTCCCCCAAATTAGCCACCTGGTTGCGAAACTGGTAACTATTTACTAGCATTTGAGTAATCACCACATACAGACCCATGTATCCATACCATCATGGAAACATTTCATGAATCTTCAGTGAAAAATTAAGTCTTTTATTATTGACTAAATGTTGGATGTCTTAAGTCTAAAGTTTGAATACCATTTTGATTAAAAATCAAACTTGTAATAAAGTGAGTATTATTCTGAATGTTTGTCTGAATGTATGCCAAAGAAGGCAATTTCTGGATAGCCTGTAATGTAGTAAATTGAAAAAGAGCCAACAATTTAAAAGATTGCCAACCAAGCCCCATGATCTAATATTTTGATAGATATGGTCTTAGTCCAAATTTTTCATTGATCGGTTCATTGACATTTTCCCATTTTAATAGTGCAAATGTTCACATATGATCACTATGCCTGTATATTAAGTACTACATACATGACTCAACAAAAATTCTGAACAAGTGGTGATCTTGACAAAACATACTGTTTGTATTGCTTCAAGTACATTCACATATAAAAATTATTTTTTCAACTAATTATTTGTATGCATATCAAAGAAATATGTTTGGTGTATTCATAATTGAATGAGTATACGTATGAATGCACAGTTTTGAAATGTAAAACTCATAAAATAAAAGGCATAAATAATGAAAACAATATTTTCAATTTTTTAATATTTGAGTGTGCCCAAAATCCGGCAACCTATATATTGCCATTAATTCAACTAGAAGTTCAAGTATGACTTAGTATTCATAATCAGTTTAAAGATAAGTGACTCAGTCAATATATGGGCCTATTGCCACCAACGTCATTAATAAAATGATCTGGTGGAGTCCATTACATTTTGCACACATTGATTATCTGAAAATCCATAAATTATTACATTTTTGGAATTAGTGAGATGATCAGCGAGTAGTTAGAATATAATTATTTTGAAGAACAGAAAAAATACAGGTATCTGTATATTATGGGCATGATGAGACAGCATTTCTGATTCAACCCCCCCCCCCAATACCTACCCCATTGTTACAGATATTTTGACAGAAAATATCATGAAAGTCATTTGAAAGATGTTCATCTATTGAGTATTAGAATAGGAAATCGATCGACTGGCAGCTAAAAGTAGTGTAAGCAAGGTAGAAAAAACTTCATCCATGTATTCTCTTTGATAAACTGTTTACTATAAACAGTGTTTATATCGTAAAACCTTTCCAAAAAGACTCATCCCTCTTCTCTGACATGTATGACATTATCACATTATTTCCCAATTTTAGTTACGATGATCGTATATGTGCACACTTTCACATTGACAAAATAGCAAAAAGACAATACAGTAGAATCTGTCTAAGTAGAATACCTTGGTTCCTCTAAATAGTGTTCTACTTGGGAGGTGTTCCACTTATAGAGGTTCATTTAACATTAAGTCAGTTGGTCTTGGGACTCTGAAAAAGTATTCCAAAAGTGTTCCACTAATAGAGGTGTTCCACTTTCATAGGTTTTCTACTTAAAGGTTTCACTGTATTTTAAAAAATATCGTTGTACTTTAGTCTTGTTTCATTTCAACTTGGCCAACTGCCAGTGGGATGTATTTAGGTAGAAAATGTTGTCATCTAATAAATGTGAAGAGTGCATTATTTTGCTCATTATGTCACCACCAAAAAGTGGTGACATATTGTTATGGTCTCCGTTTTTTTGGCGGCGGTTGGTGGTTGGCGGTTGGTGATGGCATCTTGAATAAATTCTGCCAATAACTTCCAATAAATTAACAAATACTGTTTAGATGGACTTCAATTTTTTCAAAATCATCTACATGTTTCCAAGAAAACCATCTACGAGTTCTCAGAAATCCAAATCTGACTTAAGATTGAACTCATAATATTGTGAGCAACTAAGTGGTGACATTTTGTCATGTTAATGCCTTGTTAATATATCTAAAAACAATTTGCTAATATTGGCTCTTCAACATGCAAGTTTTCACTCTTCAGCAGTATCAAAACATTTTTAGTACTGGTTATATTTCAAATCCAAATGAACTTCTTGTACTTCTTTTACACCCTGAGCCCACCAAGTTTACCTTTCATTCTCTAAATAATTAAATAGGTACACATTTTATCTGCACTTTAGTGGTTTTATTAGTAGACTAGTGATTAAAGGTATATTCATAGATAAAGTGGATGAAAAAACTCATGCAAAATTTCTCAACTCTTATTTCTCGTTTTTGTATGACAATTATCTGGTACCTCCCTTGAGTGTGTATATTTTGAACTATTCCAGACATTCATATTTATGGGGTTTGATGTAGGTGTAGTTATATTATTTTTTATATCTTGTATTCAGTAGATTCATGAGCACATTTTCACTATTCATTATTTCTAGGGGTTTTGTCCCCAACCTTAACCTTAGGTATAACACCTACACATACACATGTGTACACAAAAACACCTACATTATTATATATGTCCAAATCGAATGTCAAGGACAAATTCTCTTAAAATGTATCCAATCTCAGCTTCACCCAAAAAAGAGCTGAGGGGACATGGAGGGGGGGTTCTTGAGGGACTGGAGGTTCAAGTTCTGGTGGCATCCATTGTTATTGTTAATTACATGTATAAAAAGGCAAGTTACCCTTTAAATGTTTTAAGTGCATAAAGAATAAAGTCAACTATTTAGAGTTTTGAGTTACTTTCCTTGTTTAGTACATCTAGTGCATCAATGTTATAGCACCTTGACATTCTCTTTCTTGGCAAAATGCCGTTTTTCTACTTGAAGTTCAGGGACAAAATAATCTAGATGTCTTACATATTTTCATACATGTATAAAAGACCCACTAGACTCACCACATAAATCCTAAGTTTAGTATTTATCCTTCACCTTGCCAATCAAAACAAAGTGCACGAATCATGTCATTTCTTGGTTGTCTCAATGAATAATACACAGTTTAACTGTAAACCTTTTGTGTGAAAGAATTTTTTCAAGCTCTTTTTAATTGAAATATATGGATTTAGATTTTTTGCTTTATCATTTCCGGGGTACACCCCCAATCCGAACCTTGAAGTCGCTTTAACATACTGTAACATAGCCACCTGTATTTTTGCAACCTCCTTTGTGTTTTTGTCAGATTGTTTTCTTCAACAGTAATGCCTTGGTCACATTTACTCCGATTCATCGGTTGGCGCCTGGTCAATTGAGTATTTTGTCCTACATGCAATTTTGAACAAAACACTCTCAATCGGCCAGGCACCAGCCGATAAATCGCTACAAAAGTGATCCAGGCATTATCGCTATTAGAAATATTTAATACTTTGAGACACTCCGTAAATGTATTTATTTTTTTTATTTTCAGGTTTGGGCTCACCCTGTATGGTCTCCCCTTAAGACTTTAGCTGGACACGAAGGAAAGATAATGTCTGTTGATATTTCACCTAATGGACAATATATTGCCACTAGTTCATATGATAGGACATTCAAACTGTGGGCTCCTGACCTTTGAGGAATATCAATATTGTTTAAAAGTCACATGCTGATACACTTATACAATGTCAATAGATCAATCTCCACCAAATAATCAAATTATTAATAATTTTTGATTTATAAATGTTCATTGGTTTTTAAAATGAAGTGAATTTTAATTTGAAAAAAATTGATATTTGGTTTTCATTTTTGATAGGAGGTGTAAATCAGGGACAAAATGGTCCTTAATCGCATTATGAGAGAACACCAAAATATTAACCTAGTATCCAAGCAAGAGTACACGTGTACTTTTCAGTAATTCTTCATATATCTAGATATAAGACATAAGAACAGGCGAGGTCAATGTTCTCTGCTCTGAAATATTTTGAAACAAATATTCCAATATTTCAATTGTATAAAAACATTGCACATTTTGCTGATTTTACGAATAGATGATTGGACTTTTCAAATCATGATTCACATTATTATTAGAACGGATTCACTCAGTAGATAATCAATCCGGAGCAACCTTTAAATGTGAGCTGTGTTGTTAGGCCATTACCAAAAGAACTATTTCAAAATGTAGACCGAATGAATGGACTTGATATTAATAAATATAAATATCCAAGTAAATTGTCTCTAATAATTCAATATCCAAGTTCATGTACCTAGATGTACTGAAAATGTATTTGCCAATTGCAATGTCATTGATCTTGGATCTATCCAAGCATAACACTCCACTGTTTTAGATCTTTTTATTGCACCCTTGCACCCTTTTTCCTCCTATGGATTCCAGCCAAACTGTTTTATGGATTAATCTGAATTTTTTAAGGTATGTTTCTTTGTATTTTTTAGGAAATTGTAGGTTTATTTTTTGTTGCCATTTGGGACTTTCCATCCTTAAATCTTTTATGTTAAATTCTTCCCTCCATTTCCAAGCAAACTATTGTCTAAAATTTTACATTGATTGCCTTAATCCCTTTTGAAAATAGCATACTGCACAATCAGCACAATATTGAGAAACTTTGGAACATTAATCCATCTTGATATTATGTTCAAGGGTGCAATATTGTTCATCCTGTGTCTTGTATTTATATGGATAATTTTTTGGATGATATATGTGTGTCAACAGAAAATCTTCTGTTCGTGGATTAAAAATGAGTATCAATGAACTAATGGTAGAAGCTCAATGTCTATTGCGCAGTCAGTTCATACATCTCTAATGCCAAAAATGATAACTGAATAAAACTTTGATATTTGTTTATTTGAAAAATTTCTTCTGATTGTTCAAAAGCTGCATGGCACAATCAATTAGAGCGCCAGGTTTTTAACATTTTTAAACCCAGAGAGAGTGGGTTTGAAACCCGGCATAATCTTTTTTTTCATCTTTTTAAATGTCCGCTAAACATTTTCTTTATCTCTTTTTATATGAGACACTCATGTTGATCTAGTAAGACATTTTTTGGCAATATGAGTCATTATATACAATGGAATAATAATATTTTTATATACAGGGTGTCCGGAAAGTAAAGATACAAATACTCTTATTTTAAAAAATTTGGGTTTTATGAAATGAAATTGCTACAGATTGTAGAGGAACAATATTACAACATATCTACCAACTGTCATCACATATAGTCAAAATGTGTTCAAGATAGGGTTGTTATGGTTACGAATGTGAGAGGTATGCGGAGCAGTTCCAGAACAACGCTAAAAAGTGAAAAATTGGTAAAAGACAACCATTTGAAACAGTGTTTTTTGTTGTATTTTCTATCTATGTTTTGATTTGTTCATCATTGTATTATTGCTGCAATAGTGTTTTTCTTTCATATAATGATGTCATAGCTATATACATATCAGAACTATGTTAGTCATTAACCAGTATAATGAAAGAAATATTATACAAGTGCCTAGAAGAATGGTCCCTGGCCATTAGTAGGAAAGTCAACATTGCATCTCGACAATGCACCAATTCACAAAGCAAAAAAACAAATCTTACAATGGAGTGTCTTGACATTAAACCTTTCCATACAATGCTCCTATTCACCTGATGAAGCCTCTTTAGACTTCCACCTTAATGACCAAATTGAAAGCAATATTTGTAATAAGTTCAACATTCAAATGAGACTCAGCTGGAAGCCAGTGTTATCAGCAATCTGAGAGATGGACAGCAGCGGTTTTGTCAGGTCTTTGGATCGCCGGTCAAGATGGACCAAGAATGTATAGATAATGAGGAAAATACTGAATATTCAATGATAGTAGTAATATGAAATGATCAAATAATGTTACATTACTAATCCCTATGCTGTTGTGGTACATAATTTGATATAATATAGGAATAGATGGTGGAGTGCCAAGATCATATGAGCAGGAAAGAGATTTGTAGAACACAGTTGTGACGTTGCTCCACTTACCCCCGACTCCTGTTACCATAACAACCATAACTTTTTTATTTTAAAACTAAAAGCCATGACCGTTGCAGGATATATTGTTATAATGTCATTCTATATTCGGGAGCAATTTCATCTCATAACACTTAAATCTCTTGAAATTAGAGCATTTGTATCTTTACTTTCCGGACACCCTGTATATTAATTATATATATATATTAAATATAGTTATTATTTTTCTCAAGATCCAGATGGTGAATTTTCATGAATATTATTTTAAATGCTTTTTATGCCACCACCAAAAAGTGATGACATTTTTCAAGATCATCTACAAGTATTCAGAATGTCAAATTTGACTTTAGATATAAGATTTGACCTTCAATGACCTCCTAAAGGTCAAAAAAGATTCATAATATTGTGAGCAACTAGGTGTTGACATTTTGTCATGTTAATACCTTGTGTATTCTCATAGAATAATCACAATTTTTTGAAGAAAATCTGAATTGTGCAATTTATAAAAAAACAAAAAACAATTTTCCTTTGAGAGCAATGTTAAATTAAAACACTTTTTTAGAAATAACTCAACAGTCAATATTTCTAATTTTCACATATTTTGTAATACATCAATATATCTTTCACCTCGATTTTTTCAATAAAATCTGAATTGTAGAAAAAAGTTAGTCAACATTGAAGTTCTACCTTAAAGGTGAACAATTGGAGTTCCCACAACAGATACAAAAATACAAACATACATAGACTTGTATTCCTGAATGCAACTAACGCCTGTCGGCTACCAGATTAACCTAATATTTTTAAATATGAATGGAATAGTGGCAGGTACTATTCATATTTAAATGAAATACCCATAAAATAGTAGGTTAATCCGGTAGCTGACAGGTGTTAGTTGCATTCGCGAATACAAGCTTCGTTATCTCTCTGTTATACTGGCTATCCGAAACAGACTGTATGGTCATTATTTCTGTCTCCGGCGGTTGGTGATTGGCGTCTGTAACAAATTCTTACAACTTCCAATAACTTAACAAATACTGTTTAGACTGACTTAAATTTTTTTCAAAATCATCTTCAAGTTTTCAGTAATTCAAGTCTGACTTTATAGCAAAGATTTGACCTTCAATGACCTCAAGGTTAAAAAAGGTCAAAAAGGTATTTTTCAATTTGGTTCGAATTGACCTATTTTTTCAAAATAATCTCCAAGTTCTCAAAAGTTCAAATCTGACTATAGAAATACAATCTCAAGGTCAAAAATGATTTGACCTTCAAAGACCTTCTCAAGGTCAAAAAGTTTTTTTTTCATCTTGCTTCAAGTTCTCAGAAGGTCAAATCTGACTTTAGATTTGAGATTTTACCTTCAATGATCTTCTCAGAGTCAAAAAAGGTATTTTTTCAACTTGCTTCAAATTGACCAATTTTTTCAAAATCATCTACAAGTTTTCAGAAATTCAAGTCTGACTTAGGATTGAACTCATTATGAGCAACTAGGTGGTGACATTTTGTCATGTTTATGCCTTGTTTCCATTGATGATTGCAATGTGGGTGGTTTATTGATTGCTTTTTCTTGTGAAAACAATAGCTGCTAACTACCTGTAGACAACCTATATGCACTAATACTCAATTCTGGGTTTGTTTATGGATTATTGGTTCTTCTTCATTCTAAATGTTACTCTTCTATGATTTCAATGGCAAAGTATAGAGACAATTATAACAAATTGTTTTGTAATATTTTTCCCTTTAAACTTTCCTTGTCATGCCATTCTTTTAGTGACTGCAAGAATTCGAACTTCATTTCATTAAAATATTTTATTGTTATAGTCTCCAACTTTTTTGTGGACAGTTTTCGGTGGTTGGCGTTTGTGGCATTTGGCATCTGTAACAAAAGACAGGTGTTGACATTTTGCATGTTAGTGCCTTGTTTAAGCTACGTTCACACTCATGGCGCTTTGATGGCGCTTTAAAGCGGCTTGTAAAGCGGCACCAAAGCGTAACAAAGCTTGATTAAAGCGTCGGGGTCTTAATAAGTAGTAGAACAGCTAGGAGTAAAGCGGGATATTCGGCAAGAGCGCAAAAAAATTAAAACTGTTCAAGCTACGTTCGCACCAACGGCGCTTTGATGGCACTTTAACGCGGCTTGTAAAGCGGCACCAAAGCGTAACAAAGCTTGATTAAAGCGTCGGGGTCGTAATAGGTCGTAGAAAGGCTCGGAGTAAAGCGGGATAATCGGCAAGAGCGCCAAAAAATTTTAAACTGTTTAAAAATTTTAGGCGCTCAGTTACGAATTGATAAAAGCGCCGAGAGCGTATCAAAGCTTAACAAACCGTAACAAAGCTCAGCAAAGCTTGACTCAAAGCGTAGGTCTGTTACCACTTGATACGCTTCGTTAAGATGTCTCAAGATTTGCTACGATCTGGCACGAAGATCTGACACGAGGTCAGACGCTTTCATCAATATCTGACACTCTTTGTTACACTTTCATGAAGGACTCTCAAGCTTTCCAACGAATTGAGACGCTTTAACCGAGGATTGAAACGCTTTGCTAGGCTTTGTTACGCTTGACAAGTTTCCACACGCTATATCACGACAAACATCATGTCTTCTTCAGATAAGTCATGCTCTGGCCCATCTGGAATTTCTGGATCTTGTTGTTCTGCCATCGTATTCTTGCGAAGACGCAATTTACATATTTAGTCCCTCGCTTTTGTTACGTTGACGATATTCATGAATATTGCCAATGTGACAATATTCATAAAGATCGTCAACGTAACAAAAGCAAGGGACTAAGTATGTGAATTGTGTCTTCGTTAATATACCAAACATAGAACGGCCTGTATATTCTCAAACTAGACTATCTTCCTTAACTTTGGGCCAAATCATTGTCCACAACTCGACTCATAAGTGGTGTAGAATCGAGAAATAAAAATATCTTACCGAAAACGAAGCCCGGAAGTTCTTCCATCTTGTTACGCTGACGTATCATCAGCGTAACTAGGTGAGTACCAGTGTTAGTCACAAAGGTCGAATTAAAACACCAGCGTCAGAACTCCAAATTTCAGTAAATTACAAATTCAAACTATTTATTCAATAACTTGCTCGGAAAACGTATTTCTTTTAATCGCAAAGCATTATGTACAAGCCCATTCCTTTCAAAAAACGTTTTTATGTCACCACCAAAAGTGATGTCAAAATTAATGTCAAAATTCCGCGTGATCAATCATACAAGAAAACCATTTGGTTTTATGAAGATGCTGATAAAGTCTCAATGACGCGTGAAATAAACGATTTAAATCTGGATGATTTGTTATTTGATCAAAATGATCTCGATTTGCTTCTTCAAAACTTCATTGACAAATTAATATCCATATTCAACAGGTTTATACCGCATAAAGAGGTAACAATTCGACCAAATGATCAACCTTGGTTTGACCATACAATCAAAACTGAAATTAACAAACGGGACCGTCTCTATAGAAAATTCAAAAAGTCTCAAAGTTTAGACCACTTTAATCAATTTAAAGAACAATCCAAATTAGTTATTGACCATATAAATAATAAAAAGACAAATTATGAAAATGAATATTGTGAAAAAACTCAAGAAAAATCTGCTAATTCGAAAGAATATTGGCCAATGATCAAGGATCTTTTGGGTAAAAAATTCAGTAATCTCATCCCTGTTTTATATAATTATAATTTAAATAGATCAGCCGTCACAAGTCTTCAAAAAGCAAATCTTTTCTTGGAATATTTCATTGGAAAAAGCAGTATAGAGCAAAGTGACCAACTTCCACCATTTGATCATAGAACTGACCAACTTTTACATCAATTTACAACTAACAGTGAAGAAATCGTTCAAATTTTACATTCGTTAGAAAACAATAAAGCTCCTGGACTTGACAATATTAGTAATGAAATGCTCAAAATTAATGCAAACTCTCTAAAGATACCACTATCTAGGCTCTTCAATAAATTTTTACAAAATGACTTCTTCCCATCTTCTTGGAAGGAGGGAAATGTATCGGTGATTTACAAAAAAGGGAAAAGATCAGACTGCTCTAATTATAGACCGATAACATTGCTCAACTGTATATCAAAAGTTTACGAAAGAGTTATATATAACAATTTAAGTAATTTTCTCTTGTCTAAAAACTTACTTTATAAATTGCAGTCTGGGTTCTTAAAAGGTCATAGTACTACAGGCCAACTGATTTCCATCATCCATAAGATAAACAATGAACTTGAAAATGAAAATAATGTTCGTTCAATTTTCCTCGACCTTACCGCGGCGTTTGATTCCGTCCCCCATTATTTACTTTTGCATAAATTATCACGATATGGACTTTCACAGTCACTACTTAACCTTATAACCATGTACCTATCAAATCGAAAAATTAAAGTCACAATAAATGGAATACAATCAAATTTCTCACTTCCTGGTCAAATAAATGCAGGTGTCCCTCAGGGCTCAATTCTTGGACCGTTATTATTTTTAATCTATATAAACGACTTGCCAGATGATTTAAATTCCCTTTGCTTTCTCTATGCTGATGATACATCACTTTATCATCCATACTCCAAAAATGATCCTAACTCCATTGACCTTTTACAAGATGATTTGAACAAACTTTCTGAATGGTCAAATACTTGGAAAATGGCATTTAAAGCAGCAAAGAGTGCTGATCTCACTTTCAGACGACCAAGAAGTACTTTAAATAATATCCCTGATTTGACACTTAATGGTGAAACTCTGCCAAAAGTAAATAGTCACAAACATCTAGGTATGCACCTGGATGACATTCTAAATTTTGACGTGCACATTGAAAACTTATTGAATAAAGTTCAAAAAATGACAAATCCACTTCGTGCATTGAGCCATAAACTTAAAAGTAAACATCTTTCTAGGATAGCGGAATCATTTATACGGCCACATTTTGACTTTCATGACATTATTTATCATACTGGTAACAAATTAACTCTTGACCGACTTGAGAGACTCCAGTACAGAATTGCATGCATTGTATCAGGGTGTTTACATGGCTCAAATACAAATTCGGTATTGAAATTACTAAATTGGGACAAACTTGTTGACCGACGTAAATCACACATAGCAACGTTTATGTACAAATTATCTTTAGGTCAAATGCCATCTTATATATCAGAAATTTTTCAACAATATAGACCAACCAGATTACATATGCAACTTAGAAATCCAGTTGATTTTCACTTACCTACTAATATATCAGCTAAATTTAGAAATTCCTGTATCTTTTCATGCATAAATATTTGGAATTCACTCCCACTTGAATTGAGATGTCAACCAACAATATCCACCTTTAAAAATCATGTCAAAAGAAACTTCTCAACCCAACCAAAGATATTTACAAATTGTCAAAATATTGATATTGATAGATTTTATGAAATTAGTTTGAACAGGCTTAGAGTAGGATTTCTTTTAAAATCACATAAATATGCTCATAACTTTCCTGGAATTTTGGATGACCTCTGTCAATGTGGAAAACCACAAACTACTGAACACTTTTTCCTTCACTGCAACCTACATATCAATGAAAGACTAACTCTACTTGCAAAACTTTCAGAGCTAAATGCAATTGAAATTTTTCTAGATTCAAATGTTCGAAACAAAATTGAATTTCTACTAAATGGAAATGACGAACTAAATATTGAAGAAAACCAAGCTGTGCTGCAGATTACTGCCAATTTTGTATTCAGCTGTAAATAACTATTTAATTTGTTTTCTGCTTATTGCCTAAACACCCCAGACAGAAAACCTGACACCACCCTTTAGTTTTTTTTGTTTTTTATAATTTTACTATGTTTGTTAAATAAAAACTGCCACCAATGTTTTTCAACTTCGGCAGTCATTACATGTGTAATTTGTATGTACTAAAATCGAATAAAGAAGAATAAAAAAAAAAAAAAAAAACCAAAAGTGATGACATATTGTTATGGTCTCCGTTTTTTTGCGACGGCGGTTGGTGGTTGGCGTCCGGCGGTTGGCGTCCGGCGTCTGTAACAATTTCTTACAACTTCCTATAACTTAACAAATACTGTTTAGACTGACTTCAATTTTTTTCTAAATCATCTACATGTTCTCAGAAGTTCAAATCTGACTTTAGATTTGACATTTGACCTTCAATGACCTTCTCAAGGTCAAAAAGGTCTTTTTTCAACTTGCTTCACATTGACTAAATTTTTTTTCAAAATCATCTACATGTTCTCAGAAATTCAAATCTGACTTTAGATTTGACATTTGACCTTCAAATCTGACTTTAGATTTGACATTTGACCTTCAATGACCTTGTCAAGGTCAAAAAAGGTCAAAAAGGTCTGTTTTCAACTTGCTTCAAATTGACTAAATTTTTTTTTCAAAATCATCTACGTGTTCTCAGAAATTCAAATCTGACTTAAGATTTGACATTTGACCTTCAATGACCTTCTCAAGGTCAAAAAAGGTCAAAAAGGTCTGTTTTCAACTTGCTTCAAATTGATTAAAAAAAATTTCAAAATCATCTACGTGTTCTCAGAAATTCAAATCTGACTTAAGATTTGACATTTGACCTTCAATGACCTTCTCAAGGTCAAAAAAGGTCAAAAAGGTCTGTTTTCAACTTGCTTCAAATTGACTAAAAAAAATTTTCAAAATCATCTACGTGTTCTCAGAAATTCAAATCTGACTTTAGATTTGACATTTGACCTTCAATGACCTTCTCAAAGTCAAAAAAGGTCAAAAAGGTCTTTTTTCAACTTGCTTCAAATTGACTAAATTTTCTTTTCAAAATCATCTACATGTTCTCAGAAATTCAAATCTGACTTTAGATTTGACATTTGACCTTCAATGACCTTCTCAAGGTCAAAAAGGTCTGTTTTCAACTTGCTTCAAATTGACTAAAAATTTTTTTCAAAATCATCTACATGTTCTCAGAAATTCAAATCTGACTTAAGATTTGACATTTGACCTTCAATGACCTTCTCAAGGTCAAAAAAGGTCAAAAAGGTCTGTTTTCAACTTGCTTCAAATTGACTAAATTTTTTAACAAAATCATCTACATGTTCTCAGAAATTCAAATCTGACTTTAGATTTGACATTTGACCTTCAATGACCTTCTCAAGGTCAAAAAGGTCTGTTTTCAACTTGCTTCAAATTGACTAAATTTTTTTTTCAAAATCATCTACATGTTCTCAGAAATTCAAATCTGACTCAAGATTTGACATTTGACCTTCAATGACCTTCTCAAGGTCAAAAAAGGTCAAAAAGGTCTGTTTTCAACTTGCTTCAAATTGACTAAAAAAAATTTTCAAAATCATCTACGTGTTCTCAGAAATTCAAATCTGACTTTAGATTTGACTTAAGATTTGACATTTGACCTTCAATGACCTTCTCAAAGTCAAAAAAGGTCAAAAAGGTCTTTTTTCAACTTGCTTCAAATTGCCTAAATTTTTTTTTCAAAATCATCTACATGTTCTCAGAAATTCAAATCTGACTTAAGATTTGACATTTGACCTTCAATGACCTTCTCAAGGTCAAAAAAGGTCAAAAAGGAAATTTTTCATCTTGCTTCAAATTGACTAAATTTTTTTTCAAAATCATCTACATGTTCTCAGAAATTCAAATCTGACTTTGACATTTGACCTTCAATGACCTTCTCAAGGTCAAAAAAGGTCAAAAAGGTCTGTTTTCAACTTGCTTCAAATTGACTAAAAAAAATTTTCAAAATCATCTACATGTTCTCAGAAATTCAAATCTGACTTAAGATTTGACTTAAGATTTGACATTTGACCTTCAATGACCTTCTCAAAGTCAAAAAAGGTCAAAAAGGTCTTTTTTCAACTTGCTTCAAATTGACTAATTTTTTTTTTCAAAATCATCTACATGTTCTCAGAAATTCAAATCTGACTTAAGATTTGACATTTGACCTTCAATGACCTTCTCAAGGTCAAAAAGGAAATTTTTCATCTTGCTTCAAATTGACTAAATTTTTTTTCAAAATCATCTACATGTTCTCAGAAATTCAAATATGACTTTAGATTTGACATTTGACCTCAATGACCTTCTCAAGGTCAAGAAAGGTCAAAAAGGTCTTTTTTCAACTTGCTTCAAATTGACTCATTTTTTTCAAAATCATCTACATGTTCTCAGAAATTCAAATCTGACTTTAGATTTGACATTTGACCTTAAATGACCTTCTCAAGGTCAAAAAAGGTCAAAAAGGTCTGTTTTCAACTTGCTTCAAATTGACTAAAAAAATTTTCAAAATCATCTACGTGTTCTCAGAAATTCAAATCTGACTTTAGATTTGACTTAAGATTTGACATTTGACCTTCAATGACCTTCTCAAAGTCAAAAAAGGTCAAAAAGGTCTTTTTTCAACTTGCTTCAAATTGACTAAATTTTTTTTTCAAAATCATCTACATGTTCTCAGAAATTCAAATCTGACTTTAGATTTGACATTTGACCTTCAATGACCTTCTCAATGTCAAAAAAGGTCAAAAAGGTATTTTTTCTTCTCGCTTCAAATTGACTAAATTTTTTTCAAAATCATCTACATGTTCTCAAAAATTCAAATATGACTTTAGATTTGACTTTAGATTTGACATTTGACCTTCAATGACCTTCTCAAGGTCAAAAAGGTCTTTTTTCAACTTGCTTCAAATTGACTAATTTTTTTTCTTCAAAATCATCTACATGTTCTCAGAAATTCAAATCTGACTTAAGATTTGACATTTGACCTTTAATGACCTTCTCAAGGTCAAAAAAGATCAAAAAGGTCTGTTTTCAACTTGCTTCAAATTGACCAAATTTTTTTTTCAAAATCATCTACATCTTTTCAGAAGTTCAAATTTGACTTTACAAGTTCTCAGAAATTCAAATCTGACTTAAGTTTGAACATAATATTGTGAGCAACTAGGTGGTGACATTTTGTCATGTTAATGCCTTGTTTAGAGATTTGTATTTAATGATGAGAATATGCCTCACAGACATACTCAGAATGTACCGGAGAGGGTCTTAATTTCAAAAATTCAAACAATTTCACCATAATTTAATGGTTGTATTTTTGTGTCACCTTATACGATCAGGAATTTAAGAAATGGACCATAATACCAGGAAAATGTACCGTTTCATTAAGTCCTCGGTTCAATGTGGTCTCAAATCTGGATTCTAACTTTGAAAGGTTTAGGTCGAAGAACAAGATTGGGGATCCAGTCAAGTGATGGCTCTTCCCCAAGAACGGGTCTAAAAGAACACGCCTGCATTATTCTCATTACGAACAGATGAATAGACATTTGTCCAATAGGTTTTCCGAGGCACTTTCGCTTTCCAATACCAAATGCTGGTATCAATCTTTTTTTCTCAACGTCCACTTGACCCGTAGATGTCAGCATTCGATTTGGATTAAATTCAAACGGATCTTTCCATAGTTGATCGTCATAAAGTATTGACTCATAGTTCGGAAGAATCACCGTCCCCTTTGCTATGTCATATCCATTAATTTTAGCATCCCGTGTCGTCGCGTGGGGTATTCCTACCATAGTCGGGCGAGCATGGCGAAGGATTTCATATATGGTTGCTTCTGTGTAAGGCAACTTAGCGATATCTATCGGTTCAATGATGTCATCAACATCTAAACTTTCATTGATTTCCCGTTTTATTTTGGTTTGCACATCTGGGAAAATTGTCATGTAAAGTATGAAGATGTACATCGTGGTAGACAAAACGTCCGTCCCCGCCCCCATGAGGTCTAGAATAACATATTTGTATAGGTCGGCGTCTTTCTGCTTCAATATATCCATGATGCTATTCTCCGCGTATTCCTCGCTCTCCGATATCAGTCCCATCTCTTCGAGGTAACTCCTATGGTTGTCAATGATACCAACAAGGTAATCACTCTTATTATAGAACGCACGCTTGTGCTTCCTTAAAAATGGCTCTAGAACGGGATATAATTCCGCCAACATTAAATAAGGCAACTCGTCTGGTAATCCTACAATTGCCTGAACATAACGTTTTAAAGTATCTTTTCCGTGTTGGCCTTCCAATGGTCCAAAGCACATTTGAAAGATGGTCCTTCCAACCGCATCTTGTAGGATCTCCTGACAGTTGAAAGGCGTGGCTTTCGTATTTTTGAACACTTCGAGGGTCGCGTTGATTTCAGCGTTTACGATAGTCTGCAAGTGCCCCTTGTTCATCAACTCCCCGACGGCTTGCTTTGTAGATTTGTGTCGGGTATGCCACTCTTCGTTAATGCTAGAAAACGATATAGTTCTACCTTTTAGGAAATTCCTAAAAAAGGATATATCAGGTCTTCCAGAGAACGTGTCCCCCGGCTGTAACAACGCGTCCTTGATAGCCGCACCGTTAAGGAACACGACGCGGATAGGACCAAACCAGATGGTGAATACGTCCCCATATTTCTTACGGAATTCCTTGAGTTTCTTAAACGGTAATGAGTCATTTCCCATCTGAAGAATGTTTCCTACGATAGGCCAAGGGCGTGGTCCCGGGGGCCAATTGAGGCCATCTCTTTGCTTTTTATTTGCCCATACAATAAGCAGAAGAATGACCAAAATGAAAAGATACACCGAGGGGTCGACTTTGGTCTGCAAGAGCCAAAACGAACCCGTCATATCTGCAATAAAGACTATTTTTGAGTATAAATAAGTAATTCTTAATCGTTAATGATTTCATTTCAATAATATCTTATTCTATGATTGCTGTCAATAAACAATTATCAAAAAACTGACCTATTCCAGTGACGTCTACCCACGCATTGTGAATATTCTGAACAACTCACATCCTCCGATTGGCGCGGTTGTCTATCCTTGTCTTTTCTTTTTAAATTGTTTTCAGTTAAGACCTTAACATTGCATATTTTGCCTGATTATGACACAAATTGCCTTCACCTTCCTGATTAACCCGTCCATAATATTTCAAAATATATCCATTGACTTGTCTTTTTAAAATCAAATTTCATCAATAATTTATTTTACCTAATAAGGAAGTAGCTAAGTCTGTCAATCTAGGACTAGACTAGTGATATCTTGTTTTGATTTTTTCTAATTTATACTCATGTGGTATACACGTGGAATATATGTAAGGCCGGCTAATGTGTCCTTAACATTGTAACAATAAAGCAGATTTATATAGGTGAGTAACCGGGGTAAAAGTGGGACAACATTTATTCTTGGATTGAATAAAGCATTAGAAAGATACTTGTACTAGGAACTGATACCATTTTCTTGGAAAAAGTTCGCTAAATAGTATTTTCATAATAGGGGGTCGGGAAATTTTGACTTTTTTCTAAAAAGAAACAATTTAAAAATAAATCCCTTAATTTTCAGTCTTTTTCATCAAGCGGGATTTAAAGATACGACATTTGAGTGTTGACATCAAATGACCTTTTTGGTAAGTCTCAATTTTGAGATTTTTGCCATACATGTTAGAAATCAATTTGTGAGCTCAATCAATCTAGCCCTTTCAATTTTTCATGTTTTCCCTTTGAATAAGTGCTGACAAAGAACCCCAGTGACTGTTATGTACAAGCTATGTACTATCGTTTTCTAATATTTGTATCCACTCAAAGAGAGGAGTTGGATAATTTACATTACCTATTCATTGACAACTGTTGAGTATTCATGAGTTTTTGATATTTTCTACGCGAGTAGTGCTTTGACTACATCATCGTAGTTTAGTGCAGTTTGAGTTATCGTGTTGTGGGTGGATATAAACAAATACCATAATATGGAGTGGGCGTTTGTAGTCCAGAGTGGCCTACAATATTTTTTATTAACCATGCCAGCATACTATCTATCATGTGCTTTGGACTAAGTCGGTTTCGTTCATGAAATAATGTAATTCAGTTTGGACTTGATAAGTTATAATTAAAAATTAACATTGAATTTGATGTATTTTAATATATTTTTTATTTTATTGAAATAAACAATAATAAATAAAACAAATAATTGAAAAAACGAAAACAAATATAACTATTAATGCAAAAGACCACGTGTGATATTATATGGCAAATGATTTAAAACAGTCTTTGAGCATGACTATATTCTGACCATAAAAACAACATTTTCATTGAAATAATAGGTTTTCTTTGAAGTAAAGTCAGGATCAGGATGATAAAAATCCAACTCTCCGAAAAAATAAGCTTTAACTTAGCACCGAAACTACATTTCCACCTTGGAAAATATTATCGACAATACCGACACTGAGACACACACAAACATTAATGATTTACATTGATTTTATATGGTTTGTACGAATGCATTGTCCTCGTTTGAATTGTTGTCAATTATCATTCACAGCTCTTCTTCATAGTTGTTCCCATCTGCCATTAGTTACATTGTCAGCATATGAAATATCGTAAAAAGTTTACGAACCTGAAAAAATAAAGACGAAATGCCTTAATATTCAAAAACCAAAAGAAGAGTCGAAGCAATCGTAGGTGTGGAGATTTAATTGTAAGCACTTCTACAACAAAAGCAAATGGATATCTCAAAAATAGGTTTGAGACCGATATAAAGATGGCAACAGATGTAGAATTTCATATGTCTTTTTGAGAGAAGATATAAAACAGACTGATTACACTGCCATCTTTATTTAAAGACTATTTATATCGCCACCTTTTCTACCTTTCATTACTCATTGAGGGCTTTGTATAAAAACCTCCTACCTCATACCCACCTACCCACCTACGTGGAACATGATACAGTCATTGAAGGGTTCAATTTTAAAGATTATGAAATCACAAAATAGCTCAAATTATTAACATTTCTACAATTCGGCGGCTTTATTTTATGACTAGACAGATGACAGTCCATAAATAAAGGCATATGGATGTATTTTAATGTGTAATGACCCGAGGGCGCCCCAGGGGAATAAATAACTAACGACCGCGAGCATAGGTCCAACAAGCCAGATAAAAAATTGAAAGAAAATGTGCTAAATTCGATGCCCCGAGTGGGAATCGAACCCAGCTGGGATGTAGTAGCAACTTGCTATCAAGGGTCGTTACAAATGCATCTATAAAATGCAAATGCATCATAAACTAAGATTTAATAAACTAAGATCTTTAAAATTGAACCCTTCAAAGACTGTATCATGTCCCACGTACGTGGGTAGGTGGGTATGAGGTAGGAGGTTTTTATACAAAGCCATAATTGAGGAGTACAAGAATGGTAACATTCTAACAAGATCCTTTGGTAGCATGGTACATTCCAATACAAATGGTAACATACATGTGAAATAAACATCCAGACGATAACACTGTGTAGTAAGTCACCCTCCCTCTTACATTATATTACTGATTTTAAAATAGAGAGTATTAGAGGGGGTGACTGACTTCCCGTGCTACATATTCTCTATAAGTTTATTAACCGAAGTCCCAGGGCATTGGATAATGTGCCGTCTTAAGGGTTCGGAAATACAGGGTGTCCAAAAAAACAGGACCGTAAGAAAGTTGAATAACTCGGTCAATTTTGCATATTTTGCCTTGAAATTTCAGAATTATTTAGTTCATTCAATGTGAATTTTGTTGTGAAAGTTTGATAATAATCTACCAATTGAGTCAAAAACTACAGCTCCTTACAAAACATGCCCCAAATGTGCAAATCTCATCTCTATGCAAAATTCAATCTGGCGAACAAAGCTGTTGATGATCCTCCTACACACATGTCTTTCTGAATAGACAAGTTTGTTCCAAGAGCTACTGGGGCTTACATCCTCCTGTTGAAGTGTTACAGCATCCATTGCGTTCTGAACAATGCACTCCCTGGGTGGCAATGAGGAAACATGGAATCATCAGTCCCTTTTGGTTCGAAGGTGACTGGGGACTTGCTATCACCATGAAGAAGGACCAGTAAGTTCTCACCAAGTTTTGGAGGTCACTAAGCACCACAAGGGACATCTAAGGAGATAATTAAGCAGTGGTTTCAACAAGCCAATACCACGCCAACACTGCAAATGATATGCTGAAATGGTTTAGGCAATGCTTTGGTGGTCAGCTCATCAGTTGCAGAACGCAAACCATATGGGCAGCTCATTCGCCTGATCTAAATCCCCCAAATTTTTATCTTTGAGGATTTCTCAAAGTCAATGTGTATACTGACAGGCCCCTAACAATCTTAAGAGGGCAATAACTACCCCAATATTTACCATCCACATTAATGAGTATAGGTAAGGGTCATTAACAACTTTGTTCGCAGGATTCGTTTGTGCATAGAGAGGAGAAGTGCCCACTTTGAGCATGTTTTGTAAATGACTGTAGTTTTCGACACATTATACAGATTATCATCAAACTTTCACAACAAAATTCACATTGAATGACCTAAATAATTCTTAAATTTCAAGGCAAAATATGCAAATATTCAACTTTCTTACGGTCCTGCTTTTTTTGGACACCTTGTATATTACAAATTTTATTAATCTATTAAAATCGCCTTCAGCATGTCGGCTGGAGGGACTTTCGGTTGGCAACCTTTTTGAGGTTAGTGTATCTCATTCCGTCATAATGACAAACTTACACGTTGACCTTCTCCTTCCCCTTATCTTAGGACCTTGAACACAATTATTACTCAAACAGCTCTCCCCAGTGGTGCACTCTCCACCGTTTACCATTTTAGCAGCACATCGTCCGTTGCTCATACACCAAAGGTAGTCGGAATTGCACCCAGAAGTTGCACAGTTTTCTATATCACCGGGTGAATCGGCATAGTCGTATAAATCGGGGATATATTGCAAACCTATGGAAATATAAACCATATGATCATGATGATATCAGCCTAAAAATTATCAAAAACTATTGACCGATATTTGAGTTATCGCCCTAATGCGGAACTGGCCATCGGGAGGACAGCTCCTCTACTGACTATATCCCTACTTGAATTTCGTTCGATGGGATAGTATATGATATTGGAAATTCTGCATCTAAACCTTCAATTACTTCTACAGTTCAGTTCAGATAGATAGTTAGATGATATAACATCTGCTAACTTGGAACAAAAAGATCATTGTTTTCTATCCACATAAATCACTAACCGATTCCATCGATGTTCAATATATCAGTAAATGGTGTCATGGCACTGTTCCAGGCGTAGTCGTTATCGAAACACGACCTTACTCCAGAACTGACATCTTCCGGACGAGGATAATCTGTGTCTTTATTTATCTGATTGTCCCGGGCCTATATTAGAACGATAAGGCTTCTTCATTAAACTATGATCACTAAGATGTATTCTAGCACTTTATTACAAGGCATTAACATGCAAAATGTCCGCACCTACCATGTTACAGAAACCGAACACCGTCCACAAAAATTTGAAGACTATAACAATATGTCATTACTTCTGATGGTGATATAAAAAATGATGTACATATAGTTTTTGCCATATACCCCGCATACATCCCGGATAATTTTTAAATGTGGGAAATTCTTTCTAATTTTTTAGTTGAATAATAATATTTTTATACATTCATCTGTTGTTATTTAATATCACAGTATAAAACCTATGTAAGTGGAAGGCCCTTAGTTCTGCCAAAAATGTTCCACTCACAGAGGGTTTCCACTTGGGCTACGATGTCAAGGAGATTTAAAAAACATAGAGATTTTCCTGCTTATTTTCAAGAAATCACAGTATGGGGTTAATTCAATGATGTTTAGGAGTTTTCTATACCACTTACACAGGTTAATTTTCATAATCAAGTTCAAGTTTAGAGGTGTTCCACTTACACATGTACAATTAGCATTAAATAAGTCAACGAATGGGACTTTGAAAAATATGTTCCACTTGCAAGATGTGTTCCACTCTTCATGTAATACGGTGACACGGTAAGAACATTTTTAACAATTTTTTAGGCTTGGCTATTTTTCTTATTTTGAGTTCGAATCCACGTACCACTGAATCTACGTGCTGTTGAATATTTGCGCTAAACACCTAGATGCGAATATAGCGAAAATTAGGGCACCTTGAAAAATTGGGCTTTTACAGTATTCTACTCCATTGTACTCGGCAAGTCTTTACTGTATACTTATTATGGCTGGATACAAAGCCAGTGTTTTACTCTTTTCAGGTGTCGCGGACAGATGGACATCATTATCAATTATCCTTAAATCAGAAAAATGCAACATTACATACCTTCTCCCATATGTAGTCAACAAACGCATGGTGAAGAAAGAAAATTGGGTCACTTGGGGAACAACCGATGAACGTCATGTCACCAGAGCTACCGCCTATTAAGCCATGAACATTCCTACGATACAACATTTTCTTTTATCATAAGGGTCTCAGAAGTTGATCGTTCGAACGTAAAATCCCATGCATGGTATGACATTAAAGAGTCCGAAAAAGAAATTGATTGGAATGACAAGCCAATAATCAAACGAACAAAATAGTATCAGAGCCCCCCCCCCCCACCTTCCCCGCCGTTCAGGAACCATTATTACAATTCAAATCAGGGACACGACTCAATTAAGTCTGGAATTTCAACTCATAAAAGGGAAAATGATTTGTCCTTATATGGATTAAAAACAAGATCTTTTAAAAACCATACATTTTGGTCTATATCCTTGTAAATCGATGATTTTGGAAATCCTGTACTTAGGCCTATATTAATTAATTGTAGGCATACTTTTATGTATGGAACAAAATATTAGATTGATATTTTGGAACTTACCCATGCGCCAACTCAAAGGAAGAATCCACGCACCAGACAGAGTCTGCGAAGTTTGATAATGATTTCCCTGCATTTACTTCCGCATCCGAATAAAACCCTTCGTTACTAGAACATGACAGTGTAGTTGTTCGCCTTCTTCCACCTCCATTAGTAACAAAGGAGCACACGCCTCTCAATATAAATGGGGAACTATTATTGTTGCAAGAATGGGGAAAGTTTGCAAATGGTCCAGAGCCCACTACACCAACGTGGTCACCTACGAAATGAAACAGATATTCATAGTTTCAAATATTCCACAGTCAGAACAATAAGGATTTCACAATTTATAATTTACAAGTCTAGCACATCAAATGGCCTGCTATTTAAAAACTTGCAAGGAGTTGTCAAAAAAGATAAAGAATGATATTTGGAGTTTTTCCCTAGTATAGGGCCAGCAGTTTTTATGGGCCCAAACATTTTGTAGGGCCTCAATTGGTGGGCCTTTTTGGGCTCTACTAATTAATAATTATTTCTCTGTTCCCAATTTTGGGTTTTAGGGGCCAAACACATTTTAGCTTTCAGATCCGCTACTGTATAGGCTATCGTTTCACTCTACTGTCGTCTTGCAAGAATCTTGAGACGCTACATTGTAATTAAAGGGAAATGCACGATAAATGAAAATGTAAATTATGACTTGTCAACACAGTTTTGTCAAAAATCTAGAATAAAGAAGCATAGGTTATAAAGGAAGCAATCTCAATTGAGAAATTCAAAATACACGCCATAAAGTAAAACTAGTCCAAAACACCGGCAAAAGCAAAAATAGTCGTGGACACCATCATGCACGGTGTAAGAATTATAAGGGTGACTTATTTCGACACATATGTAAAACATTGCAAAATTACAAAAATATGAGACTCTTCTTAGCATTTACAATTCATGATGGAGAATAGTTACCCATTAATAGATCATCCCACAAGCCAGAAAATCCATGTTCAGACCCAAGTCTGTGGTCCAATCTTGAGTCCAAATATGGTAAAGATATATCGGGGTTAATTTGTTGAAGTGCTTTTTCAAATCTAAAATTTAGAGGCTTAGATGTTATGGGCGTGTAGTTTGCTCTTGTAGTTACCCCGTACCGTCGCAAGGCTGTCCCATAGTTTGGACCTAAAAACTCATCCTTTGTATCTAAATACATGTACAAGTCATACTGACTAGAGGACCATGGGCTGTTAAATCCATATTTTTGATTCATTGACTGCATATTGTGTAAAACAAACCTTTAGAAGTTGACTGAATTTTTATAATAAATATAGGCCTCGGTGTGCACCTGATGCCTTCTGAAACAGTAAAACGAATAGAATCATGGCGTCACAATAATTATCCGATTAAAAAAAGTCATCTTCTTATAAGAAAGGGCAGCCGTGAGCAATTTTATTGTTTTCTTTTTTTACTTTTTAACTGCGTTTCATTAATAAAAAATATACTTGGTGTGTTATACATTAACAATAACTTGTGTTCACAATTACAAAAAGCCTATACATTTTTTGCATTTTTATAAGTAATAGGGCGCGATTGCAAGTTTACCTTGATATAAATTCCCTGTGAAATGGTAAAAATGCGGCACCGAAATGTGCCCCTGAAGCAGCCCTGTGCGCAGTCACAAATGTTTCGTAATTTCCGGCGCTCTGCAATTGCAAAACGGCACTGTGATATGAATCTCGCTCAGCCTGTGAAAGTGCCCTGTATTCTTTTCTCAATTTTCGGACTGTTTGTCTGAAAAGGAAACATTATTCTACCAATTGTCGTATCTCCTTTAGGTTATTCTAGACATATTTCCTGAACGGTTATTTGACTCATTAATTATTTTGTAGAAAAGGTTCGAACGGATCCAATCCTAGAAAAACTTTTTTTTTATAAAAAACTCTATATATTTCTGATTTAAAAGTTAATTGTAATCAGAAGTCAGTTTCTTAGAATTATGAGCAAGGGCTATTTTGTTCGGTGGCATTTGAACTCCGTAGAATATTGTTTTTATTCGAGATAATCAGCATGATCAGCGCAACTCACCGCTTCGCTCTCCCACCAGGCTCACCAGTACGATGGCTATTCTTCAGACTGGACAGTGAGTTCAACCAGGATAGCTGGTGAGGAGTCAGATGCTTTTTGTGAGGATTCTTGATATTTGTATCCCATAGTTCCTTTCGGTTACATCCTCGTATTTTGTCCTGGTCACGGACCCGCTTGTGGGGGTCTCTAAAGTTGCAGTTATCTAATCAAGAAAAAATTAATATTTGTAATACAATTCTCTCAAATTATCTTTACCCTCTTTTGCTCATTTGATTAATTTTAGATTTTCATTTTTAAGTAATGATCTTATTACTAGATTAGGTTTCAATTTCAAGATTAGTGGATTGTCAATTTCAATTATTACGTAACTTCCTTACCTGCCAATGCTGTTACCGAAACAACAATTAAAATTAATAGCTTAATGTAAAAATGCATTTTCCTTTGATATTTAAAAAATCGCCGTCTTACTGCTCCAGAGTCCGTTTATAATGCTGAATTTAACTTATAGTTTTTACTGGATATAATACAGTAGGAATATACTCTTGAATGAAAAGCAAATACGATAAGGCCATAAGAAGTATATTCTTAGTTTAACACAGAAACGCGTTTGAGTAAATGACTTTGTAGGTGAATTCATCCTTCATCCTGCTTTTTATTTATATATAAATACTATACCCTTGCTTCAAGGATGGGTAAATTGTCAGATTGTACATTCTTTAACCTTTAATATACTTTTACTTGGAACTTTACATGTTGAGAACAAATGTCTCAAAAATAGCATATGCTATTCACATCAAATGTACTAATTAAGTGCAATGTGGAATGACCATTCCTTGAAGGTGTTGTTTTCCAAAATTTGCACGAGATGTGGATCATCTGGTATCCTTTGCATTCGTTTGACTACACTTCTTAAAAGAGAGCTTCGTCTGTAGTTTATGTAGACTCTGCACGCAGGGTAATCATCTGGGACCTAGGAAACACCGCCTAAAGCAGAGACATATAAAACATGTTTTATATGTTTCTGCTAAAAGGAATGGTCATTACACAATGCATGGAGTCTTGGGCTTAAATTATTTTCACACATTGCAAAATATTTTCTACAAAACTATCTAAAGAATACGAACTCACTAAATGAACATATTTTTAATGAAACTTTTTGCAATTGTCAGACATCACCATGACAACCGTTAAACTAGTGACCTTGAGTTCGTTAGGCAATTCTGTTATATAACGGAATACAGTAACGTGGAAGCGTGTTCTGATTCAAATAAACTCCCAGTGATCATACTCTCTCGGAACTACTCATGGGCTTTTATTGAACGTACCATGGGGGTTTAATATGAGCGAAAACAGAACTAGACATCATTTCATTCAAACTTCCATGGTCTTATTGCAGGCCCGTAAGACACTTTTCTCGAAGGGGGGGTGCGGTTTTTAATAAAGAGAGAATAAAATTGTCAATTTTTCCGCGTAAATCAAATCGCGTAAGTCAGAGGGGAGGGACGGGGTCAGTTGCTCTCTATGTGCCACACAGCCTATTTTGTAGTATTTTATTGTTTTTAGACTAGATATTGTACGAGCAATATGGAGAAACATTGGAATAGGGAGGGTGTGCTAGAAGGCAATAGAATCAATTTAATGAAATTCTGTTTTTTAATCATTTTTTTCTTAGAGGAGCGAGTGGGCAGCACAGGAAAATTTTACTAATTCAAGATGCTGTCTGGTTAATTCGCAGCATTTCTAATGTGTTTGAGTAAATAAATGCTTTAGTTTTTGGGATGCAGTGTCAGAATTATTTATGATTTCATTATGTCACTTGGTGATTATGGGCACTTTTAAAGTGTTTAGAATTAACAAATGCAACTTCCAAACATTCCCAATTGTTTTGTGGGGTGTGTGAGGAGAACCCCCCCCCCCCCCCCTAGAAAATTTTACACTTTTGAGATGCTATGTGGTGCTTTCTGGGCACTTTCAAAGTGTATGAGTCAATGGAAAAAAAATCGCCCCCCCCCCCCCATCTGACGGCCATGTATTGTGTTAAGTTTTATATTGAACATGTAAGGGAACTAGCATCCTGAGTATCATGGATCGTCTGAAATATCACCGATCTCTTATAACTGGCTCCACTATTTTAAGTCATCCATTTTGTTTCGGATATCAAATGACTGTACATACATGTATAGTACTATTGCATTTCTGGAAATGAAGCTTCATATTATTTTTTATTTTCTTGTTATTGAATCAAAGTTGTTATGTCCAGTGTGTACATATATTGAATGACCAATGGCATTTATGCCTCATTAAGTACAATGTACGTCCATTACACGTCAATGATTCAATGATTTGAAGTGCAATACATGATATTCTGCTCGAGAGCAGAATATATCCTGCATTGCACTTCGAATTATTCTATATAACGTTTTTATCGTGTGATCTTAGGCAAATACATTTTACTTAGGAGACAATCCCGGGGAAATATTCTGTATTCTCTGTATTGCAACTGACATTGTCCCTCCATATCAATATTTTCTGTATTGCTCCGGAAATGATCAATGGGGACAATCTCAGTAGCAATAGAGATTGGTTCAGCACAAAAACTGACCAACCAGAGGGCTTCATTTTACAGATCATCCGATAAAAAATATACTATTTAGGTGTCACATTGTGATTTTCCATAATTTGTTTTTAAGATCTGTTGATTTTTGCCAACAATTCTTTTCTTCTGCTTGTAAAGTCAAACATCTTGGCATAAATGGATTGATAGCTTATGTTCAACTTCCAAAATGTAAGTTGATACTGTAACATGTATTATTTGATTTAACAAATATTTTTCGAATTTTCATGGTGTTTCTAACATTGATATCTATGAGACCAGTACCCATGGTACTGTTTATTTTTCGAAGTGTGATGAAATGGACATGATAGATGTTGAGTAAATATGTTACTGTCTAGTAAAAGCTCTCATGTTAACTTACACTTAGTATATCACTCTTTCAAAAATCTAGAAAATGATTATATTACGTTCACATGTTAAAACCATTTAATCTCAGTTTTATCAATTCAAGGCTAAAATCCACTAATTATTTATTTTTGCAAAATTCTGCTGGTGGTAGCTCTTTAGTTATGGAAGAGCAGGTGCATAGAAACAAGGGACATTTCTGTAAATTAACTCTTAAAACAATATGTTACATTCAACTCTCTTAATCATTTAATTTGTATATTTCACATAACATATAGTTTCAATCCATAATTACTTTTATTTGATAATTAATGTTTGAGATAACTATACAAAAATGTTTATGTACATATTTTCATATATAAAGCTACCTCTACAAGGCATTAAGTTGACAATAAAATATAAACAATATAATTTACAATGTAAACAATATAGTGGTAAACAACATCATGATTGAACGATAACTACATTTACTCACCTATTTAAAAACAAATTTTCATCATCATAAAAGCGACAATTTTAATCCAACAAAAGCGAAGGTTAATCACCATCAATCAAATAATAATAAACATCTCTCATAAAATTGATTTTTAAATGTCATCTTTTGTATAAAAAATATCATTAAAATCAGTAAGAGAAATCAATAACTTACAAATAAAATTATTTCATGAATATCCTCCAGTGAACACATAAAGAAAATACATTTGGGGTATTGGGTATCAAAAAATTATAAATTATAATTTTGATGCCAATTGGCAAAAGTCATGGTAATGCAATGTAATAATAATACATCTTTACAAATATGAATGAACATTTGTTTTCTGAATTTATGATCTCAATTTACTATGACTGAAAATGTCTGAAAGGGCTTATTCTAACTTCTTCACACTCAAAATTCATGAGTTAAATCATATGGCGATAGTTGAATAATACAACTCGTTTTATTTTGGCACTAAATATGAGCAAAATATTACAATTCAATTTTTATTTTCACATTTTACACCAGTAATTTAACCCTTTCAAAGCATCACTGGGAGTGGCTCGATAATTATTGTTGCCTCGTTGATTTATTTTTATTAACACAATTTTAACACATATCACATCCTCACTGCTAGATAATTATAAAATTAATTTTGGACATATATTCTATTAGAAATGGTCTGGTACTCTTATGTATTTCAAGTATGAGTTATGTCATATAAAAACACAAGCTCTCTTGATCGAAAATCCTAAAATATTCCTAAAATATTAGAAATATATTGTAATATCTGTATTTCCTACTCGCCATTTTAAAATATGTTTTTGGCATCCTCATTTAATCCTCATTATATTCATAAATATGAGTGGTATTTTAACTTATACAACATAGAAACTCAAGCTCCCTTTCGTTCTGACTGTTTCCACCGTCACCTGATTTTAATTTTGTGTTAAAGGCACCATCTTCAACTAAACTTCTACATTAAAGCATCATGTTTTATTTAAATATAGGTGAGATCCAAGCAGCATAGTCTATGAAGTTTCTAGGCCAACATGGATACTATACGGTAAATGCCATCAGTATTTTTACTTATATATTTACAAATGTTTGGACTAGACCATAGATGCTGCACACCACTATTGACACATCAGAATAATATGAACTTTTATAACATAGCTATGATGATGTATAGTGCAAAGTATACACAAGACAGCGGGCCAATGTACGTTTTGAAAAGCTCGCGCCAGTGCCCGCCAACTTTCTGATTGGTCAAGGCGCTGACGTCATAACCAATCAATCGAAGATAAAACTGCGCGAGCAATTTTTCTAAACTCATTTCAATCATTTTCAAACCATTTGTTTGTCAATTCTATAAGAAAACGGTACTCTCTGACCAGTCTACATCATCATAGGTATGTTATAAATCGTTTATGTCACTATCGTCATCGTGGCACATATGCCCTCGGTTCTCAGAGATCAATGTCCCTCCCAAGGTCGGGCCATATATCGCTGAGACCTCGGGCATATATGCCACGATAGTGACATAAGCTCTAAATACACGATGGTAAAAATGATTGGCATGACAAAAGGATTTGATGTTCTATCGTTAAACATCATTTGAATGGTTACAGTGTGATCATGTATGAGAAGACACTATTGTCATAGCAACAGAGTACTATAATAAAGTAAAATCATAATGGATTTGTTATGGCAACAGGTTAATTGTATGATAAAACAAAATTTGGTATGCAATGTTGTGTAAATACTGTACAATACAATCTATGTGACAATAGTGCCATGACAGCAACATGATTTAATATGGTACAACTCCATCAGCGTGCCAACTTTATGTCCTAATATGGATACGCTGACACGGAAATATGGATTAAGAATGTAATCTGATATTGTAGGTCAAGCTCTTCATCATCGTAAGACTTGGCTTGTACTTTTATCCTATAGTTTTTCTTTTCTTCTAATGGTTTTAATGTGTACACAACCCCTTTGCCCTTCTCTATGCGAATACTGAAAGGAATTTCTTTGTCATTTTCTATAATTACAAATGTAGTTTTTGGAAGCTGTCGGCCATATTGATTATAAGCTATGAGTCGTATGAGATCTTGGTAGGCTGGGATTCCATTGGGTAATGCTACCGTACGGAATTCAAGTACGTCGGCATATTTTGTATTAGGACCACATGGAACATCTGACCTATCGCAAGGAAGGACACAATACCTGAAAAATGAAATTAGATTATATGTACTCACTTCCACAAAAATACCACTACATGTATTCTATGATTTGTTATACTCATTTTTAAAATAGGTCAAGTTGTAAAATGAGGTCAAACTGCAAAAGAAGGTCAAATTGCAAAAGTAGAACAAATTGCAAAAGTAGGTCAAATTACAAATATATCATGGATAAGCATAAACCATTTTGATGTAGAATTGTCAAATATAAATTATTTTAAGATAATGATCCTCTTATACGCTTTTATTATTCTCTTCTTGAAATAAAACAAAAATTAAAAAATGTTCATCAATTTTCTAATGAATTCTCCATCATTACATAATTTAATGGGGAGGTTACTTAATATCAAAATATATTACATTTGTTCTTGTAATAGTGCTACTTGGTAGCATCCATATTTATCTCCTTACCCTGTAGCTATATATCCTACTTACCCTGTTAGTGGGTCTCTGTCATATTTAGGTGGACACTTAGTACTGATGCACTCAAAGTCCCCTCTTCTGTTGAAGCACATCTGGTCAGGACCACAATCTATGTCCAATGTCTGGCATTCATTTATATCTGAAATAATAAAGATCATCTGGTTAGGACCACAGTCTATGACCAATGTCTGGCATTCATTTATATCTGAAATATATATAATAAAAAGTATATCAAAAAATATTAATACAAATATAGATGCTGGTAAAGAATGTTTGCACTGAAATTTTATTAATCAATACCAGAACATTTATACACTATTATATATAATTAAAATAGTATTAAGCTTGACCATTTCTGATGCTCGAATGCCTATTCAACTATTCAATTTCATTATTAACTTTATAGTTCATTACCATCAATACATTTATTCTAGAACTCAGATTAATTATCTTAATTGTTTTCAAATATATATGTGTTCTTCTTTTGTACTTTGACATACTATGTCACTCATGTGTAATTACTAAGGTACAGTAGTTCCTCTCGCAACTTCAATATTCATTAGATAATATTGGATCAATTTTTATATAACCTTTTTCAGTTTGATAATTGTACAATTGAAAATATGTGCAGTAAAAGAAAATAATATCTATCCAATGGAAGAAAATACATTTATTTTTCATGATTTTATAACATGGCCTCTATTGGAAATCAATACCTGACCTGGAAGTCACATTTTCAAAGAAAACTAAAATTTCAAAGCTAATTTATAAACAGTCTATGAAACTATTTTCTTGATGTTATTCTGTATGCAGATTTCAAAAATGATATCACATATACTAGTACTACATTTTGAATATAAAATGATGAAAATCAAAATCATTTCTACTCGCATTTAGTCGATCAAAAAGGATCTAATTGATATATGAAACACAGTACAAGTACTGAAAAATCACATTGTGTCGTAACCACCTTCCCATTCCTATCCCCAGTGAATCTACACTATATATCGAGTGAAAAGGATAACAGTAATATGTGTCTTAAATTACCTTGTCACAAGGCAATTTAAGACACACAAGTTGTGTATTATTGACATATTGTATCTCCCCATACATGATGTATACATATAGTCAAGTTTGTTGAATAGTTCACTGGACATTGTAGTATTGGCTCATAATATATACTCTACCCCCTCTTCCTTACCTTGACAAGTTCGTTTGTTGTTACTCAGTGTGTAGCCAGCAGGACAGGAACATTTAAAGCTGCCCTGTGTGTTTGTGCACTCATGTTGACAACGCCCTCTAGATATGCACTCATCAATATCTGTAACAAACGAACAAGAAGCTTTGCATTTTTAAATGTTTTTATAATATTATGTATGTACAACCACTTACCATAAAAGCAAGGGGGCAAGGGGGCATCTTTTGAATGAGGACTGCACCTACCTGAAAATTGGAATTTTGCTCACACTGGATAAAATGTCCTGGGATGCAAACTTTTCTTTTGTAACCATAATAGGGTTGGAGTTGATGGCTTATACTGCATATGGCTCAGTTTTGGACAATTCCTGTTGTGTTGAATGCTGTTAAATCTGAAGATCTCACCCATAATCCTCCAACTAGTTTGTGGAAAAACTCATAACAACCAAAGAGACAAGTAAGCACTCTCATCTAACTCAACCTCATAACAACCAGAGACAAGTAAGCACTCTCATCTAACTCAACCTCATAACAACCAGAGACAAGTAAGCAATCTCTCATCTAACTCAACCTCATAACAACCAGAGACAAGTAAGCACTCTCATCTAACTCAACCTCATAACAACCAGAGACAAGTAAGCACTCCCATCTAAATCAACCTCAAACCAACCAGACAAGTAAGCACTCTTATCTTACCAACCTCATAAGTACCAGAGACAAGTAAGCAATCTCATCTTAGCAACCTCATAACTACAAGAGATAAGTAAGCACTCTTATCTAAATCAACCTCATAAATACCAGTGACAAGTAAGCATTCTCATCTTAATCAACCTCAAAACAACCAGAGACAAGTAAGCACTCTCATCTTAGCAACCTCATAACTACAAGAGATAAGTAAGCACTCTTATCTAAATCAACCTCATAAATACCAGTGACAAGTAAGCATTCTCATCTTAATCAACCTCAAAACAACCAGAGACAAGTAAGCACTCTCATATAAATCAACCTCAAAACAACCAGAGAGACAAGTAAGCACTCCCATCTTAGCAACCTCAAAACAACCAGAGACAAGTAAGCACTCTCATCTAACTCAACCTCAAAACAACCAGAGAGACAAGTAAGCACTCCCATCTTATCAACCTCATAACAACCAGAGACAGGTAAGCACTCTCATATAAATCAACCTCAAAACAACCAGAGAGACAAGTAAGCACTCTCATCTTAGCAACCTCATTACTACAAGAGATAAGTAAGCACTCTTATCTAAATCAATATCATAAATACCAGCGACAAGTAAGCACTCTCATATAAATCAAACTCAAAACAACCAGAGACAAGTAAGCACTTTCATATAAATCAACCTCAAAACAACCAGAGACAAGTAAGCACTCTTGTCTTAATCAACCTCAAAACAACCAGAGACAAGTAAGCACTTTCATCTAATCAACCTCATAACAACCAGCGACAAGTTAGCACTCTCATCTAATCAACCTCATAACAACCAGCGACAAGTTAGCACTCTCATATAAACAAATCTCATAACAACCAGAGACAAGTAAGCACTCTTATCTTAATCAACCTCACAACAACCAGCGACAAGTTAGCACTCTCATATAAACAAATCTCATAAATACCAGTGACAAGTAAGCACTCTCATCTTATCAACATCATATTTACCAGAGACAAGTAAGCACTCTCATCTTAATCAACCTCAAAACAACCAGAGAGACAAGTAAGCACTCTCATCTTATCAACATCATAACTACCAGAGACAAGTAAGCACTCTCATATAAATCAAACTCAAAACAACCAGAGACAAGTAAGCACTCTCATCTTATCAACCTCATAACTCCCAGAGACAAGTAAGCACTCTTGTCTTAATCAACCTCAAAACAACCAGAGACAAGTAAGCACTTTCATATAAATCAACCTCAAAACAACCAGAGACAAGTAAGCACTCTTGTCTTAATCAACCTCAAAACAACCAGAGACAAGTAAGCACTCTCATATAAATCAACCTCAAAACAACCAGAGACAAGTAAGCACTCTAATCTTATCAATCTCAATCTCCCAATCGCAATGAAAAATGTACCCGTTTGTTGGTTGAATATAAAATACAGAAGCACACCCTTTAATTTATCAAAATGATCATTGTTAAACCAAGCTTGCGGTCAAGGATTGACAATTGACCTTTTACATTTTTTACATTGTGTTGATGGGGATTTAACTTGTTCAAGAAAAGATAAATGTGCTGGAAAAAATATTGCTGAATGTGTCACTTTTTACATTTTCTAGTATAAATGTACACAGAATTAAAATATTTTCATCAGATTGAAGAATATTTAAAAAAATCTCATAAAAATTAATTTTATTGAGATTTCAAAGCATGTCCATTGCACCCTCAATTTGTAACTGCTTGAGACAAAATACCCTGTGCTGGTCCATCTATAGCAATTGCCGATGAAAATAAAGGTAACAAAATGGTAAGAAAAATATTCTAATCTAAATTGAGTGATAAATCTTGTGCCAGGCAAAATCGAAAAATGGGTTAAGCATGCAGAATTTCATTTAGGTATTTTTCCTGTGCGCAATCAATGCAATTTTGACTTATTGAACTTTAAAAGTGGCCCCATGTCCAATAAAATAGCCTGCTCCAATAAAAATGATTGCATAATTTTAATAAATTATCTGACATGATATGCAAAGGCACAGCTAGATATGAGATTTAGGCTTAGTTCCCACAAGTTACATATAGAACTTGGTCGTCATTTGAAGCCAAAGCCAAAACCTGTAGATGAACGTTTATGTAATATTTGTGGTATTTAGAAGATGAACAACACTTCATCATGATTTGTAAGAAAAACACTACAGAAAGAAAAATTTTGTTTGACACCCTTACACGATTTAATTTTGTAGGCAGTCCTGACATTATTTTTAAAAAACTAATGTCTCACAAAAATTCTTATGTAATTTTACATTTAGCAAAGTTCATCTATCATTCACTCAAAAAATTGGATTAATGTGTCAACGATGCATCACACTGATATTTAAATTTCTGCCAAGTTATATTTGTATTTTACAATTATCTTGTATTCTGTATTTTACATTTGATGATGTAATTAGAATTGTATTTGACAACAACTTTATTTTTGTATTCGATAGTTAGTTTAGTCTTAGTTCAGTTTTGTAGATTGTAGTTTTTAGTGACTAATATGTCATTGTAATGACATCAGAGAGTCAATAAAAGATATATATATGAGGCAGGGCAAGGCAGACACTTCAACAAGGCTTTACTGAAACTGTGAAGATAATGGCCCAAAGAAGTACATTCCCTTGGCTTGAACATTTGGCTTCCCTTGGCTTCACATTGGCTTGAATTTTGTCTCACCTATTTTTGGATAATGGATAACCCCTGATATGCAACCTCATTGACTGATCACAGGTACTAATACTGACATGCTCCTTTATGCACATCTTACTCAGTGCAATTGCAAATGTTAGAAACTGAAAAGTATACAAGTATTAAATGCATGCACAAAATGTTTCATGTTGGCCTTTTGCTTCAGCTTTGCATGCAGTAATATCAAGTTAAATTTCCTACCCTAATTAAGACAGTAAAAAGTTATTTAATAAATAAATAAAATATTGGAGCATTTTAGTACAAGCAGGATAGGTATGATGTGAAACTATGTAGAATGTATCTAAGGATGGGATAGATATTTCAGTAGCTGTACAATGTACTTAGACCCACAGTAGGTATGGGATACATCTGTTATGTATGCTCAGTTTTGGATACAGGATTTATCCCTCAGAAAATATGTGTATTTCCATCCATCCCTACAGCCCCTCAGTGGATAAACCTATTTCCCTCGAGATAAACCCCGTATCCAAAACCTCCCAGTACACAACCATGCATTGTGTGTGTAATGGTGTGTTGGCTAAGCTGTGCAAAAAGGTGTGAGAATCCAGTTCAAAAATATCACTGTCATCAAGCATGGTTTCATTCCTTATCTTTTCTACAACAGAGTTTGAAATACTTCATTATTTTCATTTGTGTATAATTTGTGTGTTGGGTACATTCCCATTTAAGGAATATTCAACATTACCTCATCTTCTTCCAAAAATTTGACAAAGAAATTGCTTGACCAAAGTAATATATTAACGCAGGATATAAAACAAAGTACACACCTACACATATCCCACCCTCTTGTTTTGTCCCATTAGGGCAGCCAAGGTCAACCTGAGCCTTAGGTTCAAGGTCACGCTTTTGTCGTGGAACCCTTTCAATTGTAGCTGGGTCAATAATAGTCAACCCTGCACAAAAAACATTTTTTGAATGTTTTTGTCTTTGCAAACAGCTCATATATATAATTCTCATATCATTTTAAATAATCAAAAAGAAAATTTATTTTAATTCCTATGAGAATCTATGAACTTTTGCATATAAGACTTGTAAAGAGAATTTTAAGAATAATCCCCAAAATTTGGTGAAAAAAGCAGCTAGCTATATCTTGAAATAAATAAATCTTCTTTTCATCCACCTTTTCAAAAGAGGATTTTTCTCAATTCTCATCAGCTTGGACAATATCAGAAATGCTCTGGCTTTCTGTATGTCAAATTGAGCCCTCCCCATGGTGTATGAACCAAAAAGATGGGATATAATGGTTAGAATCAAACATGTTTCAAAGTCAAGAAAAAAAGTAAACCAATTGAAATGTGCTGCATGTACATTCCTATATCATATTAAAACTAAAACACTGTTGTTGATTTCCTGAAGTGGGAAACTGATATTACATACATATTCCAGCTACAGATTTTTCCCACTTCGTTGTATGGATTGCTCAACCTCAAAGTGAACTGTAATGTTTGTAATTTTGATGACACAATAATCTTGCCACAATAACAAAACAGAAACTAAAAAATTAAAAATTTCAATATTAAACATCTTGAAATTATTAAATCATATAGGAGCTCATTCTTAGATTCAAAATCAAACTTTTCAGTTATTGTGGCAAAGAATAGTTAAATTAGTTGATAGAGTGAGTGATATTTTAGTGAGCAAGAGTGTTTCAAATATTGTCCAAGCCAAACAGCATATCACAAGGGCTGAACCATTTAAACCAACTATTTAGCAGATAATAATTTCTTACTAATAAAATGAATAAAGAAAGGTGAAGTATGTGTTTCAAATAATTCTGAAAATGTTTCTTAGATTTTAGAAGAGTCAAAATTCATTTTTAATAATTCAGGTTAATTACTCTCATGAGTAATATGGTTCAGCCCTCTGGAATTTTAATACACTATTAAAAAAATCAAATCTATAAAGATATTCCAAGAGAGAAAAGATAAGATTAAACAAATATATAGAAGACAGAAAGAAAAGAGTAAAGAAAGTTTGCAAAATAAAATCAAGAAAGAAATCAAAATTTCAAAGATCATGATCAATCTAATATCAGACTATTATTATTTAAAATAAAAAAACTACAAAGAAATCTGTTAAAAAAATCATATTTCACAAAGTGCATCAAACTATATGAAATAACGTTTTCAAAGGAATATTGAATGTAAACACTGTGTACCAGCACAAGATTTTTTGTCAGCAAGACGCATCTGTCCTGGGGGACACATGCATTCAAAGCTTCCCAGAGTATTTCTGCACCTATAGGCACAGGGGTGGGGCTCCCATGTACATTCATTCACATCTGAAATATAATCATGTTTGAATGAATAAATAATATATAACAAGGCATTAACATGCAAAATGTCACCACCTGCTATTTGTTACCGATGCCAAACACCAACTGCTGAACTCCGAACACCAACTGCCAAACACCATCCACAAAAAAGTTGGAGACTATATATAATGTATATGATACTAAAATATGCAGGTGTTAAGTCAGGTATGCATTTTTTAAATGAAACAATCTTGTTATCGGTTTACAGTTGTCTCATATTGTTCAGTGACATCTGAAATAGAAGCATAGTACTTATAGTATTTAGAATGATTTAGTTATTACCTTAAAGAAACTACTAGTATTTCTATGCATAATTTAAGAAATTACCTATTTCAATGCGTAATTATGAAATTATGAAAAAGTAATTAATGACATGTACACTAGGATGTGCTCAAGTATAGGGGTGTTACAGTTGATATTATTAGAATTATCTGTCTCCATCATACAGAATAAATATGTTCAATGACCACAATTATTTTTGTGGTCGTGAGGGTAAAAAATATAAATAAAAAATATAAAGAGGAGCATGTTAGATGTACAATTGACCATAACAAAAGAAATCCCAATGAATGGTTTAACATCAAAATCAGATGTGAAAAATTCAAGCCATACAGATGTTTAGCTTAAATTAATAGTTGATATAAGAAAGGCATGTTTACCTGTACATGGCTCTCCAGGGCCAAGAGTTGTGTAACCACGGGGACAGTTACATGTGTAACCTCCTACTGTGTTGGCACAGAGCTGGTTGTAGCCACACTTGCTTGTCTTACGCGCACACTCATCAATATCTATGAATGGAAAAACACAAACATTAAATTTATATCATGAAGAATACTTATGGTTTTCTTCAGACTTTTATGAACAAAGTCTGGACAGCATTGAAGTATTTAAAACCTTGTGATGCATCCATTTGGAATTTTGAAAAAAATTCCACCTACTTGAAAACCTTTATCAATACCCATTGAAAATGAGAAAGATGGTCAATTGATATATTTTGACAAACGTATGCCAGATCTGTGAAATGAGAATCGTGCACTTACTTGTATATAATTTTAATAATTTGTACATATATTTTCTTACTTGAGAAAAAAACTGGAGAGAAAACTGTAATGAATTCATTTTAAACTTCAAGTACATCATATAGCAGTATAATCTCTGTGTTAGCATGTTAATTTGAACAATGAAAATACACTTGAATATTTAATGGGGAATCTGAGCAGAAGTTCACTTTTTAAAGTATGGTAAAATCAGGTTTTTGTACCAACACACACCACTGAAAATATTTTAAATTAAAAGTTTACATGGTTCAGTTGCCTTATACAGCTTCATTGCTGCATATTAATCTGTATAAAATATGCACAAATTTTACACCTACCGATACAAGTTCCATTAGAGGCAGGCTCCAGGCCTGTAGGACATATATTGACACACTGGAAACTGCCGTCAGTATTACGGCACTCTTGGTCTCTTGCACAGTTGTCTTTCTTTGTGCGACATTCATCGACATCTGGATACAATTATTTTCAAATAATCAAATATGAAATTTTAAAATGTTTATTACAATTCCTTAATACTAGTATATTAAATATATTATTATTGCAAGAGGCGGCAAAGGAGAGATGAGTAAGCAATGTTTTGTAAAACTAACTTTATTCATAATCATATCTTAACTAGCTTATTTGGCAATGATTTGACAATTTGATAACTCAAAGAAGGTCCTCTCTCTTCAGTTTCAGTTTTAAAGAATTTTCGGCAATGTTAAATCTTCAATGAACTAAAATTCTACCCAAAATAAAAAAAATAGCTCCAAAATCTTCAAATATTCAAATGAGTATCCTAGGAGTCACATTGCAAATTTTGCCATGTTGATTAAAAGCATTGCTTTGGGCCTTCTACACTTAAAATCTTTTGCTGCCTCTTTAATTATACATTCTATAACAAACCTACATTTTGTAAATTGTTTTTATTTCTAATAAGCATGATTAAAGGGTTTCAATTGCAATATACTAATGTTACTATTCAGCAAATAACTTTATAATTGTAAGTTAAATTGTTAAGTTATTCTACAATATTTGGTAATTAATAAACTAAATTTAATGTCACATAAGAAAGCGATCTGTAACTTGCTAGTAGATGGCAAAGACTTAGTTATATAATTATATCGGCATTAAGGTGAATAAATACAATTTATAATTGAAGACCTCTCTTAGTTCATATTTTAAAGCAAAAGCAACACAAAGCAATTATTAATAAATACATATAGAATAATACAAATGATGATGATAATATGTCATGAGCTAAACATGTAAATGTCACACTCAAAGGTCAAGGTCATGTGATAAATTCAGAAATATTGAAGTATTAAAACCCATATTCAAATCTCATGAACATGAGATCTGAAGGTCACAAGTACGAGTATATCAACAACTAGTAATCCATTTTCATGGTTATACTTCAATAGACCAATGTCATACTCAAATGTCAAGGCCAAGGTCAACTTAATAATTCAAGGTCAAGGTCGTATCTCATTTTCAACGTCAAGGTCACCTATGAGCTCTATTAAACAGTTACATCAAAAGCTGCATCTAATTCATTAAATAGACCTAGAAAAGCAAAATGTTATATTAAAGATGGAATTCTTAGCGGCATATTAAGGTAAAGCCACTCTGTCATTGGGGAAAACAAGGGTATACTGCAGCAAGGTTGAGTATAACATGCAGATTAGAGAATGTAAAATCATGTTATAAATATTACTCCTGGTGGCCAAAGCTGTTAATAGTACTCATATGTAGGAAATCACTTCAGTCAAAATTTTATCCAAATTCATTAACAAAGTTGCATCAACTTTGGGCTCCTCAAAGAAAAGACTTTCTGTCTGCTGAAACAACTCCCTCATTTTCTGTTTTATTTTAGGTTTAATTTGACTGTTGTGATATTTCACACATGGGTTATCAACTGACCGACACATTGTCCTCCTCGACCCCGGAGCCGATATCCCGGGGGACAGGAGCACCGGTAGCTTCCCCGAATATTTCTGCATCCATTGCTACATGGATTGTTTTCTGCACATTCGTCAATATCTGCAATAGAAAAAATGAAAAGATTTATCCATACCGTGACATTGTCCTCTTTGTCGGAGCCTATAGCCTGGGGGACACGTGCATCGATAGCTGCCCCGGGTGTTGCGGCAACCATCACTACATGGCCTTGATTCCGCACATTCATTAACATCTGAAAAACACTTGTATATCCCAGAATCTTTTTTAGCATTTGAAAATGAAAATGAGCATCACTGGATATCTTTCTGGTACATGTCATACATGTACATAAATATCCTTCATTGCGATGCATCTGGGATCAACTCACTATTTTCCAAATGCTGTTACTCCAATTCAATCAAATAAGTACATGTACAATATTACAAGTGACATGGTAAAACTTTTCAGTGTACAAAAGCGTTGTGAATATCAAATATTCTTGAGTGAAATGACAGATAAGCAAGTATAGAAGATCTTAAAATACTGCAGCTCCATTTTTTTAACGTTTTGGGCCAAAAATAAGATTCACTTTACAGTACATATACAGTCTCATTATTTGAGAAAATTTTATTTGAGAAACTGAGCCTAGGTCTGCCCCTAACATTTCAAAGTAATTTTTGTGAGGGGAATATTTTCACCATATTTTAATACCTCTACATCTTTTCCCGCCAATTAATCTATAGCCACGACGACACTGACAGTGGTAGCTTCCTAGTGTGTTGATACATTGTTGAGAGCACAGCCTTGGTCTTTGCTTGCATTCATCAATATCTAAAATATATTATGGAACACATGGAACACAACTGTAAGTGGTGATGCGGAAGCCATGTAAATTGTTTTTTAGCAAAAACCAAAGGCAAAGGGCATTCCACACATTAAGTTTTAAATATACTTATTTTTTGCATTATGCTGACTCGTCCAAACTCGTCCAAAATGACATGTGGAATGATACAAAGTAAAATGTATATTGACTCATGGAACACCTATATATAGATTGTCTTTTATTTTTCAAAATATTTTGAACAAACCAAAAATTTAATATTAATTTGAAAAATAGTATACCTTGACATGCTAGCTCTGATGACGTGCGTCTAAATCCAGGCTGGCACTTAGCAACACATTTATACGAGCCAATAGAATTGATGCATTCTTGAGTGGAATGACACTGAGCAATATTCATATCACACTCGTCCACATCTTTGCATGTTTTTCCATCAGAGCCAATGGAATAACCGAAGGGACATGAACATGAGTAACTTCCAGGTGTGTTGTGGCAGAAATGGGAGCAAGGATTAAGTCTAATACATTCATCATCATCTTTACAGTAAGGACCAACAGGATCCAAGAAAAAGCCTGTCGGGCATCGATTACTTGGGTTTCCTTTAGCTATTTTCGCTGTCATCTGATATTGGATCAATTCGGAACTTATATCGAAATCAACATGGAGTTCATCTGCGGAGAGTCTCTGAACCAAATAAGGCATTCTTCCCAGGCTGTCGTCGTAGGTAATCGTGTGGTTCCAGGCATATGGCAATCGGTGGCCATTAACATGGAACATACGAGTTGATTTAGCATAGATTGACCCAGGGCCTGTCTGTATATAATCCTCAACGTATGGAGCTACAGTGACTCTAGCCTGGAACAATAGTATAAATAGCAATGATTTTATAAATCATTATCTTAAGGTACAATTTAATTAAAGTATGCAATGATTAGATTGTGTGTTGTTTAAATAGATCTGCTTTACCGAAAATGTATAAGTGCCATAATTGTACAGATCAGAGATTTAAAAACACAGATAGTTAAGGATCAATTAAGAGTTCAACTATGCATGAGAAATAAAATAACCTGCTCAGTATATAATAATCTTTTATAAATATCAATAACTATTCCAACAGGATACTTCAACAAGGCATTAAAATTCAAAATGTCACCACCTACCATTTGTAACATATGTTACACCAACCGCTGAATGAATAACATATTGTTGCATTTAGTTTCATGCACCATAAATAAACATCAGACTTATTTAAAAGGATTGCATGAAAATATTGTTACCTGTTCAGGTATATCTGGTATGTAGCCATTAACAATAATGTCTATTGTGAGGATGCCCTTCTTGTTGAGACCTCTCGATATATGTGTCATCCTTAAAACTTCACCTAAATATATAATATGTTCTCAAATGACTAAACTTAAACTGTGAAATATATTTTCTGAAAAACTAATTTAATTTGTAAAATATGTGGCCTCAAATGGCGAACTTAATCTGTAAAATATATGTTCTCAATACAAATGACTAACTTAATTTGTAAAATACATGTATGTGGTCTTGTATACCATAACAATTGCCTCCATTTAGCACAGATTCTTGTACAGCCATTTTGCAAAGGTATGGTTCAGAACATTTATAAATTTTTACCACTTTGCCAGGCCAGTTCTAGGGGTTTTAGTGCTAGTTTAGAAGGCATTCATTTTACTATATCGACCTTGGGCCTTTGCCCCTCGGTCCAATCTTTCACTATATTGCCCGCAAAAATGACGTTATTGTACTATTAGTTCCAAGAGGTACAGAATTTAATTTGCATGAGATTTTACCTGTTGCAAATTCCACTTGTACTTCCCGTCTGAAGACTCCCTTGGCAAGTGTCCAGCCATTGACAGCCTCTCCTAGTTCATACGCTGTTGTCCAAGTGACAGGAGTCAGAATTGAGATCAGGTGTTGGAAGTACCGCCCTGTAAATGGAAAACATGTTACAAACATCTTAAAATCAACAAGACAGAAGCAGTCCATAATTTTAAGTCTGACTATGATCAAGATTCAGTTCCCTACACTTTTATATTATATTGTATTATTTCATATTACATCATATTATATTATATCTTTTCATAACATGACATAGTCGTTATGAAACACTCACCTATATCACCAGGTATTCCCTCCAGTCTGGCTGTGATCAGAGTGCTATCTTCTACGTTGGTCATATTGGCCAGTAACAGAGCAATACCAAACTCTTTGTCATTTATGGTTCCAATTACATTACCAATAGCCATATGGGGCACTTCAACTGTAAAGCAAAGTTTATAATGGCATAATACATTTAAATAATACATATATGGGGAGTTAAACATAATTTAGTACATGGATATCAACATATTTTTGAGGTAAACATGTCTCAAGAGGATTTGTTTGGGTTTCAATAGATTGCTTCATATGCATTTTCTACATTTTCACCAGATATATAATATACTAGTGTAATTGAAACGATTTTTATACAATATTTGGTTATATAAAAGATTACCTCTTAAAATAAATATAACAAATACTAAATACCTTCACATGGGAATGAGTTACATTTTCGGACCATTGTGTCATCTCCAAGACAAGTTTTGCCACCAAACTGTGGAGGCGTGCACACTCTTGTGCGCTGTGATTGGCCAGTTCCACAAGTCTTACTACACTCACTCCACTGGGACCACTTAGACCAACCTCCATGAACTGTGTGACAAAATATAAATTTTAACATCAATTTTTGATAGCCTGTTTGCAATTGATAGTTCAAAAAAATAAATAAAAATAATATCTTTACCATCTTTATTCTGAAAAATACAATGGTTCAATTTAATCTCAAGCTGGATTATCGGAGAGATAAATTGGAAAGACTGTCCACTTTCTTAGACACCACATTTTGAGTTAGTACGTAGCAAAGGGGTTATTTAACAGTTTTTCTTTATCACTGACTGAGATATTGATGTTTGCATTAGGTGTTCTGTTTTCTTATAGAGTTCCTTTCTAATTTGTATTTATGGATAATTCAATTGTGAAGGGCATCAATTGTGAAGGGCATCAATTGTGAAGGGCAATTGCGAAGGGCATCAATTGTGAAGGGCATCAATTGTGATTGAATTATGCTGTGTAAATGATATCTCAATTTTCATCATTTTTCATGGCATTTGACAAGTACAAGATATCCAAACGTACCTGGGCAAGCATCCTCAGCACATTCAGCTGTATCAGTGTTGACACCTATACAAGGGCGACCATTGTTTGATGGTGGAGGGTTGGTGCATGTGCGGAACCTACGTTTTTGACCTCCTCCACAGGTGGCAGTACAGGCGCCAAAGTCGCTCCACCCGGCCCAGTTACCATGTACTGCAAAGAGGAAAAATATAAGTACTCGTATTTGGAGTAATTTGTATGATAAGTCCCAATCTCTGATTCTGATATGTTTGAGTAATACATGTAGTAGTTTTGAGGTTAACAATTTGAGTTGGAGCTGATGATTTGGTTAACATACCAGGACAAGGCTCTGCATTACAATAATCACGCTGTTTATCTCTGCCTGGACAGAATCTTCCGTTGTGTGCTGGTGGGGGATTGTCACATGTCCTGCTTCGAGTCCTTGTACCTCCTCCACAGGACAAACTGCATGTGGACCACTGAGCCCAGCCTCCCCAGCTACCATGAACTGCAAAAGAATGATGTCGGCATTACCATGTGCCATGTTGCATTTTTGAGAATCCGCACATTTGTATATATGGTTGATAAGTATATGCCACTTGAACAACAATACACAGCTTCACTGTACAAGTTACATATATTTATATTCTAACAATTCCTATATTAGATATACATATGAACATGTATCTGAGCTAAAACTGTATCATAGTGTACTTACTCGAGCAGTCTCTAATCTTGCAGGGTTGTCGCTCTGTTTCCCGCCCCGTACATTCCCTACCGCCATATTGAGCCCTGGGCTTGTTGCAACGTCTGAACCTCTCCTGTGTGCCATCACCACATGTCTCACTACAGTGCTGCCACTCACCCCACTCACCCCAGCCTCCATCAACTAAAATCAAGTCAAGTGATTTTAAGTGATTTTTTGTACCCAAGAATCCAATAACAAAGCTGTTCATATTGAGAGGTCTCCAGATATACAGGTTGTAGCTGTTTATATAGACTTACATGTTATTTGACACTTGACTTTTACACTCAAGTTAAAGAACATGACTGTACATTACACTTGACTTACTTGGACATGACTAAATGTTACAATTGACTTAAAGGACATGACTGTACATTAAACTTGATTCAAAGGACATGGGATATGACTGTATATTACACTTGATTTAAAGTATTTCCTTGAACATGACTGCATATTACATTTGACTTACTTGGACATGACTACATTACACTTGAATTACTTGGACACGACTGTACATTACACTTGACTTACTTGGACATGACTACAATGTACATGTACATTACACTTGACTTACTTGGACATGACAACATGTACATTACACTTGACTTACGTGGACATGACTGTACATTACATTTGACTTACTTGGACATGACTGTACATTACATTTGACTTACTTGGACATGACTACATTACGCTTGACTTACTTGGACATGACTGTATGTTACACTTGAATTACTATAGACAAGACTGTACATTACACTTGACTTACTTGGACATGACTACATGACACTTGACTTACTTGGACATGACTACATTACACTTGACTTACTTGGACATGACTGCATTACACTTGACTTACTTGGACATGACTACATTACACTTGACTTACTTGGACATGACTACATTACACTTGACTTACTTGGACATCACTACATTACACTTGACTTACTTGGACATGACTGTATGTTACACTAGACTTACTTGGACATGACTGTACATTACACTTGACAGTTTCCAGTGCTGCACCAACACAACCACTGCCACCAAACTGTGGGGGAGGATCATCACATTTCCTGAACCTTGACCTTTCTCCAGCTCCGCATGTTTTACTACACTCTTCCCAGGCTGTCCAGTCTGACCATGATCCATCCACTAAGAAAATAGTACTTATGGTTAGCAGTATGCAATGTACTCAAATTGTATCCAATTAAACTTAAAACTGTATGGCATATATCAGTCTTCTTTATTTGTTATTTTTGAATGTGTTCCCCTTGGGAGGTGTTCCACTTACAGAGGTTCATGTTACATAAGTTAGTTGGTCATTACAGAGGTGTTCCAATTTACAGGTTTTACTGTATCATATTACATGTGTAAGTATATTTATATCATTGTACTACATGTAGCATACCTGGGCAGTTGCCACTAATACAGGCTCTTGATTCCTTTCCTGGTCCAACACAGGCACGTCCACCATTTGCTGGAGCAGGATTCTCGCATTCTCTGATACGATACTGGGCACCCCGACCACATGTGCGACTACAATCTCCCCATCCTGACCACTTACTCCACATTCCATGGACTGGAAGTATACAATACTTATATGGCGTGGCAATTATATATTAACATGTCCCCATCACACAGCATAAGATGAGAATGATATAATAACAGCAATATAGCACCCTTTCAACCTAATGTAACAACCATGTGACAAACATGTAGTAACGCAGTTCGGAAAGTTTAACACTCAAGTCTCCTCTAGCTTGTTTCATCTATGTTGCAAACAAAAGCAGAGAAATGTTCTCAGAATTCTATATATTGGCCACATGATATATTTTGATCCAAAGACTAATAAAATCATATCCATTAAAGTGAGTTCAAAATGTATCATTTTCTCATGCCATGAATACCGAAGAGAGTAAAAGGTACAGTACCTTGAACAGTAAGCTCTGCCTTCACTAAGACAGACCCCAGAGAGTTCCTAGCTATACAGATATAGATCCCTGAGTCATCCAATTGACTTGCTATAATCCTGGAAAATTAACCAACATGATTTTTAATGGACATGGGCATATATCTATGTTCACATATCATTGATATACATTATTTTGTCATTGATTCCCTTTTGATTTGCAATGAATTTCTGGTTCTATACAGTACTTGCACATGCAATGGGGCAAATCTTCTTTTCTAAAATAACCCTACACAGCTAAACTGTTATATGTATACAAAAGTTGTTTGATTGGAGCTTAAACTCACTGAGTACAGGGACACAATCTTACCTCAGAGAATTATTAGGCAGGATTGTTACTCGATCATTCTCCTGCAATATATCCACATATTCTTTCTTCCATGTAATGAATGGTGTGGGTTCTGCTTCAGCCACACAGTTAAATATGACTGATTCACCTTGAGGGATAGTTTTGTCTTTAGGCTCCACTTTGAAGTTAGGTCCCACTGGAATAGATGTGCAAGGTGCATCAGAAAGGGGCAGAATGTTATTACAGTATATGTATTTGGGAAAGAGAAAAGACCGATTTCATCCTTAAAGTTGTATTAAGTACAGTGTGTATTGAAAACAAAAAAAAAAACACTTGTCCAGCTACTTCAACAACCATTAATGTTACAATAACATAATTCATTTAAATCAACTGTATGATTGACTTTCTGAAGCTATTTTGTAGAATTGTTTTCCATATGCTTTTCATCACATTCTTATATCAGTATTTGTGTTTCGTAACATTTAAAGCTTACTGTTAATGGTGAGAGTGGCTGTATGCTCAATGCTGCCAGCATCATTTGCTGCTACACATTTGTAATCTCCTGCATCACTCTCCTAAAGGAGAAACACAATAAAGTTAGGGAGATATATACTCATTCAGTGAGGGGGAAAAGTTCATTTCTAATTCTATTTAATTCAGTACAAAATCAATGTAATTTACTGCAGTTATGTTAGAACATTTTGTTTCATATTTTTATTTCCATAGATTTTATTTTAATAACATTCACAAAATAAAAACAAGGAACCCATCAAATTGTTTTCACAACCCTACTTTCTCATGATCGCAAATTTATTTAGGAAATAACAAGGGCATGTCCAAGATTTAAGAATAGATGTAGCAAATTAAAAAGTTAGGCAAAAAAATTAAGTTAAAAGCATGCAACTTTAATTTAAAACAAACAAAATTAGAAGATAAACTCACATCGGATTCATAAATCACAAGTGATCCATTTTCCATTTGTTGTATACGATTATCTAACTGAACAGTTCGGCCATTTTTGAGCCATGTGATTTTCGGTGGTGGGTCTCCTTGTACAGTGCATGTCAAAATGACACGTTGCGCAATTGTTACTGCTCGGTTGCCTGGTGGAACCAAAACCTTGGGTGGAACTGAAAGAGGTGTTTAATAGTGGGAATTTATCTTTGAATAGAAATGTATTTCTTACAAAATCTTAATTATTCTTGCTGAATTCTCAAGATAGAAATAATGTCACTTGAAAATATAATTCATTAATTTCCTATTTATTTTCATGGATATTTAAATATTTTAAACTGATTTCTTGCCATTTCTTTAATAGGAAAAAACACATGCCTGTTGTTTCTTTGACCTACATGTAGTCAAAAACTGACCTTTAACTTGCACTCCAGCAACAGCCCGGGTCTTGCCTGCAGGATTTTCCGCCAAACAAGCATATGTCCCAGCATCCTCTTTTCTAGCATTTTCAATTGTCACCATGCTGCGACCATTTACACTTGGGGTTGCTGAAACAGGATAAAATATGAGCATATACATATGTAGCTTTGAAGGCAATAGCCATCAATAAAGCTCCCCTTTTTTCAATTCTAAAAACTGCACAATGAATCCCAAAAATACCCTCAGGACAGAATACTCTAATCATTCTGACTAGATTACAATGTAAAATGTAGTTCTGTCGATGAACTATGAATGGACATATTTTCAGAATATTTTTAAGAACTCCTCTCGGACATGAAAGAATCTATTTGATCAAATTAAAAAAAAAATTGTTCATATGTAAACTTACATGATAGATATGTGTTGTTGACCTGCCATGTGATGCTAGGTGGTGGAGTACCATCGGCCGCACATTCCAGTTCAATGCGCCCATTTAAGGCAACTTCCTGATCACGAGGGATCACACGGATAACAGGGGGCACTGTAATATCAGTATTTTTGTTCATCAATTTAAGTAATCTTTTAAAACAGTTCATTGAAAATAATAGCATTTCTCAATAAATTGCAGTGTGTTGTCATAAATATTTCAATTTCAAAGATGTTTTGTGTTGCTAATTTTTGCATACAGTTGGTTCACTAATACATTATCAAGTCCTTTACCCTGTACTCTGAGCACTACTTCCTTTGAGTCTCTTCCAGCCTCGTTGATAGCTGTACAAACATAGCTCCCTCTATCTTCAGTCTAAAATATGAACATTATATATATATATAGTCCATCTCTAAAAAGATGGCTGTGAATAAGTATTGCCTTCGGCTTTCAAGGGAAGGGTGTACAATTTCCCATTATTCATACATAAACATTGTCTTGGGATTTCAAATACACTTCCTGTAAATATGCTTCCTGTACACATTCCAAGAAAAAATGAGTTTGTACTTTTTATGTAAAATATAAAGAAATAACTCAAAAATAAAAACGTGATTATATCCTTGCATGTTGATTATATAATACAAAATGGGCCATAGTGGTTATTAGAATAATGAGTTCGTACTTTAGTAAAGGTGTCCCAGCCAAGATTTCATGATGTTGCCCTTTGAAATGAGGTCATTGCTATATTGAACAAATAAATGTACATGTAATTGTAGAAACCATAATTCTTGATTCTTAATTGACTTAAAAACATATCTATAAGGAATTTACATAATACGATATTTACCTCTACATTTCCAAACACGAGCATGCCATCTTCTCGGATGGTATACCGCTGGTCTTCCTTGATCATCGTCCTACCATCTCTGATCCAAGATATTGCTGGGGGAGGGATTCCAGCAGCCTGGCATGGAAGGTTAGCCGTATCTCCCTGAGATACTGTGTAGATGCGGTTATCATCTGATATGTGAGGTGGTACTGAAATTGATGAATGAACAAGTGTCAGGAAAATATATATAGGTAACAAGGTGGAATCCTGAATTCTCAGCATTTCATTTGAATGCAGACACCAAGAACTACATTCTTCCCCTACTGTGCACAAATCTGATTTGTTTAAGGATGCTCTGGATCTTATACAGCATTGAATTTGGAACAGGGTGTGATATAAGCATTGGTCAAAGGTATGGTTTCTCAAATGATTCATCGCTGGTACAATTATTCAGAATTCATACCCTGTAGAATGAGGTCTAATACAATAGATGATTCAGACATTGTACAATAAGACAAAGGATGTATGATTCATACCTTTTACAATGAGTTCTGATGAAATATACGATTCATTCCTTGCACAATGAGGTCTGATCCATATGTTGTACAATAAAATCTAAGACAATGAATGAGGCATACCTTGTACAATGAGATCTAAGATAATGGATGCTTTCCCAGCATTATTCTCAGCAATACATGTGAATACTCCGGAATCATCAGTCCTGAAATAATGAATTTTATTTACAGTAAGCTTTTAATCTTGTTTAATGCACTGATACAGTATACCACCTATTGTTATTGTATGAAATAGTTTTATGGATGTTTTATATTCAAACATCTTCATTCATTAATAAATATACTAGTACATGAATTAATGTAACATATACAGGATAGTTTTCATTAAAACTAATAAATAACAAAGTATTAACATGCAAATTGTCACCACCTGCAATTTGTTACAGATGCCAACCACCAAATACAAACAACTGAACACAAAACACCAACCACCGAACACTATCCACAATACAGTAAAACCGTATATAGCAAACACATGTGGTGCAACAAAAAATATTCATTGAAGGTAGGTGTTCACTACATGGAGGTGATTTTATAATTTATTATATTTTATTTTTGTTCACTAGGGAGAGGTGTTCACTGAGACAGGTTTTACTGTATGTCACCATTTGTGGAGGTTACATAAATATGTACATGTACCTTGCGACAGGAATCGCTAACCACCCTGATCTCATTATTCTGTAGTGGAAGTTGCTTGTCACGATAGCTTGACCATCTTTCTCCCAAAGGATCTTGGGAGGTGGCAGGCCTTCTGCGCGACATGGAAGGATCACCTCGCGATCTTGGATCACTGTGTATTTTTTCTGTTGGTCCTCAATAGATGGAGGCACTATACAAAAATAAAACATGGATATCAAGATATGATTTTCATTTGAATATTGAGTTGAGTAATGGAAATTACAAAACATTTCACATCTTTTGAATAGATTACTACATTTTCAATATTTTGCCTTAATTCCCTCATTTTCTTACCTTGGACCTCAAGTTTCACTTGGCCAAGAGCTGTACCTGCGTTATTCTGCGCAATACATATATAAATTCCTGTGTCCCGAATCTGGGCACGAGCAATCCTCAATGCTCCATCAGGAAGAGACTGGTACCCTATATTTAAGAAAAAATAAGCAATTGGATGTAAATGTATTTTCAGATTAGATCATACTTTTGACTTAGAAGAATAGAATCAATGCATTGTTACCTAGCTTGCACTTACTTTTGTAATGCCCTGGGTGACAATATTTATCTTAGTTTATGCTTTTAATTAAGCAATTACTAAAGGTCCATGTGCAGTATGGACCTTTGATTGTTTCTGCAATTTGAATTTTATTCTGGATATTCTATATTATCATCTCACGTTTTTAAACAATACAAAGTTCTTTACTATAATCAATATATGACAATTGCTTGATCTGATGACGTCATCACTTTGTCACTTGACGCATACCTGCAGACTGTCCAATGAGACGAGTGCCTTTCTGCCAGCTGATCACAGGCTGGGGAAGCCCTGTTGCCTCACAAGGAAGTGTCACTGAATCTTCTATGACAACCTTCAGCTCCTGAGGCCCTTGTGAGTTTATAGTGGGGGGTACTGTAAAACATTCAAATAAGAAATAATATGAGGATGGGAGAAATGTAAAAGATCATGAATTGATTAGAAGTCAAAGAATCTGATATGACATCCTTAAACTCCTTGAATACTGTGTTTAAAGTGGGTTGAACTGTAATGCAGGGGTACACATAATGATATAATATCAGAGGATTGGATGACATTTTATGTACTGTACATGTAGAATATTTCAGTATTTACTTTCAGTAAGTTACTTTTAATTACTTAAATAGTTTTACATGACAAGAAATATGATAGGATTTTACAAATTAATCAAATAAACTCCGTATATATTAATTTATTACATAAAGGAAAATTATGAACATAATGGCTATATACATTATTAATACATGTTACACAAATACAGGCTACATGTACAATGCAAATTCTCATACCCTGAACTTCGAGTAACATTTCACGTGAATCTGTTCCTGCCTCATTGGTTGCTGTACACCTATAGGTGGCACTGTCATCAACTTTCACGGAGGAGAACTCGATAGTTCCAGATCGGTGCATCCTAAGGTAGAGAAATAACACTTCAAATTCAAAGTTTTTATACTTATTAATTTGAATACACTGTGCACTCTGAAAAGGTCAATGTCTGTAATACCATTGTACAATATTATAATATATATTTAAATTCAAAGTTGGCACAAAAATCATTATTTATTTCATTTCTGATTATTATTATTTCTTTGAACATAAAGTTACATTTTTATGGATTTTAAAACAGTTGCTTTTTTACAACTTTTACATGGGAGAACTCAATATTTTCAGATCTATATTGCATAGTGTAGAGAAATTATCTTTACAAATTTCATATAAATGTGAACTGCTTTTCTGAACATATACTCATTTTGAAAACTTGTAGCATATTTTATGACATTTTCCCACCTGTATCTAAGGCCATTGTTTGGAATAACATTTCCATCTTTCTCCCATGTAATATCAGGTTCTGGTAGGCCAAGAGTCTCGCAGAGTAACTGGGTGCGTGTGTCAACTGACACCGCCTTCCTGGTGTCATATTCCTCAATCTTTGGTGGCACTGAAATCATCAATGAGAAAATTATTTCATTTTGTAAAACAATATAAATCAAAATGAATTCAATTTTCTCATCTCACTTTGCCATATTAATTCTCACTTGCATATAAATTACATGATTATTTGAAACAATATATAATACAAATTTCATTTATAAAAATATATATAATTTGAATTTAAAGAACAACCCACCTAAAACATCTAGTTTAAACTCTTTAGTATGGTTGCCGGCAGCATTGCTAGCAATACACATGTAATCCCCTATATCTAGCAATTGAGCGTTGATAATAGACAGCTGACGACCATTGTTGACGACGCGGAGATTTGGATTTGATAGCAGAGATAGTGGCTCCCCCTCTCTGAACCATCTAATTCTCGGTGGTGGGATTCCATCTGCTGGACAATCTATTGTAATTGATTGACCAATCACAACAGAGAGAGTTTGTACACCTCTTGAGCCATTTATAGTTGGTGGTACTGAAAATATTAAGGATTTATTGAATTTTAATCCATAAAAATAATCAGTTTAATATGAACTTGATTTGATTGATTTTAATTGACAAATACATCACAATTTGTAGTTTGTACAGAATATCATATTATATTTTATTATACCACGACTTCCCAAAATAAAATTAATATTCAAAATGGCTTCTTACCTCAAAAATGTAGTGTCCTTCCCAAATCCATTAACATTTGCAGGTATTTATTGATATTTATCCTTATAAGGCCAAATAATAAGCTTACCATGTACAGCAAGGTTGAAGTATTTCTCAGCTTGACCAGCAGGATTCTCAGCCCTACACGTGTACCTGGTGGTATCTGACACCTCAGCACTGACGATTTGTAGCGTTCTGCCTCCATCCAGGACACGGATATGAGGGAACAGCCCAGGGGTGAGCTCATTTCCATCTCTATACCAAATAATAGATGGCACTGGAATACCTGTTGGTTCACACTTGACTATGATTGGTTGTCGCACAATCACACTGAGGTCAATGGGAACTCTGTTGTTTTCTAGTTGCGGTGGCACTGGAATAACAATTATTATTTCATTATATTCAAAAAGTATGAGACTTTGGTTGCATTTATCATGGCTTTGTTTCAGATGTTCTCTGATTTCTCATATATATGATATTTTCCATCATGATTTCTCTATTTTTCCATATAAAAAATGCTATCTTTAAATATGTAAAGAAAGCATGTGTTCATATGTAAACCTAGGATGAAGAAAATATTTCTTCATCTTAGATGTAAACTTATTCTCACTGCAAGTCACCCATAAGAGTATAAAGATGATGAAAACAGATCAGTTACACTATCAAAATAATATGGCATATACTTGAAGATATAATATTTATTATCTACCTATAGACAAGTTTATGAATGAGGGACCCAATACTGTATTCCCAATTGGTTGATTTATTAATAAATGAACAGAGATGGTCTTACCAAAGACTTCAAGTTTGAACTGTTGTTTCAACTGCCCAGCTACATTTGTTGCCACACACTTGTAAACCGCAGTGTCACTTGTCTTAGCACTGATAACCTACAATGTCAAACCAGAGCAATATTGATTCATTGCAGATTCCTTTTAATTTAATTAAACCTCGACAATAGACATTAATTCGAATACTTTCTTAATTTTAAAATGCGCCAAACTACAAACAATAATTATAATATGAGAATCAGATGTAAGATTTTCTGATTTCAAATGGTTTCCAAACAGTAAATGTCTGTTTACCTGTAACTGTCTCCCATTGTTATGTAGAGCAAGATTTGGATAGGGGAAGTCAAAGAGTGGTTGTCTGTCCTTGTACCAGATGAAAGAAGGAGGTGGGATACTGTCAGCTGGACAATCAATGTAAACAGTTCGGTTCTCGACAACTTGAAACTCTGTTGCAATGGTATGGTGGAACTCTGGGGGAACTGGAATAAGATACATGTAATGTTAAACTTAGCTAAACAATTTAAACATTGCAGATTTTACATTATAATGCTTAACATGGAATCTAGATTACAGGTATTTCATGTGACATGAAGTATGATTATAATTGTAACACTTCATTTCATTTCACTACATTCCTTTTGTTGTTATAATTCATTGAATTGAAAAATAACCATTATAATATATTGTTTCTGGAGCTCATAAGATAGGACAATGTAGATGTAGCCTATGAATTACTGAATATATAATAATTATGCAATAATAGGATTTATGAAATTGTAAACAGTTTGTTGAGGGGAGTAGTACATATGAAAGTATAGAATAAATGAAGTAAGAATGATCCATCCCCTGGACAAAGATCACAAGACTGATGTCAAGGTAACGAGGTAACGAGGTAACGGGGACTTCATTATTCCACTGAACTTCAAAGAAGTATGACTACTGAAAACTAACAATCCACTACCCACCCTTGAACCAAGAAATATAGGGTAAAGTAGATAACAATTGAACATAATAAGGTAAGCCAAACAATAAAATATCTTTAGGACGTATGTCCCACCTTAATTTCATAAGAATCAATAGATAATTAGCCTAATTAAGCTAATTAAGGGATGTTAAGTTATGAAACGTATCCCTTTAATTAGGCTAATTAAATTATCTTTAATTGTACTAATTAGGCTCCCTGATGACAAACTGTTAGAATCAGAATAAAGATTTACACAAACTAAGACAAAACCTAAATTACATGTACACCTACCCAAAACTTCAAGATCAAAGTTTCGTCTCAGCTCTCCAGCTTTGTTATTAGCAATGCAGGTATATCTTCCTGTATCAGTCACCTGAGCACTTGCTATCTCAAGTTGTCTCCCATTGGATAACAATTCAAGTCCAACTCCAGTAACCAAGCTATTGCCATCCTTCAACCATTTGATGGTTGGCTCTGGGATACCAGAGACGGGACATTCCAGAACAACAGTACGGTTAACGATGACACGAGGGTTGTCGACCAGGTTAGATTCATCAATAGATGGAGGCACTGTAAATTGAAGAAAGATCTTGGATAATGTTTTGATGATTGATTATATTATTATTATATTATTAAGTAACTTATCTTAAAGAGACAAGAAGTAGATTTACGAATGAAGGTAGGATCATTAAAGTGTTATAATGTCACATGGAAATGTACATATACTGACAATTCATATTGTAGCTATATATAGTTTCAATCTTGATTCAGAATTCAGATAATTCATTTTCATTCTACGAATGACCTCAATATATTTTAATTCCTTGAGTTATTTTTGCACATTTACCTAACACATGAAGGTCAAAGTCTTGTTTGGCCTGTCCTGCGATGTTAGATGCCACACATGTGTAGCGTGCTGTATCAGACTCAATAGAACGAGTTATCTCAAGTTGACGGCCTTGAGCTTGGACTCTTACGCGACCCCCACCAAGGGAAATAGGGCGGTTCTCCTTCAACCAAGTTATATTTGGGAAAGGGATACCATCTGCGGGGCAACTTATATGGACAGTGCGACCTTTGACAACCTCAGGACTGATATTCAATCCGTTTGTGTCAATGTGAGGTGGTACAAGAACATCCAAATCAAAATCACGATCGACTGTTCCCGCATTGTTTATACCAATACAGCTATATCTGGCAGTATCGGGAACTTTAGAATCAACAATTTTCAATTGTCGGTCGCCATCAAGGAGAGAGAATCTGTTGACCCCTGGGAAAAAGTCTGTCCCGGAGATGTTGAATTTGCGCCCATTTCTCAGCCAGGTTATTCTTGGGGTGGGGATACCTTCTATCATACAGCTGACGATAATAGTCTGGTTGACAATGACTTGGGGATTAGACTTAGATGTCCTCGATTCATCAATATAGGGAGGCACTGAAATAAGACAAAATGCATAAATGATCCATTGATTTTATTCCATATAAATTATAATTGTACATCTACATGAAGGTGAAGCATTTTATTTGATTTTTCAGAAAGCTTTTTATGTACAGTATATTGACTCACATCTCCACTACAGCTGTGGTAACCTAATCCAAGGCAGCATTTAAAACACATGTACATGTATATATATTTATGAGACAACCTTCCCCAGTCCTTTTTTGGGGAGGGGAACAAGTTAACATATATTAATAAACTTATTTATCAAATGAATATGTTAAAAGTCTCAAGCATTATTTATTGAAATATGATTAAGTAGGGTTGTCCCAGAGAACCTGATGATGGGTGATGGATGAAATTTTTCGTTTTGTCTAATTTTATGTTAAATGATACATAGTAGAAAGATATTCAATTTCCCAAAATATTTTTTTCTGAGAATTTTTTTTGGCTAAGTTATGCCATCATTTAGAAATAGTGGTAAACTTCATAATTTTACCCAGATTTCCAGGGATTTGGGCATTTTTTCACCCTCATATTACAAATATACCCTATTTCATATGCTTTGTTTATATTTCAATTCATGTGGCTCTGCAAATTTTATATATTTTTATTATTTGTTAAACCTTTAATATTAAGTAAACAAAAAAGATTAATAATTTGACATATATCTTGTATTTTTTTCTCCATGTTAGTATGACATACATACCCCTCCCCCATAAATTGGTGATTTTTGTCAATTTTTACAAAAAATGATATAAACACATTCATTCATAAAATCTCAAGTAGAGCTATACATCATTTAGTTTATAGCTTGTAAGAATGGGTGTGTGGTTGGCTTCAAAAGAAGCAAAAAAAACAAGTGGAACTCTCGAGTGTTTTTTTGCCACAGATGAACAAAAATCAGGCAAAATAGTCAAATTTATCAGAAATTATGGTAGAATGCCATTTACTGATATGAATATATTAGGAAGATATTAGTAAGCAAACTTTTATTCCTATGTTATATTTTCAAACTTATTGATGAACTTTCTAACTTATTCATTAAAATGATACAAAAACTTGACAATATGAAAGTTCCTCAGCTATTAAAAAGACCTACATGTATTTTCCTGTGAATGCTCAAATATGAATTACACAACACATGAGGTATATCTATTTCATAAAACATGGTTACATACCCCAAACTTCAAGACTATAATCTTGTTCCACGCTTCCTGCCTCATTTGATGCTCTACATGTATATCTCGCTGTGTCTGTCACTCTCGCACGTAAAATCTCTAATTGTTTTCCATCTACAATCGTCCGTAGGTGAGGATTTCGGGAGAAATCAATAGCCTCACCATTTTTAAGCCAGGTAATTTCTGGAGGTGGAATACCTCTTGTAGGACATTCAATGATGGTTGTTTTGTTCACAATGACCTTGGGGTCAAGGTCAACATCTCTAGTGTCAATAGTTGATGGTACTGAAATGTAAATCAGCCAATATTATTTGAATCTGAAGTTTTAAAAGTTGTATTATAATGTGTGTGACCAACCTACTCTTCAAGCCCTTTAATTCTGTTAACAAAAATCTCTTGAAAGCTCACAATATAATTTACTAAATACATTCAATGTGTTGGAAAAAATCAAATTAAAATCCCATTAAGCATTGATATTCCACCCAAAAATCTCACCATGAACTTCCAGATCAAAATCAGCGTAATCTTCTCCAGCTTTGTTTGTTACCAAACATCTGTAACGTCCTGTATCAGAAACCCTAGCAACACTCAATCTAAGCTGACGCCCGTTGGAGAGAAATTGTATCCTTTGATCAAGCCTATTTACAAGTTCTTCATCCTTCAACCAAGTTATTTCTGGAGTTGGGATACCATTTGCGGGACAGTTGATTGTGATCGTTTGGTTTTCGACCACTTTTGGATTGTAAGTTAGGATACTTCCTCGCTCAATGGTGGGTGGAACTGGAATAGAATGAGTCAACAGATTTAGTGATTTATGATTTTATAGTGTTAGGATTATTTTTATATTTCTGGTTTCAAATCTACATCAAACTAAATGTGGTATGCTTTCTGTAATATTTGTGCATAATTTGTATTTAATCATATTAGATGAAACAATACTGTAATTAATCTTTTAATTAATCTAATAATTTAATTAAATGCGCTGACCAAATAATTTTGACATAATAAAATTGTAATTGCAAAAACAAACAATTTATTAAAATCCATATGTATTTATCAAATCATACCTAATACATTCAGATCAAAAAACTTCTCATTTTCTCCAGCAATACTAATTGCACGACAGAAATAGCGTCCAGTGTCCTCCACCTGCGAATGTTGGATTTTTAATTTCCACCCAAGGTCCAAAAATGTTAATCGCGATGTATTGAACTTAATAGGGGCTTCATCCTTGAACCATCTTATTTTAGGGAGAGGAATCCCACTGGCTTGACATTTCAAAATGGTAGTCTGATTAATGATCACTTCTGGCCGGGAGATCTCGTTTGAACCCTCTATCTTCGGAGGAACTGAAATGAGAGACATGGAGGTATTAAACAATCCATGAATTCAAACTTTACATGAAAAATATATCTATGTAAAAATATGATGTTACTGTATTGCTATGAGCTTGCTGACTTTGGAGGAAGTGAAATGAAAAGTGTAGAAGTCTTTAACAATGTATAAATTTACAAAAGAAAAGCATGAATGCAAAATTTAGATGTTCAAATAATGACCAAATATTGAAACATCAAACATTCTTACCATGTACACTAAGATCAAAACTTTTATTGTCTCTTCCCGCAATATTGGTAGCTGTACATCTGTATCTGCCTGTATCTCGTACTTCTGATATGGTAAACAGCAACCTGGAAGACACAATTCATGTCCAGTAAATTAAAAGGAGTAACTCTGTGTAAAGCCTACAGTAAAAATTCTAACAACTTAAAATATAAAATATGTTTATATATCATGGAACAGTGTTCCTTAAGAGTAACTGGAATGATAGAAGCTTATCATTAAGAATACTAAAGGGTGCAAGCGACATTTCCACAGCCTGTTCAATTGAAGAATATGTTTGGCACATACAGTGTATCATTCCTTGATATGAAATGTATCTCCTAAAAATCCCCAATACAAGAGTCAGGCTTATTTTAGAAAACTTAAAATTGCATTTATATTTTTTATTTTTCTACGTTCTTTATTTGGGAGGATTTACACATTTTGCATTTTGAATCCAAAATAACTTTATAAAACACAATCATGTATTATGAATCTTTTTGGCATAAAATATTTGAGTTGATTAATCCAGAAACTAAACATTTAGAAATTAAATTCATAATAATTCTAAAATTCAAGACTGTAGTAAAATATAGATACCTTTGTCCATCAGACACAATCCTAACATTGGGGTCAATGTCTGGGTTAATTGGGTAGCCATCTTTGAACCATGTGATAATAGGAAGTGGGGTGCCAGTCACTGGGCAGTCAATGGAGATGGCATTGTTCACTATCACAGATATGTTGTTTTCACTGGCCTTTGTTAAATCGATCTTAGGGGGTTCTGCAATACAGCAATAGAAAAGATTTCATTTTTAAAATTATTTTTATCATAATATATTCCTTATAATTAGCTAAGCAGTATTAGATATTCACTGCAATTTAGAAGTATTATAAAGTTATTTTTAATTTGAATGAACTGATATTCTGTATAATGTATTATAATTGGATATAAACATGAATGAAGTTTTTGTAATAGGGCCCTGTCAGGAAAACCTGGTTTATTAAGTTCTGTAGGAAAAGCATGGCTATCTTTATTTATGAATTACAGATTCACCTAAAATACTTACCTAGAATCTGAAGGTCAAAATTCTTCTTAGATGTACCGGCCACATTGCTAGCGACACAAGTATACCTCGCAGTGTCTTTTAGAATGGCCTCCCTTATTACAATCTCACCGCCATTGTTCAAAATGCTGATGTGATTATCAAGGTTATCAGGATCCAAAAGTTTGCCATCTTTGAACCATTCAATTTTGGGAGGTGGAATTGCATTGGCTGGACAACGCATTCTCATTTCTTTACCCACAATCACCTTTGGATTTTCTGGGAGATCTGGGCCTGTGATGGTCGGGGGCACTAAAATGATAGAAAAATAACATTTATTTGATGTTATATAACCTAACAAGGACATTTCCTGGTGTATCAAATTGGCTTCCATAAATGTCCAATGGCCACCTCAACTCACACACCACCAGGCTTTATAGTAAGATAACGACACTATGAATGTTACATTAGTTTACAAGGCATTATATGACAAAATGTTACAACCTCGTAAGTTACTGGAAATTGTTAGAATTTGTTACAGACGCCTACTGCCAAATGCCAAACACCAAGTACCCTCCACAAAAAAGTTGGAGACTATAACAGTATGTCATCACTTCTGGTGCTGACAGAAGAAAGTGTACACTCAATGTACTGAAGATTATGAAGAAACATTACCCAGGATTTTGACTTTGTTTGTGTGAGTTGCATTTCCAGCAACATTTGTGGCTACACATTTGTATTCCCCTGCATCAGAGGCCTGAGCTCTGTCAAACTGTAGAGAGCCATCACGTAATATCCTGGCAAAAGAAAGATGTGTATGCATTAAACCAATGATCACATGATATTTGTTTTACTTTTTCATTTGATTTTTCTTCAAGTGTATGAAATTAAAATCAAAACAGAAGAGACGAGTTTCTGAAGATACTCAATTCGAGTTTAATTATATAATTATAATTATATTAACTCAATTTTATAACAAAAAATAATGTTTTACAAATGCATGCACTCGTTAAATTATTACCTGACGCCTATCTCATTGCCGGTGATCTCTACTCCATCTTTGTACCAGTTTATAACAGGAGGAGGTGTACCCTTGGCAGGGCAAAGCAGTAAGAGAGGGTTATTCTCTATTATACTCATATTAAATGGGATGTCAACCGGAATGAATGGTGGATCTGTAAATGATGGAGATTGTTTGAATTAAGTTGGAATCCATAAGAACATAATCAAATATTCAAATTAATGTGAATACAGGTATAATTGAAATCATTATTATCAGGTTTATTTTGATGTATCGGAAGTTGACTAAGAGTGATATCATGTTGACTGCTGTAATAGTAATCCAGTTGAATTAAGGTTGATTCAGATTTAGTCGATAACATCTTGAGATGATAATAAAGATTTTCTTACTGTGAACTGTCAGTGAGAAATCTCTTGTGACGAATCCTGCAGGATTTTCAGCAATACACATGTAGCGCCCAGTGTCTTGTACCTTAACTTTAGGCATTAGAAGTGAACCAGTTCCCTTGATTTCAAAAAATCCTGAAAAAAACATGTGAGAATATAGTACTTTCCTAAAATTATTTCAAGTATCATCTAGCTACTATATTTTTGTGACCTTAATAATCATTTTAACCTTTTGAGAGATAAAAAGATAATACAAAGTGTCAATAAATTATCAAGAAATATTCCAAGTTTTTTGCATAATGCTGAACTTTAACAAGAATACATCAGATATATTCATCTATTTTTACTGTACTTTATTCTACACTGAGAATTAACAGCAATTCATTTGAAATAAAAATGTTAAAATTAGTTATAATGTGCATTTCTAATCTAGAATACTATGTTTGTTATACAAATATTTCATTTTGTAGGTGAATACCTATGCATCTTTCAATGATTTAGCAAGGTATATCCCCAAAATCCCGAAAGTATGCAACAGGTATTCACGAAAAATAGAATGAAATATTTGTTTTATTAATCACTCTTATATTCCCTATTCTCTCATTAGGAATGTCATTCAAGAACAAGAATAAAAATAAATATATAAAAATTTCTCAGTTTGAATCTATTTAACTCAACATGTCTGATATTTTACGGGTAATATCTTAGGATTTACTGATGCATTAGTCCATGAAGAGTTCAATCTTTCTGTTGCTTTTATTGTAGATCTACATTTATTATTCCTCACTGGAAATTGGTTTAAATCTTTCCCCATACATTTTTCATATTAATATGGAGTGAATTTTACCTGTGTGGAATAGGCCAATAAGAAAGTGGGGAATATAAGTACGTTATTATGATATTATATATTAATGATGCTAACAAAATAATTCTGCCTGAAATGTAAAGTTAGAGCATAAAAATAAAATATAAAAAGTCTGGACATATCAATGTGAGTCATATGAGCCACCCTGTATTACACACACCACATAAAAAAATATGAGGACCCTAAGGGTCTATTTTAAATATACAGGGTGTCATGTGATTACTTTCTATTTTCAGAAATACTCCAAATTTCTGATGAGACACCCTGTATACATTGTGCTAGTATTGGTAGAATATATAACTGATCCTGCGCTAAATAAATAAATACTTTGAGGCCTTAAAATAAGAATAAGATATAATAGATCAAACCAGATTTAATACACTAAATAGGGTTATAAGAAAGTATTAGGTATTATTGTTAAGGCGCCGTTGGATATGTTTTGTATTAAACACTTAATAGATCAGCAAAGATCAACAGGGGCATATTCAGGCATGTGGCAACTGTTATGTCTCATCAATATCTTTTTTAAATGAAATTTAATTGAGAACAATCAATTTGTATTGAATTGCCTTCTTTATATCGCTGCCTCGCCTATTATTCTACCCAAGCTATGCCCCTGAAGCTACATCATTTCTTACATTGGCAATTAGTCACAGAAAAAGGGCATTTCCCATCGATGAACAAGGGACCTGTCAATAGATGGCAATGCTGAATGAGGTTAAGTTGGCATTCTGATTGTCAATTTTCTTCCAAAAATACACAGGGGCTTGTGTGGAAGGTCGGGCAGAGCCCTCATGTGTCTCAGATCATTTTTGTTAAGAAAAGTTTGTGTAGTAGGACCTTATGAGGGCTCTGCCCAATCCTCAATACAAGCCCCTGTGCAAAAATATATTGCAACTTGATGTCGAATCTTCCATTTCAGATGCTGACCATTACAATATAACGTTTTATTCGAGCAATATATGCATGCTATCTGATATATCAGGAAGTAGTTAACAGCCTAACAAACTGCCATCTATACAAGTCAGAAAGCATGTTAGAGGCTTGAATAGATCTTTCCAATAAACCCTGCCATCTTTAGGTACATCAGAGAAGCTACGATATATTGGCGTAGCCAGCAAATGGTGACCAGGGGTTCGATTTTCTATGTATCCACAAATCTTCCCCTTCATCGGTGTACCTCACAAAAAAGCATTTTTTGTATTTGTCATACATACAATGTACACCCCTCCAAAGGTTTGGCAACAATTTGATTTTCTACGTTGAAATAGTTTTAGGTGAATCTTTTACTGAAAAGATATTGAAATCTGGTAGCAAAATCATACATTTAAATTTTACTGCACTTGTTTAATTGTTCAATGGAATCCAAATCAAGGGTTAGCATACATTGAGCCAACTTTTGTTAAGGGAAAATTATAACATATCTCTGAGGAACATGTTTTTGATGAGCTACCATTGATAAATCGTCATTCCCAATTCATGCTTTAGAGTTCATTCAAAGATATTCAGATACATGCTATTTTCCCACACTTTTAGATGATTTTTGAAAAGAATCCAAATCAAAAGAATTTGATTTATATTTCATTTTGTAAGACCTCATGAACTTACAGTTATTTACTGAAAACTATTTTATAAACTATATTTTTGAAGAATGTAATACTTATTTAATCATGGCGCACAATAAAAGTCGTAATGGCTGCACGAATACTCTCAATTGGTACTGACGATAAAAGTGACAGATGACAAATATTATTGTATTACATATTATGAAATGAAACATTCTATCACCGTTCCGCTGTTTTTATCATTAATGACGAGAATCATGAATGTTCTGAGAAATGAAAACATTTTAGATGAATTTGTGAATCATTATAGACTTTGATTTGTTTTTGAGAAATTAACGTTTTATTATTTTATTCATGAATGCTGCCAAATCTTTTTAGACACACGATTTGAAACTTGTGGTAGGCCAATCCTCTGTCTTTCTGGCAAGTACACTCCCCTCCAAAAGTTTGGCAACCTAAGCTCCCTGCCTCCTCTTTATATTTGAATTTTTATTTACATAACCTGTGGGGAAAATACTTATAATATTGATTAAAATGTAATTTGAATTCACTTCCAATGCCTCCAAATTTTCCCATTTTTACCTCTTTTGTTGAATTTTTTCGTTGTTGTTCGATATTTTGTCACGTGACCTCGAGATTTGCAAAATGGCCGCGCAGCTATTCTACATCGTTCAAATATATCACGTGACTGAAAGTCTCGTAAAGTATCGAAAAATAATGAAATTTATCGAATGTGGCATTCGGTATTTACCGAATATAAATAATTTAAATACCGAATGTACAAATAATTAATTGAATTATACGTGCGTTAAGGATACGCTGCATCACACAAATACATGTACACTGTGTATAAATATCAAATGTGAATGCCAACACAAAGAACAAGTGAAACTATTTAGCGAATATAAATTGTATAGATTATTACATTCGATAAAATAAAAAACATTCGATAGATTTGGTAAAGGTTTGGTAAATTGTTTGTTTTATTTGGTATTCGTGGAATATTTAATGTACCGAATAAAGAAGCAGTTTAAACACCATATAACTGTGAGAATGTAATACTCATTTGAAATAATAAATCTAGACTTATTTGATATAATCCTCCTTACGCCTTTGCTTTCCTCAGCAAAAGATGACTGCATCTGACCTTTTTATTGGACAGAACTTTCCACTGCACGTAATGTGTGTACCTTTTACACTTGTATCTAGTAACACAGACATACTCACCTAATTGCCTCCCTTAATCCATTTATTTGCTAAACATATTATAATTAATGTCATAAACGCGATCCACTAAAGTTTGATATTCTTGAAAATAGAGTAAATACTTAATACACTGAAACAGCAACATTTTAATCTTAAAATTATCTCCGAGATGAACGTGCATCTGAAAAAGCAAAACTGATTTTTTCACAATCGATTTATTTTTCCTTAAAAAGTGATGGATAATAAATACCCATTCGATCAAATACTTGTGTTTATAAATGATACATATGCTTTTAATAATAACTCATTTCAAAATGTTTCTATTATTTAATATTTGCTTTTGAGGACTTGTCAGACCCGGGGACTTAGCAAGAATTTTTTTGTTTGAAATAAAACAAAACGGAGGGGCACAGATTTGAAAGAAAATGTGTTTTCATCAGTATTAAGACAATTTGTTTATTTCACTGTAGATGGAGCAGCTTTTTATTGATTTTTTTTCTTTGCATAATGTCATAATGCTCCGGGGTCTTCCCAAAATTAAACAATCCCACCCCGTGCCTGAGGTTGCCAATCTTTTGGAGAGAAGTGTAAATTTACTATTTTTATCTACTAGTCATATAAATTGAATTGGTTATTGCAATGAATTTTCCACAAATATTTTTGAGGGGAATCCCGACCGGGGGTTCGTCCGAACCCATCGAACCCCCGGTCCCTACGGCTATGAGTTAGCAATACATGTATGTCCAAGCAAAAGCAGGATTAAATCATTGCAAGGAAGATTGGGTTCTAGCATCGCAACTCAATATTTTCTTACAATGAAAACGTCAAAATATTTTCTGAAATTATAACCGTCTATAATTCAAACTAAACAGTCCAAAAAATTAGAACCAATGTCTTGATCATGTTTTCTGAGTTTTGCAATTTTTTCGTTAGGAAATAAGACAATAATACACGATTCAAATGTTGAAGTGAACAAAATCCCAGCTGTTTGAATTCAAATTTAGTAATCACGACATGCCCATATTATGCATATATGGCAAAAAATATCAATGTTGCACTCTGGGAGCCAATTTTCCTCGAACTTATTGCTATTTTTGAAAAAATACAAATGATGACATCACCAATCTAGCCAATATATCATAGTGTCTACGATGTACTAAAAGGTAGCAGTTTTTTTGGAAAGGTCTATTTGTCAATGTATACTATCACTAGCCTCACTCAAATTCAAGATAACCCACCTTCTACCAGATTATTGCCATAATTATAATTATAGTCTGGTTGGTTGAAACTATAGTCAGGTTGATTGGGAGAATAGTCGGGTTGATTGGGAACAAGATCAGGTTGATTGGGAGTAAAACCAAGTTGATTGGGGTAATAATTAGGTTGATTGGGAGTATACTCAGGTTGATTGGGAGAATTATCAGGTTGATTTGCAGTAAAATCAGGTTGATTTGGGTAATAATTAGGTTGATAGGGAGTATTATCAGGTTGATTGGGAGTATAATCAGGTTGATTGGGGTAATAATCAGGTTGATTGAGAGTAAAATCAGTATCAGTATAATCTCCAACATTATTATGATAATCAGGACTCTGCCCACTATTGTAATCTGGGACAGTATTGCTATCTAGGTTATTTGTATTGCTATTTGGGTTATTTGTATTGCTTTCTCTTTCATTTGAATTTGGGTTATTGAATCCTGGGGTGTCAAAATCACTTCCCCACTGCTGGATAATTTTGGGAAGCAGGCAATTTTCAGGGATGGCTTCACCCGGCTGTAAGCGCATATTAGGGGGACAGTTATTATTTAAGGCTAAGTCTGCTATTTCCAATGCGCTGAGCCCAGGCCCAGTGTGCGTGCCCAAGCCTACTAATCCAAATTCCAAAGCATTTCTTCGATTGCGTACAAAGCTGCGCTCATTAGTGAACCTGCCAGCGACACCTAGTGAGTAAAATAAAGCCATCTGGTGAGAAAGACTTCATGAGGGGTGGGGGTGAGAATGAAATCATGAACCTTTTGTCAGCAATTGTGTAATTTTCTCTAGAGACAATTAACCTCTTGAATACAAGGCTCTAAAAAGGGTTTGAAACCAGAGCATTTTTTTGCTTTTTTGCCAGTTTTTGGACATTTACAACTAATTACACAATATTTGATTTTTTTGATTTCATAAGAACAGTAAACATAGACACACTACATACATTTAATAAAAACATAATTTGTGTAGATTGGATCGGATTTTAGTGAAAAATATAATTCTGTGACAGATATATCTGATGCTCTGGTTCCCATGGAATCTTATTTGTGACATATGTCATTCTGGGTATTCAAGAGGTTAAATGGTCCATGATAATCTTGCAAAGGTGAATTAATCAAACACTTGGAAGGTGATTCAAGAAACATATCTAGCAAGAATCTTGTGATCAGATGTTTTTATGAAGTGCATATGTGAATATAATGATGAAATATATCAATGACAGTCATAATGCTATTCTCTCAAAAAGTCAAAAAGTTGAAGAGATGGGTACACAGTTTGTAGTTTAGTTTAGTGCCTAATGAAAATGACACCTCCCAGTTTTACTTCAAAGAAAAAATAATTGAATCTCTACTATTTTGAAAGAAAAACTTGACTGTCATATGATATATACTATGACATATATTATTATGAATTTATATTTGTAATAATATATATTTGCAATGATAAAATCTAAATACATATCTGCAATGATAAAATATATAAGGGTTATGTACTGGGAGGTTTTGGATATAGGGTATATCCTGGGGGATATGTTTATATCTCCCCGAGGGACCAAAGGGACCAAGGGAAGATATAAATATTTCCCGAGGGATATACCCTATATCCAAAACCGACCGTACATAACTGGTGTATCTCATACTTGAGTGGGTTTGGGGTAGATATAACCTTTACCACCTTTTTCAAATGACAAGATAGGCCTATACTGTAAAAGCACAATTTACATTTAACATTTTCATAATATTCCTTCAGCTCAATACAATAGAATTGTAACATTTAAACTTTTTGAAAAATTTTAAACTTCTGAAATCTAAATTTTTAAATTTTTTAACTTTTTTAAACTTTTGAAAAAATTCCCGGGAGCGGGATGGATATATTATATCTGCCCGCATTTTGCTTAGAGCGGGACATATACAATATATCCTGCCCGCTCCTCAGATATGATATATATTCCCGGGTGATATCTACCCCAAACCCACTCAAGTATGAAATACAAATATATACTTATAATGATAAAACATAAATATATATTTGTAATGATAAAATATAAATATATATTTGTAAGGGTAAAATATAATATATATTATAATGATAAAATATAAGTATATATTTGTAATGATGTAAGCAGCAGTTGATCATTTTAGAAGCGTGTTCCTGTGATATATACATGTATAATGGAATGTGATTTTCTACTTGTGCCATACACCAAAGATTACACTGAAAAATTCAAATTGTTTTAGTGCTTATTTAGCAATTATCAGCTACTCTGTGCTGGGTTGACAAAAAATATTAGGAGTCTTGTTTTTAGAGTACCATGTGAAAGCTGAAGCAGCATACAAATCAATTTAAAGCTAATTAATCATAAAAATTATTGAATTTAATAGCAGGTGAAATATAAAAGCTAAAGGCTTTGTCAAATGAAAAGTGCCCATTAAGCTAAACAGATGATATGTAAGCAAGCATGAAATTGAAAAATCTACAAATCATGTGAGCATACATGATCAAATCTAACCCTTTAAGCCTACTATATCAACCTCAACACAGTAAAGTGAGAATCAATGGCAAAACAATCTCAACAGGGTCACAAAAAATATTTGCTTTTTCTCCTCCCAAAACATCAGAAATACTGCCAGATTTTTTACTCTGTACAATTTGGAACATGGTGTTTTTTGTCTGTTCATTTTTTTCTTGGAAATCTCTCATTTTTGTGACCCAATGAGATTTTTGAGAATTCTTCACTCCTTGTAATTGAGAATGATCACTCACTCTTCTCCTTCATCATTTTTTCAACTGATGATTTTTTCATTGATTGGGCTAAAGAAAGTGATGTTACAACGCCAAGTGATTCCCCTAAAGAAATTGAAGCAAAAATACCCTTAATATATATCATAAAATCTCTACCTGCAATTTGAAGAATGTTTTAATATACCTTTGTGTCCAACACATATTTGTTAGTGAACGCAAGCATGGGCTTTCAATTAGTTGAAAGCCCATGACACAAGGAACTCAATGGAAAAGAATGGGTTTGCTTTACACCTATGACTGACACACATTGTACGAAACGAAAGTATAAAATGCACCAGCAAAATAAATTCAACTCAGGGAAACAGATAAAAGATAACAAAATCTAGACTTTTCAACAAATCTGCAAATACATCAAAATCAAGATTATTACAGGAAACATATATTTACTATACAATTATCACAATACATGTAAAAATAAGATAGGAAATTCAAATGTCTTAAAAATCACATGTCCCAGAACAGCACATACCTTCTTGTTCCAAAAATGTAATACTCTCTCCATTTTTCTTCCATCGCACAAATGGTGATGGGTCACCTTCTGTTTCACATTCAAGCAAGACAGGTTGTCCAGATATAACTACAATATCAGTTGGGCCTTCGCTGACAATTGTGGGAGGTACTGAAATATAAAAATATGCAAAAATATACACAAGCAATCTTCTGAATACAGGGGTCCCCCTTGGTAACTTCTGGATCCGCCAGTGGGACTACACTTGTTTTTCTCGTACTCTGGAATTTTAATGGTTAAAAGATGATTCTTGGCACAGAATTTTTGTTGTTGTTTGTTTGAGATCAGACACTAAATTTTGTCTATTTTTTCCCTGGGGGAAATACTTGCAGAATCTTAATGTTAATGTCAATCTTTAATTCAAATTCAGGCAGATCAATGTTTATAGAGAAGAAATACAATAGTCACATTTAATAGTCACAAAAAGGAGGTCTATATTGACTAATAATATACAACTTAACTTTAATTTTTAATTCTCATGCGGTTTATAATGGAGAACTATAACTTTGATTTGTCACAAAAAGGAGGTCTATATTGACTAATAATATACAACTTAACTTTAATTTTTAATTCTCATGCGGTTTATAATGGAGAACTATAACTTTGATTTGTCACAAAAAGAAAGTCTATATTGACTAATAATATACAACTTAACTTTAATTTTTAATTCTCATGCGGTTTATAATGGAGAACTATAACTTTGATTTGTCACAAAAAGGAGGTCTATATTGACTAATAATATACAACTTAACTTTAATCTTTAATTCTCATGCGGTTTATAATGGAGAACTATAACTTTGATTTGTCACAAAAAGGAGGTCTATATTGCTGTTTTCTTTATTTGTTGTGTGTTACATTTAACATGTTTTTAACTTAGCCACGGCTTTATCTACATATCTTCAAACATTGTTTATAGCTTCAGCATACTTGAACATAAGTGTATCGTACTGAACTGATTATAAAGTGATTGTTGAAGATATAGAAGTATACAGTAGGGTTATATGTCACATGTTGGCCTCATTTGTCATCCAGACCTATGCACTTCTTATCTTTTCAACTTATAACTTTCAATACGATCTAACAAGCTGACCAAAGAAAATCCAGGGCACACCAATGAAAAGGTAAGATATGATACATTCTTAACAATGTTTTTTTCACAAAATAACATAGTACAGAAAGAGAAATATCATTTATCCAAAAACACACATAGTGGGTATGTAATTGTAAAATGTAAATACAGTATAACATTAACTGGAACAAAGAATTAAACTAGCTCTACTCTCTCAAAAATAACAGTATAACTAAAGCATATTCAAAAATATAAACATCTCAAATGTCACATTAATGCTCAAATTGCAGTGCAATAATTTTATGTTCTTTTTTCCATTTGACCATGAAGAGTAGATTTTCTGTTTAGTAATGATATACCATTGTCAATTTTCAGATGGAATATGTAGAAGCATATGATTCAATTATTCAACCTATCAAGGAGCCACTGACAAAAAGCTACATCAAAACTTCAACATCTGACCCACCAGACACTAAAACGGCATTAGATTACCTGAGAGAACAGCGGAATAATGAAAATGAGGCTATAGTATTCATGGACTCGGATGGTAACCGAAAAGATGTCTTGTCATTCAATGATTGGGTTGAGTCCTCAGAAGACCTTGCGGTATCACTATCCAAGATTGGCTTAAGTTCTGGAGATTTTATAGGAATCCTTGCACCTAACTGCCATGAGCTTATATGCTCTCTAGGAGCTGCCATTAATTTGGCAGCCGTACCTGTTTTTCTGAGCTTCAACCTTGTCAGTGGTGAAGACCTCATTGAACATGTGAACGAATGCAACATCAAGGCTGTAATAGTTGACATCAGTGAAGGCCCTAAGAAGGACATTGTCATGAGAGTGTTTGCTAAAGTTCTTAGGGGTGAAATTGATGATGACATGCCAGCATTGAGACACGTGATTGTCATTACTGATGATGCTACACCCGATGGTGCAATTACCTACAATTCACTAAGTGATAAAAAGTCTGTCGAAGATAAAGTTCAAATTGCAGATTTAACCAAAACAATCACCATTGATTCACCTTTATGCGTGACATTAACATCAGGCAGTACAGGGAAGCCTAAATACTGCCTTCTACCACACAGAGAATTATTAACACCCGTCAAATACATAGGTCAAAGAATTGGACTTGTTAAACGTGATCGTCTATTTTTGGACCGCCCCATGACTTGGATAGGAGGCATACTAGGCATAATGCTGCCATTAGTACTTGAAACTACAACTGTTACAGTTAATGCGAAATACACTGCTGCAAAATCGTGGGCTGCAGAAAAGATCCTTGGGATAATACAGAAAGAGAGGTTAACAATGGCTGGTATGCTGCCATATATGATGTTTGACATACTGGATTTAGATGATGAGAATTTCTCCAAATTTGACCTGTCAACATGGAAGATCACTGGGACTGGAGGACAACGAGTTGACCCAAAAATGGTAGAAGATTTCAAACTAAGAACAAGGACAAATATAAGTATAGTTTATGGAGCTACCGAAGCTAATACTGTGACATGCATGTTTCCTAAAGGAGATTTCACAAAGCAGCATCTCACTGTGGGGTATCCGATACCAAACATTGAGATTTCCATTCAGGCACCAGATGGTTCAATTCCCGCCGTGAACACGCCTGGGGAAATATGTATTCGTGGCTATCCTGTCTTTCTTGGATACCTGAACAATGAAGCCGCAACAAGTGAAGTTATTGATAATGAAGGCTGGTGTCACACAGGTGATATAGGTACGATGACACCTTATGGGTATATCACGATAGCTGGGAGACTGAAAGAGTTCATCAAGCGTGGCACAGTTATTGTCCAACCTTCTACCATTGAAAAAGAGATTGCGAATCACCCCGATGTTCACCAAGTACAGGTCGTTGGGGTGCCTGACCCTCGTCTGCATGAAGAATTGTGTGCATGTATCATAACACACACTGGACGGGAACTCACAGGAAATGATATGAAGGTATGGTGTGCTTCCATATTTGGAGACATAACAGCAGATGGCCTGAGCAATGCCCCCAGGTATTTTATTATCATGGACGAATTCCCACTGACCACAAGTGGAAAAATTGACAGAGTTGTATTAAAAGCTGAGGCCAAGAAACATCTGAACCTATAAACATTTTAGTAAAGAGTACTGTACAGTAGTGTCTAACAACACTAACAACACATAGGATAGTACTATATTTTTAGATATTGAAACATCATATGACCCAATATTGAGATAATTCAATTTAATCATACAAATACAAACGAAACATTTGGACTTATAAACATAATATAGTTGCAATCGTTGCATATTATAAGTAATTACAGATATTGTATAACCAATATAACATCAATTTTATATCATAAAATCTATAACATTCATATGTGTTCATTATGCCAAAGCCACATGGTGCCACAATAAAATAGCAATATCAATCAAGAATAGATATTTCCATAATTACCTTGAATGATGAGTGTGATGAGCTTGGTGTCATTCCCCGCAATGTTACTTGCGATGCACTCGTACACCCCTGCGTCATCCACATATGTCTGATCTATCCTTAGACCCCCTAAATGTAACATAAAACATTATAGCCTTAATACAATACATGACATAACTGTCATTCCCGCAATGTTACTTGCGATGCACTCGTACACCGCTGCGTCATCGACATATGTCTGATCTATCCTTAGACCCCCTAAATGTAACATAAAACATTATAGCCTTAATACAATACATGACATAACTGTCATTCCCGCAATGTTACTTGCGATGCACTCGTACACCCCTGCGTCATCCACATATGTCTGATCTATCCTTAGACCCCCTAAATGTAACATACATGTAAAACATTATAGCCTTAATACAATACATGACATAACTGTCATTCCCGCAATGTTACTTGCGATGCACTCGTACACCCCTGCGTCATCCACATATGTCTGATCTATCCTTAGACCCCCTAAATGTAACATAAAACATTATAGCCTTAATACAATACATGACATAACTGTCATTCCCGCAATGTTACTTGCGATGCACTCGTACACCCCTGCGTCATCCACATATGTCTGATCTATCCTTAGACCCCCTAAATGTAACATAAAACATTATAGCCTTAATACAATACATGACATAACTGTCATTCCCGCAATGTTACTTGCGATGCACTCGTACACCCCTGCGTCATCCACATATGTCTGATCTATCCTTAGACCCCCTAAATGTAACATAAAACATTATAGCCTTAATACAATACATGACATAACTGTCATTCCCGCAATGTTACTTGCGATGCACTCGTACACCCCTGCGTCATCCACATATGTCTGATCTATCCTTAGACCCCCTAAATGTAACATAAAACATTATAGCCTTAATACAATACATGACATAACTGTCATTCCCGCAATGTTACTTGCGATGCACTCGTACACCCCTCCGTCATCCACATATGTCTGATCTATCCTTAGACCCCCTAAATGTAACATAAAACATTATAGCCTTAATACAATACATGACATAACTGTCATTCCCGCAATGTTACTTGCGATGCACTCGTACACCCCTGCGTCATCCACATATGTCTGATCTATCCTTAGACCCCCTAAATGTAACATAAAACATTATAGCCTTAATACAATACGTGACATAACTGTCATTCCCGCAATGTTACTTGCGATGCACTCGTACACCCCTGCGTCATCCACATATGTCTGATCTATCCTTAGACCCCCTAAATGTAACATAAAACATTATAGCCTTAATACAATACGTGACATAACTGTCATTCCCGCAATGTTACTTGCGATGCACTCGTACACCCCTGCGTCATCCACATATGTCTGATCTATCCTTAGACCCCCTAAATGTAACATAAAACATTATAGCCTTAATACAATACGTGACATTACTACAAATGGTAGAAGACTTGAATTTAAAAAATTAATGATACAGAAAGAATTTAGATATTCATGAGAGGGGATCAAAATCATAGTCTCTGGTTTCCCACTGGTAATAATTCACACTTACATGTATATTAAACACTTCCTTTACATGTAATTATATATAATTATTTGTGTACGTTGTAGTGTACATGTATTTATGATAATTCATACAATTTGTTCTTATAGAGGAATGATTTCCAATTGAGACTATGCAAGAATTTAAAATACCTTGTGGCAGAAAACCATATCTCTGATCAACGCGTCCAAGACTTTCACCATCTTTACGCCAAGTTAGTATAGGACGAGGAATCCCACTGTTGGAACAGGGCAGGGTAACAGAGTTCCCAACAATGACTGTAAATTCATCTTCGGAATGGTCAATTTGTGGTGGAACTGAAATAAAAATCAAATGCTGCAATTGCAAGTTTCTCATCAGTTACCCCAGTGAAGAAAAAACAAGTTATGAGAATTTAAAATACAGTATCACTAGAGTTGTATGTCTTTCAAAATTATTCTCAAAGATAAGTTATAAACCATACTCTAGAGTTAAAGTAATCTTTAAACTGTACCTCACATCAAGATTATAGGTTATTAACTAGGAGGGATTGAATATGGGTTTTATTCCAAAGGACAATATGATATTTCCAATATCAAATCCCCAGGTGTTATTCACCAGAGAGTAGTATCATGGGATAAAACAACAGGATATACTAACCATGTACATAAAGAGTGATTTTCTTTGAAGCCACACCAGCTACATTCATTGCCTCACAGGAATATGTTGCGCTGTCTTGAGGATCGGCGCTAAAAATTTCTAAACTCCCGAGCTCGTTTATGAAGTAATGTGGGTCAGTTGGGGAAATCCTATTACTGTTTCGCGTCCACTCTATGATTGGTCGAGGGTCTCCACTGACCTCACAAGGTAAAGTCACTGAACGACCTTGAACCACTGTGACCTCATGAATTCCATCATCCTTGATACGTGCAGGAACTAAAATATTTTATGTTGATTTTAACAGTACAATACTAGTTGGTGTCAAATATCATTATAACTATTCCTTCGAAGTGGTATTACAAGTTACAAAATCTCATCAAGAAAGCAAATGTATACAACCTTCCTTAAAGCTTTAAGATAACCTATCAATTATTATATCAAGGGAGTATATCCGGATGAAACATTCTAGCTATAAAAATTCCTTTAATGTTGGCCCATGGTAATGGTAATTATGATGTCCTACTTAGAAGACACAGACCTTTTAACTTTTTTTTCTGGTTTGACCTTCAATCAGTTTTACTACTCTATATATCATTTACATGACCAGGATCACAATGGTCATGGTCAAAACCTTTTAACTTAGAATTCATCTAGTAATAAACCTCTACATTTAGTTTGGAGAATTTCTGATTGATGCTTACTTTGCACATCCAGCCTTGCCATGAATGTTGCATTGCCACCTACATTTGTAGCCACACATGTATATTCTCCTTCATCTTTTGCATCAACATCCACAATCTCCAACACCCCATTGTTGGAAACCTTGAACCTGGAACAATACATTTTATTCTATGTCATTGTTTTCCGTTTATGCCTTCATAATAGCAACATTATCAGTGAACAATGGGAATATGTTTATGGAACAAAGTATAAAAGTTTTTCTCATATACTAGATACATTCTAAACTTGGGATAATTGGTTAATTCAAGAATTTCCATTCCACATGTATTTTTATCAGCTTTTTTTTTATTACTTTGTTATCAGCAAGGAACACTCATTTAAAGAGAATGCCCTTTTATTTTGTAAAATTAAAACATTCTTTCCAACCATTAATGGCAACAAATTTTTTATCTTTTTAAATGACAAAGACCTTGGCTTCTAGTTTCACCATAGTTTCAACACCTTCAATAACATACCTGTCACTGTTCTGCACAACTTCCCCATGTTTCAACCACATGACCTTTGGCCTGGGGTTGCCTAGCAACACAAGACAACTCAACTGCACAGTTCGACTCTCGATGGCCTCATAGTAAGGGTTAGTGTATGCTATAACAGGTCTTACAACACCTAGAAATATATGTAATGATGAAGCATTACTGGATAAGTCTTGGTCGAGTACAATATGACTAATGTTAATCAGTATACATGTATAGATGGGAGATGCTCGTTATTTCCTGGTTTATAAGAAGATTCAATATCAATTCTTTCTGGGATCATTAATGTAATATTTTGATAATTTTTGAGGCAATATTAATGTCAAAATACACAGTTGAACCCACATTTATGCATTGAATGTCCTGAGTCCTAATATAAAGGACATTTAGGTCATATCACAAAGTGAACAATATTGTTCCTTAGGATGACACTCAGTGGACAGTTCTAACAAAAAGGTATTTATTTTAAGGCATAATCCTATAAGAGTTTACCTGTTACAGTAATATAAGCAGAGGCATCTTGTGTTCCAAACTGGTTAGAGACACTGCATACGTAGAGTCCTTCATCATCTAGTGTGATTTCTACAAAAAAAGCAAGTTATTACTATTTATGATAAATAAATGGCATGACAAAAAATATGATTTAAAGTTTGTAATTTACTTAGACATAAAAATTGTGTCCAACTTAAATTTTTGGGGTCAATTAATTTTTTCTTTCATGTTATCATACATCTAAAGTTTTGCAAGTTCACTTATGGAATTAGAAGTGAGCTTGAAAACCTACTTCTGATAAAGAGAGCCCCTGATGGGAGCTGCCTGAACCTTCCTCTGGCTGAGAAGTCCATGGGTTGCCCATCCTCTCTCCTCCAAGTCACAGTGGGAGGTGGGAGGCCATCCGCAGAGCAGGGTAGGGTTGCATTCTTTTCAATTGCAATACCAACACTGTTTGGGGCTTGGACAATCTCTGGGATAGCTGGTCATGAAATAGAAATTAATCTATAGCTTTGTTGGAGTTTGAAATTATGTTATCATTTTATGTTATTAAATGTGTGAAATACATAGATTTCTCATGATAATCAAATATATAACATACTTATAAGAGCACTCGGAGACTTTTGGTACTCCATTATATAAAATATCTGGTGTTGCACAATTTTTGAGGTAGTTAGACTTCAACATCCCCACTCGCATAGCACACTTAAGTTCAATACACTGAGATGAACTAGAAACCACACACCAAGTATAGAGCCTTGCTTAACAGCGTAACTTACATCCAACATCAAGTGCAATGGTAGCCTCATCACTACCAGCTTCATTAGATGCCACACAGTTATAGTCTCCTGCATCCATCTCTTGTACCCCAAGGATGATAAGCTCACCACTCTTGGTGATTTGGATGAACGATAAATCTATCAGCTGAAACAAGAATATTGTATCAGAAAATGAACACAGAATGTACAATGGTATTAAGATTAAGTAGATTACAAAATCCTCAAGTTTGTATGCCATAAACTATGATGCAACAGAAGAAATCATTCTTTTATCTTGATGCCACTATCCAGTTATATATTCCACTGCCATGGATATGGTATATTGTCAATTCTTCATTTGTCATCATGTAATTCACATAACTGTACTCAAAGTGGTAGAATATATTGTGAGATTGTAGTGACCACAGATGATAAGGGGACTAATTATTGGATTGTAAAGTTTCTATATCATACAAGCTAGATATACTTGAAAATGTCGAATGTCCATGACAAAGTAGTTCTATTCAATAAAAACTAAAAAAAATGAAATCAACAATCACAATCTGCCATTTGATGAAAACTAGATAACGCATACCTGAGTTTCCCCTTTGAACCATTCAATTTTGGGTGGCGGGATTCCCTCAGCATTACAAACCATAGTAACAGTGTCTCCATTAGCAACCAGCATCCTATCTTTGTCAACTGTCACCTTTGGGGCCTCTGTAGGTTAGAAAGAGAATGGGTATACTTATAATATGGTGCAAGTAAGCAATATCAAGATACATGAAGTTAAGTTAAGGTAAAGCTTAAAAATCTTCTTTGGTAAGGTAAGATGAGGTTCTATTGTATGCTAAATATACAGCCATTCTGGACTTTCCAGACACTGTAATGAAAAGTAATCTGTAAAAGTATAATCAATAATTGAAGTATAAAATGTTTAGCCCTAAATATTTTGTTTCATGTGTACTTACGTATATAATTGATTTTAGCAAAAGCTCTATCCTGACCAGCTGGATTTGTGGCCTGGCATTCATACTCTCCTTCGTCACTTCTCTCAACATCATGAATCAACATTTCACCTAAAATATCACAAATACAATAAAATAATATTAGATTATCCTATGAGGACACTGTTAGAAGCGCATGAATTTTGGCTAGGGGACTCTATGTTAACAAATTAAATTATATAAAAATTCATAGAATAACATTACAAAATGGTTAAGAGAAATGCCATTTAGGTTCAGGTTCATAACACTTGAAGATATTCTAAAAAGAGTACATAGAAAAAAGTGAAAAGAATCAATCTGTACATGGATATTTATTATCAGGCTTCAAAAGTTTGTTCAGAATGAAAGAAGTAAACAATTTAAATTGAAATATGAATGAAATTACACACAAATATCACCTACCATCATTAAACTCAAACCTTCCAGATGGGCTGATGAGTCTATTCTCTCTTAACCATACAAATTCAGGTGGTGGAAAAGCAATAGCCGAGCAAATGATCCTCACTAACTGCCCAGACACAAAGTTTTGGGTTTCAGGGTTGACAGATACGATGGGTGAGTCTGGAAAACATAGTTTTAGGATACTTTCAAAATTGAAATTAAATTTTTGTGTACTACTCTATATACTACAGCTATCAAAATGTACAGTTAGACTATAGAGAAGTGAACTGACTTTATTCCATACATCAACTGACAATGCACATGTAAAACAGAATATCAATGATATAATCACTTTGTATGGTTTGCAAATATTCTTTCAATATCTTTCATGTTAGAAGATTCAATATCATTCAAGTAGTTTTTGGTGTTAACAATGTAGAAAAATATGATATATTCACAATTAAAAAATCACCATGTGAGCTAAAAAAAATTGGCTCATTGAGTTAATCTATTGGCAGCTGTCAAGTCCAATGTTCTTTCTGTCAACATACCTTGGACTCTTAGATGGACGACAGCATCAGTGAATCCTCCTTCATTCATTGCTCTACATATAAACTTGCCCTCATCTGCTTTTTGCACATTTCTAACAAAACAAACCAAAGCAATCATTTACTACACAGTTAGAAATCAAGTTCATATTTAACTCAATTTTAAGCAATTAGTGATAAACACCCGTGGCTTAGAATGATACAATAAAAATGATGATAGATATGGTGTTCATTAAGGACAGGTGTTCAATGGAGAGGTGTTCAGTAAAAACGATGTCAGCTATCTATTGACTCAATAGAATATAAAGCCACATTCTTACCTGATCTCAACAGAGCCATTTAAGAATTTCCTAGCTCTGGGATGGGCATTTAGTTCCTCTATACTGTTCTCTCTGTACCAGGTCAGGTTGTAGTCAACTGTGCTGAATGCTAGACATGTTAGGACAGCATTCTCGCCTGGGATCACAGACACATTGGCAGGAGGGAGAATCTTTGGTGGAGGGTCTGTAAATATGAAGACAATAGATATAACAAATAGTGTTGGAATGCTAGACATGTTAGGACAGCATTCTCGCCTGGGATCACAGACACATTGGCAGGAGGGAGAATCTTTGGTGGGGGGTCTGTAAATATGAAGACAATAGATATAGCAAATAGTGATGGAATGCTAGACATGTGAGGACAGCATTCTCGCCTGGGATCACTGACACATTGGCAGGAGGGAGAATCTTTGGTGGGGGGTCTGCAAAAATGAAGACAATAGAATCTGTTATTCCATTGTTAAGGAATTTTGAGGATGTACCAAATTGTGTCAGAATTTTGGCCTAGTTTGTGCAGACACATAATCTATCAGTTCAGGGACCTTATTATATTCACAAAGGTGAATGGTTAAAAAGTGTGTACTTACCACGTATGTCAAGGAATGTTTGTGCAGATCCATCTCCCTGGGGATTGGTAGCGTTACAAGTGTATACGCCCTCTGAGAAACTATTGGCATCAGGCACATCTAGCTCCACCTCTTTAGACTCCCTATAACAATAATATTTCTCAAACATATGTTTTGAAATGATAGATAGATGTAGGGGAGGTGATTAATGATCAAGTACTCCATGTAGTAAGTATGGACATGTATTCAGCAGTATATTGGAGAGAAATCCCACAAGAAAATATCTCACATATTTCAAAATAACTTCATTAAATAGTTTTAAATGCATCAAATCTCAAATTGTATGTGTTGCTGATCAGATGCACATATCTTATCTTCTTTTTCATCGAGTCAAAATCATAAACTGTAATATTAAACTCACGTGTAAAACAGCTCGTTGCCGATAGGTTCATTCCCTTTATACCACTGCATACGGAAAGGTACCAAACTGATTATTGTACAAGTGAGAGTTGCCACCCTATTGTAGAAGCCTCGGGTGAGGTCGGGCATGGTGACCTCTGGGGGCTCAGGAATCTGAGGGCTGATAGCTGTGGGGGTGGTACGCTGGAATCTAAACCCCTGAGAATCTGTTCCAGCAACCTGCAATTACAAATAATAATTGTTCAGGGCATTGTAATCATATATTGGTTTAGAGGATCATAATCATTATATTGACCAAGTGCATTGAAATTATATAGTGACCAAAATCATATATTGACCAAGAAAATTGTTATTTAATATTGAGCTGGGCATTGAAATCATATATTGACCAAGAACATTGTTAGTATCACATATTGAGCTGGGCATTTAGAATCAAAATGCCTTCAGACCCACTCATATTATAAGAGTTAACCTTGGAGTGTATCATTGAGTAATGTAGCCATCAGTTCTTTGGCACTTTTGCAATCATTTGTCAGACTTAACATTTACATTTGAAAAACCTTGGCTTATTTGTATGTAAATACAGTAAACATATTAATTAACCAAAATATGGTGCATATTCACAGGGAGGTACATTGTATATACATGTACTATAAAAACCTGAGATTAGCTGGAACACCATTTAGTATACATTGAAGAGAGGGAAAATGTATTGCTTTTTGAGAATGATATTGAAGAATAAGAATGTTTTGTGTGAATGATGCCAACCTCCAATTTGCATCCATAATGAGTCTGTAAAATAAGAAGAACTGAGTTCTGTTGTTTCGTGCCAGTCATGTCTAAATCAATTAATCCACATTTACTTTTTGAGAGGAGAAATGTGAAAATGTCTGTAAACTAATAACTTCACCTTCATAAGGTATGAAGTTTGTGGTAATTCAGGAACAAGACATGTGAAGGTCAATTTGAATCATAGGATCAAATCTCAAGTGAATCCATCTCGGTGGGAATCGAACCACATGTTTGTGGAACTTAAGGAAAAAGGTACATGAAGGAATGATATGAAAAAAAGATACTGAATAAGACTCAAGGATTTTGGCTTAAGCTGTTCACTGTGTGTGAAACTATACATAAAGCATGCAGTAAGAATGACAAAATTGCCTTAAAACAGCCTTACTATACTACAAAGGTAGTTCTCTCTTTTTACAGCTGTTCCAAATGTTTCAAGGATGTTTTTAGTTGCCATGGTGTCATAAAATAAAAACATGATTTATCAACTGCTAACAAGGTATGGGCAGCAGAAAATAGATTGAATATATATTGGAGTACTAAAATACATGTCCTTATAACAGCCTCAGTCAATGGGATTTCCTGTTGGTTACCAAACACCTGTTGGTCTCAGTAAAACTCAGCATTCAATTCACCAATTTCAGGTATTGTAATTTAATCAGAGACTATAAATTATTGAATGATTTGAAGTATGATTCAGGATATATTCTGTTCGAGAAAGTCTGTATTGGAACAAGACGAAGTCGAGTGCCAAAATAAAATATTGAGAGCAGAATATATCCTGTATTGCACTTCAAATCACTCTATAACGTTTTTATCATGTGATCTTAGGCAAATACATTTTACTTTAGAGATAATCCCTCAGAAATACAGTGTATTCTGTATTCTCTGTATTGCTACTGATATTGTCCCCTCCCTACCAATATTTTCTGTATTGCTACGGAGATGATCAATGAGGACAATCTCAGTGGCAATACAGATTGGGACAGCACAAGAACTGACAGATCATAAGATAAATAGAGGTATTATCATTTGATCAGATACTTCTGTGCACCTTTCAATATTTTTTCTTCGAATAGTCATCATACTTGTCCACTTTCCATCTTGGATGGATCAATTGATGGAATCTTTTTGGTTTTAGTGATAACAACATATTATACAGGGAAAATTGTGATACTCTTCATAGCTTGCCATCTTGCAGCATGAATGAAGGGGTTCCCATGGTCTACAAACCACCTGGATGTTTATCGACATTTGAAAAGCCACAGATGAGCGATAAGCAGAAGATTTGAAAAATGTTGACAATATAAAAATGGATGTGAATGATTCCATTTGCTTGAATAATTCCGTTTGCCTAATATGTCTCTCTGTAAGTTTCAAACACAAAGATGTATACAGATGCTAAGAGAGCAGCCTTTCAAAATCACATTTACACTTTTGAATGGAGCAGTTAAAGAGAGGAATTAGCAAGGAATGAGAAGGACAATCATGAAATAACCACACTTGAACAACCAAACATGAAACAGACATGAAATAAATACTCCATATTGCTATATAGAAATAAAATTCTAGCAAAATGAAAACATGGCAATGAAAAGCTGAAAAGCAGTATTTCAAATCTATTCAAAACAATACAATTGTTTACACTCTAAAGAGCAAAATAGACTCAATCCAACAAATGCAAGAAATAAATATGTTTCTCATGCATTTGAGTTTTTGGAGCATTTGTGATACATAACCATCACATGGGAAGTTATACTGGATTGAATTTTGGTTGTGAAAAACTTTATATTTCAATTGTGTCTGTATAAAAGTGTATTTTTAAATTGTGGCTGCATAACAGTATATATATTGCAGCTGTACAAAAACGTATAATAAATGGTGGCTGTACAAAAATGTATTTATAAAGTGTGCATGTATAAAAGTCTATAATGCATGTTTGTGGTGGCTGAATAAAAATGTATTTATAAATTTTGCCTGTATAAAAGTGTACAATGCATGTTCATGGTGGCTGTACAAAAGTGCATAATATATTGATGCTGTATAAAAGTGTCTATAAATTGTGGCAATACATTGTATAACCTTGCAGTATTATAACCTTGCAATATATAAATTGTGGGATGCAGCAAGCAAGCAACTCAAACATACATCTTTGTAACCACAATACATATGATGTATAATGAAAAATATTCAAACATGACCGTGCTCTATTCGAATTTCTCAACCAATCAGAATGCAGCATAGCCAATATAGAACGTTCTCTAATTCTCCATAGATGCACGACCATGCTCTATTCAATCTGCAATTTGCATTGTTTTGAGTGACGTCACATCTCAGCTGCACATCTGGGGCTCTGTCCGGGGATAGCTGTTCTTTTTTATTAATAGATATTTATTTTTATTTTATCAACACCCCATGTCTGCATACACCGTATAAAATCTAAAACGGGGAGGAAAATAGAACAGCCCAAACAAATTCTAACATTTTTCCGGCCGACTTCAGAATCTTGACAGCATGCGTATTCTTCCTTCATGCCCGTTCCACAGTCACGGCTTTTACTAATTTTTATGTTTGAATCGGAATAAATAATGATAGGCCATTCAATATGGTGAAATTCAGCACTCGTTGGACAGAATGTTAGCACAAATGCACTCACCTTCGGTTCGTGCTTTGTACAACATTCTGTCCAACTCGTGCTGAATTTCACCATATTGAATGGCCTATCATTATTTATTCCTTAAATCAAGAACAGTTGGCAATTTGCACTATATTTCTAAAACATTCAACAGAAAATACATCAACCATTAAATAGCAGTATCTGGCTTAAAATTAGCAGATTTGTTTTACAACAGCTATCTCCGACAAGACAATTAACCCCTGTTCCACAAGAATACATGGTGACTTAGTAATCAAAGGGTTAAACTTATCTACCCTAGACTTTGAGAAATGTTCATGTGAGTGTACATGTACATACATTTAAAGGTCCTAACTTCACTTTCTTACTTACCTTCAGATAAAAGAAGTCATTTGGTGGCATAAAGGCGCTGACATTGTACAAAAATGGTCGTACTGAGTCATAAATGACGGGAACCTCTACAAGTGATTCTCCTTGGAGATTGACAAGCTCAAGATTAGAGATGCGTCCTGGGTATTCTAGTCCTGTTGCATTCAGAAGTACATTTGTTGGAACACCTAGAAAGAGTCAATAAAATTAAATGACAAATACAGATTGGGACAAAAAATGTGACCCTCTAATTTTGAAAAAATTAATTATGCTTAAATCTTCTTGAGTTCCTTTGTAAAGTTTTCAATGCATAAAACAATGGTAAATCTTACCTTGTAATGGTCTCTGTTTAGTGTCTAAAAGATTTAATGTTGGTTTCCTTGAGAATCCGTGGACAAAATCTAAAGGACTAAGTCCAGTTACTCGGACAGTGTGCAGCCCTGAACTTGTAACCTGGAAACAGAAATTTATATTATATTTTAATTTATAAAAAAAATTCTTTGCCCATTTTTTTTATTTGTGATTATTTCGTTTTTGTTTGCTTGTTTGGATGTTTGATTATTTGTTTGTTAATTTGATTCCTGATTCTTTTAATTTAAAATATCACGACTGTAATGCATAATAAGGAACAAAAATGTCATATGAAGTCTTATATTTCTCCTTCTACAAGATTCTATGATATTCAAAAAATTTTTATATTACATGAGAGACTTAAAAAAATATGAGGGATGCTATTTAATATTCGTTTTGCTTCAAATCAATGCATCCTCATTAGTTGAAAATACAAAGGGCAATATTCAACAATTCTGTACCTTTAGTTTCCACAAACCAGGATCTGGCTTCTTAATATTAACAATGAAGACATTTTTCAGTTTCAGCAACTCTTTCAGACCATTGTCAGGAGTCTTCCTCCTTCCTGAAAACATAGATGTGTCCTTTAAGCAATTTTATGTTGTAACACGAGAGACATGACAGTTTTAAGAAATGTAAGAAATCAATAAATAATGGAGTATTTCTCTAATATTCAGTATTTTCAATTACTCAGATGCGAGTAGGTACTAGGTAGTTACCAGTTTCGCCACCAGGTGGCTGATTCGGGGGAATTAACATGGCAGGGTATTACGAAATTCCCTTAAACTTGAATATGCATCAGTTTTAGTGGTTCACTTTTCATATTACCCTTATATATCTGATGGTTATACAAATTAAAATATGTCCAGTAAAAGAAAATATTATCTGCCCAACACAAGAAAAGATATTTCACTTTTTATGGTTTTACAACATAGGGTCTATGGGGAATCTCCCCGACCTAGAAGTCACATTTTCAAAGAAAATTTAATTTTCAAAGTTGATAAACTCTTTTCAAAACCACATTTCTAAATGTAATTTTACATGTGGATTCCAAATACGACATCAGTTTGACTGAATTGAATTTTTAATGACGTAAATCAAGATTACTTCTACTCGCATCTGGGATATTGTTTTAACATGTTTTCAATGCGGATTTAGTCCAGTATTAAGAACAAAAATTGGTCTTATAAAAGGATTGAATGATCAAATATTAAAAGTGTAAGGGGCTCAAGAGTTTGCAATCTTAGCATTCAACATTATGTCTGCGATTTCCACACCTCCCTAACAACATAGTTGCATTCATTCTTTATATCACATGGTAAAAATATTATTTTTAATCAAATCATGCTTTAGCTTTCCAAATAACATGAAAGAGAGGAATCATCTAGAAATGAAGTAAACAAAGTATTTATGCTCTCGCTCAATTGTATATAAATGAAAGAAAAACAAATACTTCATTTAATATATGGCGTAAAGATGGAAATAAATTCAATGGATGGAAAACGTTTTGGAGTGTACTGAATAATCATGTCCAACTAAATACTGAAAGTATAAAAAAAGAGCTCAAGAATCACAGTTTAATATTTACACTGTTACCTTGACTCCAATATGTCAATTTTTACTATTATTTTACTATTTTAATATATTATTATCATATTGTCATAATATGCAAAGAAGGAGTATATTATTTCATTGACTGAGAGTGTAAGAGATAAGCAAAATTGGCAAAAATGCTCAAAATTGAATAAAAAATATTCAAGAGCAAGCTTAGGATTGAAATCCGAGATAATTAAAATTATACATCGCCCCAATTGATTAGCATTTGTTCCTGATAATACATTAATTCCTGTGGTTTGGTGCCTTGGTCTAATCAGAAAATGTATCAACATATGCATAATGTTTATTCTCAGTTCAATTTGATCATTTATGATCCAAAATAAACTTTGGTTGCAATACTTAATACCCCAAAATAAACTTGCTCATGTCTCAGGCTCCCAGGATAAAATCCCTCATGTTGTCACTCATTCCTGACAATTTCTCAATGAGCAATGAGTTACTTAATTTCCTCACAATTTCTCTCAAAAGAACAATGTATTTCTTAATTTCCTCACAATTCCTGTCAAAAGACCAATGCATTGCTTAATTTCCACACAGTTCCTCTCAAAAGAGCAATTTATTGCATTCCACACAATTTCTCTCAAAATAGCAATGCATTGCTTTATTTCCACACAATTTCTCTCAAAATAGCAATGCATTGCTTAATTTCCACACAGTTCCTCTCAAAAGAGCAATTTATTGCATTCCACACAATTTCTCTCAAAATAGCAATGCATTGCTTTATTTCCACACAATTTCTCTCAAAAGAGTAATGTATTGCTTAATTTCCAGACCATTTCTCACAGAAAAGCGTTGGCTTACTTAACTTTCTCATAATTTTTCATGACAGTAGCACAATGAATTCCAGACAAAATTCAGACAAAGTAAATGTGCTGGTTCAAAGGGGAATTTTGATAGATTCGACTCATTATTTCCTGACAAAATACTATACTATACATGTATATATATTCTGTCATCTTTACTTATGCAATATTTCCTAGCTTTTATAAATTTCAACAAAATAGCTTACCATAAGATGAGACCAGAACTTACCCGTTGGGTCTTTGAGGATAATCCTGGGATTGTCACCACTGAGAGAGACGGTGAAGTCCTTAAGTTTGGAGTCAATGGGTAAAATGTATGTATGAGTAGCTGCTGTTTCCCTATCAATGGATAACAAATTCACTTTCTTTGTCTGGACAGCGATTCTCACAAATTCTAACACCTGAAAACAAGAGTATTCTGTTTAACGAAATTATAAAAATAAGGGCAATATAATTATGATGGTAAATAGTGATTTTTTCCCAATCTTATTTGTATACAATAAAGTGATCATTAACACCTACATGGCTGTGTTGATAAGTATGTTAAGCCTGAGTTTGAAAAATAGCTATTATCTCTCAATTATTCTCTGTGAATCATGATTCTCTCCAGGTAGTTTCCATATTATGGCAGGGTCATGATAGTCAATATATATTGTTGACTTTCTCAGTAAATCTGTCAAAGACATCTGGATAAGCAAGGATGACCTGATTTTCTACATGCATGGTACTGAAAATGTATTTGAGATTCTCTTTCAATGATAATATATTACCTTACAATGGTAAGGCTGGGGTGAAGATTATGCAGCGAGTCATGTATCCTACAAAAGTTTCCTGGATTTTGTATATCTTAATTGATATCTTAGTTCTGATGAAAAGGTTATTAGTCCCTATCAAACACCCTCCCATACCCTAGGCCCTTACATCCTATTCCTCCCTCTGTTCACACCATCATTCTGTCCATGCCCTTCAAGCTCCTCCCTGTCCAAGCCCTCCAAGCTTCTCCCCATCCAAGCCCTTCAAGCTCCTCCCTGTCCAAGCCCTCCAAGCTTCTCCCCATCCAAGCCCTCCAAACTCCCTGTCCAAGCCCTCCAAGCTTCTCCCTGTCCAAGCCCTCCAAGCTCCTCCCCTCCAAAGCCCTTCCCTTGTCCAGGCTCTCCCCTTTCAATACATGTTCAATCCAAATGAGTACGAAAATAAAGCCTAATCTTTTACTGAAGGTTTGGTTTTTCAAGTCCCTTAGTTATTAAAAAATGTCAAGGCCATACATATAATTTTTCAAGTCGTACTTATAGACTCAAGAGGTTTTTTAACTTAAAAAGCTGCAGTTTTGCATGTTGGCCACCTCAAAAATGAAATATCCATGTGGCACCCAGACGCTTATGACTGCATTTGCTCGCTTTGAGCCAGGCATCGAAATCTGAATTGTTCAGCAAATAGTTTTTCTATGATGAAATATTACCCATGGTTATGTGTGGATTTTTGTTATTTCAGCCTTGTATCTAAGATCAGACTACCAGTGTCTAAAATCTGCCTCAATTGTGTTAATTCTGCATGGTTTTCTCTCAGATTTGAAAGAAATATCGGATTTTTTAAAACTTCTGTATAATTTATAATTAGTTACACGTCTCTTTACAGCATTAATTTTTAATTCCATATTGACAGCTAACTTCAGGTTTCAAAAGTGCTGACAAGACATTTCAAATTTTGGTTTTGTTTATTTTGGGTCAGAGTGACAATGATAACATGTCTAAGTGAGTAAGTGAGGGTCCAGGTGCTCATTCAGCCAAAAAGATTAACATATTTAACATATGAAAGCTCTATGGGGTTGAAAGTGAAAGAGAAATTAATAATATTTTATTACTTTTCCACATGTAAATGCTCATGTTCACTTTAGTTTTGAAAACATTATTTATGAATCATGCAGTGCTATGCAATATATGTCAAATTTTTTCTCTCAACAATTTTCTACACTTTGTTGAATTTGCAAGTGGCAGAAAACCAATTCCATCAATCTTACATTTAACACATCAGGTGGGTGCAGTTGACCTACTTACCTAAATGATGGAGAGAATCACTGACATTTTAGAGTTTTTACAGTACAATATTTTGTTGTATGATCTTTGAGTTTATGAACAGAGCCAGTACTGCATATACATTTTGATTTTCTTATAGTTTCAACAACTTTGGTTCACCATTTAAGAAAGTGTGGGCCACTCACTGTACAGTACAGTGTACTATGGTTCAGCTCAATACACTACAGTATCACGCGGTCCTAACTTCGACCGTTAATTTGAATTTTTGACCTACCAGAAAATCAAGGATTGCGAGTCTCATACTGCACCGTTTTTCTCCAAACTTATACCATTAAAAGCAAAACAAAATTGCCTTTCTGTCGGTGCATTACTTTATTGGAAAGAGTCCCTCGTTCTAGCAGCATTTTGGTCCCCAGCTGTTAGAAGGCCTTCTTACAGCTGGGGACCAAAATGCCGCTGGAAGTAGGGACGACTCTGTTGAAGAGAATAATGTACCATCAGAAAAGGATTTGTGTTATGCTTTGAATGGAACAAGTTTGAAGAAAAACAGTGCAGTATGAGACTCGTAATCCTTGATTTTCAAACATCCGGTAGGTCAAAAATTCAAATTAATGGTGAAGTTATATTAGGACTTTTTTTTTTTTTTTTTTTTTAATATTCCAGTTTATTTCGATCAATCATCAAATGTGTACATAAGAAAAATTGCCAAGGTTATTAGATAACATTAGCGGCTTATTAGGACTGCGTGAGTATACACAGTTTGGTACAGTATAACAGTATTATACAGTACAATACAGTATAGCACAATAAAGTAGAGTACAGTATATACAATATGGTACAATACATTACAGTAAAGGATGGTACAGTACAGCATAATACAGTACAGTACAGTACAGTACAATACAATACAGTACATCACAATACAGTACAGAACAGTACAATACAGGACAGCATAACACAGTCAAGTACTTGATAGTTGCGGCAGTTGCCCATGTTTCAAGTGTAAAGTCAGACAACTTGATAACTGATCCATGAAGAACTCACTGGAAGTAATGGAGCAGAAATAACAAGTTACAAACCCATTCAAATAAATAAATAAACCCAAGAAACATCACTCAAAGTGGTTTTTACTCTTTAAATCTTAAGAAATCATGGTGCAGAAAAAAAGTAATTGCCCCATGTAAATGAGTGGTTGGTGAATCTCTAAATATTGCCTGTCAATTCATTCAGGCCCTTTGTAGTTGGGTAAGTCCAGTAGAATATTCTGACCAATCTGATCATGAATTAACATGGGACTTTTTTTTGCAAATGTACACTGACTTAAGGTCTAAAATAGTTTCATCCTTTCACTAGGGGCAATCCGCGCATATTACCCCGACTCCATCCTTTTCAGTTTAACATATAGGGGAGCTGGCTAATTCTACTAAATATGCTATCTTCAAGATAATTTCTGCTTGTAAAGTGGTAATTTCAGTATGACTTAAATATTAATAATTAAGCAATTTCCTCTTAGTTTTGCCACAAAACTCTTATTTTTAATTCAAGAAATTGTTCAAAATATTGATCAATGAGTAGCAAGATTGAAACACTGTAAACTATACAGTAAATTAATGAACTACCATATTCTCTGTAATTACCGCCCACTCTCTAATAAGCGCCCATCCCGCTTCACAAAGTTCAAGAAACATCGAGGAATCAACAAGAATTGAAGAATATATCAGGAAAAAAATATTTCTCAAAATCCAGGAGCGGGCGATAATAGAGTACTTACCCTAAAACTGCTGTAAACACGACGCGTTTTGTAATTCTATGCATCCTCTCGATACATATCTATCGATGGGTGCTTCCCACACCATACCATGCTAATATTGTCTCCAAATAGTCCATAATGAATGAAGGAATTGTTCTTTATCGGCATTCAGAAATTTCAAAAGCTACTGCGCAGATGTTCTGCGCATGTCAAGGTCGTGAACTTTCTGGTTTCTTTTTAATGTTTCTCGACTTTTACACGACTTTTGCACGAATAATGATGATCTCTCATCAAATTAGAAATAATGTATAACTTTAGATCGATATCCAGCAGTCTCTAGTGGAAATATTGAAGGTAATCGGCGATAATGACAAAGTGGGCGTGCCGGAAATAAATTAGACATAGACGGGTCTTCAACCACTGTCAATATTGTCTAAGCGATCTTTACCGTATTCTCTCCAATAACAGCATTTGTCATATTATTATAAAAATATGTTGAAGAAAATGCATTCTTGTCAAGAAAAATTGCCATACATGAAATTCCTCGGGATTTCTGATTTCTTTCATACATGGGCGCTTATTAGAATGGTCTAAATAAAGTATTTTCAATTTTCTAAACGCCCTGGGCGCTAATTACAGAGAATACGGTAATAGTATTTTTCTTAAAGTGTTCCCATAAAATATAGGTTGAAATGAAATAAGAGGGCTGGTCAATTTTATTTGAAACTCAAAAGCTAATTGAGCATACAAGGACTGTTCAAAGAAACAGACTTACCTGGTTGACTTGTGATTTCTTGAGGAGGAAGACTTGACCAGAACTTGTTGATGCGATCTGTTCATAAGCTTTGTACCCTGGATGTGAGGTATTGCCACAGTCACCTGTCATCACAAACACAACCTGGAAATAATAAGAATGACACATAAAATCATTTACCCTTTGCAGGAGTTTGAGGCCTTCATTCTACTCTCTTAAAAGTACTAAGTTCCAAGATAAGTGGTTTACCTGAAATTTAGGTGCCAAGTTTAGTTGAGGGACAAGATAATATTACAACAATGTAGCACTTTTTCAAAATGCCATAATAAAATTATTCTTGGTCAAAATCAGTACTTCAGAAAACTACTCATGAAAACCCTAAAATCTATTTAAGGCCTGATAAGCATCAAAATGTGAAATCATTCGAAGCACTCAGAGGGTATTAATAGTACCTCTAGCCAAGAGTAACAATATTATATTTAATTCTGACAACTTGTTTAATTCTTTTGTCTGAGGATGTCTATCAATATTGGTCATCATTTGTTCATAAGAAAATCTCCCGGTCTGCTCCTAAATAGGGGATAAGGGTAGGGATAGCTCTAGACATGTATTATGGCACTCATGTGAGGAATATTATTGATCATTATTACCACCTTGCCGGGCCAGTTCTAGGGGTTTTAGTGCTAGTTTAGAAGGCATTCATTTTACTATATCGACCTGAGCAATATGTGACGTCATAGTGGTGGTCGGCCCTAGGTCCAATATTTCACTATATTGCCCTTTGAAATGACGTTATTGTATTATTATTCAATGTATTTGTATAGTCTATTTATATATAAAAGTACAATTTGATTCCATAATCAACAACTATAAAGGTTATTTGACTATTCTAAGTGCACTATTCTAAGTGACTATTCTAAGAAAATGTCACATTACAGGGAGAGAGGGCATTTAAATTATTAGAGAAGTATAGCACTGTCCTAGTCATACTTTCATAACCAATTGGATCAATCTTTGATTGACCCAATTTCTAGTCCTAAACTACCTACACTTGCACACTATTACAATACAGTCCTCTTTGGTCTGTGTCTTAGACTGTAACATGACCAGTCTTGTTCACAGTCTCAAGAAACATGATCAATTTCAGCTACTTTGAGGGACTGAGCATCAGACTGTACCTTAAAGTTGGCAGGTACAGAAAGCTAGAAAACATTTGTGTTATATACGATCCTTGGGCAAGGTTTAGAGAAACAAAGCTGGCAGTTTTTATGACAACATAGAATTTATTTTTTCGTACTTAACTTCCCATATGGTTTGACCAAACCTGAGTCATGCTCTATTTTGAGAGATATATGTAATAAGAGAGGTTGTGTTTGGAAGGCATAAGAGAATGATAAAGGATGGGACGGGCAAAGAACAATTAAGTATGCAGACATGTAGTGCATAGTCTGTTCTTATAGGTATTCACATTTCTGATGAAACCAACTTTTTATTTTGTTTTCTTGTATGATCAAGCCTTTTCTACATTACGCATGACCAAAATTGTTTAAATGAAGGCCACGTCATAATCCAATCGTATTTCAATTTTTACTTAATACTCAAACTTTTTAGAAACTTTGAAATCCTGATTTGAATTTGATTACAAGTTCATTGCTATGCAAATTATACTGTTTCAAGGGGAAAATGAACATAGAATTCTAAGATTTTATTAGATTGAAAAATTGTGAGTTCTTGGCTTTGAATATGCAAATATCCTAAAATCTCATTAAAATGAGATCTAAATGTATCTATCTATAATTAGTCAGCTGAAAAGGTTTCAAAGAAATTGAGGAAAGATCTCATTATGAACACACAACATCTGAATTTCAACTATCATCTACAAGGAATTAGTGAATTGTTTGAACTACTTTAAGTCAGAAAGATGAGTGATTGTAATCCAGATGTAAAATGATTAAATGCTGCCTTTTCCCAAATCTTTCCCAGGTGGGATTCATCTTTTGGTTCTAATAAATCACCCACCGTTTCTGAACTATCAGTGTTGTCTTATATTTAATGCATTTTCAAAGTTACTTCAGATTTACGACTCTACAGTTGCTCTAAATTATTGCAGAAATTAAATGGATTTATTTGGTTGCACCTTGGAAAAGTTAAAGTCCCACATTGTTCAACCCAAAACAATAAAATAAACTTATTATGCTCTTTCATGTTGTTTTTTAGTATTTTTGACAGGAGAGTAATTGTGGTTGGTTGCTTTGGTGATGTCATGTGATGCATATCCCAATATCTCCTAAAGGAGAAGCCTCTGAGCCAGATCCCATCTCCATGGTATCAATCTAGTTCCTCGTGACCTATATATGACCCCTAACCTACCCTACCCTGTTTTCTCCACAAGTATCAAGTGTCTCAGGAAAATATAGCTAGAGTACAGTACATATCATCCTTGGTCCAACATGTCAAAAGGTATTTCAATTTATTCCATGAGCTGGGACGGTGAATGCTCCGGATGAGAACATGTACATTCACCTTAAACTATAAAAAAACAATGGAATATTATATCTGCACTAAGCGCAGTTTGTAGAGTCTTAAACCAGTATATAGTTCATGAGTTGATGAGTGATGCCACAAAACCAGCCAAAATATCCCATGGCTTTTACATTTACATAAGAATCTAAAAATCTATAAATCTCAATAAACCCTTGGACTCTCTAGCATTTCAATACAATATGGAGTCAATGACCTATGTGTTTATACTTTTCATTGCTTATTTCTCTTTCTGGTATAGTTTACTTTGAGTAAGAACAGACATGACTGCCATGTATTTTATGAATAGGCAGATGTAGATAACCTTTTACATGATATGTTGCTCCTGAGAAAATACATATGTCACAGAATCTGCAACATTTTCAACCCAGTGCTGTTTTACTGTAAATCAATCACAATATTTCCTTGCAGTAATGTATGCATCTGTGTTATTTCCAAATCTTTGAGTGTTGTCACAGAATCTTTGAGTGTTATCCCAGAATATATGATTGTTACCCCAGAATTTATAAATGTTACCAAGAAGTTATGAGTGGTTTCCAAGAATCTATGTGTGTTACCCCAGAATTTATTAATGTTACCAAAGAAATAATGAGTGTTATCCCAGAATCTATGCGTGTTACCCAAGAACCTATGAGTCTTATCCCAGAATTTGTTAATGTTACCCAAGAATTTATGAGTGTTGTCACAGAATCTTTGAGTGTTATCCTAGAATATATGATTGTTTCCCCAGAATTTATTAATGTTACCAAGAAATTATGAGTGTTATCCCAGAATCTATGTGTGTTACCCCAGAATTTATTAATGTTACCAAAGAAATCATGAGTGTTATCCCAGAATCTATGCGTGTTACCCCAGAATTTAAGTGTATTATCCCTGAATCCATGAGTGTTACCTATGAATCTATGAGTATCATCCCAGAATCTGTGAGTGTTACCCCAAAATGTCATCCCAGAATCTTTTAGTGTTACCCAGGAATTGAGAGTTATTCCAGAATCTGTGTTACCCCAAAATTTAAGTGTATACATAGAGAATCCAAGTGTGTTACCCCTGAATATTGTTAAAATGTATCTCCAGCAAAGCAAATAGGCTCTGCACCAACTAGATGTAAAGAGACATGCACCCACATGATGATCTATTTGCACATACCTGAAGATGAGAAAAACTATACTAAAAAAAGAGATATATTTCAAACTGTGAATATTTCGTAGGCATTTTGCCCAAAAAAATCTCGGGAAAATAATGAGAGTGCTCTAAATCATGTGCTATTTGTGAAGATGAACATGTAAAAATTGTATAGTGATGTAAAACATTTAGAAACAAGAACAACAACACAGAACATCAGGTAAGTTAGGAGTACACACACAATGTAATAAACAATGCTTTTTAACAGAAAGAATTCCCCCACGATGGTTTCTTACAACATGGGCATCTTAATTATGATGGTTTTGTATTATATGGTTTCTTAATTATGAAGGTTTCCTACTATGACGGTTTCAAACGTAATCTTAATCATGGTGGTTTCTAACAATATGGGCATTTTAATTATGAATCTGTATAATATGGTTTCTTAATTATGAAGTTTCTTACAATACAATGGGTTCTTACAATATAAGCATCTTAATCACGATGGTGTCTTTATTCTGGGCATCTGATGGTTTCTTACAATATCTTAATTAGGAAGGTTTCATACTGTCATACAGTATGATTTCTTAAATATGATGATTTCTTGCAATATAGGCATTTTTATTATGATAACATCTCTTATAATAAAAATCATTCATGAGCTATTCTAATGGGGGTTCTGGACATTAAGAAATCATACTTTATCACAATAAATCATTTCTTGTGTTTGCTCTCTAAAATATGATATCATAACATGTCTGTAGTAAATATACGTTGGAGCCACTATATTGAGAGATATTTACATTGAGAAGTTGTGATACTATAGATGTCTTCACATGACATATGTTCATTATGTCATGTATGTGAATTTTTGTATTTTAATCTTTCAAGAATAGAAGTCTTTATTTTCTTTTTTTTCAACCGCCGTATTGCATTTTTGATTGATTATATACAGCTAAAAGATCGACATTTTATGTCAAAATATAACTTTTTGTCTCCCCAGGATGCTTTGAAGTTTGTACTAACATTATGGAGTATAGATAGTCAGATAGTGAAAATATTGTCAAATAAATTCACAGAATAATCTAATAATCCCAATGATGAACCAGCAATAGTTGACCTTGAGACTTTTACTTTGTCAAAAAACTTTAAAAAATCTTGGAAAGTATACAATTTGATTAGCCTTGTAGATTTTCATGTAAGGTTGTTGTTGTTTTTTGCAAAGACTATATAGTAACAGTGTTTTGGCTTGCTGTCTTTTTCAATTACAACTGGAAATATATGAATGGTATTATACACGGGTCAGCCCTTTAACCAAATACACTCTATAATACTACTTATCATTACTTCTGCCAAATTTTGAGCAATTTATACATAACTCTTTGGTTTATTTATATGCATATGTCCTTTCCTTTTCATTTTTTCTCTTTTTCTCTCTTTGACTAAAAAGACCATGCCAAATTAGGTGCACTTTGGTCAAATGAATGTTTATTTCCATCTTGGGTATTTGTTATTTATAGTGTCTTATGTGAAGACATATTACATATTTATCTACCCTGGATACAACCCTAAAATACAAGTAAGTGATATATAAGAATATAAAAGGTTTTTCATTCAAAAAGATTATTTGTCTGTTCATTTGTTTGTGTTTTACATGGTTCAAGATCATCCTTGTGATCACCCTAAGTTCAGAGCCATCAGAGCAATCTTTTTTATTTTCATTTGGTGCAACTGATGGTATATCTTGCTATGCAAATCCACAAATATGGTAAGGCATGGTGTTTACTCTTTAATAAGCATAAAACAAAAACAAACTCAATGGTTATGGTTAGGGTCAGGTTTTATATGAGTACAGTGAGCAACATATATCCATCACTTGTCCGAAGCCCCAAGAGCTAAATAAGAACTAGGTGCCAGATACAAACTGACACCTTTTAGGGCTATTCTGGAGCTGACATCAATAACCTGCATTTTTAGATACCACAAGCTTCTGGGGCATGTTCAGCCTCTGAATTCTGCATTCTCCTTGATTTAGCTTTAGTGGCCTCAATCCAATATCATGATCAACCCTTGTGCCTTTAGCCAGATATGATGCTCCATTCACCTCAACCCATCTAATTCACATTGGATCACTTTTTCTTAAAGACATAGGAAATAATCAACATTTTGCTATAATGTCAAATATTCTCTCGAGGATTCAAATATATACATTCTGTAGTTACCCTAAGAGGCCCAGTGCCTATTTGTGCACCTAAAATACACAAAAATTGAAAACAAACAAAAAAAACTTCATTTGCACCATCAACAAATTGTCAATACACTGAAACCTTAATAACTTGATAATTTCAAGATAATCTTTTATAACCTCTCCCCCTATTGATAACAAAGGAAAAATGCAGACTGTTTGCACTTAAGTACTGGAATCATTTGGTGCAGAACCCAGAGAAATTATTCAATGAACCAATTAACACATGCCGCCTTGCCTTATGTTTTCTTGCATGGGAAGACTGAGTGCTAGTTCAAATCATAAAAATGATCATCAACTAATAATTACATATACTTAGGTCTGTTATATTTCGATAATTAAAACAATTGAGTTAGTAAGGATGTGAGGACTAAGGTCCTGTTTGTCAATCCTGATCTGGAGTGTTTATTAGAATTTGTTTCAGATTGTTTATTCTCTATTAGAACTGCATCCTTTTTTCAAATGTTATTTTATCGTCATCAAGAATGTTTGGGTTAAGTGGGGGGGGGATCATTGAAATTTCAAAAAATGCTATGTATATTGTTAAATCCACCTCTACAAAAATATCACAAATTGTAATACTTAGGAACAAAAAATAATGAGACTTTTTTGTTTGTTGTTGAGGACATGCTGTTTTCAGCTCACAAATCATCACTGTTGCCCTTGATAAGAGAAATCCCTGAAACTGACCATATATTTTAGACCAGAAATATTCATTTGGTTACTTATAAATGGTTTTCAGTGGCACAAGTCCCCTGTCAGACAATTAACATTATTTCAGAAAGAAATATTTTTGTATTCTTTGGATTCTATTTGAAGTTGACCCCATGTGAATGAAAACTGAATTAAATCTGACAACTGCCTTTAATGTCTCCAGTAGGCCTGTTTTAATATGAATTATTTAAGTGAAAACACAAGTTCTTTTGAAAAATAATTGTTTCTAGATTTTATTTGTACATTCTGTTGGTCTGTTTGTTTACTTATTTGTTTGTTAATTACAATGACAAACATTGACAGCTACAATAGCCATGTTATATTATTCTTTCAATAGAGACAACAAAATTCAGGTATTTCTTTCATTAGAAATCACAAGGATCTCAAAGAGCACAAAAACATTTAACGTCTAATAAACCAAACCATAGCTAAAACAAGGTACATACATACATCATTAATTGTACGTTGGTAAGGACAAACTCTTCTTTGTTTGTGATCAGCTGATCAAAGAAATCTCCTCTACAGGCAATAATGTAAGTCACAGTGACCACACAACTAGTTCCTAAATCAGCTTATTACAAAGAAAATGTCATTCAACTTTTGAAATTAGTCAACAGTTGCAAGGTATGCACTCTTACTGCTTTTATAGCATCCATTTCCACAAGAGAGTAGAAAGCTTGTTAGCTTACTTCAAACATTTGTGAATTTATATAATTATGAAGCTAGATCTGAGATAATTGATTTTTATGTGTGTATAGATTACCAGAGTGTATCTGGTATTTATTCCAATAATGAGTGATAAGCATGTGATTGGCTAAATTGTACCTGGTCCTTTGTCTTGATAATCAACCAAGTGATTGCCTAACGTGTACCTGGTCATTTATCTCGATAACCAACAAAGTGATTGGCAAAAGTGTACTGTGTCCTTTATTTCAATAATCAACCAAGTGATTAGCCAAAATGTACCTGGTCCTTTATTTCAATAATCAACCAAGTGATTGGCCAGAGTGTACCTTGTCCTTTATTTCAATAATCCACCAAGTGATTGGCCAAAATGTACCTGGTCCTTTATTTAAATAATCAAACCAAGTGATTGGCCAAAGTGTACCTGGTCCTTCATCAAATAATCAGACAAAAGATTGATCAAAGTGTACCTGGTCCTATATTTCAATAATCAACCAAGTGATTGCCCAAAGTGCACCTGGTCCTTTATTTCAATAATCAACCAAGTGATTGTCCAAAGTGCACCTGGTCCTTTATCTCAACAAAAAACCAAATGATGATAATATCATTAGTAAGCATTCTATAAGAGGGTACTTATTAATCTTAAGCCTTTGGTTGAATTGTTTAGTCTGATCTTGCCACTGTCCTTACATGATCCCAATGGACAATATCCATCTCTGTCTACAACTTCCCCCTCCAATCCATCACCTGTAGTTAATATTTCACCCAGTTCATACTCATTCCATGGGACTCTTTTCAAACTCTGAAAAACTTATCATTTTAAAGCAACTCTATGAACTCCAGAGTATAAAGTATTAAGTTCATTTGGTTTGTTCCTTGCAGGTGACACATATTCTTAATGAATTTCACAATTGAAGCATGGATCTCATAAAATCATGTCTACTGGTATCCACTTGACCAAGTTGAGATACAGAAATCAAGGGTAATGGTATATATGTCCTTATTTGATCCAAGACAATAACATTCTATTTTTTCACTGTCTAGATAAAAATCTTTCTTGAGAATTTAAGGATAACATTGTCGTATGGGAGATTCATTATAATAAATTCTTGGAAAGGTTTTGGGTCATTAACAAGTATATCTTATCCAGTCATCTCTTTATTATTGAAGTAACAGGGCACCACAATGAGAACTACATCCCTATCACCAATGAGAAATATGTAAGAGGGGACCAGCTTAATCTGAAAAAGGAGCCACAAACAGGTGAGAGATTTCAAAATTAATTTTCCTCCAGTTAAGAATCCATTTACACCAAGCTGAAAATTCATAAAAATGACATACTGACAAGATAAGACAAGTTTATGATCAGAATGGTACAATTCTATTTCTACAGCCATGAAGTTGATAAATATAAGGGACACAACAATAGTGAATTGGAAATCGTCATGTGTATATCATATCTCAGCAAATACATGAGAACCTAACAACTAGATGATGTGACCTAGAATTCCTGACAGGCTTCTTGTCTTATGTACTATAATTAACTAAAACAAACCAAAACCTATATTTATGATTCACAATCAGACATATGTCACTCTGGGTTCATCTCAGACGGAAGCAGTAGCATAAATGCTTGTGGTCAAATTTTAGTAGGAGTTAACCTTATTTGACTGGCCCTTGAGTACCTAGTTAACACCCATACACCTACTATTGTAACAAAAACCTTCCCAAAATAATATTTCTAAATATGGCAATGATCACAGAATAATCATGAAACTAAATGAAAAATTAAAAAGCGGGAATATCCCATAGATGCTGCAAGAGGCAGGTACAACTGGAGTTAATAAAAATGATGAAGCATTCTTCTTTCTGTTATGAATGAGAAAGGTTTGAGCAAAATGAAGGAATTATCTAAAGGGCTTGGTGAAAGAATTACAGCAACTGTCCAAGTGATATTGATCAATGTGTTCGCCTCAGGATGAGAATCATTTGCTCTTCTTGAAAACATTTCACTCTATGGTTATCTTGTCATGGTATCCCACACCATATTTTCCCATATTTGAGTGTCAGTGTCTGATTCTGCCATTTTTATGTAATTTAGTATGAGACATTGTCAAGTATGAATTATTCCTCGCCGATTTCACTCTTTCCTCTGAATCTTTTTGCAATACTCCTTGGTACACCAGGGGATCTTATTTACAGCTAGGTTAGAATGACTACATGTTACAACAGATTTAGAATACTTAGGTATCCATAATCTATACTAAGAGTTCCTTGATATTTTTACATTTTCCCAATTGCTTCAAAGAGTTTCCAAGTTACAAAAGATTCCAGTTTCCTTTCAAAATACATTAATGTTCAATTTTTGAAACAATACAACTGAAGAGACTTTCTTCTCATGGTCATTTTTCATTATATCTTTATCTTGTAAAAGATGTCTGAGACACCAACATATTACAGAGCATGAAAACATTTTTCCACAATATTTCAATGAAGATTATGTAATGACCCTCAATTTAAAGAAAACTGAGAGTCTGAATTGCAATTTGAGAGCAGGCAATATTTTGAATGTGCTAAACATATGTAGCATAAGGTAAACAAATGGGACCAGATAAGTGTTCGTCTTTTGAGGTGTTCACATGTGTCTGTTTAACTGTATGTTAAAAAAGTTTTTTCAATAAATTTAAAAGGCTTGCATGTGTTTATTCCATGACTACCTCATCATTTAAATGGCTTGTGAGCGGAAATAGCAAAACCACATGTAGACATTTGACTAAGCATCAGTATCAATTGTTTTAGTGTAATGTATTTTTATAAAGGAAATACCATGCAGTTCCAGCATGTATTCTACAGTACATATTATAAAACCTGTTCAAGTTCCTGATGGCTTATTTTTGTGTGGGTGGTGCAAGCCAGGTGTGGTTGAGTCCATTTTGGTCCCATAGTCCCCATAAAGGGAGAACCATCAGGCCCGTAGCCAGGGGGTGGGGGGTTCGCAAGGTTCGGGCAAACCCCCCCCCCCCCCTGGCCAAAAATTCTTTCAAAATCATGCAGTTTTTCACCATTTTGAGCACTTCTCAAGTGATTTTAGCCATATTTGGACCAAAATTGTCAAATGTGAACGCCCCCCCCCCCCTGGAAATTTTTAAAACTGAACCCCCCTTGGCAAATCCTGTCTACGGGCCTGACCATACTAAATTTCGATTTTCATATGGACACTTTCTCTGTATCAGAATCAGAATTTTCCTGCTGGCTGTATCATGAGACTCTCAGAAGAGAATCATACCATTTCAATAGTTTATTTGAAAGAGGGCTTTGTAGTATTTACTACTAGACTTTACACTTCAGGGTACAGAAAGAAGACACTTCCCCTGCTGATTTATAAATAACTGGAAAAAAATAAAAGTTTGAACACTTGAACACCACTGTAAGATGAACGCCTTCTTGGTTCTTTTTTATACCTCCCATTTGTGTTCATGTTAAATCAACCTCTAGCTCCAAAATAAATACACACAAACTTGAATATTTTTGCTAGGCCCAAAGAGTATTTTACTTAGAAGGGTTTTATGATCGCTACATAGAAAATCAAGAAAGAAAGTATGAATGAAATAGAAAGTCAAGATAATCAGACAGGAATTATTTCTAGCATTAGTTGAAGGCAGACTATTATTTTCCTACACCATGTGAGGTTCCTATTTATAGAGCTCTGTCATGATCATTCAGTTTTCACTTAGATATGAGTTTTCTGACTACATATGCATTTGAAAAACATGATTTAATACATAACATATTTTTTTATACTATATATTAAGTACATCATTGACCATCAATCAATTACAGTAGTTTAGTCACGAGAATTTAATCCAACTATTCATACTATTTTAAACTAGAAAACAGCGACTGCCACAGTTGCAAATCCCACCAAACAAAACAAAACATATTATTAAATCACTCATATTTTGAGTTAGTATTTGAGATACATTACATTTTTAAATTTCTTGAGTAGAGGTCCGATCTTCAAAAGGCCTTTAAAATTTGGACCAAATCTATCAAATGGTATTTGAGATATCACCTGGACAGATGGATGAATAGAAGTATGATCAAACGGAGAGACAGACGACTTCTCTATATATCCCCTGTAACTTTATTCTATGTGTTTTTAGCTAAATTTCAGATTCTCAATTGGGTGTAACACATAGTTGCCAAAACAATGGATACTAATGGAAATCCTGCAAGTTTTCTGCATACAAACTGAGAGAAACTCCCACACTTAAAATAAACAATGTCAAATTAATTATATCAGGTTACGGATGTCAGGTTAACAATGTCAATTTATTCTTTAAACTTCATGTAAGGTTGTCAAGATATCTTAACATTATCAACTGGCATCTTTTTGTAGATTCAAAAATAACAAATACGATGCCTAATTGGGTTTGAAACAAAGAGATCGTTTGTCATAATTATGCAGTTTAAAATGCTGACCTAGATGTTCAAAAGATAAACTCAGCATTGATTTATGACTACCACCCAGGATTCTTTTCAAATGAAATCCATATTTTTATATGTTTTATATAGGTGTCTTACTGCTCAATGCTATACTGGATGTTAAATGACACTATTTTTGTTGATGCCAAATCTAGGTAAATTGTGCTAATTACTGTCTTGTTTTGTTATCATTCTTCTTAAAATAATATGGCCTTTGTATTTTCATAAGGTTGCGTAAGAGCTATAGCAAAAAATTTCACTCAAATAAATAGTGTTAAAGTTAAAGACCAAGAAATCAGAGATTAGATAAACAGTTCTCTCCTTCAGTAACATTTCCTGTTGATACTATTAAATGTCTTAAAATGAACTTGTTACGTCCTACATAATTCAAAATCATGATTTTCGTGACATTTTTGTTAAGGTGCCTGTTAAGGTTCTTTCTGTCCATTTAGCCTAATTTTAGGTCTGGAGGAAAGGTGAAAAAAACATGATTCCAACAGGCTCAGAATCTGTCAAACTAGCTTACCCTTACAGAATATGTCATGAAGCTTACCCTTACAGAATATCTCATGAAAATCAGAGAATTTGTTTGATTAAGAAATCATTGTAACGTACAGCATATACAACATTCCATTGTTTTCAAAATATTATATATAATTTCTACATCGTTTTAAGATGATTGTTATGTACATAATTTCTACATTATTTTAAGATGATCATATTAAATCTACTTATAAACACTGAGGACAGAAGGAGACCAATATACTATACCAATATACTTAGGCCCTTTAAGAAAATTGTATTTGTACTTGCCTAAATGTGCTGAATAAGAGATTACATGAAAAAATGTTCAAAATTTTAAAAGATAAAGAAGAACAAATATTTACAAGACATCAACATGTTAAAATGTTACCACCTGCAACTGGTAACAAAAGTGTAACAATATTGCTACTATTTGCAGTTGGTAACATTTTGTTGTGCTAATGTAGCAATATTGTTACAGAAGCCAACCACCAACACCAAACTTTGAATATCATGGTAGTCACAACAAATAAAGGCTTAGTAACAGTATGTTACAATTTTTTATTGTTACATAATACTGAATTCCATTTAGATAAATCGGCAAATCATTTTAACTTGTCTATTGGAAATTGATATCTCAAGGAAAGGCTGGCAGCAGGGCCAGGTAAGTGCAGAGATTTTGAAAATAAACGCATCATGATTCTCAATGTAAGAGCCATTTGGAAAACATCACCTCTCAGGGTTAGAACAGAGTGTTTGGTGCAAATACATCGTAATTCAAAATGAATAACTTACGATTCTTTATTACTGTGTTTGGAAACAATAATTTGTTGTTGCCATTATAGAGAGTGGGTGGAACAAGTTCAAATTACAGTTACCCTGAAACCAATCGGCAAGCAGTATCATACTGCTCTCTGAGTACCACAAATAATACTTCAGTTTTAACAATGATAAGATCTTCAAAAGTAGTTTTTATTGTGTTTCATATTGGTTGTTAAAATGTAAAATGTATAGGGAGATGACAGTTTAGTAAATTTTGATTAAAAAATTGTTTTTGAACTGTAAAGATTTCATTGGAAAGGATAGACTTTATTTTATTAAAAGAGTGTTGACTAAAACCTCTTGCAGAGGGAAAACAACTGACTGTTGTCAAACCATCAACAGGTAAATGTTGGTCATAATTTTCCTGGAAAATCACAGGGCAAAGATACTAAGTATGTAAAACTCAGATGCATAAACATAACACAGAATAGAAAATAATTGCTAATGAGTTTTGAAGCTACATGTATGTGGTCACAAATTTCAAAATTTTAAAAATTCGTTTATCCATTTTGGTGAAAATATGTTACAAAAAATGAATGCTTACCTGCGATTGTTTAACTTGAATTATGGACAAAACTTTGGAAATGAGATGGTAATCCTTCGCCCTGGCATCAGTGAAGACATAAATGAATGAATTAGGAAGAGAGACTTCAAGAGCAGTTTTTATAGCACCGACTGACATTTCTGGACAATCTCCACCACCTTGGACATAAAGGTCCCTAAGTTCTTCTTGGAAAAGTTCAGGGTCGGTGGTCACTGTCACTGGTCCAATTTCTAGAATAAAAAAAAAAAATACATAATTTAATATGACATGATTCCTCAACCCAGAATCATTGTTACATTTGCAAAACATGTGTAGCATACTTCAGCCATCAAAACAAAATTCCAGAAAGAACCTCCAAGCAAAAACATTAGGAGGAAATATCTTTAAAAATCTATTTGTTTGATAACTCAGGCAAAAACAAGCCAAATCCAATGACCTTGCAAATTATTTAATTGAAGTCAACAACAAACTGTAAAACACATTAAATTTGCATATGTCTTGAATTTGATTATATTCATGTGAATGTTAAATCACGAATTCAGGATGGCACAAATTCAAATTCGCAAAAATTGCTCTCACAAATTCAAAGTGTTTTACAGCACTAAGTTCAGGTGGCTTTAATAGTCCAAGTCTGGGATTGAGAGTATTGAAGTAATGAATAGCAGCCAGCCATGATCTGTAGGAACCATTAAGAATTGACAAACTGACAATAACTCCTGCCCCCTTGAAGTTGTCAAATTTCTAAAATTCTTTCTCCTTGTAATACATTTACCAAATGGTGCCTTGGACATTCCAGCAACAATATTCTACCAATTGGTCTACATTAAGCATGTTGCAAAATGCCAAGGTATATTTTTCCTTTCCTAGTTTCTGCTATACTGTCTAGTTATTTCTCAGTAGAAAAGCCTATTCTGCCAGATTTTTACTTCAAGTTGAATACTCTTCTGATGTGTTTCTTGACAACAATCTGATGTCTACTGTAATAAGCTACAATATACTATTCAAAATCAAAATGACAAAATAAGATATATAATGTAAAATGCAACATTAAAAGACATTTAAATGTGTCCTTGCAATCTTAAAAATATTTAAACTGTCTTGAAGATCTGCTTATAAATATGTGTTCATATATATATATTCATTTTTATGACCACCCTGTTTTTGAAGACGAAAGATGCAGACACTTTCAAATTAATTGAAATTGAGTAAAGGTCCATGTCCACTTTTTCAGTTAAATAAGGACCTTTAAGAAAAGGTATGGTGATTGATGCTGTGAGAAAAATATAACTGTAACTGGTTTGTATCATTGATTGGCTCTTTAAATGTTGGTATGAGATGTCTTACAACTCCAATTTTAACAAAAGTCTTGAATCAAGTCCCTCTCTCCATCTCTTTGAAACACTAGTGAGGGAAACATAACTGAGTAGAATAAGAGCAGATACTTAATGAAATAACAGAATATTAACGATGAGAGCTTTTATATTCATACATCAATAATATCAATAAAGATTATGTAATTTTAGGGAATATGTTTTTTGAGTGTGTCCCTGAAAATTATGGCATAACTTTATAAATTATAGTAGGTTAGGATGATACTATATGGACATACAGACTATGCAAAATATTTACAAATCATAACTGAATTCACATGTTATCTCTCAACTACAAATTAAACATCCTGATTTTCTAACATTTCTATGCAATTACAGTGTTGAAGTATGACATTCTTTGTGTGTCTTGTTTTTGTTCTCCTGTATAAGAGTAACATACCTGAAGATTATGGTAACTTTTGTACAGTTTTTGAATATTTCATGCTGAGATTTGCATAATAATTCACCCAAGAAAGCAGATCAGTTATTTAACCTATTTCATGGTCCCAGAATCCACTTACAAAATATTTTAGGCATGAGTTTAGTTTTCTCACTACATAGCAAAATAAGTTGGTAAGGGTTTAATAAATCAGAATGATTTTTTGATAAATTTGTGGTTCGTCTTAATCAATAGTAACTGGTATTGCTTTCTTAGCTTGCAACAAGGTGATTATATAAGTAACCACATGTAATATAAGTACCCACGGTGTAATATAAGTGCCCACGGTGTAATATAAGTGCCCACAGTGTAATATAAGTGCCCACAGTGTAATATAAGTGCCCATGGTGTAATATAAGTTCTAACAGAGTAAGTGCATCAGGCTAATAGTCTGGCACACATGCTATGAACAGACTGTCTAACAGAGCACTATGACTTGAAAATCATATTTTTTATAAAACCTGGAACAGACCCGAACTTATCTAGGAGTGCATTTTCTCACTGAATTTTGAAAAAATGAGTACATGTAGTACAGAAATAGATAACACCATTTCTGTAAAAAGCTAACATTAACAGTTAGCACTGAATGACCAGGTTGGTAAATACCAAATCTGTTGAAACAAAAGAATGTTGGAGTGATAATAGACAAGCAACTTTGGAAATGGTAGTAAAAATATTTGTCTGAAAAACCTGTCAAGAATAATAAGATTCAGTTGTATATTAGCCCAAAAGGCTCCTGAGGGTTTTCTTATCAAATCGTGTTAAAAGCTTTATGTCCAATCCCTTGATTAATCTTGCAAAATCTTATGTTACATCATACTTTAAGGCTAATTAAAAGACTAATTTTGTAATTTTGCAATCAATAAATTGAGATTGCGTAGAATTTTAGAGATTAATATATATTTTTGGGTTATTTTATGATTTATTGAATGTATTTTATGTTTTAGCAAGTGAAGGTTTCTGAAAATCTAGTTAACTCCTTGCGAGTCAATCAACACTGTTGATAACATACTTTTAAAAACATGTTAATTTATTTTTCCCAACTTTGAGCAAAAAACAATGTCTCCATCAATATTATTAAACAAAAGATACCATTTGATAGAATCAGAGCCAATTATGCGGATATCTGAAGAGCAATGGTGATATGTGGAATTCCATGCTAATTAACTTGGAATGGTTTTACAAGACTATCATTATTTTTCTAAAAGCTGAATTTTTCCATACATATTTTCAGGAAAGTTGACCCCTTCCCTTGGCAGTGTTAAAGGGTCATATTTTCAATAAACTCTTTAACCCAACTTTGGCTATAGATTCTGCTGACCTGCCCTGTAACAATGTTAGATGACCATACTTTCAACAAACACTCTTGCTTTCTGTTAGTAAAGGGGCCACAATTGTATTTCAACTTACAGTTCAATATCTAACACAGTAACACATCTTGTTTTCAAAATACTGACTAGCCTATTATGTACAAAAAACAATAATGCTGTGCAAACAACTACTACACTATTATAGATGTAGTAGCTTGATGCATTCCCCATCCTCTCCCTCCTCCTCATATACACAAAAAAATTTGCAAGAGGCCGGTGAGCCAATTTACAGCAAATATACTTTCCCCCTTTTTCCTAAGAGCAACAAAGTGACATAAACTTTGTACTTCATGACAATAACAGTGGATGAAAAACTCACTGGGATTATCTTTCTGGGTTAAATTAGCATCAAATCAGATGAGGTTTCAGAGATTCCCTAAAGGTATCAACTGTTTGTTTGAGAAATACACCCAGATAGAAATCAAAACATCCCACTCTCAAAAAATAAAACTTCAACTGTTTTGCTATATCAGCACTTTTTTGTATGATCTGAATAATTGGTTGAATTTATATCATGAAAATGTATATACTTCGGAATTTGGAATACATTGTTTGGTTTACTGATTGAGAAAGCATCTACATATGTAGAAACACAATGACTACCACCAGGACATTTTGGATGAGAACAAAAATATAACCCAAGATCAGTCTGACCAATTTAAATATATATGGATACGGGTGAAAATTGCAAGGAAAATACTTATTTTGGTCTACGATCAGGGTGGTGTCTTCATCTCCTAGGAGTTTACCCTGGAAATGACTGACTTTACCAGTTAATAAAATAAACACAGTAGCAGCTAAATCCCTGGACTCACAGTCAATTTATGCAATTCAAAAACTTTTAGAAACAGAGAATAACAAGTCACAACCATGCAAAATGTCACCAACTGTCATTTGTTACAGATGCCAACCGCTGAACTGAATGTCAGACACCAACCACTGAACACCATCCACAGAAAACTTGGAGACTATAACAATATGTCCTCACTCTGGCAAAAAATGGAAAGAGCAAATATTCGGCAAAATCCTAAAACTTTTCTAACACTATTTATACCTACAGTTTACTTTCTTCCAAGTTTGATACTACGGTAACATGGCATACCATGGCAAACAATTAAAAAAAAGAGCCAGAAATCACAAAATGCCAAATGACAAGCAGCTGACAATAGAATATGGAACATAAGACACAATTTCTTTAGCACAATGTAGAATTAAATGATCATTCTTCTGGGTTCAACAAATTAAGTCTTGAGTGACCATTAGCTGATGTAAATGATCTATATGAGGCCATTGAAGTGCTTCCTATACAAAATAATCCATTTCAGCCAAATATATTCACTTTCCGGTATTTCCCTCTTTGAATAAAGGGTCTGAATCAATGTCTTGAATTTGCATATTGAAATCACATGCTCAACTTTATTTCTGTATTTTTTTCATTAGTATCTTATATGTTTTCCATCGTGCAAAAAGTCACTGTGAGTGATTTAACTCACTCTCTAATAACAAGGTGAAATAGATAAGTTGAGACCACCTTGACTGGCATAGTACCAAGTAGGGAAATACATATTTCTTCATCCTCCAATATGAAAGCAAAATGGCCAAAGGGGAAAAAAAATTATTGAAGAAATTATATTTAAAAAGAAACACCAACCAGAGGGCTTTGAAATAAAAGACAATGGGATAAATGATTTGAAGGATTAAAAGAGGAAAGGGTAACTTGCTGAGTGGTTTACCCTTTCAAAAGAAAGAATGAAAAAGAGCTGAGATGTTTCTCCCATGGAAAACAGCCAGAGCATGGAAAATGTTCAAAGGTTTCTTACCTCATATTGTGATATCATAAGGTATTACCAACAATCAATGGAAGTTGTCTCTTAAGCGATATTTCTGTCTGGTACTCAGATTAATGATCACAGCCTTAAAACTTGTAGGAAGAGCAAATAACAACAAAATGCCAAGCAAAATCCTAATTCCAACTATTGCCCCCGATTATGATAGGAATTATCATTAAGTTGCGAAATCAGTTTAAATCAAAGGTACCTCACCAGTAAACTTTTGGTCTTCTGAACATTGCTTCCAACAAACAAAACAAGGCATTAACATGACAAAATGTCACCACCTAGTTGCTCACAATATAATTAGTTCAATCTAAAGTCAGATTTGAACTTCTGAGAATGTGTAGATGATTTTGAAAAATAAATTGGTCAATTTGAAGCAAGTTGAAAATGGACCATTTTGACCTTGGGAAGATCATTGAAGATCAAATCTTTTTTGACCCTGAGAATATCATTGAAGGTCAAATCTATAATCAGATTTGAACTTTCAGAACTTGTGGATGATTTTGAAAAATAAATTGGTCAATTTGAAGTTGAAAAAAGACCTATTTGACCTTTCTATGACCTTGAGAAGGTCACTGAAGGTCAACTCTTAAATCTAAACTCAGATTTGAACTCCTGGTGGTCAATTTGAAGCATGTTGAAAAAGACCTTTTTGACCTTTTTTGACCTTGAAAAGGTCATTGAAGGTCAAAATCTTAAATGTAAAGTCAGATTTGAACTTCTCAAAACTTGTTGATGATTTGGAAAAAAATTAAAAATCAGTCGAAACAGTATTTGTTAAGTCATTGTAAGTTTTAAGAATTTGTTACAGACACCAACCGCCGATTACCAACCAACAACCACCGCCACAAAAAAACTGAGACCATAACAATATGTCACCACTTCTTGGTGGTGACATAAAAATAAGGCTAAAAAGAATCAATGTATTTTTCTTTTCCATGAATAACATTACAAACAGGACAACCTTGACACGTTCACAATAACATGCAAAGTTCACGACCACAATTAGTTGACATATATCCCAAGTATACACCATATGCTTATAAATAACCCTTGAAAAACACATTAACCATGCTTTCTTATCAATAGACCAAAAATTAGATGTTACATAAGGACTATAATAAGCACAAACAAGAAATATGCTAGATTTTGAGAATGTATGACTATGCATCGTATAGAAACTGTTTCTCTGTAGGCTAAATCAAATGATTTATAAAAAAATCGATATATATTTTTGGAAAGGTTTTAAAATTTCCCTCATCAAATTGCAAGTTTAAAATAAATCTCATTCTTACATTACCAATTTTAAATGTAAGACCGATATTGTTTTTCATGTTTTTCTTCCAAAAGAACAAATCAAATCAGGTTAGTTTCTAGGACAGATTATTTCCTGCTGTTATTTTCTCCCCTGTGTTTATCCAAACAAAAATTGTTTGTTTGAATTCTGTTTTGAAATTAAAATTTTTACATTCCAGTCAACCATCCTATCCTATTATGTTCTGTGTGTGTTAATATTCACTATAAATGAAGAGATGAAAGATGTAAGGCCGAATGATGTGCTGCATACATGAAGGTTTTGGTAAAATAAATACAAACAAAAGTACATGATGCATTTGATATAACACAATAGATATGTAAAAGATATAAATCTATGATAAAATATACAATATAATATATACAATAATATGATACTTTTGGAAAACAGTAATATTGTATAAGAAACCTACATGATTTTTAATTTAAACCTACATCAGGCAACAAATGACACGTGGCACACTTCAACATGTGGCCAACCCCCAACAAGCTCTGATCTGAGGACACCTTCCCTATGGTTGGTCTTCCTATTCTCAGTGCACATAATATGCTGGCACAAGTGTGTGATATCATATTACAGCAGACTATTTCTATGTAGACCCAAATTAAAGTATTCAAGCAACACCTACTCCTACATGGTTGACATCATCCACAATCTCCTTTTATGCAACTTTTTCAGGCCACCCTGTATACTGATGGCTCACAGAGCAGTATGTGACTGAAAATGTTACCTTATACATAGCATAAATTGATCAACATAAAATAAACTAATTCATCAAGTAATATGGGTAAACACAACATTTTCTGCAAAGGGTTCTTTTGGGAATAGTCTGCGTAAAGAATAATGTAAATGTAAAGTATAGATGAATAAAAAAAAGAAAAAAAAACTACAATCATATCAGCTCTCCTCTCATGCCCATGGGCATTCAAGTACCAAGTGTTCTACAGTTCATACTTCTTGTGTGCAAATGTGTGCATGTGTGGTGGAAGAATGTGATCCTCAACGACGTCTCCCTCCTTCTCCCCAAGGAGAAAAAGACAATTTCTGTGGTATCTCAGTTTGTCCATAAACATTTCAAGTAAAAAATCAAAACCAATGGTACAAAGCGTAGTAATATGTTGAATCGTATCCAGGAAGATAGATTTGCTGAAAAAGGTGGTGATGTATCCTCAGTAAATAGGTCTAAGCACCTGATAGGAGGCCATGGTCTCCCACCAGCATTACCTTCTCTGGTCGTGTTTTAAAACACAAAATACTCCCCCAACGAGAGGATTTTGAGAGAAATTGAAAACATAGGGATAAAGGGGACATACTAAATTGTATAGAAATGGTAGAAAATAAATCCGTCCATTCAAATATTTCGAGAAATTTAGCAAAATAAACATAATGTGGTGAATCTTTTAGACTAGTACTCTATCAAGATTATTTCAAGAGATCCTAAAATTGCAGGATCATTAGACTGTTTTGTGTAAGTTCTTCTCAACAACTTCTGCTTACAAAACAACAACAATTAGAACACAAGGTATTTATTATTTTTGAGTAAATTCAACCAAATGTAGAAGGTGGTTGGTGTGACTCTCCAATCAAATAGCTAGGAATAATGAATTAGAAACGAAGGAGATAATAAGTGAGAAATCAAATGATCAAGAGAATAAACTAGGCTTAAATGAGTATTTGACAGTTTCAATGAAAGATCTTTGAACAACAAACATTCGGGATGACAAATATGCCAAATATCTAGGTTTACAACATTTTTATGACAATTGCTGCGAGTTTTATAGCTAAAAAGAACCTGTCATGAAAAAAAATTTTGTGTTCTGGATCAACCTTATATAAAAACTCCACATTCATATTTTGTAACACTAAACTTTGAGACTAAGTCAAAGAGAGAACCTGGCAAGAAAGATCAGAATGAGACCATATTATTCAACTTGTTTTTCACGATTTAGTGTACTCTCAAAGAAGACAGAAACAATTAGAAAAATTACTTCTTGATTGGGCAATGTCATTAAAATCAAATTAGGATCTGATTAAAAGACCTCCAGGAAGACTGATAAATGTATAATCTTTCCGAATTCAATCTGTGTATGCCACCACACTCACATGAGAGTACCAGGTTTGCATGCAGGAGTTGATGCCAAGGTCCCTAAGCTGAGTACTAAAGGTTAAAGGACCTTTCCATATTTATCCAAGTTATCTTAACTGTGGTTTTGATCCCCTTGAGTTACCTCAACTTGTTCAAGTGACTCTTTGTCATTCACTGATACCTCCCTTGCAAAAGATCTCTTTTTTAAGAACTTCTTCAATTCTTTAAAGTTCAAATTTCAAAGTTGTTGAAAATATTATGAAAAAATAAAAAATGAGATCAATTTTTGTTGCAATAAAGATTACACCTGCTCATCAATTCTATTTCATTCTGCTTTTGCAAAGGTACATAGGAAACCACTATCTTTTTAAATTAAAACACTTCTCAAATATAATTCCCAGCTATGTATCATCAAATTGAACAGTAAAAAACAGTTAGTCAGAAAGAAACAAGATGACCAGAGAAATTAGTGAAATCAGTGATATTATTTGCAAGATGAGCAAAATTCGATGAATACGTGAGAGAGTAAAACATGAAACATGCATAAGAGCATTACATTTCAAACAGAGGATGCAATACATCTCAAAGACCACAGGTTTATAGTTTGGGACAATTTCAAACAAAATTGTGGGGTCTCTAAGCCTGAAGGCCTGGACTGTGTTAATCTAGGAATAAAAATGATCTAGACTTCAAGCTTGTGTTTTTCTTTAAACATTGATGCATCGATTTATGGTCTCTAAATGAAGATAGGTTCATTCTGGTTTATTTGAGGGAATCAAGTACATACACAAAATGTACAACTGGATAAATCAACTTCAATAAATGTCAGTTACTCGAAAACGGGACTTTTTAATTTACCAGATTTTTAGTTTTGAAACTTGAAGTTGAAATATATTTAATATTTGGTTGTAAAAATAGTTCTTAGCCCATACAATTTCTATTGGGGAGGCCAGGTGAGAAACACCATGATTCTTGACAATCTTTGATACAAAAGCACACGACTTCAACTTGGCTTGGTAAAACTCTGCTCATCAGATGTTGCTTTTATTATTCATTCTCAAGTTGTCAATTTTTGGTTTTAATTCTTATTATTCAGAGCACTATTAGCCAAGGCAGTGTGAGAATATACAAATACAGAAAATAATAAATTAATTAACAACAAAAAGTAATGCAAGTGGGGAAGAATTGAGATATCTGGGACTTAGAGTGTCTGAGCATTTTTCTGGATGTTCTTGGGTTATACAACGTGTACAATATGTATATTATATATATATTGTACTATAGGGCTCATGCTAATTCCATAAGAAAGAGGTAAAGAATAGACATCTGGAAACTATAACCCAGCACAGGAGAATCTTGGTTCACCGCCATTTTTCAATTTTGTTTCATTTTTCACCTCAGTAAAATGAACATCAAAGGCCGACCAGTTATGCATGTACCTAACAACTGCATGAAACTTTCCCTATCATTCAATCTTACAAAATCTAAAAAATCCGAAAACTCTTATTAAAACTAATTCATTTCAAACACAGAATCTACATCAAATTCACATAGCCCGATATACAGAAGTACCATATATGACGAAAGTCTGTAAAAAAGTTCAATAAAGTTCCATAAATCTGAAAATTATAGGAATTTTTTTGCAAGATTCAGTTGGGATAAATAGAATTCTAAAAGCAAAAAGACAAGAGAGAACACTCTTATTGCAGAAAGCCACTATTAATCATATCATGGTAATAGATTAGAAGGAATTCTTTCTAAGGTAAAGGCCTATTTGGAAAAATTTCTCCCGTCAAGTTCCTTTTATATTATTTTCTCAGACATCTCAAAAAATCCTCGTTTCTTCCGTTCAATTTCAAATCAGAGCTTTATATTATGATATTACATCCGACTTTGACTTGTTCTCTACTCTATTACTCATTGAATGAGAAAAATTCTTGCCATGATGTTTTTACGGGATGTATCCTTGATTTCACTTTCTTTTACCCTTAAATCTTCAATCATTCCACTTTAACATGAACTCAAATATATTTCCTAAAAATGACCTCAGAAATATTTCTGTTTGACATTTTTCATATTCTTCACATCATAATTTGGAATGGTTCAGTTGGACTCAAGTTCATCTAAGATCCTCTAACATAAACCGAATACATAAAATGGTAAATAAAGATAGTAGGTGACACACTGTTTAGAATAAAACAACAGAAAATGTCATTAAAGTTAAACTTTGTGTAAAGTTTATCAATTACTGAAATAACATCCCCTTTTTAAACAAGACATTTATTTCTAAGCTTTTGTAGTGTGCAATGGGAATTGTTTATACAGTGGGTGAAGTTATGCAAAGATCCAAAACAAAGATGTACAACTCTCTTAGCTAGTCAAATCTCTCCCCTCACTACATCTCCCTATTTTTACTGATTTGATCAACTTAAGGGACCTCACAGTCAAGGATGAAAGTCTTTTACCCTTGTTTTATAATCACATGGCTAAATACCTAACCAACTGTATAAAGAAAAGATAACTACCTAGTAAATATAAGACACACTTGGGATTTGCTGTCTGCATTTAGAGATTCCCATCTTGTACAATCTATCACATTGCCCCAGGAAATGACTCAAACTGACCTGATACTCTAGAATTTACATGGCCCAAGAGACCAGTCACAATTTAAATAAATAGATGGCAGTACTGTTTTGGACAAATCAAATTGCATAATACAAGTATAAAATACAAAATACTGACAAAGGTTACTTAATTTCTTGACTTACCAATATTTCATAGAAGATAACTTATTCGGACATTTTAACTGGAACTGTGAAAATATTGTCTATTTCATATTATTTGATCTCTATTAAATTTAAAGTTAAGCCTCGCTTATCCATGATTTGTCTCCTCTATTTTTGATCCAGGCAACAACCTTGAGATATAAGTTTTTAGTACTCAAAACAAGGTTGCTTACATATGAGGAAATTGGAAAACAAAATATTGGCAAGTGATTTGCTTTTGTATATAATACATACTCTTGTGTTTTATGCCCTTGACAATAACAGTAACTATTAATAGCTGCTGTTTGTGCATGTTGCACTCTCTTCCTAAAATAAGAACTAATGGCCTTCATAAATGCTAAATTGCATTTTAATGGAATTAACAAATATCACTATCATCGGCATTAGTTATGTTATTTCCTGTAACATCGTAATTTCGTGACAGACGATCGTATGTAACCTTCAATCATCATGATATTTTACTTGGGTATCTATCTTACTTTTTGTGTCCTGTTGAATGCGGATGTAATATCTAATACAAGATAAAACAATTAGACAAAATTCAACTTCCTGAAAAAATTGTCTATACATCTAAAAACTAGTCCTAATATTCAAAGGAATAAAAATGAAGGTAGGCAGAGTAACCTTAAACTTTTTCATGTGGGCTTACATAAGCAATAGTTATTTAACAAGCTCCATCTTTAAGTCCCCTGAGATTCAACCAAACCCCCACAAGGTTAACTTTAAAGCCCAACTCTTTGGTCTTGAATCCTTAAATGTTGCTCTCCAAATTGAAGGAAATAAAGAGCCATACCATACCATACCATACCATACCATACCCACGAACCTCATCTTAAAGCCCATAAAACTAAAGCCCCGCAAGTTTTACCTGAAGCCTCAATAAGCTCAAGTTACTTATTTTAGATATACTAGATTCATATTAAAGCCTCACTAGGCTCAACGGAAAGCCCACTTGGCTCCTTAACACTTCAAAGCTCACAAGCCTGCTTTAAAGCCCTGTTGTAACTGTCAATGAATTCATCAAAATCCTGTATTTCATATAATGGCATATGAATAGCAAATCTCAAAAGCCCCAAATAGCTTAAGTCAAAATATGTTTTATATCTTTAGAACGTTTGTGTTCAACAAACCAATGTCAAATAAGTCAAGCCTGTCTTGCTAATTCTAGGTATTTCTCACTTTTTATATTTTTTAATTTTCTGAAGTTTTAAAAGGTTTGAAATTCAAAACTTCTTGCCAGTTCTTTTTTCTTATACATTCAAATCTACACATTTTCAGACTTTTAACCCATGACCTCCTAATTTTTTATCCACAGTATGTCACACCTAGCAGACTCAGCCTGACATTGAAACCTTCTCAATGATGAAAGACATTTTGATTATTTGTGACTTTTGTATGCTTTCAACATAGTTAGGACCTAATGCTCTGCCAGTTGAGAACACAATCTTGTTGGAGTTCCTTGCAAGACATTTTGATACATTTCTGCAACTCATTGACTTAAAAGATCAATCAAAAGAAGAAAATTCCATATGGAATCTGAATAAGGGTTTTGTTACACACAAAGAAAAAAACTTGATGAACTTCTAAAATAACTCAGACTGACAAAACCATCAACTAAATCATTTTCTGTTCCACAACCAATTAAGCATAGTCGAATTTCCATAAAACTGCACCCAGCCCTGTTTTTCCAGATACCCGCTGTAGCTATTAACTTTTTAAGATTTCCTTATCAAAATTGTTCCAAGGGATGATATACAGGGCAAACTTCTGTTGTGCAAATTGACAAACCATGTTTCATAATGGGTCACATTGACCCCTTGGTTGAAGTTGACTGGGGTTATCTGGGAAAAAAGAAACTTCAAACACGTTTCTCATAGTTCTCCTTTTGTCAAGGAACTCTATTTGTCACCCTAGATAAAATGTTGAAGTTCACTTTTTCAGACTTGAATAATCAGATCCAGAGTTGACTCATGATAAGTCCAAATAAGCCATAGTCAAAAAGCAAGCCTGAATTTCTCCGATTAATAAAACAAGCCAAAATCCCACTGGCGGATCTGGGTGGGCCCAGGCCCAGAAAAAATTGAGCCCAAAAAATTAAAAAAGGCCTTAAGCCCCCAAAACGTGGGCCTTTTTGGTCATTACTGTGCCATTTAAAGCCTTAACTTTAGGACAAATTTTGAAGAAAATAGGCCTCTAATTTTCAAAATTTGGGCCCACTTTTTGGTTTTAGGGGCCCAACATTTTTTTCCAGGCAAGCGCGGAATTTATTTTTATCATACTTGAAATTTGCCTCCCCCTTGTTGGTTCCCTGATCTACCCCTGAATCCAGCCCTTGTTATAGTGCCTAACCATCATTGATGGACATGCAACAAAGCATCAACTGTACTGGAAATTTTTTCCCAGTTAAAACAATTAGTGTCAAAACAACCATTCATGTCAAAAAGGGATTATTATATTGTCATCCTATCTCTAAGTGAAACGTAATATTGACAACTCCCTACATAAAATATCAAAGGATCTTAGTTTCAAGTAAAACACACTGAAACAAGAAAATAAGGGTAGAACAAAATTTGTAGGCAAAATTTTCAAAACTTGTTTTAGATAAGGGTGAGAAAAATGAGCATTTAATTCAGAATGAGATCTGAAGAATATGGAAAGTCATGCCCAGGGTGATATGCACACCTTCCTACTTAGGATTAGTGTGGGATTTTCAGTAGTTTCTTTTTCCCTCAAAAAACTATACATTCACCAACAGTCCATGCAAGAGCTCAAATTTGACGATCCTAACCCAAAATATAAGTTTGGAACTATTGTAACGGGAGGGGGGATGGAATGGAGTGAAAGTTGAGATTCAATGGAATTATTAATCATTCTTTGTCATGCATTTAATCTCCATACTCCCAAAAAGGGACATACTTTTAATGAGAAGGTTGGCAGATGAGAGAGTCTGAGATTAGATGCAAATTAAGAACCAAAGAAAAAGCAAGATGTTTGGATTGCTATAGCCCTAACTGTCCAAGAATTTCTCAAATGTCCGTCATTTTAATTAGGGGTATTTGTTTTATTTTAATGGTCAGACAGGTCTCTGGAACTATACCTCTTGAAAACCAACCCTTCAACAAGATTGCAATGTTCACTCTCTTCCTCAGAAAACAGTGGAAACTAGAGAAAAGGTGAAAAATAAATAAACAGCCATGAAAAACATAAGATTTGAATTAGATACAAATGAAAGGAAATTGGACGCTTTATGCATCTCTGAAAAAACGTGGGAAGTCGTAAAATGTTTTAACATTTTATGGGCAAGTACAAATTGATGATATCTGGTTGTAGCTAGTATCTTCATACTATTCTCTCTCAATATCAACCAATTCAAAGATTTTATTCTCTTTTTCTTTCTTTCTCCTCACTTAATTGTCAATTTGGATGAACAAGCATTATTCAAATACATTTTTATTTAATTCAGAATATATATTTAATCCCTGAATACTTTATTCCTGATGGATTCATTTCTTTTAATTTCAATTTGGCAGGGAAACAGGGACCAGTAAATGTTTTATCTAATTGCAACTGCAGATACAGGACAGGTGTGTGGTTCCAGAGAGCAAAAACAGTGTCAATCTAACCCACCTTATAATCTTGATGCTCTTTAGTCTTGACATATCTCAAATACAATGGAAATGAGAGAATTCAACAAGGATGACATTTAACAGAAGGAAGGGGGCATAAATACTTTTTTTAAATATAAAGTATGATTTTCACTTACCAGGATCGTGGAAGGGAACCAGCACGTAGTTGTACAAAGGTTTTTCTCGTCTTGCTAACGTTGTCGCCAATATCTTTGCAGCGCCCTCTATAACTTGGACCAGATCATCGTACATCGAACCGGTGATATCAAAAACAAAGGCCAGTGATGCAGCCCCCTGTGGGATTGTTGAAGCATCATTTGGGTCAATGATCGCCCCAGGTTGTGCAAGTGCCACGTCCAAACTACACAAACATAAAGTTACCAAAACTAAACAAGCTATGCTCCGTTTTGGCGGAAGCATTGTCCCGGTATTACCTAACCGAACACCAACACTCTAAAGCCCCCAAAACTTATATAAAAATCCTTTTAAATAAATAATCCAAAAATGTTTCATAAATCCTCTCTGCTCTTTTACACCATTGTGCAGCGATTTCTCTGAACTATTTATAATGTCAAAAAATTTCAGAGTCCACTTAAAGAGTGAAGTTTCAGCTTGCAGAGCAGAGAGCTTTCAGCTGTGTGTTGAGCCAGTTTTCCTGCCTAGCAGTAAATGATGAAGTCTGTGGAACTGTGGAAGCACACAAATCTAGGATTTGGGAGCATCTCACAACTCAAGACTTTGTGGTTTGTTCAAAAGTACTTAGTTAACATGAAGAGGATGCCATAAGATATCACAAAAACAAATGTACAAGACAAGTTAGTTCAATTGTTATCAAATGTAGTACTTTTTGAGTTATTTATTTTTTTCAACACTTTCAACAATCCTATTGTTGGACCAACATAAAGACACCCTACATTTACAATGACAAATTCACTTATGACATTACATAGTCCCTTCCTTCCACCCTTCTGGGTGGAGTAACCCAAACCAACCTTCTAAGCAGAGAAAATGTAATAAGCCAGAAAAAATTCCTTCTAAAGTAAACGGAACGAGTTAACATACAAAATGTCATCACCTACCATTTGTTACGGATACCGACTGCCAACTACCACACACCATCTACAAAAATTGAAGAATATAAAAATATGTTGGTGATGACATAATATCCAAATATTAAGAATATGGAGTAAATTGACATACATAGTGCTTTACCACTGTGACGTTTCAAATACAGGGTGATATGCTAAATTTTGAACAGATAGAAGTAAAGCCATTGAGACAACCCCTTTCACTTACGAAAGTTCTTTCCTTCCCATTGGAGTGACAGCCGTCTGCTGGGAGAGTCCATCTAATACAGCAGGGGTCTCAGCTTGATAGGAATTGACTCACCCATCACAGGTAGTGGCAGCACAAGAACAACCTGTTACATTAATCTATAGAAGTCAAAACTGTTTTAATCATTATGAACAAGAAATCTAGAAACAGTTGGTCAATTTAATTGTAATAATACACTTGTGTGGAACAAGTCAAGAATTCACTTAAATTAAAAAAATTATTTCCTCACTAATGAATTTGATCTGATCAAGCTAAACTTCATGTACATGTACTTTGACATATAGAATTACCACATTCATTCCAATGAGGACACGATGCTCTACAACTCTACAAGAGCAATGGATTGGGTGCTCCCAAAACATATACCCTCAGTGGAAGAAATCAGATATTCTCCTACTTACTGAGCTTTTGTTAAGTTCCGATTCATCTGCATTTGAGAAGGTGAGAGTACAATGGGGTCTCAAGAGGTTCTTGAAAGCCCATGACATCTTCTATTATAAAATTTCAAATCTGAAGACTATCCATCACGGTATCTATTCTGACAACCATCCGAAAATAGAAAATGTCTGCCTTGCAAATATGTCATTTTGCACTCAGCAATAGCAATATCACATCCTGATCAAGTGCTCTGTGGGCCAGAAGCTAGTTGGTGATGTTACTTTATCGATTTTGAAAGTTTCATTGAGTACCATGGTAATGATGATAATTGACCAATAAAATAGTTAGATCTTAGATCTCAATTATGTCTCGAGTTTTTGTTTAGATCTTTCGTCCAGTTGTATTGGAGCGGCAACATCTTTGATCTTATTTTAGGATCATCTTGTATTAAGGGGTTTATTCCATTGCTCTAACTTTACAATTCAATTTTAACAAGAACCCTTCCTTCTCCCAGGCACTTCTTTATCTTGATACTATGGAAAAGTGTGTTAAGAACACAAGTAGATTGTATATCTTATTGTTTTAATACAAATCAAACAGTTCATGAATTCTTACAAATTAATCAATTTTTCCAAAATTAGAAAGATGGAATCTTAAACGAAAGAGGCATGGTTTAAATATACTTTGCTTTCAAAATATTAGTTTTTAATTCCAAAATTGAGCAACACAATTTTTACTTATAAAAAATTGGAATTCAATATGTAAAAGATAATAAAAATATTGACTTCACTATTAATTGTTAGCATTGGAAGAAGTAATTATTGCTTGCCCTTTCAACCATTTGCCTATATATAACACTGTATTAATTTCATATAAAGTACACCCTGTGTACATGGAACACCTTTGGTACCTCTAACACATGTTCAGCATGGGACTTTGTCCACTTAAAGAGGTTCAACACTAAGTTATTTGGATGACTCTGAAAGGTGTTCTACTAATGAGTGTAGGTGTTCCACTTTCCAGGTTTCACTGTACAAGTATTCACATGAATGTAATCATGGAATAGTGCTAAATTGAAGTACTGTTTGATGATGAGAACTGATTGTTCTCTCTTATATTTGATATTGCCTCAAAATGAAAACTCTGCCAAATATATTTCATACTATTATACCCTTTGCATTTGCTAATGTTTAGATCGACATCTGTGATGCCTGTGATGCTTAAAATGATTAAATAAAAATTGTCATATTGAGCTATTTTCATTCAAAATAGCCTCTCTCAAACAACTTACTTGAGCAATGCAGATATAAGAGAAAATGCCAGATGTCATACTGCTTAGTGTATGTGTGTATGACTGTACTATATAACTCACTTCTAAATACGAAAATCATTATGATTTTTAGAAAAACATTTTACTTGTATCTATGAAAAGTAAAAACTTGGGTGAAAAAAGTTGGGTGAAGTGACTTAAAAACACTTATCTTGTATTGCACAAATGTTTTGAAAGTTGATCCTGGCATTAACTTGAAATATGCAATATTATGAAATTTCTGAGATGCGTTGATGCGTAACTATGGCAATATTGTAAAAAATTAAGAATCAACACTAGATGTATAAACATCATGACTGGACCTGTTAATGCCTTAAATGGGTGGAGCATTAATGACCCATATCCAATTTTCCCAAATTATGGTCCCTACAATATTTTTTTCATTCCACAATTGAATGAATTTGAATTAAAATCTGATATACACAAGTAAAGTGACAATTCTATGAAAAGAATGGAGATACTGACTTTGGTAAAGAAAAAGCATTTGCATCTACATAGCCTCCAGAAAATCCTACCCCCTCCCGCCACCCTTAGATTCCCAGATTACTTTCTGATTTCTGCAACCTTCAGTTTTTCTGATCCCTGAATATTTATCAAAGTTTTTTCTCATAAAATCTCAATTTAGGATGAAGTGTACATAGTTCATGAGTACAATCCATGGTTTGGGTGATAAAACATCAAGAGGAAAATAAGTAACTACTTAAACTTACCAACTTTACATAACAAATAAACATTTGGAGTTTGTTATGGCTAGCTTTGACCAAAACATAAATGCTTCCTTTTCACCCTGGAATTATATCCCATTTTAAATAGTGACCATATTCCAAAAACATGTAATATGGAAAGAACATTTAGATTTAGAAAATCAACTCAGAGCATAACATTTAAGCATTTTTTGAAAAACGATAACACCAGACACTCATATTTCCATGAAGTGCATGGAATTCAGAGCAAATTCATTTTTGGAAGGGTGATTGGAGACTACACCTTAAGTAATATCTTTCCAAGAAAATGAAGCTGGAATATATACATTACACAGATACAGGGTGACTGTAAGTATTTAACGAGAAATGCTCTAATTTTTCAGCTTATTCATGCAAATTTTGATATACGTAGATATTATATTAAAATAGATCACCCATTGATAATCAATGAAACCTCTACATCCATTGAAAAACATTGAAACCCCTACATCCATTGAAAAACATTGATACCCCTACATCCATTGAAAAACCATTGATACCCCTACATCCATAATACAAAGAATGTTACTCAACTGTAAACTGGCATCAACAAATTCATACAAGGCATTAACATGCAAAATGTCACCACCATTTGTTACAGATTCCACAAAAATCAGAGACCATAACAATATGTCACCACTTTTTGAAGGTGTTGACATAAAAATGTTTTTGAGGTATTATTGCTCATTTGAAGACAATACTTGGCTACTTTGAGCAAGGGCGAACGTAATACCCGGAACGTTCGCAAATTGGCGTTCGGTTTTTTACCGCATCCGATTTGAATAAGCCAATAAATGATAGGGGTGTGAGAACTTGAATTTTTTTCTGACGATGTGTCTTACCTCCCTTTGGACATAAAGTCCACAGCTGAATATGTCAGCACATGTTGATGATTGGTAAAAACAATGTATCCTTATAACGTAACATATTTTCAATAGTTAAGTGAATTACGGTCACGAGCCATTCGGAAACAACAGTTAAATCGAAGATTGTCCACGTCCATTTTGATTGCGCTGACGAGAAACCAACGGGGTCTTCTCATTTGCATAATCAGGTCACCTTATACTGCGCTATAGAGCTGGGTAAGGGGGGTAAGACTGACTGACAGAAAACACAATCGCCACTTCAAATACATTTCCCTGTTTATTCTGTTCGTATTAACCCTTATTTTCATATCATATATCTAAGTTAATCAATTATGCCATGGAGTAAATAACCGCAAAACGGTACAGAAAAAGGTACCGAGGTCTGAGAAAACCTACCCCTCTATACACCATTGTCTAATGAAGACCAAACAAAGCCCCGGATGTCGTGTCGTTTCGTTTGGTACACAACTAAGCCGCGGGTATTAAATAAGCCCTTGCTTTGAGTAGTTGAGTTGAATTAATACCTCACTGCATTTAGCACTGATCAAACTACATGTAAATATGCAAATGTAGATAATTCATCTTGCATCAAGTCCCTGTGCTGCCCCCTATTCTCAATCTAACAAAGGTCTTACATCAAGTTTCCCTGTTACCCCTTTCAGCCATATTTTTCTACTAGATAAGATAAATACATAATAGGTGGAGTGGGAATACCTACATACTTATTCATGACTGCTGTAGAAATGTTTTATATCCATTTCAAGAACATCTATGTATGTAAGCTTATGTATGTATGTCAAGTAATTCTGTAAAACTTTATATGACTGATACTTAAAATATCAAAAAAAGTTTCAACAAAATTAAGTGATTTGCTGAAACTTTTCCAGTACATGTACTTTTAAAGTTACTTATCAATCACCCTGTATGTACAGCTCCAGCGTAGGTGGGTCAATTTATAACAGTTATACAGTGTGGTCAGACTACAGAATACATTAAGGTGAAAGCATTTCCTCTCTCACCCTATTATCTTAAACAAATGTCAAATATTTCTCTTATAGCTTCATGAGTTGGTTTTTATGTTTTTTTCCAAGCAAAACATACAAAGTTATTAGGAAATGTCGATTTTTAGAGGATGGACATTAATAAGAAATCATGCTTTAACTTGTAAAATAAGATTAAAGATCGATATTGGCAGGCAATAGTGAAAATGTAAAGATCAAATGTATTTTTGATGTGCCATAGCAAGGCCTATTTTACACTCAAGAATGATAGTTAACCAAAACTATAACATTTAAGGTTTAATGGTCAAAATGGCTTTATTACCAACATAATTAATTTGTTTATATTTGGAAAGTGCAATGTATAATGTATGAGGAACAACTGCAACCAACCCTGGCAAAAAGTTTTACTCTGCTGAACGACCCTTGCATGCAATCTGCCCTCAGCAAGAGGCTTCTTGCATAAGCAAAGATGTATATCATTGTAATTTTCAAATAATGAAATGGGTAGTCATCATATCACTAAATTGATTTTTTAAATTATGATAATTGCCACATGCAGGCACAATATGAAGAACTCAAAACTGTGAATTGGACACAATACTGCATGGTGGGATTGTATGATTTTTGCAGGAAAATTCACTATGCTTACAAGAGTTATTTTGTCATGAGAAAAATTACATGGAACATCTATAAACTATCAAACAGTTATATTCATTACTTTGGTTGAAATTAAAAATGAAAAATTTGTGAAATAAATTTTTGAAATAATATGTATGAATGAGAAATCTATAGAAAAAGGTCCATTATCACAGCATGTAAAGTATCTAGGAAGAATAAAACAATTTTTTAGCCTTCTCAACTCATCAAACTTAGTTCAACCCTTGAAAATAAAACTACACCACAATCATCTGTTTATAGATTTTTATTACGAAGTTTCACATTGGATATTTTTACATTTATGAGAACTAGTTACACAGGCAGCCACATGATGGCAGCACCTCTCTGTCATCACATTAAAAATTCAAAGTTGTGCTTTAAAGAAGATAAACCAACAAACTGCTCCAAGAGACTTGCCTAAATACCATAATATACACATTAAAATGAAATGGTATAACATTACTCATTAGTGTGGAGTGTCACTTTGGGAATCAGGAGAACACAACCACTCGGTAATCTTTGGTAACAAGAGAAAATGAAATCCTAGAAGTACCTAAAGGATGAGTCTGGGAATGAGTCTGGGTATCGACTTAGAAAATATTGAAAATTGTTATGTCTGAAAAACCAACTCAATCACACATATTATTAAACTTCAATATCTTAGCCTTCTTCTGAGAGTACAAAAATATCAATTTGTATCACAATTAATGAAGAATATTGGCATCAAAGACAGTGCATATCACTTTGTCAGAATTGAAAAAAAATCAATGGCAAATATTAAATGAATTATTTATACAAAAGGTTTGAAACATATCCTCCAAAACATTGCTTACTTTCTTTGTATAGACATTGAATGGCATTTCTGGATAAGTGAATTGGTGTTTATCTGGGTAATCAAGGGATTATAGTCACTCAAAGTTACTGAGCATCCAGTTTTGAGAGTTCAATTGTGTTGGTGAAGTTACACATATTTCAGTCAAATTCATGCTGAGCACAACATTCCGGTTTCAATTTTATAATCTCTATACATGACCCTGGTGATGAAGAGTCAGAATCAGTCAAAAAACCTAAACCGGAAAACTGTGCTCATTGTGAAAACTAAAAGTGAAGCAACTTTTTTTCTGATATTTCTTACATCAAATGGCAGCCATCTTGTTTTTCCCCCTTCAAATTAAACTGGCGGGAAATTCAAAAATTTGAAAAAAATTTTAATCCTTAAATATATTTCAAAAATATGATTTTCTTTTAAATTCTTCATGGGTCTTAAGTTATTTCTTCTTTGCAAGTCATACATGTTGCCATTGAGGTTTTTATTCTAAGATACTTATTCTGACTCTCAGCAGGGGGTTAATTTTGCATCAAAACTCGTGAAAAAGTAAATATATTTATCAAATATAACTAGGACAGTAATAAAAAACATATTTAACATACATTTGACTGAGGGACCAAAAGGGCATATACCCGGACACATCCTTACAACAGATCAATGCTAGAGTTCTTAAATTACGAACTCTCCAAAAAACGCCAGAGATAAATTCACTTATATTGGATATCATAACAGGATTAATGGTCCTGTTGACGTGGGACATTGAATATATAAAGACTAAAATTCCTGACCAGTTTTTTGGAGATGATTCTTTTTTACTGAAGCATTGTACAATTCCTACATTCTGCTGAATTATAGAGAATATTTAACTTTTTACATTTACATGTATGTCTGAAGATGAAGAGAATTGGATTGATGAAATTATACACTGTATTGTCAAATGTGATGAATATGTATACAAATGCTGTCTTCTGTTGGCTTTGTAGAACTTCAAATGTCATGATTAATCTGATATGTATTTATTTTGAACACACATATTAATAATCCTAAATCTTATTATGCAATATTTGGCAATAGTACATGTTTGAATAGAATTTAAAATAGCATGAATTATAATTTTGAACATGATTCCTAAACGCAAGATTGACGAATATGCTCAAATAATAAATTAGGACATTTGAAGTATGATGAGGTGAAAATAGAAGTATGATGAGGTGAAAATAGAAGTATGATGAGGTGAAAATAGATAGATGATCTTTCAGAGTGATTTAATGTGAGCTGAAAGATGTTCACACCAATGACATACAATATGAGTAAAAATAACACAAACATTTCAACTTCAATTTTTTCTTATAAGACATGCTTATCTGTGGGATTTAACTGTACAGTAGTCTCTACATATAATATCAGTTTGTCACAAAACTGCTTCTATACACATTCTATACAAAATTAGTCCCTGTCTTGGTGGACATCTGTTATTTCATTCTCATATGACAACCTGAATGCTACACTGTCTGTGTACACTATGGCAGCTTTATATAACACTGAATGGACAACTAGAAAATGGTGTAATGTAAAAGAGCTTAACTAATCCGCCACTGCCTCGAATCTGACCGATTATGTTCTCTTATAAGCGATTATAGTGTACAAAAATAGAATTTATCTATAATGCAAAGTATGTACCCTCTACCAATCATCTTTGAGGTCACTCGGTGGATTTGCTATTCAATGAAACATTCACAACACCATATCGTGAACAGTCCAATTTGGTACATTTCGCCAATTTATAATCGGTCACAAGCGAGGCAAAATTTTGAGTCGCCATGACAACATCTGCAACATAACATTTCAATCCAGATCGGTCATGCGAATTTCTGAACCACAATGTGTTAATGCCCCCAGCAGAATTGAGATCAAGTCATTTAACACTTTAGCTGGACATAACTGTTTGCCAAGCTTCCTGCATTGAGATACTATTTAACATTATCCTATAGTACAAGGGCAGAGTTGTCATGTGACATCAGGTGTGAATATGGTGACGGTTGCTATAGCTACCACTGTTGTTGCTGGGAATGTTACGGTTGTCATAGCAATGAATTTAACTATCCTCCTCCCCTTCTTCATCCTCATCTCCCTCTCCCTCCTCCTGAAAAAGATGAAGTGAATGTATCATGATATGTATGTTTCATTATTTTCTAAAGAATGTATAACTATTTTTTTATGCAAAACCAGTCAGAAAGGTAAAATGCAAACATGTTGTACATGGATATATAACTTGACCTGGGCACCAGATTAACCAAGATTGGGTCAAATCAAGCACATACATTCTAATATTCTGCCAAATAATTGAACTGTTTACATGTTTGATTTCATAATAACAAATTTCTTTGCACATGTATTTCCATCTAATTAAATACATCACTGATATCTAGGGGTGAGACGACAACCTGATGAGTCGAGGACTCGCGGGTTTGGGGCTTCGAGTCGAGTCGAATCGAGTCGAAGTTGATGAATCGAATCATTTTCGAGTTGAGAAAAAAATTCGAAAAAATAAAAAGATTCAGAAAAATACTGTCAATATGCATGTTTTTACTCGATATTGCGTTGAATATATAAGTTTCAATGACTTGGATATGCTTGTATTAAATTATTATATTGTATGTACACATAAATGAAAGAATATATGTAATAAAATCAGAATAAACTTACAACGAATTGTGTTTGTTTATATTTCCGGCTTTCCACCATTGACGCATTAAAAATACGAACGGTCAAAAGCGATGTTGTTCGCACTTTACGCGACTCGAAACGGATTCGAAACTCGAATCGTCATTTTCTGACTCGAATCGGATTCGACTCGAATCGGATTTTATCGACTCGTCTCACCCCTACTGATATCTCACTATTTTACTACATGTAGGCAAATAAAGTAATAAATAAATAAATACAAGCTTATTAACTGAAATTATCAATTTATGCCCACCTTTAGACCCACTGGACAAACATTAAGACATTTCAAATTCAAACTTAATTACCTCTCCTTCTTCATCCTCATCAACTTCATCTTCATCTTCCTCGTCTTCAATGTCCTCATCATCAAGGTCATCGTCTGAAGCAACAACATCACACATGGTATCATAGAAATGTCATAGAAATGACAAGACACATATTACAACATAATATATGTGGCTTTATGAATTGTATGATAGGATATCAGTTCAGTATTTGACTGTCAAATTGTTATATTTCTATTACATTATTAGGAAAGCCTGATAAGCATTTATAAATTACACAATGAAATGTAAAGAAAAGTAATTTATAATTTAACAGACTGAAATGTCACATCTTGGTTCAATTCCTAGATCACAGTGTTCTGAGGAAAGCGACAAGTTGTGTTTATGTTTCATATACGCACTGTCTTCTGTGTATGTGATAGCACTGTCAGCCATCTACACTAGGGATAAGTGCAAACTAGGTTTGAAAATGAGTAGATACAGTCGAACAATGTCTCAAATTGAAATCGGTTTATCAATTTGTATTGTATTACAACTACATACCTTCTCCATCTCCAACTTCCTCATCAATTTCTGAAGCCTGAAAAACAGAAATAAAAATATTTGTCCATCAATAGAAGACTGAATCAAAGAGGACATAAGCCCCTCAATTAAAAAATATTCATGAATGTCTGAAGTCTTCCCCAAACCTTTCACAATAGCATAAACTAGTTAGAGCAGCTTTTTTTAATGCATGCAGTTATGGACCAATGTTCAATACTCTGTTGTCAGGGGTGTCACATTTTCTACATCCATTTTGAATGAGCTATGATAGCTATTTATGCCATCCAATAGATATACTTTTACCAGTGTTGAATATATATAATAGTTATATTTCAGACCTTCTGGTTGATACAATTACTAACTTTCCAAAGGACATGACTGAGTGGGTGGGCCACTAAAAGCATTGACCAACAAGTTTTCTTCATCAGAAAAAAGCAAATTTATAGAAGTGTATTGAGCGTCAAATCATTAATTTGGAAAACACAGAAAACTTGACAACAATATTTTAAAGATAATAAAAACGTGGGCAAAACAAGGAACTACATTCATGTGTAAAGAGTGCATGTAAACTGCAACATTGGGTTTCTTGAGAAAGGAACAAAAAAAGCTTTAATGAAAAATGTAATCATAATCTTATGTGGCATTAGTGAATCCTCAACCTACCCTTTACCACAGGTGAAAGTTCTCTGGGAAATAAACCTGGGGTGTGGAAAATAACTTAAATGGACGATGTTTCAGTTATAAATCCGCACCAGAGTAGAAGGAAGCAGATCAACAAGATGCAATGCGTGATTCCTGACTGTGAGAATTGTTGACGGAATTGTTGAGCAAAATTGCAAGTTTGTCTGTATGCTATAGAATATTACTTTGGCCATATACTTGTTGACTTGAGTATGCAATGGGTGGTATGAGTATGGATATTTAGTTGTAAAAGTGCAACATTAATTTTGCTGAATAAAATTTCCTGCCCCTTTTCTTAGATATTTAGTGGAGTTAAAAATTTACCCCTGTTTTAGCATTATTTGTCCCCACATTTGGGAAATGACATATTACTTGTATTATTAGTAACATGCCATTGAATTACTGCCAAGAGTAAATAACTGAACAAGTAGCTCCAGTACAGTAAGTATATTACTATGTTAGGTATCGGTTGGTATGAGCGACTCCTTATGCCACACTTAAGTTAGATACAATTGCAAGTTAGTAGTCAATGCAGAAATTAATATAGAAAACAAGAGTCAACTCAAACAATCTACAGGTGTACTAACCCAGGGTTCATCATTCTACAATATATAAACAGGGTTATTTATTCAAAATAGGCTTTTTGAGGATAAGAGGTGAATACCAACACCAGTTTTTTCCTAAGCGTCGGACCATGGGACATCTCCGATGATGTTGACCCAGGACTGACAATTTATTCCAACCAACCAGTCCACAAGACCGTCCAAGTCCGATGGCTAAGATATGCACCAAAGTCTTACCTCAAACATCAGTCCGATCGTTGAACTTCATTTACTCAAGATTTTACTCATTATCACATCGAAAATCTTTTAAACAGACAGGATTTTTTGAGTTTCAGGTCTGCAAACGAGGATAAATTGCGTAGCATAATCTATCAATAACTTCGAAAAACTGTTTTCTGATTGGTCGAAATGAATTGTGGGTAGTGACCATATGCTATTTCGTTCAATGTAAAATTTCTGATTATGGAAGCAAATTAACCGGGAATTCCAACAGGGGGACTTCATTACTGTCCACTAACTAATAAATAAATATAATTATAACGAGAAATTATATGGGGATTCATAAATTGATCGAGTAGGATAAATGGAGGTTAAACAATCCCGGGTGAAGATACAAACTACATTTGTTTTTGTCCAGTGTAGCAAAAGTAATTTCCGGTTCCTGTATTAATTTTTAAAATTTCTTTTTGAACTGCTTTTGACAAATGTCACGAAATGTGGTCTATTTTCAATAAAGAGGAGAATGAATCTCTTATATAATATCTTTATTATGAACTATACTCACAGGCTGGTATCGAAATATTTGTCCGCTGTGACAGAGCATGTTATTTTTCATAAAAACACTAAGAATACTTCACGATTTATTTTTTAACTCACATGTTTCGTTATACCATACAAAATTACTTACTCCATGCAATGGATATATCATTTGCGGGTAACTTTCACTTCTGTTTGAAGTCCAATTACGCTGGGAAGAAAAGCTATTGAAAATGGCGCCGGAGTATCATACTTCAAAATGTACCATTTCTTGTTTAACTTTCTAATGGCACGATATAGTGACACGATAATATTTACACATGGTTTCAGCATAACTATGAAGGTATAAATGAGATGTTGATGTATTTGGTCTTTTTAATTCTTTTATAGAAAATAATTTTGAATTTTTTTGTCCGCTGTGACGGAGCAGTTGCAAATGTGAACTGTGAAAATGCTCCGTCACAGCGGACAAAAAATATTAATATTATTTTTTATAAAAAAATTAAAAAGACCCAATGCATTAACCTTTACCATGCTGCCTTATTTCAGCAAATATATCCCACGCAACTGGCTTATTTTTCAAAGAGTGCAAAAAATGATATAATAATTAATATCTCAATAACTACTGAATGAATCTGGATAAAATTTTCACAAAGGGAAGATACAGTGGCCTGGCTCATGAAAAAAATGTTCACATGAATTTTTTCGTACATTAACACGACTGGGCATGAATATACCATGAATACTCCTCCGGAATCCGCCGCTCCGCCTCTTCGTCTGGTCAGAATCCAAATCTGAATTTGCAGCGATCGAATGTTCAATTTTTCAATTCAGAAAATATTCTAGTTTCTATTTTCGATGACCGTTATCGGCTTCCAAGAGCCTAAAGAGCTCGAAATCGTAATTCATTTCCTCCACATTTTCGTTGTGATCGTATTTGTCCACCATTTTGTACGATTCGTTCACTAAAAACGACTAAAACACTGTTTAAATTGTTGAATTGAGAATTATTTTTCAAAATATCGCCATTCTAGGTCAACAGGAAGTCATGTTAGGCACTGAATAAATCGGGCAATCTAATTGGACAATACGAATGGCGCGAAAAAGTAAAGTTTTTAAAAGTTTGAAATCGGGCGTACGGGTCCGCCGGCAGTTGTGAGAGACATTTTAGTCTCGGCGGACGAGTCTGCCGGCAGCACGCTAAAGGTTAATATTTCATTAATACATTCAGAGTTATGGTGAAAACATATGTTAATATTATCGTGTCACTATATCATGCCATTAAAAAATTAATAAAAAAGAAATGGTACATTTTAGAGTTTGATACTCTGTCGCCGTTTTCAATAGATTTTACTCCTAGCGTTATTAGACTTCAAACAGAAGTGAAGGTTACACGCAAATGATATATCCATTGCATGGAGTAAGTAATTATCTTTGATATAACGAAACATATGAGTTAAAAAATAAATCGTGAAGCATTCTTAGTGTTTTTATGAAAAATAGCATGCTCTGTCACAGCGGACAAATCTTTCGATACCAGCCTGTGATACTGTCTAACACACACACATAGTGATAATGGTATACATGTAAATCATATGTAGTTATCCTTAAATTCGAAGTAACTTTAATATTTTAAGGACTGGTTGATTAAATCACTTGGACCTGTGATGTAGCAGAAGTTACAGGTCCAGATGACTGATGATGCTTAGCCTGGACTGGTTGAAATTTTGATATTGCCAGTCCATTGGTCCTGTGATTTATATTTGCTTAGGAAAAACACTGTCCAACACTGGTGAAGTTGTAACTTAATGTATCCCTGATTATGATTACTAATGATCACTACACAATACAGAATCATTTTCTGCTTATGATTCTTGGCTTTTTCAGATTGATTTCAGGACATCATTTTTTCTTTTTTTCTTGTACCTTAAGCAAAAACATTGTCTTGTTTCTGGTTACAAAGTTGAGGCCTAGCAGCCTGGCCAAAAACAAATGGGGCAATGTGCAGCTTTTTCTTTGTATTCGGATTAAAAATAAACAGATCTCAAAAAAGCTTGTAATTTTCTCACACAGACATGCTGACAAAAAGTGATAACACGATGGAACATAAATATACAATTTTGACCTGTTTTGGGAAACATTAGTACTGCAAATGACAACATTCCTTATGACATCATTCCCATACTAACACAACACAAATTCATCCACTATGCCTTTAAGTGAATCAACCTACCAGGTAGTATTGTAATGGGTTGGGCCAGATGTCATCTTTGATAACTTCACCAAGCTCATCTGCTCCAGCATCTCCATGATCAGTGAACCAACAGAAAAATGATTCTTGTTCATCATGGGTTCGTTTCTTTCCTTTACTCGGTGTTGCTGTTTTCTGAGTTAGATCCTAAAATCAAAATGTAAAAATACAGTAGTTTCTCTTATCTTTACAAACCACATGTACGATCAGTTTGCTAAACCCCCCCCCCAAAAAAAAACAACAACATTGTAGTAACTTGTAATATCCAAGTATCTAACAATCCTTATAAACATTCATGAGAACTAGATTTCTCAAAGGTAATTCAAAAATCCTTCTCCATATTTCTCTTGATTTTAGAGGTCACACCAAAAACAGAAATTAGAAGAAACATTTTTTGTGACAATTTTCGCTGCATTTACTGAGAATAGAATGAGTGTCACATCTTGGTTCAATTCCTAGATCACAGTGTTCTGAGGAAAGCGACAAGTTGTGTTTATGTTTTATATATGCACTGTCTTCTGTGTATGTGATAGCACTGTCAGCCATCTACACTAGGGATAAGTGCAAACTAGGTTTGAAAATTATTGTAATGCAGTGCTCAATACAAAGAATGCCTCAATTCTAATTCATCAGTTTGAATAGCCTTTTTCAATTATAGTATTTACTTCATAATTATTGTAAATTATGTGTGTTTTAAGAACATTGAAAGCAGTATAGCTTCACCAGGATTTTGTTGCAATTTTTTCATGATTTTTATCAATCAGATAAGTAAAATTTCTTCTATCTACACAATGACTTAATATTAAGTATAAGTATCTAAGAAGATAGCAAGCAAAATGAAGACTATTTGATGAAGATACCGAAAATAATGAAAAATGCCTCACCTTTCCTGATTTCCAGTTGATAGGTGTTGATTTAGATGATGGTTCACCAGTGTCATTTAAGTGGAACTCCTTAGAGATAACCTCATTGTCAAAATATGGGTTTATTTTATCAAATGTCTGCAAGAAAATAAAAATTATTACAAAAAAAGTTATATTCACACACGTCACTGTCGAACTAGTTTTGGTCTTTGATTAACAACAAATCAGCATTGTAATCAATATTGGACTTAATATCAGAAAAATGGTTTCATGGTTCTTTTAAAGCATGCAACAAAGTGTTTAATACTGCAAATTTTCTTTATATGTAAAAGTCTATGAGTATATTCATCATTATTATCTATAAGCATTATAAAAAGGTAGTCACACAAACTTACGAAGTTTATTGTGTAGCCTGATTTGATGTCTTCAAATTCTTGAACTTCAACTTTTTGCAGGAACTGCAATGCTTCCTCATCTTCTTCATTTAGTAATGCAGACACTTGAGGGTGGTTAACAAACTTACACAGTCAAGGAAAATATCTTATGAAATAACTTAAATGATTTATCTTCAAGTATGCATTAAAAAAATAAAGGAGAGGGTCAATTTGTCTAGGTATGTCAACAAAATGTTGTTGGCTGCATTTGAACAAACTCCATTTTAGTTTTTAAATATGTTTCATTATATTTTCTGGTGGGAGTGATGAGTCATCTAAAATGTAATATGCCTCGATACAACGCTAAAATACTGACCTTATTCAGTAGTAATAAATGGTCAAAATTGTAACAATGTAATTGATATTTTGGGGTTTAAAGCACACTCGTGAATAATTTTTGCAGATTCTTGAAGAAATAAAAGATTAGACAGCATAGTTCCTTTTGTGAAATGACCTTTAAAGTTAGGAAGATATTTTAGCTCATACTTTTAGGTATAATTCAACTTCAGTAAATTTTGAATGATTAGAAAATAAAAAAATAAATAAAAAATCTCCATTTATCAAGGATACAGCTGTTACCCAAAAGTTAGGTATTTTGGCTATAAGGTCTGATCGCTTCCCAAAATGTGGTTGCCGTAATTTGTTATATTTCTGTTCCACTCTAAGTATCTCTTCACTCGCCTGCTCATTCAATCTGTCAATTTCATTTTGTACCTCGTCTATCTGTTCTATAGCCTCTTGGTGCTCTTTGTCTAAAATCACATTAACATCATTATGTTGAGTTGGTAAATTCAACCAGCACTTTAACAGGTGTAAAATACTGTTAAAAACATCTTCATTTACGTTTTATTACATGAAGTTATATATGTGGGGATTATCTCAATTACTTAAGTTTTTATCGTAGAAAACAATATTCAAAATCTTATTTTTTACTGGCCATGTATATAAAACATATTCTACCAAAGTGTGACATAAGATTATTAAGGCTCATTTTTGGTCAGGATAGGGGCATACCAGAGTTGAACACTCAATAAACTCTGAGCTAGCTAAGTGATGCTTAGTCCCAATGCTTAACTACTCAATGGCAACTGATATATAGCAGGGTTACATTGATTCATTAATGAAGCATTTTGACAAAAATCTTCTTCATGGAGGATTTTTGAGGCTTGGTTATGAAGGATTTCTTAAGGCGACGCTATATTAAATAAAAAGTACAAAAAATGACTGCCATATTTTTTTGATAAAGACACATGTTTTTAAAATCTGTTTACCTTGTATATGAATTGTGTATCTTGACTAATGAAACATGTCAAAGTTAGCATCACACATAAACACATTTTTCCAAACTATGAATTGGAGGTGCATGGATCCCCAAAGCTAGCATGAAGAGTGCGAAGTGAGGCTAATTTTTGAAAGTTTCAAGGAGTAGCCTTGCAACAGTCACACATTTGCAAGAGTCTAAAATTTCCACAAATCATCTTACCTTACCAAGGAACAACGAAGGAGCACGAAAATGTGTACTTCTTGCATTGTTAGATTATAATAAAGCTCAAACCATTGTGAATTCTAAATATTTCATGTCCACCATTTTGTTTCCTGGAACTATTTTTTAGTCCAGAGTTATCTTCATTCATGTTTCCATTGTTTATCATTCATAAAGCCTCTATCATGTATCTATCATGATAATAACACTGTAATAGATAAAACATACAAGTGATAATCCATGCCACTTGGTGTAGTCACAAAACTTGCATGAGGATTAATCAGGAAGTCTAGAAGTAGTTCCGGCAAACAAAATGTGGACATGAAATATTTGGAATTTACAATGGTTTGAGGTTTATTATACTCTAACAATGCAAGAAGTGCACATTTTCATGCTCCTTCGTTGTTCCTGGGAAAGGTAAGATGATTTGTGGAAATTTTAGACTCTTGCAAATGTGTGACTGTTGCAAGGCTACTCCTTGAAACTTTCAAAAATTAGCCTCACTTCGCACTCTTCATGCTAGCTTTGGGGATCCATGCACCTCCAATTCATAGTTTGGAAAAATGCGTTTATGTGTGATGTTAACTTTGACATGTTTCATTAGTCAAGATACACAATTCATATACAAGGTAAACAGATTTTAAAAACATGTGTCTTTATCAAAAAAATATGGCAGTCATTTTTTGTACTTATTATTTAATGTAGCGTCGCCTTAACCTTTGTAATCTTGTGGCCAGCAAGGTCAATGTTAATGATATTTTGCCCTTGACCAAACCCAAAATGAAGATTGAGGAGTTAGGGATATGTAAATGAATATAAATAAAAATGTGGCTTTAGGTTTCAAAGGAAGTGTACACAATTCTTATCGAAATCGATTCTTACAGTCATTCATAATGTTCTCCTATAGTCACAACAGTTTCCGCTATCTCAAATTGTAGAGGTATTTTTTCAATTCACAGAATATTCAACATGGAGGTAAGACTACTCTCGTAAATTAAATTATGTCAATGAAAACTCAAGAGAACCAACCTGATTAGTTGATTCATAAACCCATGTGCAGTTAACTATTATTAACATAATTTCACTCAAAATTTCTTTTGGTGATATTCTAATATTTCATGATTTTCGAAAGATTTTGACAAAATAAGGACTGGCTAACATAAAAGAGTACATATCTTAGTATTTAACAGAGAATTGGGCATGTATATGTGACATATATCAGAACAGTTCCAGTGTCCCCCCCAAAAAAAATTTTCAACTGGGTGCAAGATTTCAAGTCTGAAAAAAGCAGCACTCGCTACGCTCACAATATCTCAGTGTAGGTGCTTACTTCACTCATTTTTCAAATCAGAAGTTGAAGTGGAGATTCCAACTGGGTGCCAACTGGGGGGCCTTTGGTTTCAAGTAGGGGGAGCCCTCGGTAAAAGTGACATGGGGAGATCACTGAGTTCCTCGGAGTTTAAGAATGATGGAATTAGTTTGCGTGTACGTTTTCAACATGGTGAAATTATCCACACCTCCCATACTTAAATTACCTCCATACATTCCTGAGAAATAAGTTAATTTCCTTGTCCTGCTGATTGACTGATACACGACTGGCGATTCAACCTCATAAAAATAAATTACTGAGTATAATCAAATGGGTTAAAGTATATTTTGTGGCCTGACTGCGTCGGTAGAACTTGATAAATAAGATTTACCTGAAGATAGGAGTCTTACTTACCCTCTAGAGGTTAGAACACACATTTCACACTAGGATGTGTGTTCATTGAAATGTGGGTCCTAACCTCTAGAGGGTATGTAAGACTCCTAATCTTCAGGTAAATCTTATTTTTCAAGTTGTACCGACGCAGTCAGGCCACGAAATAAACTCCAATCAGCAGAACAAGGAAATTTTCGTTTATAATCGCAAAATTCCTACATCTATTGGATTATACGGGCTGAGCAAATTAAGGGGGTTCACCTTCCAACATCTTGGAAAGTGCTGCAATATCTTCTAATGTAATTATCAGAATTCTCCTCATTTTGCCGATAAACCTACACGATTGGATATTCAGCTAAGAATCCTAAAATACTCAAGAATGCATTGAGGTTGGCATTTTTAGTAAAGGAAGTGTGGATTATTCTTCAATGTTGCAATCATACAGGCAAAAGAATGTAACCTTCCCAGGACTGTAGTGCTGGCCCTGGATAAGTACCAATCTATGGCAATGATCATTTACAAATTCTGAGATGTCTTTGAATTTATGTTTGGCTTCAACTGTGGTGTGTAAAAAATTATTACTAAGATAAATCAATCAACAAATCACTGAAATTCATCATCATGAAAACAATTCATTGATAAAAATGTAACAAATAAAAGATTGCTTCTGTGTTGATACATCTAGAGTCTAGAGGTTCGATTCAGCCAAGGGGAGCAGCTAATGCACAGTACTGTCAATTTTGTGTCAGAAATATAAACATTATCAGAAAAAATTCTCTTGACAATATCAACAAATACACACATCAAACTTGTTAACATCAAATAATTAAGCGAAGTCATCAGAATTTTGCCTCCATTTTTCAAACATTTCCTTTCATTCTTGAAACTTTGCACTGTCAAAACAAGCAAAAAAGATTAGAATCCAACAGAATTTTTATTCCCTAACGATTCCAAGCGTACCCTGGATCCACACTATATCATTTTTTCCAGCTTCTCTGACATATTTATCGAATATGAAGAAAAAACGTTGAAAAAGACAAAAGACTTCAACATGCATGTGCGTCAAACAACAAATTAAACAATGCCGGGAAAACCGTTCATCTCCATTTCTTATTAAAAATAGCCATGTACCAGTCTGTAAATTATCTGAGAGTAACTTCATAACCTATAGATCGTTATGCTTGTTCGAATTACTTACCTGCTTGATCATCTGCGTTACTGTGGCCGTTTTTATCGTCAGTTTTGGCGATTTTTGCAGTGGAAGCCATGTTTCACGAGGGACTTTTCAAAGGAATGCGCATGCGCAATTGGAAATGGACACCCCAAATCCGTTTTCTGGGTTCCATCTAGGTAGCTCGTGTGGTTTGGGTTAAACCCTACAGTATGTCGGAAACTCAAAATAAACATGCGATATTACAGTCCATCGAATGAACTTCCCTGAACTTCTTGGGGAGGGCACTAATCTAGAGGCACTTAGCTATAAACCCTATAACTGGGATACTGTATACGCATTTGGCCACCTGTTTTTCTATGTGAGGAATAGGGAGTAAATCAACCCCTCTTATATTCTCTATATCAAAATAAATCAATATAAAGAGAATATTAGAGGGAGAGGGTGACTCACTCCCTATGATGTGAGGAAAACCGTTTGATATAAAACTACTATCCGTCCAAGTTTTAAATGAATTGAAACCAAATCATAGATCTATTTTGAATTTTAATTGTTAAAGTTTTTAATTTCTATTCAAATTCTATCACAGTTAAATAACATATCTACTTTAAATGAGTGTATTAGTCTTTTGCAGATTATTGACATAGACATACACATAAACAAAGACATAGTTTCCAGCTGACCTCCTTAATGAGGAGTTATACACACAGTTATGACATGGGCAAAAACATTTGACAAGTGATCAGATTTAGACCTTCATACGTTCATGATAAAAAAATATAAGGCTAATAGCTTAGTTAATTATTAATAAGCTCAAAATTCCAGTCTACACTGACATACACTGAAGTACTATTCCGGGAGTTCTACCTTAATAAGAAAATTCTGTTCGATGTGTGTCATGGAGGTATCGCTATTTTAATGACGTCATTTAGGGGTTATCCCACGCCACATGGAAAACAAATCAACAAAAAGTCCCAGCAAATATCTAAATTGTACCATCTCAGAGAGAAATTGAGTTCTTTTCTTTTCCAGTTGATAAAATTGAATGTTTGGAAATTCCATACTTCAATGAAGTGGACCTAGGAGTGGTAGCGCACGCATTGTGCTTAGGACTAATTTTGCAGTTGAATTTCCTCAAACAAATCTGATTATTTTATCAAACTTACATTTGACAGTCAGATCTATAGGAGATGATTCACCAGATAATTCTCTGCATATCAACTTTGTTTTATGTGACTGCAAGTGATATTGACCCAAAAGGATATGTTGTATACTGTCCATGTATGGGTATGTATTTGTAACGACCCTCGATACCAAGTTGCTACTACAGTCCAGCTGTAGTGGCTTAAGCCTTTATAGCTCAGTCGGTAGAGCATCAGTCTTTGGATCCAAGGGTCCTAGGTTCGATTCCCTCACGGGGCATTGAATTAAGCACACTTTCTTTCAATTTCTTTATCTGGCTTGTTACACTATGCTCATTATAGTCGTTAGTTAATTAGTTATTCCCCTGGGGCGCCCTCGGGTCATTACAAATTGAAGGAAATAATACAGTGTACCTGTACAGGCTTGTAAGGTTTGAGGAATGTACTAAAAACCCTTCGACCTACGACCCTTCGACCCTACGACTTACTGGGTGTCAAGAATTTTTGGAATATATTTTATTGAAAAACCCTTCGGCCTCTGATTTCCCAGTCCAGTTTACTAAATGATTACGTATAGTTCCAACTTGAGCTCCCTGTGCACGCAAATACGCATTTTACCTGGTAATTGTCAAGCAAAAATGTTTCAGTAGAAAAATTTCTAAAAAAGTTCGTCTACACCTAGGTCTACACAGCAAAAATACTAACGCCGAAAAAAAAAACGTACGCATTTCGTTCGGACTTTTCACGCGAATTACGTATATGTCACGCATTGCGGTCGAAATTTTTATATTGTTTTTACATTTTCAAGCTCTAATATAAAGTTTATGTAAATAAAAAAAAAATTATCTGCGTAATGTCAAAGAACAATCATTTAGTTAAAAAAATAAAAAGGCGGATGCGGGATTCGAACCCGGGCCTCCCGCGTGCTCAGCGAGCATTCTACCGCTGGACCACCGTAATATTATGAATGGTGGAAGTAATTAAACGCTACTTATTTTTAATGCTATGATTCGGAAGTGACGTCACGTTCTTCATTTAGAAACCTTTCCAAAATCATATCGCCGGCTCCGATCAAAGTCCAGCTTTAAATATCTTTAACTCTCTTGGGACAGATTCTTAATTTCTATACACAAAGTAATATTTCCAGCAACTTCATATGGACTGAGAAATATCTAGAAGGTCGAAGGGTTTTTATAAAAATATATTTCAAAAATTCTTGACACGCTGTAAGTCGTAGGTCGCAGGGTCGAAGGGTTTTTAGTACATTCCAAGGTTTGAATATGTGTTGTGGGAACATTTTCAGCACTATAGCTCCCAGGCACTAGCTTTACATATTATATATCTCAATCGATTGAAATGTTCATTTTCTATATCACAGAAGTTGTACAATCTCAGAGATGATGTGGAGCATGGGTATTCGATATCTATTGAAAGCCCATGTGTGAAGGAAAGATCATTCAATTTTACGCATATGCGAAATAAACTGGAAAAAGAATTTCTTTATAAGAGAGTAAGGGCCGGGTAGTCTATACCATGTTCTCTTTTTTGGTTTGCTATATCGTGCATGTGGAAGGTGAATAAACTGATTGGTGGCCGTGGGTTATACCATGGGATTTCAATTAGAAGGGTGTGCAACTCTGTGTAATAAACATGAGACCTTCAAAATGAGCAATGCCATGCTTCCCTTTTATGGTAATATTACAAAAAGTATTAGATAAATCATGGGCTTCAATCATAGTTGAAAGCCCATGAATAAATGTACATGTTTTAGTATTATTTTGAATAAAAATCAATTTTCAAATTGATTAAAGCATAAAAATATATTCAATCTCATGTAAAAGTAAACAAAAAAGACCAATAAGAATAAGAGGTATCAATATGTTCTCTTCCAGTATTGCATTGTGGGTAATTATTCAAGAACACATTCCAATAAAAACATAATTTGTGGGAGAATGTTCACTTTCTGTATTGTCATAATTATGATGAATTCCATTTTTTATCAAATTATCAACATGTATGGAGATAATCATGTTTTTATTTTTGAGTTATTATTTTAAATCATCCACAAAAAGTACAAAATAAGATTTTCTTGGAATGTGTACATTCTCAAAATTTGGAAAGCCAAAGGCAATTCTTATGTATGAAATAGGGGAAGTTGCCTACCCTTCTAGTTGAAAGCCCGTGGTTATACCTGTTAAAATGCAAGCTGAATTTACGTACTCAAAAAGAAAATGAGATGTGTCTTAGCCTGAGATAAAAATCACAATACATGTATTGATAAAACAAATTTGTTTTAAAGGTCGGTTTGGGAATCAAGCTGATCATTTCCTGGGTACACTTGCATTTGCCAAGGGGCTGGACCGCACCCTCATACTTCCTCCATGGGTAGAGTACCACCAGGGAAAGCCAAGATCTGTAAGCATTATTTGTCAAATGAGTACTATTTGTTTCCATTCTGTTTGTTAATGATGGTAAATGTAATGTATTTTTAATACAGGGTGAGCCAAAAAAGGTAACCCAAACAAACCTTTAATAACTCAGTCATCCAGTATGGGTTTAAAGTCATACTTAGCACTATTAAACCTTGTTCAAGGTTCTTTTGTTCAACCAAGTTTTATTGCTCTATTTCAAATGGTGACGTTTTAAGCCAATTTTACAAAACATGCTCAAAATGCCGGTCTTGTCTTTGGAGGGAAACTTGTGATTTTGGTATGGTTAGGCATTTGGAGCATGTTTTGTAAAATGACCACTAGATCGTGACCATTAGAAATAGACCAATGAAATTTAGTACAAGCTCAATAATTGCTTTGCCGCACTAAATATTTAGAGGTGGCTCATATCTGATGAAGATTTTCAAATTTTTATAGAAGCACACAGAAAATGTCTGGCTTCCAAGATGCAAACACAATTTGTAAGGATAGTGTATCTTGAACATCATTTTTATGTCACCACCAAAAGTGGTGACATATTGTTATGGTCTCCGTTTTTATTTGATGGCGATTGGTGATCGGTGGGTGGCACTTGATGGTTGGGGTCTGTAACAAACTTCCAATAACTAAAGGTTCAGCAGGAAAGTAACATTTTGGTAAAAAATTGCTATACATGCACATGTTAGTTTCTGGTACAAAATTAAGTATGAAGGCATGTGTATATTTCCTTGATTTTTTCAGGAAAGTATCATTACATTGTCTACTTTTTTTTAGTAAACCTGGAAACAGGTCAATGGTAGCTCCTGTGTTGTCTGGAAACTTTGAAAGAAAATTTGGAAAAATAGAAAGTGTGAAATATCAGAATTTCCTGGAGTTCCCATTGACCTATTACCAGATATACTAAAAGAAGACAATGTAATGATACTTTCCTGAGAAAAGCAAATTAACACATGCCTTCATACTTTATAGTGTACCAGAAAATAACATGTGCAGATAGAGCAATTTTTTACCAAAATGCTATTTTCCAGCTGTACCTTTACAAATACTGTTTAGACTGACTTCTTAAATTTTGGAAAAAAAGGTCAAAAAGGTCTTTTTTCAACTTGCTTCAAATTGACCAAATTTTTTCAGAAGTTCAAATCTGACTTTATATTTAAGATTTGACCTTCTCAAGGTAAAAAAAGGTAAAAAAGGTCTTTTTTCAACTTGCTTCAAATTGACCAAATTTTTTCAGAAGTTCAAATCTGACTTTATATTTAAGATTTGACCTTCTCAAGGTAAAAAAAAAGGTCAAAAAGGTCTTTTTTCAACTTGCTTCAAATTGACCAATTTTTTTTTTATTAAATCATCTACAAGTTATCAGAAGTTCAAATCTGACTTTAGATTTGAGATTTCATCTTTATTATCCCACCGAACGAAGTTCGAGGGGGATATAGAAAAGGCGCCTGTCCGTCCGTTCGTCCGTCCGTGTGTCCGGGCAATAACTCAAATACTGGTCGACGGATTTCATTTAAATTTTATAAGTTTATGCCTTATGGGTGTAGGACCTCCGCTCGAGAAGGAATTTTCAATATGGCCACTAAATTCAAAATGGCGGCCATTTTTGGGAAAAAATATAGTCTTTGATAACTCAAATACTAGTGGATGGATTTGGTTCAAATTGCTGTTGCCTGGGTACAAAAGCTTTGCTCAAGAAGACATTTTAAAGATGGCCACCATATTTGAAAATGGCGGCCATTTTTCTTAAAAATACGTTATCCTTGATAACTCAAATACCATCAAATGGATTTGGTTCAAATTTTACATGCTGATGCCTAGGGACATAGGAGCTCTGCTCAAGAAGGGATTTGAGCTCTGCTCAAGAAGTGATTTTCAAGATGGCAGCTAAAATTCAAAATGGCCACCATTTTTCATCAAAGAACGTAACCTTTGATAACTCAAATGTTTATGTTTATGTTTTTTTCCTTTTTTAAATTCACACAATTATACAAAGCATGAGTGGGTGACACTTAAAAAAGTGTATATTCCCAGCAAATTTTTTACAATAAAAGTTGTGTGTTGTCATACCTGTTAAAGTGCAGTTGGGGACTTGTCTTTGCATTCAACCATACAAATGTTCATGTTTTGCTTGTCACATCTGAGTAGAGACCCATTGAATACAAACATACATAATGAGGGGTTGATAGATGGAAGCTGTAAACAGCGGCTATGTCAGAAATAAATATCAATCGAGTCAAAAGAATCAAAACTGTGTTTGATTATAATAATAAGAATCTGATAAACTGAGCGATATGTTTTGTCCAGTAATAAAGAGGACAAAAAAGAATACACAAGAGAAGGGGTGGGAGGGATGGCGAGGGTAGTGAGGAGAAAACAAAACAAATATCAAGTAAATTAATAGCTCTCCAAAAACAATTTTTTCAGTTCCTTTTTAAATATATAGATACTTTTTATTTCTTTGAGTCTTTCTGGTAGTTTGTTCCAAAGTTGTGGTATTGAAAAGGATAAAGATGATCTGCCATAATTAGTTCGAGTTTTGGGTTGGTCATAAGTCGTTCTATTTCTGGTATTATAGGGATTTCTTTCGTGCACCATTGTAAAAAGACGGGGTATATACTCCTATAATTATCCAAGTCATTTTTCCATTTAAACATAAATATACATTTGACTTGCTTATTAATATCAAAGACATTGAGTAATTTTAACATTTCAAAAAGTGGGGTGGAATGAGCTCTATAGTCACTGTTTGTTGCTAGGCATACAAACCTTTTTTGAGACAAATGGAGTGGGTTGATTGTTGTAGGATTTGCAGCCCCCCAAATAAGATTCCCATATATAAGGTAGGAATAAATCAAAGAATAGTAAATACTCAAAAAACCTTGGATGTTAAGAATATGCTTTATCTTATACAAAATACCTATAGTCCTTGAGATTTTCATGTTAACTGAGGTGATATGTTCTTTCCAAGTCAAATGTTGGTCAATTATGATACCTAAAAAATTTATTTTTGATACTTGTTGGAGTTTGTTGTCACTAAGGTATATCTTAAAATTGCTAGAATCTAAGTGTTTTTGTCTTGAAGTAAAAATAATGTATTTGGTTTTTGAAATATTTAAAGAAAGTCTATTTGTCACCAACCATTCTTCTATATTTTTTAACTCTGTATTTAAAATATTATTAAGTTCATCTAGGTTTTTACCATTTATCAATAGATTAGTGTCGTCGGCAAAAAGTACAAAAAATAACCTCGGAGATGATAAGTATATGTCATTTATATAAACAATAAAGAAAAGAGGGCCTAATATTGAGCCTTGGGGAATTCCACAACTAATGGTGCTTGGTTCCGAGATAACATCTTTGTATAAAGTACTTTGGGTTCTATTTTGAAAATAGCTTTTTATCAAATCAAGTGAAGTACCACGAAAACCATAAAAATATAACTTTTGAAAGAGAATTTTGTGGTCAATAGTGTCAAATGCCTTGGAGAAATCCAAAAACAGGCCAATTGAGTACTCACCTTGATCAATAGATTTCCTTATTTTTTCGACAAAATTAAGAACAGCCATAAAAGTTGACTTTTTTTCTCTGAATCCAAATTGATTGGTATATAAAATTTCCATTTTGTCAATGAAGGTAGAGAATCTTCTATGCATCAATTTTTCAAGTATTTTAGAAAAAACAGGAAGGACAGAGATAGGGCGATAATTAGTAAACAGTTTTATACTTTCTTTTTTGTAGATAGGAATGACTTTGGCAACCTTAAGATGATCAGGAAAAACACCATTACTAAATGAGAGATTAAAAATATGCAAAAGTGGTTGTAAAAGTGTATTACCACACTCCTTTATGACAAATGGCTTAAAATCATCAAGACCTGCAGCTGAATTTTTCAGATTAAATATTTCAGTTTTAATTTCATCAATAGATACTGGATTAAGAAATAATGTTGATTCTGTTTGTCCCATGTTCTGCATAAAGTCAAGAGGATTCTTTTTTGATTTGGGAATTTTGGAAGCAAGATTTTCACCTATGGTTGAGAAGAAATTGTTAAATTGATTTGCAATTTGTTGTTTATCATTAATTTCAATGTTATTATTGAGAAAAGATTCAGATATATTATTTGATTTATTTTTCCTTTGAAGTAATTCATTTAAAATTTGCCAGTTAGCTTTTATATTGCCTTGGGATTTTTGAAATCTGTTATTATAATACATTTTCTGATAGTTTTTGATTATTCTTTTTAAGGTTTTTGCATATGTTTTGTAGTTAATTTTGTTTAGTTGGGAAGGATTTCTAAGAAGTTTTTTATATAATTTGCTTTTGTTTCTAATTGAAATAAGAATTGCAGATGTGATCCATGGTTTAATATTATTATTATAGATTCTTTTTGTGATAACTTTAAGAGGGAAGCATCTATTATAGTGTTGAGTTATTATTTCTTCAAATGTGTTATATGATGCATTTGTGTCATTATTACTTGTGACATCATCCCAATTTTCGTTTAAAAGTAGTTCATTAAATAGATGAATATTGGGCTCAGTATATTTTCGCTGTTGCACTTTGATAGTTTTTATTCTATTGACATGTTTTTTACAAGAGGCAAAAACAGGAAAATGGTCTGAGATATCATTAAAGATTATACCACACGAGTCTGCCTTAGAGTCATTTGTAAAGATATTATCGATAAGTGTAGCAGAAGTCGATGTGACTCTGGTTGCTTTGTAAATCAGAGGAACTAGGTTAAATGAAGTCATGATATTATAAAAATTCTGTGTAGGAATATGTTGAGCTAATTTAAATAAGTCAATATTAAAGTCTCCAGCAACATAACAAAGTTTATTTTCTAAAGAGAGCTGAGAAAGATAAGTGTTGAGATCATTATTGAAGTCATCAACATCAACATTGGGTGGTTTATATATACAAGTGAATAAAACATTTTTGCTGTTTTCAACTACAATCTCAATAGTCATCACATCACAGTTATCATTGTTAAATTTGAGATCGGTTCTTTCTATGGTAATACCAGTTGATGGATTTGGTTCAAATTCTATATGCTGATGCTTCGAGACAAAGAAGTTCTGCTAAAGAAGACATTTTCAAGATTGCCACTGAATTTCAAAATGCCCACCATTTTTCGTAAAAAAACATTATCATTGATAACTCAAATACCAGTGGATTGATTTGGTTCCAATTTTATATGGTGATGCTTAGAGAAAAAGGAGATCTGCTTCATAAGAAATTTGAAAGGCATCGGCTGAATTTCAAAATGGCTGCCATTTTTCATAAAAAAAGGTAATCTTTGATAACTCAAATACCATTGGACAGATTTACTTCAAATTTAATATACTGATGCCAAGAGATAAAGGAGCTCTGCTTGAGAAGAAATTTTCAAGGTGGCTACTATTTTTCGAAATCTCTGCATTTTTCATTAAACATGTAATTCTTGATAATTCAAGTACCAGGATTTTGATTAAATTATATATTTTGATGCCTTAGGACATATAAAAACATAATCTTTAATAATTCAAATACGGGTGGATGGATTTGGCTCAAATTTTATATGGCCGCTATTTATCAAAATATGTTTTGTTCGGTGGGATTTGCTACTCCGTGGAGTTGCTGTTTTCTAGTTATATCCGGATCTTTGATAATTGATAGGATTAAATAAAATTGTCATAAGTACCTACTTTCATTCAAAATGGTCAAACCAGATATCACACTTAGGAAAGCATTATATACACTTATAATCTGATAAATTTATTTCATTGTATTCCAATAGGTACAAGTTCCATTTGACCGCTATTTCAAAGTGAAGCCATTGGAAGAGTACCTGCGTGTTATCACCATGGAGAAATTCATGAAGGAACTAGCGCCATCTATCTGGCCAGTTGGAAAACGAACAGGTATCACATAGTGCCATCACAGATTGCTCTAGGGCACATTATAATAATGACAAAATTTATCCATCGCTAAAGAACCATAATTTTTATCATGTCGAAACTTAACATTGATATTCTACTGTTTCTTAATTTTCGAAGTAAATCCTTCAGTTTTTGGAGTGAGAATTCCTACAAGCATCTTTCTTAGATAAAACTTTTACACACCATCCAGCTATATGCCATATTATTCGAATCCAGGCCTGTAGCCAGGGGGTTTCGTTTTAGAAAGTTGAACATATGCAACTGCTAGTGCCAATATTTGACTAGGTATTGTTCATGGTAATTTACAAGGTGGGCATTTTCCTGTTTACATACAAGTGTGTCTTTTTATCTTTTTTACTTTACTTTTTTTTGAAAATACCCAGAATACAAATTATGAACCTCAACAAGTGGCTGTAGTATCACTGAGGCTTTTTGCTGTATTAAGAACTGCAGTCCCCGAAAACCAAATTGCTGTGTCAGTGGGAATATAATATACTTTTAATTACTTGTTTACAGTTTTTTGTTATGGACCAAGAGAAAAGCTGAATGGTGGAACTACTCCAAGTTGCAATGCAAAAGATGGCAACCCATTTGGCTCATTCTGGGACACTTTCAACATTGACTTTGATGCCAGTGAATTTTATGGACCTCTATTTTATGATGTTAAACATCCACAAGTTGTTCAGCAGTGGAATGAAAAGTAAGAAAAAGTGATACTGTTTTGGAATAAAGATTTTCTTCTAAAGGGGTTCTGGGAGTCGGATCTGGATTTGTTAAACCGTTGGAATGTTTCTAACTCTGCCATAGGCTAATAACATTTTGATATTCAGAATAAAACCATAAAATAAAAAATATGAATAAAAAATAAATGAACAAAATTTAAAAGATGTTTAATTTCTTTTAGTCTGAAAAAGTAAAGTCAAAAGGATTAATAGAAAATTATTTTGAAAAGGTGTTCATATACCTCAGTGATCTCCCCAGCATTAAAGCAAGTGGGCACAGCACTTACCTGAAATTTTGATAATAAGCTTACACCCACCTGAAAATCCATTTGCACCCACTCGAAAATGAGAAAAATCATGAAAATTGGCATATTTTGACCAATTTTGGTCTGAATTGTGAAAATTCTCATATTTTGCATCCACTTGAGAAAAAATCCTGTGAAGATCACTGCACCTAATATCATGGATCGTGGTATAAATGATTAACTACCTTGTTTTATTTTCCTCAAGAATGAAGTATGAGGGGGAAGATGAACATGTATTTACTGAAATACAAAAGAATATGTAATATTTAACATCCTTTCCTGATGAATAAACATTCTTTTTTTAGATACTCACCAAAGAAGTTTCCAGTTTTGGCATTTACTGGTGCCCCAGCTGGGTTCCCTGTACATGAAGAGCATGTTCAACTGCACAAATATCTCAAATGGTCAAATTTTATAAACGATAAGGCAGAAAGATTTATTCGTGAGAACATTCCAAACAAAGGAAAATTCCTTGGGATTCACATGAGAAATGGAGTTGATTGGGTGAGTACCATTATCACAAGAGATTGAGCTTTATACAATAAGTCCAACATAAACAGGGCTTATTCAAATTTTGAATGGCTCCTGAATATTTTGAGGCACTAAGCCCAAAAATTGAAAAAAAACAATGAGAGGTTTACAATATATAATAAATCATGGTATAAATCATGGTTTGTACGAGTTGTGTGAAGACACTTTTAATGTTCATTGATGTGGTGAAGCTGGGTTTTATCTAACACTGACCAGGATTTAACTCAAATTTCAGTGTGGGAAACCCATCTTTGAATAAAGGGCCCATGGTGTACTCAATGTATACCTCGTAGAGTATCAGGCAGACAGAAATATTGTCAATTCTGATAGATGGCATTGTAGTATAAGTTGCAAGCAACATTGCCATATTTTATGTCAGTCAAAAACTAACAATGAACTATAATAGTTATAATGGATCGATTTGTAATTTTGGTAAAGGAGTGGTATCGATATGGAGAACTTTTCGAAAAATTTAACACATCGTCAATTTAATGGTCACCTTTTGAATGGTAACAACATAATTTGAAATATATATATATACTTTCATCTACATGTATATTGTTTGAGAAAACACATCAAACATGTCTCGATACCACTCCTTTGAAGGTGGCAGTTGTATGCAGTTGTATTTGATTTTATGTCACCACCAAGAAGTGGTGGTGGTCTCCGTTTTTTTGTGGCGGCGGTTGGTGGTTGGCGATCAACGGTTGGCAGGCGGCAGTCTGTAACAAATTCTTAAAACTTCCAATAACTTAACAAATACTGTTTAGACTGACTTCAATTCATCTTCAAGTTTTCAAAAGTTCAAATCTGACTTTAAATTTAAGATTTGACCTTCAATGACCTTTTCAAGGTCAAAAAAGTTAAAAAATGTATTTTTTCAACTTCCTTTAAATTGATCAATTTTTTTCAAAATCATCTATAAAATATCAGAAGTTTAAATCTGACTTTAGATTTGACCTTCTCAAGGTCAAAGAAAGGTCAAAAAGATATTTTTTCAACTTGCTTCAAATTGACCAATTTTTTTTCAAAATCATCTTCAAGTTCTCAGAAGTTTAAATCTGACTTAAGATTTGAGATTTCACCTTCAATGACCTACTCAAGGTCAAAAAAGGTATTTTTTCAACTCGCTTCAAATTGACCAATTTTTTAGTTCTCCAAGTGGTGACATTTTGTCATGTTAATGCCTTGTTGTGGAAATTGCATCAAAATTTTACCCCAAATACAAAAGTGTGACCAAAAATGCAATCTTCTTAAGTGTCACCGATGGGGTGAAATCTTGAAATTGGAGCAAACAGGGCTATACTCATATGAAACAACCCCTAATAATCTACTAATATTTTGCCTTTTCTTATTCTAATTTCTTTGTGTTCTATAGTATATACATTGATATGATTTTAGGGGCCTAAATGTTAGATATTGCTCTCAACACTTCTATTGATTTAAGGCTGGTCTTTGATACAATTGTTTCCCAAGAAGTCTTCAAAAGTCTCTTATCAATGTTTTGCCTTGGCCATGGATGGTGCACAATTACATGGCTCGTATCTCTTGTACAAGTCTTTCTGCAAAATTTCTCCGCTGACAATGCTGTTACTGTATACCCGTGTAACGTTGTTCCATTTATAAGAAGTTTTGGGTTTTCATTCATGACAAGGTTTGACTCCTGAGGGGGAAATTCCCATGTTATGTTGTGTTTGTTGAGAATATGGTTTATCAGCACCTGGTCATCTATACGAGCTTTGTTTCTAGTCATGTTTGCTAGCTCATCCCAGAAGTATTCTGAAATAAAGCAAAAGGGAATTAGGGACCAGGTCAGTTTTTCCATTTTCTCAGGAAAGGATAGGTATCGATATGGTGAACTGAATTCAACAATGTTTTTCTCTTAAACCAATTATTGAAAACATTTCTGTAAAAAAACGGTCCTTTATATAATGTTGACTGATTGGCTACAATTTCATGCAAAAATTATTTATATATATTCTATATAACTGTTTTTGTTAACATTTTTGTTTTTTAGTGCAATTGTTTTTTGTTCTTTTCTACCAATTCTTGAGAATGAAAGAAAATGTCTTTCCGAACATTGTTAGAACAAAATAGCTTGTACAACAATTTCACAGACCTCTCAATATTATTGTTTTACAAAGGAAATTTTGGTTGATTTAACAAAAAGTAGGCAAAAACTTAAAACATATGATACCAAGAACGAAAAAAGTGTCTGATGTGTTTTCTAAAACAATATAGAGAAAAGAATATATATATAATTCAAACTATAATGTTACCATCCAAAAGATGACCATTAAATTGACGATGTGTAAAATTTTCAGAATGTTTTGATGACTTGTCTAAGAGAAACGCGTGTTCAAAAAGTTCACCATATCGATTCTACTCCTTTGTAATTTATTCCCGCTTGAAGCCCTGTGTATGATATGTATATATAGGGTCACTGGGTGTCTCAAAAAAATGTACCCAAAAGTATATCAACACCATAGACAAACCAATCAATATTTTCAGACATTTTTTCATGGTCTTGTAGGTAAAAGATGAAAGTTTTTTCCCCTATACACAGTTTTTAATTCAGTTTTGCCTTTTTGATACTATAACCCGTTACCTTTTACACCACATATTCAATGTAACCTCATATTTTGATGACAGTCTGCATCCTTACTACTACACTGTTCATCACATTTGATATTTCTTTTGGAATGTTTTGATTTCTGTTCGGATGCTGGTCTTAATTAAGTTGTTCTAGGTCTCTTAGCTTGGGTTTAGCATAAAAATGGTCCTTCAAATAGGCTCAGAGAAAAAAGTATGGGCCGTCAAATATGGTGAATAGGGAGGCCCTCACAATATCTTATAGCCCCCTTATACAGAGAGGTCAGAGGTTCAAGAAACTGCATTGGTTGGGATTCTAGTGTACATTTTGTTGTGTGTATCAATTTGAGACCACCGTGTTTTCATTTGGATATCATTTGGTCTCCAGGCTAGCCTGCCTAACTCTGGAAGGTAACTCCTGAATCATTTGCCAATAATTGACCTGATTATCTGCATTTGTTCTGCCATCGTCATCCTCAAGCATCTTTCTCTGTGGCTATTTGAAGGAGTGTTTTAATGCTCATTCAAGGCAAAAAGACCTAGAACAACTTAAAGGCAACATCCAAAGAGAAATCCAAAACATTCCACCGGATTTATTATCAAATGTGATGAACAATGTAGCAGTAAGGATAAGGCTGTCATCAAAATATGAGGTTACATCGATTATGTGGTGTCAAAGGTAAAGGGTTAAAGCATCAAAAAGGCAAGACTGAAATAAAAATGGTCTATTGGGGAGAAAACTTTCATGTTTTGGCTACATGACCATGCAAAAAATGTCTGAAAATATTGATTGGTTCATCTGTGCTCTTGATGTACTTTTGGGTACATTTTTTGAGACACCCTGTATATATCTTTTTAAATAGCTCTGTGAGTTCTTCATAAAATAATATGGATTGGCCTTGTAGTGTATAACTTAAAGAGAAGATTAACACAGAATTAATATACTCATAACACTGTTTTTTATTCAAAGTAAAAGAGTAACCATATACTGTACAATTATATACAGACATGTATCAAAATCTTTACTCTTCTTAAGTCTTTAACACAAAGAAAAGAATAAAGTCTAATAAGATGTAAAATTATGATGTTCTATATGCCCCCCATCTAACACTCTGCTGAAGGAAAACTCCTTTGAATACTGGAACTTATAGGAAATGAAAAGCTTTATCCCCTATATGGGTTGAATAACCTTATATGGCAAAAGTTAACCCTACAACACCAAGGAGGCTTGGAAGCCAGAATGTACACATCGATATTCTCTAACAAAGGTAGCGTCAGTCCTTGAGTCATATTTCTCACTTCAAAATTTGAATGGCAATTTTTTTTTTGTCTTATTACCAAACAAAAACATTCAAAACACACAAGAAATGATCAAGATTATTAGTGGCTGAATTAATGACCATTAGTTTCAATATCTTGAATGCTGATTATGAATTTATAGCCAGGTAAATGTCAGACAATAATGACGCCAGCTTTGTTGGAGAATAACGTTCATTCTCCATGCAGCCGTAAAAATATACAGGCACGATTGGCAATATCACATTACTTGGAGATTAAAGAATATCGAGTTGGAACTCTGGCTTCCAATCTTTTGTTTTGTTTTGATTCATCAGTTGCCGAGAAAATACTTGGCAAAAAGTGTCTCATTTTTTGGGACACCCGATATATGATGACGAAAAGTGGCTTAAATCTTAAGAGCTGCATTTTGGGATGATAGTCACATGTTTTGCCTCAAGTAAGAAAGTTGCACCTTTTTAGTTCCATTTAATGTGAAAATAGAAATTTTTTCAAAATATTATCTTCAACTTATCTCTGTGTTTTGTTATCTCTTAATATGAATAAAGAAGCTTTTTTCAAAGAAACTAAATTTCAATTTTTAGAAGCTAAATTGTAATATTTCCAAAAAATGCAAATTTCTGAGGGGACAAATTACTTACTCATATTTGGTGAATTTCTTAGTTCCAATACACCCATGCACAATGTAAAGCCCCATTTTGAATGAATGTTCTTTGGGAATGTTCCCGTTGTGGCAATGATATCAGAATCAGGAAATCTATCTAAATATTCCAATACATTTTGGTATGGTATTGCATCAGTGTCAAAATTCAGCACTTTATTGAAACCTAGATAGTCTAATGTTCGCCAAAGAACTAATCGTAAAATCCAAAAGTTTTGTTTCACTCCTATGCTTTGTTGATTTAACAGTAATATGTCTGTATAGTTAATATAAAGGGAGTATATACCCCTTTCTTCAAGCCATTTGTTAAGAGTTTTGTCAGGGGTGAATATTAGTATATTTGTGATAGGTTGATTTAGTTTCAACATCCCAGCCACCAACCATTCAAAGAGCTCTTTCAAGTAACTCATTGATGCCCCCAACAGAATTAGTCGTTCTTTTCCAATTTTAGTCCGTAAACATTTCAATTCCTGAACAAATGTGCATTTCAGGATGTCAGAATGTTTCCGAACATACTGGTGCTCAAATGCATACATTATGTCAGAACTAATATACTCAGAAATTTGTACATCTTTTTTATCTTCCAAAATGTCTGATTTTTTTAAGTTTAAAGGCTCAATGCTAGGATTACAGTCTGTATTCCTAATATTTCCATTTAATTCACTCGGCTTCTTTTTAGACTTGTCCACTGTTTCTTTTGAATATCCACTTTGTCTATATTTCCCTATGAAGTAGCTTTCATGGGAAACACTGAAAATACACCAATTTTGCAACAATAGAAATATTGTTACACAGAATATGACAAATAAAACATATTTTTTCCACCAGTTTTTTAAGAGAGGAGATTCCCACATTCTAAAAAAGCGCCACTTCAGTTGTTGCATGTTCATATCTAATCAATTTCAATAAAGTGCTTGTTCTGCAACACAGGTCTGTGTGATATTAATAATGTATTCATAAACTATGCATACAGTATACTTTTCTGGTAAGATTAAAAAACAGACTTTGTACAGGGTGGCCCAAAAATTGAATGTCTCATTTATGACGAAATCTTGATTTCAGAAAGTTAAATCTTAAGATCTTAATAAGGTTCTCTAAGATTGAAAATGTGTGTATCATTTTTTGTCAAGTTCTAGAAAACATATATATGGCTTCCAAATTCAAAATGGCTGCCAATTTTTGTAAAATTTACAATTTTTGATAACTCAAATACCAGTTGTCAGATTAGGTTCAGATTTTGTGTGCCCGTGCCTTATGGGCATAAGACTCTACTCAAGGAGGAATTTTCAAGATGGCTACTGAATTTATGTTTCGTTTGGTAGGTTTTACAACTAACTCCAGAGAGTTCCTGTTTTCTTAATTGAACTTTTGATTGATTTTATGTTTGTAAGTTATAGTGAGCGGAATTTTTTGGACATTGCTGCAGTTGATGTAAAAGCATAAAATCAATCATTGTTTTATGTAATCAACCTTCTTTAATGTCTGTAGGCCATGTTACACCAATAAATGCCCATTATAGTTTTTCTCAAGCTTCAAAGATAAATCTCAAAACCCAATCTCCTGTTTAAAGAATGCCAATTCTTACTACTGAAAATGGATTCTAGCAATCCACATGAATTATTACTTGCTGAGACTCGATTAACTTGCTTTCTTCTGAGAAAATGAGAAGTTCAGCAAGGCTGTATTAACATGGGGATACATTTGAGTTTATGCATGTTTGATGATTTCAAGTCAATTGCATCCTCATGGTAAGTCAATACACCCTTACTGAATCCTCATTTTCTCAGACATTAAAGCTTACTAAGGTCTTTTGAAAATTTTGGTTAGCTCTAATATAGAAAAGCCATCTATTTGTCCATCCATCTGTCTGTCTGTCCATCCGTCAAGAGCCAGGTAGTGCCAGCATCTGATTAGGTTTTGGGCATACCAGTACATGTACTGGGTAAATTACATGGCAATCGCGTTACTCTTAAAAGTGTATAAATGTGTGTCTTGTTTATCTATTTCCAGGAGCGGGCGTGTGAACATGTCGGAATGCAAAAGTTATTTGCCTCACCCCAATGTCTTGGATACTTTAATGAATATGGAAAGGAAGTAACAAAAGAGATGTGCTTTCCATCAGAAAAAACTGTTTTAGCTCAAATAAAAAAGGCGGCAAAAACTATCAAAGCTAGCAGCATATTTGTAGCCACAGATGATAAGCCAATGTTGGATAAGATCTCTAAACATTTGAAATCAATGAAGGTATATTTCAGTTATTATTTTCGAGGCACTCTCATTTGTATTTGTATTGATTATGTTACATTCGAGAAAATGTACACCTTTTAAATGAATGTCTCATCTCATTCCCCTACAAAATGAGTCCAAATTGTTGTGAAAACAAGTCTGAAACGATTTACATTGGGTAGTTATGCTCACCGTGGATATGATACAAAATGTTATGTTGAGTGATTTGCTTCCCTTGGGAGTTGTCATTTCTCTTGGTTAACTAATTACCTTATAATTATGATTTCAGGTCAAGATTGTTCAGCATCTACCAGCAGACCCTCACGTAGACTTAGCCATATTAGGGAAAGCTGATCATTATATTGGAAATTGTGTATCAACATTTTCTGCATTTGCTAAAAGGGAAAGAGACTCGACTGGAAAATCCTCTTCTTTCTGGGGGTTTGAAAGACAAGATTTTACAGGTCACACAGAACTTTAAGTACGTGCAATCACTCATCAAATGAACAGCCCTTTAGAGAAAATAACATTTATTTGCCATTATTATGAGGAACATTTATTTGCCATTATTATGAGGAACCGTGTTCCACCTGAGTTTGGCATGGCTGATACAGTATGAATCAGTTGTCAGTTATTTCAATTCAACATTTAAATTCTTAAACTACATTGCTGATTTTACCAAGGAATCACCAAATATATTGCGATTTTGATTTGGCCACAAGGTGGAAAAGAACCGGCGTCACTAGGACTTTCACATATCTGAATATGATAAATGATCAACAAAAAACATTTTATGGGTAATTTGGATGTTGAATGCTAGTAACTCACTTAAGTGAGCAGATTGTCAAATGAGACAGTGTTTGTCTGTTACAATTAGTGGCTCCTATAAACTTTGAGAAATCTCCAAATACTCATTAACCAAATGATAATGCTACCCCATTGGTTTATTATAGTGCAGAACTGCTTAAACTGCTCATTCACTGCTCATTCTGCATCACACAGGAGTGTCATGTTATCATATAAAGATTTAGATCTTCTCTTCTTTGTAATTGAGGTACAAACCTTCTTCATGTGTAGTGACTGTATTACTTGTTCACCAGAAATCCACATTGCGTACTTTAGAAACAGCAATTACAGAAAAGTGCTTTCATAGAAAACTTGGTGAGTTTTGCCACGTTTTGTATTGTAAATTGTTTAAGTTATGTCATTTTCTAAAACTATTTGTTTGTGATATACTTTTGAAAAATCTTTGTAGAAATTATTTGTAATAAAAAAAGCATAACTAAGCTTACTTTTACAAATATCATCTTGCTTTTGATAACATTTTTTTATTATGTTTTTACCTGACCATCAAAGAGTGTTGACATGTTGTTATAGCCTCCAATATTCCGTGGATGGTGTTGACAGTCATCATTAGCAGTTGGTATATGTAACAATTGTCATGCCTCCAAGAAAGTTTGAATACGGACATAAGGAAGCTTTTGAATTTGCATACTTTTTAGAGAAGAAATTGTTAAGCGATTTATGGAAAAAGCAATATTTATCACTGTGTGTTTTGTCAACAGTTTTTTCATTGTTTCCTGCACAAAGTAATTGTCCTTTATTTCAAATGAGCATGTAAGTCCTAATTAATATGTCATTTGATCATTGTTATGTTTGTGAAAAAATAAGATGGTTTTGTACCTTCAGAATAAAACACAATAATTCACAACAGGTCATCAGGAGAAAACTATCGCTAGTTTCGAACCCTAAATATATAATCTTAACCCAATCTCATTAACAAATGAATATTCTGTTCACTCATTAGTTCCCCGTACTACAGACAAAAATCCATCAATTCTATATATTCTCTACTAAATTGATTAAGGATATACCAGTGTAACCTCCGAAAAAATCGGCCATTTTCAATCTCAACGAAACTAGGTTTTTATTATAGACCTAGATGTAGCGATTCGAAAAATGTAATAAAAAAGGTGGGTCAACGGATTAGTTTTTACATGAGAATCTTCTGAAAATAGGTGTGACGTTATCATCATTTGAACATTTGAGGCGCCATTGATTTCAAAGCAAAAAAACATGTTTTCCTATATTTCGTCGATAAAATGATGATTTAGGGAGTATTGACGATTTTTTCGAGCCTAGATTAACTTCCTTTATACATAATTACATTGGTTCGAATATTGGTACACTCAGGACATTTCTTCTTACTTTTTTCACTTAAAGTGTTACCCCTACCCCAACAATATTTGTGAATTTTTGTAACGTTTTTCCATTAAAAACATGTCTTTTTCATTTTCGCATTTTGACATGTTTTGAATCGAAAATTACGCAAATTTCCAATGGATTGTGGTATTTTTTTTATTTGCTTATTCCCAAAAAGGTGTTCTCATGTTTATTTTGATATAAAAAAAACATAGGGTCAACGGTCTGTTTTACGCTTGAAAATGGCGTTGAAGATTGGTGTGCTTTAACAATGATACAAAAGCCACTGGTCAATTCGCGTCATAATTAAACTAAATATATGACGTCTTTCTCAAGAATTAACAAAATCGACTGCTCACAAAAACATAAACTAGCTAAGTCCACATGATAAACATCATTCCAAAATATTATAAATTATGAATAAATTGAGGGTTAGATGCCCCAGTAAGACATTCATTCAATAAACGATGATTTAAAATGGCTAATAATAGCCATATTTGACTCCTATTCTAATATGCTAATATTTCTGTTTATTTTTCGGGAAAGGATAACGTTACATTTGAGGTTAACAATTGTGAAAACTCAACATGTCTAATGAACCGCCTTCACAAGTATAACCTCAGAGATCAGGCACGAATGATTTCACTCGTGATATATAGCATGCATGCTTTTTGATGATTTTCGGGTGGGGTTGTACATTCCCTGTGCATTCCTCACCCCGAGGTCCCCAATTATGTAAAGTTGTCGGATTTGAGCAAGATACGTCTACTGAATGTAGTACACGAATAATGTGTTTTTGTGAACGGCTATGGACGTTTTTCGCATTGTATCCTGCATGTCCGATCATGGTGGTTAATACTCACTGGGAAAATATTTTTAACTGGTAACTATAATTATAAAAAATATAGAATAATAACATAAATTGAACAAAGGTTTGAATGGCTTGTTTGAATGTTTGATGGTATTGTTTTGACAGAAAGGAAAAACGAAACAAGGTAATGATTTCAATAGAAATACTTATAAATGAATGTTCATGCACGGACTTTAAGTGTCCGTGGTTCATGTAATAAGTGTATTCATGAATTATAGAAATTCCAAAGTAGAATACTGTATTTTACAGTTGCCTTTTGATATTAAATACCCCTGGTCAATACATAGGCTATAGACTATATAACTAATGAAAACTCATACAGACTGTAGCGAAATAAGAAACAAGTTACAAATTAGATTTGTCGTGTTTGTAATACATGGGCACATACACATATGCTGCTGGGATAAACGAAAGAAACGGACACGAAACTGGAATGAAACAAGAATATACAAAAAATTACTGAATTATTTGGAAGAATTGATGACGTATAGTTCATTTGTTTGTTTATTTGTTGATGGGGCAATATGTCACTGACGTCACAGATAATGGTATCATATTCCGAGAACCCATTAACAAAGTGTTATATGACGTCATGATAAAACAACATTGAAAATGAGAATCTCTTAGTTGCTATGGATTATTATGTCGTAAAGCGTCATATATCGTCATTCTGCGTTCTTGATATTTAATACAGAACACTTGTCAAACGTGAAGTTAACAAACGAGCTTTTCACAGAGGTGTTTATTTTCTATTTCTGTAATTTAAAAATATATCACCATTGTCGTAAGGGTTACACTGGTATATCCTTAAGTTAAAGACAAACAATAAAAGATGCAAATGTACACGATATTGATGCACAATACCCAAGTGTGTACATGTACCATACTGTTTCATTATGTACAGGTATATTGATATTTTTTATTATTATTAGTTCTATGTTTCTATTCTTCGGTTTCCATTTTTTGTTACTATCTAAACTGTCATCTGGTTCTTTGTCATATCCTTATCAATTAGTCATTAGTTAGTAAAATGTCAATGTATCAATCAGATGAAACAATGTCTGAATACAGGGTGTCCGGAAAGTAAAGATATAAATGCTCTAATATCAACAGATTTACCTGTTGTGAGATGAAATTTCTACAGATTGTAGAATGACATGATAGAAATATATCCTGCAACTGTCATGACATTTGGTTTAAAAATGAAAAAGATATGGTTGTTATGGTAACGGGAGTCGGGGGTATGTGGAGCAATGGCACAATTGTGTTTTATAAATCTTTTTTCTGCTCATATCATCTAGGAACTCCACCCTCTGTTCCTATTATATATCAAATTATGTACCACAACAACATAAGGATTAGTCCTGTAACATTATTTGATCACTTCATATGACTACTATCATCCAATATTCAGTATTTCCCGCCATTATCTACACATTTGTGGTGCATCTTGACCAAAAATTCAAAGACCTCACAAAACTGCTGCTTTCAATCTCTCAGATTGATGATAACATTGGTTTCCAACTGAGTCTCACCTTTTTTAAATTTATTCCTCATTCTTCTTACAAATATTGCTTTCAGGTGTACATTAAGAAATCTAAAGGGGACTAAAATCAGATGAATATGGGGCATTGTACAAAGTGGTTTAAGGTCAAGACACTCCATCGTAAGATTTGTTTTATTTGCTTTGTGAATCGGTGAATTGTGGCACTTCAGTTCCGTGATTGTTGTCTTTCCTATTAATCTGTGTACCGTTATCTAAGCACTAGTATAATATTTCTTTGATACTGGTTAGTGACTAAACAGGAGTTTGATCTATGTATCAATGACATCATTATACGAAAGAAAACACTATGGTAACAATAATTCAATAATGAACAAAGCAAAACATTGATAGAAAATACAATAGAAAACACTGTTTCAAATGGTTATATTTTAGCAATTTTTCACATTTTAACGATGTTCTGGAACTGCTCCACATACCTCTCACCACTGTTACCATGACAACCATAACTTTAACACATTTAGACTATATGTGATGATAGTTGGTAGATATATTGTAATGATGTTCCTCTACAATCTGTAGCAATTTCATTCTACAAAACCTAAATCTCTTAAAATTAGAGTATTTGTATCTTTACTTTCCGGACACCCTGTATTTGAAATGATATTGATTTATTTTGTACAAAATACATTGTTATGTGGCAATCATAAAGCAAGGTTAATCTAGCCAATTAACTTTGGTAGTGTGGATCTCTGCCTGACAATGTCATGCCTAAAATAGTTTAAATGTCATCCTGGTTTACTTAGTGACCATCACAATGTATAATGTCATCTCATTTTATGTCATCTCATTTCTTTACTATTACATTGGTATGAAGTTTCTTTATGACATTTCAACATAATTTTAACAAAATATATCCACTTCGAACTATGTATTCTATTATAAATATATGTAAATTTCCACAAACAATTTGGAAAATATTACCCATTTTATGAAAAACTGGTAATTGTATTCATGAAAATTATATGAAATTACTCCTCATGCGCATTTACCTTAAAGGTAGAATCAGATCTATAGGTGGTGACAAAATTGCAAGTAATAAGTACAATTGACCTATCATTATTAATATCCCTAATGATGTTATGCATGATATTTCCCAAAAGATTTGGTATGTTATAAATGGGTGAAGTTGTTTAAGATTCAAAGGCCAAAAATGGGGAAGAATGTTGAAATTCTCCCAAATTATAAAAATGGTAAGCATATTTATAGAAAAATAAACACATTATTGTATAAATCTTTAGTTTTCCTTAAAAACAGTATGGTTTACACTTTGCATATTTTTAGAAAATAGACATAACAAGGAATAATACATATATGTATGTGCCAAAAATATTCTAAAATTGAAACAATTTTAGGGTTTCATGCTAGATCTGATTCTCTCTTTAACTGAGACATGTTTGTACTTACATGACTGTAAATCAAACCAAATTATCTCTTGCAAACACTTGTAGTTAGAACATGTTTCATGGTGATAACTTGAGATTAACTTGAATTCCATACATACAAGGGAAGTTCAACAAATGTTAGTACAAAGGCTAACATAATTACGTTTATAAGGGAGTCTAGTTGAAATTTTCACAGAAAGGAGACTGAGTATGTTAACATACCCATACTGTCCAAATAATATAAATACAATGACTTCTTATGACACATGTTATAAACATGTTATACAGACATCTTCAGATTTAAGCCAATAATGTTACCATGGCAACAAATTAGGGGACTTACAGTAAATTACTGAGTTTCAACCCTTAAATACACTTTTTGTCATGTACATGTAAATGCATTGTTGAAGATTGCTTGTATAAATTTACCTTTTTTGTCCCTTGCTGCAATTTTGTCTGAACATAATTGTGACTTAAATATGATTGTATTGAGGATGTGTTCAGATATCAGCAGAAAGTTACTGTTGTATAGATTCCCTTCAATAAATCAATGCAAGAATTATTATTGATTTTAAATGTACATTGATTGTCTTGTATTTGAGAACTACCAACAGAAATAAAATTGTATGATACTTACAGTAACTACTAAACACTGCAAATTCAATAAAGATTCTTGAAAGTTTATGTTATTCCAACCAGAGAAAAATATAAAACCATTCAAGAAAAATTTAATGAATGGACATGTTCACAGCATAATCTAATATAAGATTGGTGTTATCTTATGTTCTACAAGAGTTTGAAATTATGTATTACAGTACTGTCAGGTCTTTGCAGTTTGAATTGATTTGTTTAGAAAAATAACTGAAACATTCCTGTTTTGTTCTTAGAAGTTTTTGAATGGTATGTATATCGATGTGGGTAATTTCCCAGAATTCCCGAACAGAAGTTACTCCGTCAATGCTTGCTGATAACTGTCAAACACACAGAATGGCAAAAGTTAAAGTGTAACCTTATCATTATCTTAAGAATACTGAAGGTAAACTACTGCAAAGCTTGAAATTAAAGATTGCTCAATGTAAGTAAAATTATATCTTGAGTAGGGAGTTTAGGATCCACAAAGATTACAAAAACATAAAGGACAAAACATAGTCACATAAAGAACTAAGGGTACACTACTAAATGCAATAAAAGGGAAATATGTTTTTATGAGCTCACAACATAAGCTTTCTTAAATGAGTAGTAAAGTTGTATTTTTACTAAAGATCTGTCAAATAAATGGAGTTTGTATATGGTTGTATTTGAAGGGCAACTTAATACTGCCTCTAGGGGACATAGACATGATTTGATGCTTGATTTTTAACAAATAAATAAACAATTGGAACTAGCTCACCCAAATAGGAATATTAGAATTCATCACTGAAACTACACAATATTATTTGGGAATTCTGGGAATTCTCCTCTTGTGATTGTAACATATACTTACAAGTTAGTTGATGAAAAGTGGGTTATTTGTTAATGTTGTGAATCTTAAAATAGAGTTATGCATATCATTGAGATATGCTATCATTTATTGTTTGTGTTTGTCCAGGTATGTACTGATTTATTTTATATATAACTGTCTTTTTGACATTATACAATATTATATTGTAAAATTTAGGTCTCATATATATCAAATTAATATATGTTCAACAGCTACTCACAGAAAACTCTCTGGTTTTCTACTACTACTGTAGTGGGGGGGGGGTGTAGTATACTTTTATTTTAAAGTTAAAGTGAAATCAGTTATGTAGTACTCTGGTAAAGTAATGTAATAGAAAAAGTAATGGAATAAAACTATAGGATTAGATTACTCGTAGAAATATACTTTTTGATATTGATGTATAAGAGGATGAGTATTTTAATTCTTCTTGGTTTTTAGATTTCTATGCAACATGAAGTTTGTAACACTAGGGATTCACTTGGTAATCTTGGTAATAGCGACAACTATGGTAACAATCACCAAAGGATTGGTCACTATGGCAGCAGGAGGAAAAGAGGGTTAACCCATATTGATGTGAAAATATGGCCAAATGGAATAATTCCTTATTATTTTCATGAGAAGTTTAGTAAGTAAGAGACAAACAAGAAGATTTTGGGGACCAAATCAAACTTTTTTCAGGGCAGGGATGGGTGTTAAGGAACATTTCAGCTTTGCTAATAAAAAAAGTAAATGCAGCTTGAGGCAATGAAAAAAGCCAATTTAAGCTAAAAAATAAGCAATCAAAGGATACATTGTTTATACATGTAGATGGAAAATATGTCCATATCTTAGGTACAGAACTTTTGTATTTTTCAGTTAATAAGTTTTATGTGCCGTAAATCTGTAGTCTGTTGCTATTTGGGGAGATTCAAGTCAATCATGACAATTTTTATCCCATCGAACGAAGTTCGGAGGGATATAGGGAACGCCTCCGTCCGTCCGTCCGTCCGTCCGTACGTACGTCCGTCCGTACGTCCGTCCGTCCGTCCGTCCGTCTGTCCGTCCGTCCGGGCAATAACTCAAATACCGTTGGCCCGATTTTGTTCATATTTTGTACACATATACCCTATGGGGGTAGAAGTTCTGCTCGAAAGCCGATTTTCAAAATGGCCGCTCATTTCAAAATGGCGGCCATTTTAGTGCCGATTTTACAGTAATTTTAGGTACAATATGTAAAACTGTAATAGCAATATGTTTTAAGTGTAAAAAAATTATAAAGGACATTAATAAAGCTACAAATGTAGATATTAAAAAAGCACATGGCAGCCATCTTGAAAAATGGCGGCCTTTACTCGTTATTTTGCGATTTTTGCTGTAACTCGAAAAGTAGTGGAGCGATTTTGTTCATATTTGGTATGTGAATACTATAAACATTGCACACTGTCTAAAGACACTTTTGGTAGAAGGCGGCCATTTTGAAAAATGGCCGCCATTTTAACGTATTTTACTATAACTCGAAAAGTAGTGGAGCGATTTTGTTCATATTTGGTATGTGAATACTATAAGCATGGCACACTGTCCTATGACACTTTTGGTAGAAGGCGGCCATTTTGAAAAAAAATTTGAAAAAAAATTTGAAAAATGGCCACCATTTTAACATATTTTACTATAACTCGAAAAGTAGTGGAGCGATTTTGTTCATATTTGGTATGTGAATACTATAAGCATGGCATACTGTCCTATGACACTTTTGGTAGAAGGCGGCCATTTTGAAAAATGGCCGCCATTTTAACGTATTTTACTATAACTCGAAAAGTAGGGAAGCACTTTTGTTCATATTTGGTATGTGAATACTATAAGCATGGCACACTGTCCTATGACACTTTTGGTAGAAGGCGGCCATTTTGAAAAAATTTTGAAAAATGGAAGTACATGTGTGCGATTTTTCAAAAATTTTATAGGTGGCTACTAAAAGCATATTATTTCTTCTGTTGACAACTTGGCTAACCATTTTGAAAATGATGGCCTTTCTGGTGTGTTGTTTTATGATATTTGCTATATATTTCGTTTGTAAAAATGCCAGCCATTTCTGTTCGATGGGATTCGCTACGCTTTGGCGTTGCCGTTGTTCTGGTTTCAAAAAGAAAAGTACAAGTAATCCAAAATATGCAAACATTTTTGATTTAAAATATTGATGTATATTCCATATAGTATTGCACTGTGGTCCTTTGACTCCACATTTTTAGGTGTGATTGTTTTTTACTGTCCTTGACTGTAGTAGTTCTACAAGTTCTTGTGAACTGAAACATAGTTTGGGCTTCAACTGGACAACCATAGTTTCTATACTTCTTAAGATATTCTATACATGTATAATGCAAAGTGCTCTTAAGGATTTGGTCCAAGTAAAAGAATGAAGGATTGGTTGACGCAGCCAAGTTTTGTAGGATTATGAATTGCCATTTATTTTGCTTCAGGAGAAAACCTAAAATGCAAGGTGTTTGCTGCAATGAGGGAGTGGGAATCAGGTATGACCTATTGTACAATATATACCCCCTCAATAAGTTTGGAAACCCTAATGCCTCTGTGTTCAAGGGTATGATGTACTATACAATATACACCCCCTAAACTAAGTTTGAATACCCTAATGCCTTTAAGGGTATGATGTACTGTACAATATACTATTACACCCCCTCAATAAATTTGGAAACCATAATGCCTTTATATTCAAGGGTATTGTTGATACATGTAGCAATGTAACTGGGCCATGGAACCATGGTAAGCCTGAAATCATGTACAAAATGTTTAGTTTGAGAATTACATTTTCTATATTGCAAACTTGTACCTTGTACAGTAACTTGTAGTTCAATGAGCTAATTAGGCCTGAAGAATATGAATATTAGGCACATATTTTGCTTTTATAAATAATAAAAATAATGATTAAACTTATTTTGATTTTGTGTGCTTTATTCTTTTTGATAACTTTTCGAGTAAAATCATTGAATATCAGGGCTAATCTCCACTGTGTGTTAATCTGTCCAAGATGATTTCAGGAACATGCATTAAGTTCCGTCCATCAGTCTCAACAGATAGGAATATACTGGAAATATACCATGGAAAGCATGGGTTAGTACAAGAGTAACATATTTTGACTCATGGTCTATTTGTACATGTAAAACCTTAGATTATTAGAGTACATAAGATACATGAAACAGCAATATATTTTTCTGTGCATATGTAGATTAATGAAAAATGTCAAAAATCTCATTCGCAAGTAATGTTGACATGATGTGCTGTGTTAATGGTTCAGAATTTGTCCACGTCATTACACTTGTGGTGGCTCACTTCATTACATTTTTGGTGGTTCACTTCCAGCTGTGCCTGTCATGTTGGAATGAGGACAACCACCCAACTGTCACTAAATGAGAGCACTTGTTTTGTGGTATGTTTCTCAAATAAATTTTAATGTATATATTTCTAAGAGATTTGTGTCCAAATGTTAAAAACAAAAGTTCATTTGGCATGTAAGTGCATATGAAGATATGTTTTTATTTTCATGAAATAATGAAAAAAATGGAAAAAACACCACTTCACTTCGAAATTGGCCAAAAAATTTCCATCGTAAAAATTCTTGTTTCTGTCCTCATATTCAATTGAATATTGGCTAAATCACTGAAAGGAGGAGGGAAAGTATCGCAACTAATTTCGGACAGTCATATGTTGGATTTTGGCTATTTTCTGAGGATTTAAACAGGTGCATATGTTAGACCAATGCATTACCTACAGGAAAAGCACTCCTAAAGATGATAAAATAATTTTGACTTTAAGACAGGAAAGATGCAAACAACCCACCCACGTGTTTTTTCTGAAATGTTTTCCGGATTTTCAACCCCTTCTTTTTTAATTTTTCTTGCATCAATATGTTGTATTTTGACATACATTAATCCCTTTAAAGGAATAAGTGATTCCTTTTAGATAAAGTGGAAAACAAAATTTCCCATGTTATTTTCTCATAGGGAAAACTCATGCGATCCATTGCTTTCAGCTAATTTTGGTCACCCATAATGGATATCTTTAAAACGCCCGAAGGAATCACTTATTCCTTTAAAGGGATAACTGTATGTCAAAACGCAACATATTCATACAACAAAAATTAAAAAATCAGTTGCGATACTTTTCCTCCTCCTTTCTTCTTGTTTCTGTCCTCATACGCTAATTTAATATCAGCTAAATCACTGAAATTTCTTCGTGTTCATGATCCGTAGACCAAGATCTTAAGAGTTAAAATAAACTTGATCTCTTGCAAAGGGATCACAGAAATATGATTGACCATTAATTGTTCCAGCATAGAATCGTCCTCCATGAGCTTGGCCATGCTATTGGATTGAACCATGAGCACATACGTCCAGATCGGGGAGACCATATACAAGTAAATTGGGCCAAAATAGATAATAAAGGGCGTCCTAATTTCCACAAAATGCGCTGGGATAAAGCAAACATGTATGGGGTGCCATACGATCCATTTTCTGTGATGCACTATGCGAAAGGTGTAAGAATCCTAAGTTTGTAGACATTTATGTTACCTAAAAAAAGTTTGATTTTATAAAAAAGTTTTAAGTGTTTATTGACTTAATTAAGTCAGACAAAATAGTTTAATAATTGCATAAGGCATTAGAATAGGATTTTACTTGTGTTACTAATAACTGAATAAATGTTTCTAATTTCTACATGGCCTGATTATAGAGTCATGGAGTTGAAGTATTTAAGACAAAAAGAAGAGGCTTATCAAATGCTATAGGGGTGCTTAATCGACTGTCGCAAGGGGATCGTGACACTGTAAACAGAATGTATGGCTGTGATGTAAGCGCATTAAATGGTAATCAAGAAACTGTATATTAGTTTGTGGTCTTTCTGTTAATGTGTTTCTGAATTTACTCCACAATAAGAGTCATCCTGCAGCCTTACAACTTCTTTGAGGTAGTTATTTAATGCTGATTAAAACCTGTATAGGCATTCTGATACTCATAGCATCTCTCTCTGTTGCATCGCAGAAGGATAGAGATGGAGAGGGCGTGGCTTAATACGATGCTGTATAGGTGGCAGATCAGTAGTGGTTTAATTTTTTGTGTAAATATTTCTCCAATAAATCTTTATATCAAACAAATATATTTATATGCATTATGTTGTTATTACATTTCACAAATGGTATTATCAATATATTTCACCTTGGAGATAATATTTACAAAGTATATATAGAATCCAACCTACTAAACTTTTTTACCATATATTGAGAGTTCCTGATTTGTGGTAATAATTAACTTGGTTTAACACAGTTTTTGATAAACAATAATGTTGACTTTGCATGCATCAAACCTTGATTACTCTTTCAAGTTGAAAAAGTGAACCTCTTACTTTTTCATATTTTTAACAGATGCACTATGGATATGTCTAAGATATCTAAAACAGACAGCGATTGATTCATTCTTAAAAATATTTATGTTTTACATAAAAGTAAAGAGAGTTAAACTCTTTTACAAGAAACTGAAATAAGCAAAAGTCCATGAACAGATAATTTGTTTAAGTTTTACTATTCATCTGATCCATAGCTTAAAAGTCATGTTTAAAAAAGTTAATCACTAGCAAACATTGTTCAGTGACAGCTTCACATAACTCATCAAATAACCCATTCAGTGAAACATCACAATCCACTATACTCTCTTCATAAGGGACACATTAGCCTGTTTTTATACCAGCATCCGTGAAATTATTGTATCCAACATGTATATGGCTCTTAAGATTATGACCAGCTTTAAGTAGATTCTCCTTAATGTTATAGATGCAGGATTGGTTGCGAAAACAGAGGGAGAGTTAATGATAGTGCAGTGCCCTACAGGGTCTTCTATTGATGTATTACACGCCAGTTACGGCACAACAATTCCCGGATCAACCTCAGTGACATCTATACGCTGCCAGAGCACAGACACTGTGTTGATTGTTAAGAGAAAGTGTCAGAACACAAACTGGTGTTTGTTACCTGTTACTGATAAGTTGTTTGGAAACCCCTGTCTCAATGCAGAGAAAAGTTTGGAAATTCGACACGCTTGTTGTGAGTTGTATAAATTTACTTTAACATGACAGAAAATAATCAACAAGACAACTACAGTATATAGCACTTTGAACAAATGTAATAAAAATGATATATCCCAAATTTGACAAATGCAAAAACATGAATAATTGTGCAAAATACAATTCCTCCCTATCTGAAAAGTTAATTGCGTTATGATGATAAAACAGATAAAATCAAATGCTTTCATGTATTAAAAATTGAAATTGATTTTGCAAAAACATGAATAATTGTGCAAAATACAATTCCTCCCTATATGAAAGTTAATTGCGTTATGATGATAAAACAGATAAAATCAAATGCTTTCATGTATTAAAAATTGAAATTGATTTTGCAAAAACATGAATAATTGTGCAAAATACAATTCCTCCCTATCTGAAAAGTTAATTGCGTTATGATGATAAAACAGATAAAATCAAATGCTTTCATGTATTAAAAATTGAAATTGATTTTTCAGGTCTACCTACTCAAGGTTGCAAGAAACCATCAGGTTTTAAATCAGTTAACAATAGGCATACGAGACCAATCAGACTTTACTTCAACAACCGAAGAAATTCCAGTATTACACTACACTGGATTGACTTCCAAGGAAAGTTTGAGACATATTGGGACATAGCCCCCTCCAAAAAGATGGACTTTGAAACTTCGTCCACACATCCATTTGTAGCTAAAGATAAAGTAACTGGGGAATTCTTACAAATAGGTGGCGCTTGTGTGTATTATCCTTTACACAGCAATGTAGATATAAAATGATTTTGATATTTTTCTATTTTCAAATATTGATATACCTTTGTATTGTAATAGAACAAGGCAAATTGTCACCACCTAGTTGCATACAGTATTAGAGAGATTAACTGTTTTAATTTGTTGCCATGGTAACCATTATACCTAAAATCTGAAGATGTCGCCTATAGGACAGGTGATCACTATGAATTTCAAGCCAATCCGACCATGACTTCTCGAGATATCACTTGTGAAACTGATGTATAGTGTAAACCAAGTATCTGTTGAAATATGTTTACATGTATGTTTTGGGCAAAAGTGGTAAATATGTTTATCTCTGTAGAATTACAATGTTACACTAATTCTTCAAATAATCACTTAAGAAAATAAAATACAGTTTACAATATTTATTTATTTTCCCACATCCTTCTAGTTTTCTCTACATCCACATATTTTTGTCTTATTGCACACTTAATTCATTTTGTAAATGTTAACATGGCCAAAATCATGTAAAGCAGGGACATAGCCAAGATATAAAGGCATTAACATGCAAAATGTCACCACCTTCCATTTGTTACAGATGCTGAATACCATCCACAAAACAGTTGGAGACTATAATAGCAATATGTCAACAATTGTGGTGGTGACATTAAAATAGGCATGGCATATTTAAATAGGTGAGGCATATTTAAATAGGTGAGGCATATTTAAATAGGTGAGGCATATTTAAATAGGTGAGGCAAATTTAAGTCAATCAGAATGCAATGTACCATATTGGTCTTCAGTTGACAATGGTATAGAGGAATGCCTTTCTGGCTATAGCCTCACCTACCTCATCCATGGCCATGTCCCTATAAAGTAGAAAGTGTTAGATACGATGTGAAATCCATGATCTCAATGTTAAGTCAACTTGGAAGATACTAGTCATTAGTCAACAAATACTACAAACTGCTGGCATAGAATAGGCATGTTTGATGTCAATGAAGCTCCTTGATATCAATTTGATATGAAAGCTGTCAACATATGTACAAGTAATAATATATCATACACATTTCTGAGATGCAGCACAACTTTGAAACATGAACAACTAAATTTTACATTTCAAATTATAATTACAAATGAAATGGCGTTAATTAGTTTGTATTTTAAAATACAAAAATAATTCAATTCAATTATACGAGATACTTTACTTACATTTTAATTGATTAAACCAATTAATTCAATATGGCTTCCTCCAAATCATTGAGAGTTAAATAATGACTTTAAAATATCATTGCATACACGTGTCATGCCACATATAAGTTACCAGTAATTACAATATTGCATTCGAACTGCATGACAGCAACAAAGTGCTTCAGACTGTTGAAAAATTAAGTATGACATGTCATAGGCCACTTTGGCCAAGTTAATCATTCATTCCATAAACATTAACTATGAATATCTGAATGAAAAAGTCTCATTTCCCTGTCTTCATAACACAACTAATTATCATGACTATCTAACTTTATTTTTTCTTATCTGGAATCATCCACACACAGGATTCCTAGGTACTCTCATTTGTTATTTTACATGTAGCTATGTAATGAAATACCAATAAATAACATAATTAAATAATTTAGAATTTGAGAAATTTAGATGCATGAATGAAACCTGTTTTACAGTATTTCATCACCTTCATATCCATGTCAGATTTTGACAACAACAGTTAGATACACAGCCTCAAAAATGCCCTAAATGTGAAGTCACTCCTCTATACATTTCAGGGCTGATAACTGATTTTGTTATGCATATTAGAGGCTGTGCACTAAATTAACAATAAATCACCTTGCATCAAGCCCATGCGACCCCTACACACCTTACCTTAAGGTAGGGAAGTTGATATAAGGAGGAAGGGGCAGAGACTCCATGCAGGCTTACATTAAATCAAAGAATATATATGTAGATTAAATAATATAACAATAAGCATTGAAATTGTACACTGGGGGCCATTACTTAATGTGCTGTGGACCAAGATTCAGCAAACTATGTTAAATGCACTCAGGCTAACATATTTATTGACAAGAGACATATCAAAATTTAATATTTGATGTCTCTGGCCAATGTAATTTAAAAAAATCATAAGACTGTTAAATAAAAATATACAAATTCTGTACTGTACATTTTCACCAAATATATTGTGTACTAAATTTTCCCCACATGTATTGTGTAGTACATTTTCACTACTGGTATTGTGTAGTACATTTTCACTACTGGTATTGTTTACTACATTTTCACCAATGGTATTGTGTAGTTAATTTTTTTGTAAAGAGCATTTTCACCACAGGTAATATAATTGTGTAGTACACTTTCACTAAAGGTATTAAAAGTATTATGTAGTACATTTTAAGTGTAGGAATAATGGTCTATGGTGCAAGCAAGAGTGAATGTCCCCCAGAGATAAGCCTTATTTCCAATTGCACTTCAAACATTTATTTATGTTGTCCATTCACTGGTCCATTGCACCTACTGATATGGCATTATATTAAATCAATTCATTCATCCATGCACATTTGTGTTTCTCTCAAAAGAATGGAATCAGTGACCATCAGGTTCTATTGTATCTGGAACGTTTTCAAATGTATCAGCCAATAATTCTTATATTCATGTTTAGCTCACTGATCATTATCGGTATTTCATTTTCTTTTTCTTCATCATCATTTTACGTTTAATGGCCTCTTCTTCTGCTTTCATATCCTCCAAGTCCTCGAGTCTTCCCAGTTTGGCACTGAAAAATAAACCACAAATGCATATTAAGGGCAATACTCCATGTTGTAAAAGTCCCTGCATTATTTTCCAAGGTGAGAAAATAATTAAGCATTTTGATGAAAATAGTCTTGAACTTAAGATATATGAGATAGGTCTTCGCAAAACGTTCACTGGTCCTTTCTTTAACATGTAAAATAATATGTGAAAACTTCCAAGTGTGAAAAATTTATCCTTGTGCATTTCTTCCTTTCTTACTCTTAAACCAAAAGCGAACAATTCATTAGAAAAATAGGTAACCCTCTATACTATTACTGAGTATTACTGACAATGTCTGTTAACTTAATACTGGCAGCAAGGGAAAAGAGACCAACGGTTTAGATTTGGTTTGAATATGACTCTTATCATATGTAACTATATACAGTATGTAAACTGAATACAAATAAAACTACTATGCAAACTGTAATATACTCGCGCCAATTTAAAGAAAGTACAGTTACTTGGCCAAATGATCTATATCTATACTATGTTATAAGTGGCAAACCTTTCTTCATCCTAAATCTGGATGTTTAAATTAGAATTTAAAGACAAAAATTATGAAAGCTTACCTTCTTGCTTCTTCACGCTGGATAGATGCAAAGTTGGCTTCCATGTCGCTCAAGTCATCCTCTCTCTCGTGGCGATACCTAAAGAATGTAATTTTTAAAACACTTGATCATTATGGGCACACAAACATCTTACTATGGCATTACAGGTATACAGAAAATGGCAGATATCATACTTAGGAAACATGTGTATTGAGAGAATGTAAATGGATGGTAATGATTTTTCAAGAGATTCCTGAAGGATTGAAATAATTATCCAGAAATTATTGCAGATTTTATATCTTTTCTACAATACGTAAAACAAGGTTGTTTTGACGACCATTTTGGAATCATAAATTCAAAATGACAGCCTCCTGTAGGTTTCTTTATTTCATTTTTAAAGCCATTACAAAACCAAATATATGTGTGAGAATAAGTGAAATCAAATTCAAGTTAGCTACCAGGTTAATACTGAGAGAAGCCCTAGTAAATCTGACTGCAATTCTAAATGTGCATGTGCATTGTGCACAACATCACATGTATATCCAAAGACATTCTGATTTATTTGAAAAATTCGAAGTTTCTTATGAGTAAGTGCTTATCTTTATTTGAAAAATTCGAAGTTTCTTATGAGTAAGTGCTTATCTAGTTATTTGTTTTCCCCAGTTTAATTTCTCCAAAACTTATGTTGTGTTGTAGTGCTGTTGAAAGTTATACTGAGGATTCCCAACAAATAACACAGAGATTTTAAGAACACTTCACTTGTATTGAATACATGTGACATAAAGACAATTATTTTACTAAATTGAGAACTCATTAACTTTCACACTTCAAAGTATATACTACTTTTAGTAATTTTAGATCCAACATTAATGCTAACTTACTTGGACTTATCATATCCAAACATTTGTTTAATAACACTCGATACAGCTGAAGGATTGCAATCTCCGTCATCAATGAAATCATCCATTTCCTCATCATACTCGGAGTCATAGAAGCTTCCCTCATCATCACTGATTTCATGACTTCGCTTTTTTGCTGTAATAATTCAGGAAAAAATCAATAACCAAGGTAGAATTAGTTAGCTGTTGTAGTGTTACAAACAGGTGAATAACCCAGGTGAGATGACACTGGATACGCAAAAGTTCAGTTTTACTTGAATAAGAAATGGATTGTGAACCAATTTTAGTTTAGCAGCACAATATATTTCACTTTGCATGGTTTTACAACAGTGAACTGAATATGTATTTATCAAGGGATAAATACTGTATCTAAACCTGGCTGTATATACCAGATGTATCACATATTTATAATGAGATTAATTTTTTTGTCTTCTGACATTTTGAAATATGTGGGAAATATATGAACTTAAACTGTGTTTGTTAAAATGAAGGAGCTCAACTGTACACTCCTTTCACACAATATCTGCATGCTATCTATCTAGGAGCTTAGTAGGTATGGGATATGCATATGCACATTAACATCTCTAGGAAGGATCAACAGGATATTTGACATATTCTTATAAAATATCAGACATGCAGTTTCACCACATCCACATCACTTCATGGATATGTCATTTTGCTATATCTTATGATCATTATTTATTATCTTTATAACAAGGGAATCAGGGTTGTTTTTCTTGTTTTCAAAGTGAAATATCCAAGTTTTGATTATAATATTCCATGCTTTCAAAAGATTCTTTTTATTACCTTTTTTATGCATACCCTGAGTTATCCTATCCCAGGGGTTCATAGGTTTATCCTCCTCTTCAGAATCAGAATCACTATCATTATTACCTCCACATACTAGAACATTATTTCTCACTTCTGAATATTGTTTTTGTTTGTTCATTTTATGCTGCTTCGAATTTGAAGCCAATTTGTGAGATGATGATGACGATAATTTTCCATTTTGTGATACTGAATTTTGAGTGGGTTGCTTTGAGTGTGAGATGGCGGAGGATTTATGAGAAGTTTTTGAAGTTGAATTTGGTATGTTATTAGGTTTCCTCTTGTCCAAGCCATTTGAATCTTTATTAAATGATTTAGTTTTCTGATCATTAGTTTTAGAAGGGGTCTTCACTATTGTACTATTATAAGACCCCTTAGCTAGTTTTTCCTCTTCTAATCTTTCTTTTTCCATAGCAGTCATTGGCCTTTCATCAGTGTTTTGTTTCAGTTTATCCTTTTTGCGTTGAATTCTGTCTTTTTCTTCTTGTGTCATCATTCTCTCTTGTTTCTTCTTTGTAGGAATCTTTACGGCACTTTCTCTGAAAAAACAGATTTGAAAATCAAATTAAAAAAATACACTGATATTTGTCAATATGAAAACTTGGATCGGATTTATCTGAGCATTGTAAATGCAAAATGTAATGAATAATGAATATGTCAATACACTGGTATAAACTGTGTGTCAGAGAGACTTCTGGCCTACTGAGCAAAACTAACTTTAAGACCATTTAATATGATAACATTTAATAAATGCTGAAAGCTGGCCTAAATGATATTAGTCTCTATATTATAATAATTATAAAAATTTATTCAAAAATACATTTTTATACCCTATGCAAAGATTTGCGCAAGACCCCCCCCCCCCATGTGGGCATGAGTGTGGAGTTTGACAGAAAAATTGGGCAGTCAAATTCCTTATGCCGGGTTCAAATACAATTTTTGGAAACTTTTCCCAGGGTCTACCTTAAATCTGTTACCTTTTATCCCCTCTACTCTAAGGAAAAACATGATATTTAGGGTTCAAGAATACAGAAAACAATTTCTGAATACTAACACTGCATCTTCATCATTATGTTTTTGATGTGCTATAGCGAGAATTTGCTCGAAGCTTAAAGGTGGTTTAGCTCCCCCGATGAATGGCTTTTTCTTTTTCAACTTCCCATCGCCATGGTCCACATTGTTCACTGGCTTTTTGAATTTAGGAACATTAGTCCATGCTGGTTCCCGTTTCTTGTCATGAGATTTGTGATGTCGGTCCTTGTCATGACGCTTTTCTCGATCCCTATCCCTATCTTTATTCTTGTGTTTGCTCTTATGTTTATGTTTCTTCTCACGAGACCGATCCTCTTCACGTTTATGTTTATTCATTTCATAATTCTGAAAATTAATTAGAAATTAAAATTACAAAAAGAGAACAACGCATCAACACATTGATTTTGTATATTGTTTAAGTATCAAATTAAAGAGGCGGTGTAGAGTAAAAGGAGGATAAAAATGTCTTTCATTTTACAATTTCCTTACATTTAGAGGGAGGTTGCTACCTCTGTTTTTATTAATAATTTATATTGATTTGGTACATCCCATAACTTAAAAGAAGTCCTAGTATTATAAAATAATAAATAAATAATTATTAAGTTATGCATGCTTCATGCAGACTTTAATAAATTTTGAGTTGAGCTTGGACTTCAATCTGTTATACTAACAATCAGATCTAGCACTTCCTTATCATGTTTCTATCTTTAAAAGCAACCTTGGGTTATCCAAAGATTTATAAAAAACACATTTGACAAAGTTGCCATGGCAGCTATACAGTGTATATTCATTTGTCAATATCATCAAAATTATAAAGATAATCTGCCAAACATGTCTCATTTAAAATTCAATGAATAAATGGAAGTGAAATTTTCAAGGGATATTATTTTTATACTGATAAATTTTATTCATTTTTTATTTATCATCATCACACTTTATTCCATTAATTAAAATTAACAGTTATAAACATTGACAACAATTTTATAAGAAAATTAGAGACGGATGTTATGAATATTGTGATATTTTAGTGATCAATGATTATTACAAGATGCATACAGAGACTAACAAGAAACAGCTGCCTTGTCTGATAAGTTGTAATCTAAAATAAATATTAAGGCTGTATTTGTTACAGATATGGTTTCCTTATGTAACATACACAAAGCTTTGTATGTATGTAGCTGGATGCCGTGGATATATTGGACCTCAATAAATAAACACCAAACACCCAAACTTCCTTATTCTACATGGTAAATTGTAAGTAATGGTATTCTTAATTAATAACCAAATGTATTAGTAATATCCAACAATGTTTAATAACCCTATAGTTTATGCAAAGAATTATTTATAAAATGAACCTATGCACTTAGGCAAGAGGCAGCACAAAAAGCCTTTGCCTAAATGAAGTCATACAGTTAATCTGAAAACATAGCATCAAATCCTATGCTAAGGGGTGATGTGACAAAGTCACTCCACCCTGGTGGGAATAGAATCCACAACCTCCCGATTACATGTCAGGTGCTCTACCATATGAGCTACGGAGCTGATTAACTCTCTCACATCAACATTGCGTATATGGCATCACAGCCATGACTTACATGCCCAGTCTCCTGGACCCTAAATGAAGTCATACATGATCACCAATGCAATGGGTTTGAATGTAAATGAAAATACATGTACATACTCTGGCACTCTACATGTACATGTAGTTGGAAATTGCCTGTGGTCTATCCATTATTGTGATATACATTGTATAAGACCTTTAAGGTGCCATGATACTTAACAGTAAATGACAAAACAGGAAGTGACAAAAAAATTTGCATTTATAGACATTTTTTGAACAAAGATAACAGAGTTCTGTTTTGACTTCCAGTCAATCTAACCATTTCCACATATAATTTACATGACAAGGATCACAGTGTGCATGGTCAGAATGACCCTAAACGTGATGAAATTACCTTTTCAGCCCTCTGAAAATGTGAATGTAATTTGTCATTTGTCATTTCCTGTTAAGTATCATGGCACCTTAAGCTGAATACATTGGCAATCACCTCCAAATTAATATAGCTAAAAATCCTCAAATGAATAATTTCCATGGTTCATTGTGAAGCCGTTCATTTATTTTTTCCGTTATTCTGTAAATGATTCTATGAAATATTATTCCATTATTACAAAATATACAGTTCTTTGTTTCAGACATGTCAGAAAAAACAAGGACTTTAAGTCTCTTTAGAACAGAAATTTTATCTCCTGAACTTTTCCATTTTCTATATCTATAATGGTGAATCAACAAGGAACTCCATATTGCGAAAAATATATTTGAATTCCCGATCAATTATAATGTCATTTTCATAAAAGAAAAAAACTGGTCCAATAGTCAAAATAAGTGTCCCTTTTCCTCTGTATGCTTACCCCATGGCTTTTGCTAATACTTTTATCCTGCTAATAAATGTTAGTTACTAAAATTAATGAAGTTCGGGCTGTAAAATTTTATTTCGTGAGATTCTTTAAAAATGACACAAACGCACGTAAAATTATATGAAAAATACATCTAAATTATTTTCTCACATTTTCTGAGCATTTTAGTTTAAAGAAATCATTTCATGCAGTGTTATATTTTACATTTAGTATATAATGAAATGTGTAAATGATTTATCACGAACATAATTTTATAAGAAACAATAATGGGTTCAAGAACTGTAGCATTCTACATAATATTCATGAACAAAAATTTCAATACCATGCCAAAAATGCAAATATTATTGTTTTGACATATTTACCTTTTTCCACTCAGGTTCTGCATCAGATTTGGGTTTTTTGAGGAATTCAAGGTCTTTAATTGGTTTAACTTCATTATCACTGTCGCTGTCATCATCCAATATCAGTTCTTTTGAGGTGACTTTTCCTCCTCCGCCAGACAATTTCATTTCATTCCTAATAAGGGAAACATACTTTTAATTTCCAGTCCATCAGAATGATTTGACAACTTAAAAATAAAAATTGAAATACTTGAAAATGTAGAACAAATTACTTTTTTGGGCATTCTGATCACATAATGACATCCCAAAAATATATATCTCTAAGCTCAGGCTGGGAACCCATCAATGTGGCGAGCAATTAATCAAACTGAAGAGTATAACTGCACCTTGTATAATTCCTAACCAAATGTCGTAACATTTGTTATCCCATACTCAGTAGTGTTATAGGTAAATAACATGTGGGAATATAATTGATATCTGAGGTAAGCGGGTTATATATATATAATGTCTTTTTTATTTTTATATTTTCTCTAAAATTGTCAGGTTAAAATAAAGTACTCCACCATACCGTATTCTTTCTGCTTTTTCTAGCATCTCTTTCCTGATTCTCTCAGCATCTTTGGCCTTGTCACCAGATAACTGAAAATAATAAGTTGGACTTTTTGGTATTATTCTTTGAATTAGTTTTGGTTTTGTATTGACTGTTTTCAAAGGGATATTTTTGTTGGCATTTTCCTCGTTTCATGTAACATTTCTCTGCATTTTTGGTTTTTCCAATTCATCATTTTTATTTGCAGAAACTGGTTACATAAGCACATGTATTGTAAAATGTAATAATAGCTAAATATTTAATTGCATATAATGATTAACAATGTAAATCATTTAGAGATAATGTCATTATATTAATGGATTTATTTTACATCCATTAACATAACTAATTATGTTATCATGAAATTTCTATATATGGGGGAAAGGGTAAGTTATTGCTTGGAAGTAATTATTTATAGATTGCAGGTGTTGACCCTGACCACATGTAGGCTACCTGCTATTTTCTCTGCAACTGCAGATTTTCTCCTGCTGTTTTCATGCATATCTTTACAACCTATATCATATATCATTGAATAAAATGGCTTCCTCATATTGGATTCCAAAATAAGCCAAGTTTACATCATACTAAAATGTCATCACCTGGTTGCAGATATTTGAGTCAAATTTAAATGTACTATGTGGCTTTCACTACTTAATAGTCATTTTCTACAAAGATTCCGTTGTTTTTTGACACCCTGTACATCAGATAAATGTTTTTCACACTTCATCTTTGTCTAAAATAGTACTATAATAGTAACATTTATGAACATGAATACTTTTTCTATCACAAGGCATTGCTTGATTTAGTTAAAATTAGCCTTCTCACCAGTTTTCTGTTCTTTTCAAAGTTGACCTTTCTTTCAATATCAGCTTCCCTCTCTTTACTACTTGCTGTCTTTTTCGTGTTTGTTTTATTTGTTGCTTCATTCTGCAGATTTGATTGTACCCTTGCTTGAATTCTGCGCTTTTTCTCATCCAGAGCTTAACCAAAAGTATAACATTATGTAATATATAACAAGGCATTGAGAGAACAAAATTCAACAATCTGTAAAGTCAATGAAACTACCAATAGCAAGCAGCCAAAAAATGGTGGCTATAACACTAACATCTTGATGAAACAAATGAAACCTGTCATTTTTCTAATGGATTATAACAGTTGAATTGTCATTGATTTTTTGAAATGGAAAACTGGAATGGCATTTTCCTAAGTGATTGAATGTTAGTTTACTTATAAATCACATCATTTTTATTACCTTTTTAAATAAAAGTAGTATGTGGTAGGGGTCATATGAAAGGTGAATATATTCAGGCATGCAATTGCAAACTCAACACTGTGTACATGTACCTCTTTTCTTAGCCTCTTGTTCTTGTTTAGCTAATGCTGCCTTAACCGCCTCTGGATTGACCTTTGGCTTGGAGTCTTTCTTTGGTGCAGAAAACTTAGTGGTCTCATATCCATGGCCTTGTGTCTGGGAAGTAAAGAGAATTTCATTACAGTTTTGCTTGAGACAGCTATCAGCACATGTAATGAATTACATGAACAGGGGCCTCACAGGAATTTTCAAGGGGATGCGTCTTTATCTAAAAACAAACAAACAAACAAACAAACAGCCTCCATCATCAGATTCAGAGGTTGCACTTGAAGCCTTGCACAAAGTTCTTTCCTCCGAATCTCCTTCTCTTCAGTACTATGAACAAAATCCCCTGCGAAAAGTAAATTTGGCTTTAAAAGGAGATAGGTTCGCACCCAATGCACCCCTACCACTGGGTCCACCCGTGATGAATGAGTATTGTTTCATCCCTGAAAGATATGAAAGATAGGTTCTAGGCAAAGTATTTTTATTACTCTAACTTCTGTTACTCCAACTTCTGTTAATGTTCTCAAAATAACATCATCACTTTTCAGTCTTTAATCTACAGAATAGTGCTGATACAAAATAATAAAGGGTGAGTTTTCAAACTAAACAGAGTGCTCCTACCAAAATGTATTTGCCTATATACCCCTGAGACTCTTAATAGATAGAATGCACAAATAAAACAAAAGTTTTGCTACATGTATTATGGGTAAAAAGTTCTCTTAAAATTCGAAGTGATTGTACCTGTTAATTGTGTCATTGGTCCGCCATTTTTGCGGAAGTTACACTGAAACACAAACTCCATGAAACAAAACGAAATCACTAGAAAAAAACATGGCACACATCGTGCGCATACGCACTAAAGTTAAAACCAATCAGATTATTTTATTATTTTGCGCACATGAATTATTTGCTTCTGAGCACTTACCATTAAAAGCTAACCACAATAAACAAACATGGCAGAGATAACTTTACTTTACTTCACCTTACTTCATAAGCGAAATCTCAGCTCAAACTTGTGACAAATGCATCACGCATACGCTGGTATGAAGCCTTGAGGACACTCATTTTGGTAAATATGATTTAGGGTGTATACTTTTCTGCAGTTTGGGGGAGTTTGGGACATTAAATGTTAAAATTCAAGAAAATATGCCAACTATACGACTTATCATTTAATTTGTATCAGTACTGTAGTCTAATAGACCTTGTAAGATGTCTTGTAAGCTGGAGACACATGCTACATAGTCAAACAGTCCAGCAATTTTCAGTCTTAAATACAAAGTATGAAAACTTGTTGGTCTAGTCTATTCTATGGTCCGGGGCTTGAAAGATGCGTGTGGGCGTCTTCATTTTTCGAGGTCTCCTCTGCTGAATGCAGCGCAAAGACCTTGAACCATTGATCACGTTTGCTCCTGTAATTATTCACTTCTTCACCTCTTTAAAATGTGATTTCAATCAGTTGATCAAATTTTCGGACTTTGACCTCAAATTCAAATATTAATATTTATAAAAAAAATACTGACTCATTATTATATTTTTAAAAGTCTTTCAAATAAAGTGAAATGAAGCCAAAATCAGCTAAAATTATGCAATGTCGTAAAATGGTGTGACAGGAATATGATGCAATCACCTGTGACGTCACACACATATTGCCACATCAACAACTAAACAAACAATTATATAGACTTCACTGATTGGTTTAAAGATTCTTCGCATCATTTGTGACATGTTACCCAACCTTACTCACTTCGAGAGCCATGTTAGATTTTGAAACTTATGGCTCTCAAACGGAGAAGTGAACAGCTGATCAATCGTGACCTTTGAAATCGAATTAAGTCGATCCGCGGCTTACTTTTGGTCTCTAACTGTGTCTTACATCAGTATCATCAATCCGTGTAAGTATTGGAGCGCTGGAGTACTTCTTTTTCGATCAAGACTTGTAAATTGTTCATCGAGTTAAAGTTTTACAGACCTATTTCCAATATGGCGGTTTTCTAGGTGCGAGATACGCAACGAACGAAATGAATTTTGAGAATTAGTTAGGTTCGGACAACCTCCGGAGATTTACGAAAATGTCCGAGCAGAAACCGCCATATTGGAATTTGGCAGTAAAACGATTCACTCGACTAACAATTACAAGTCTTGATCGAAAAAGAAGTACTCCAGCGCTCCAATACTTACACGGATTGATGATACTGATGTAAGACACAGTTAGAGACCAAAAGTAAGCCGCGGATCGACTTAATTCGATTTCAAAGGTCACGATCATTGAGCTGTCCAAATGCTCCGTGGGAAAGCTATTATATCAAAATCCAAATAGCTTTCGCAGGAAGTAAACCCAACCAACAACTAAACAAATAAGCGTAAAGGTTCGTTCAGTGCCATGCTCTTGAATCAGTTATAAACAGGGATAATCAACAGATATATGAGAGGGTCAGCCATTTTTTCTACTTGGAGACCTCGACTCGATGAGTTTGCTGTATTTTCTTGTTTACCAAGACATCAGCAAAAATAAATGATGAAGAAAATATGGAAAATTTGACCTACCTTTTTCTCAACGTGTTTTGAGTTCACTGACGCAAAATTTAACAACTTTTTGAAGTCCATACTGCTTTTTATGTTTTCAGGTTACTCTTTAATCATTCAGTTTCTTCTCAAAGGGATCTTACGACATTTAAAAGGCCAGAAGTGCTCTAAGTAATTTTATGGTATTAGAACAGGAAGTTGTTCGTAGAATATCAAACTCGCAGAATGAAACGAAATAAATGGGTCCCAAATAAATGAAATGAAAGTTATGCAATTAAAATTACAGATATCTTCTTGTTTTCATTTATATTCCCCATTATTGTAGTGATAAAATATATGTTGTTTTTAATTGCTATATTGAAGAGAAGTTGTAAATAATTATAAACTTTGATATATTTTCGTTCCAGAGTAAGTTTGACACGCAGCGTAGAGATTTTTGCCTCGTCGTGACAAATTCTGTCTAGAAATACTGTCTGTTTAAAATGCAAATTAACGCTTAATGAAACATACAACCTAAGTTACTTATGGTTGAACCTTCGTGGATGTATGAGGATTTCATATTGGAGATCTAATTGATAATGGGAGCCGAGGTGAGTGCTCTCACTGATTGTGATCTGGAAGAACCGATAAATTTGCCCAGCCAGAAAAATTGGACAATTCACCCAGCGAGGAAGAAGGATGGAACACGTGTAACCGTGTTCAGAAGCTGTACTGATGTTGGTGATGATCTTCTAGAAACTGCAGCAAAGGTAAATAATATTCACCGCATGATTTTCTTTCGCCAGGAATTTGGCAAGAAGAAATCACTGTTGACAACTTGAACATGGGCGTCACCAGGAGCCTGTTTCTCGTAAAGTTATATACATCCGACCATTGTCCGGGACCGTTGTATGCTGTTCTTCATGTTTTATCATTTTATCATACATGGTCGTAGAGATTTATCCCGTGCCAGGACTGTCCTGGACCGAGCCCAATCTTTTGCCTGTATGATTACAACGTGGGAGAATTATCTACACTTATCCCGTTCCCGGACTATAGTCCTGCACTGAGCGCATTCATTTGCCTGTACGATTACAACTTGGGAGAATTATCTACGCCCCTTACACTTAAGATACCTACCTCAATGCATTATAGAACTCAAGATGTAACTTCTAATATATTGGAACCGCCGATTGTCTGGGTATATCGGCAGAACGGGAACATTTCTCTTTTTCATCGAGAGAGATTCCATCACTTTTCAAAATGGCGGTTGGATTTAAAAGGGGAATCCCCCGTTTGGCTGTCCCGGATGTAGTCCGGAAGTACCAATATGGAGGAATTTGACGGTTGAAATAAGTTAAATGTTACACACAAATATTGCGATCAAAAACGAAAATGTCTTCGTTCTGCCGATAAACCCAGACAATTGTGGATTCAACTACACGAAAAGAATGCTAAATTACCAAGGAATCTATTAAAGTAGGTATCAGAAGTGTAAGATGAGTAAAAAATTCTCCCATGTTGTAATCGCACAGGCAAAAGATTGAGATGTTCACAGGACCATAGTCCGGGAACGGGATAAATCTACACCTCTTACACTTAAGATACCTTCTTCAATAGATTCCTTGGTATTTTAGCATTCTTTTCGTGTAGTTGAATCCACAATTGTCTGGGTATATCGGCAGAACGGGAACATTTTTCTTTTTCATCCAGAGAGATTCCATCACTTTTCAAGATGGCATTTGGATTTAAAAGGGGATTCCCCGTTTGACTGGCCAGGAAGTGGCCCAGAAGTACCGATAAATGAAGGAATTTGACGGTTGAAATAAGTTAAATATTATACTCAAATATTGGGATCAAAAACGAAAATTTCTTCGTTCTTACTTAAAAAGATGATCTGTCGTTCTGAAATTTTCAGGGATGTTTCTATGTATGAAACTTATTACTGGGAGTTTGAAGTGAGGGGTTTTGTAATTAAAATCTATTTGTACTTCCCCATCTAGATTGGAAAGATACTTTTTATTGTACTTTTCAAGTTCAAATCTGTAAAGAAAAGAATCCCAAGTTTAGTAATACTTTCACCGGTATTTTGGTAATGGCACGGTTATTTGAGTAGCGGTTAATACTGTTATTGGTTTTCAATACTGTTGCAAACTCTGTTTCAATTATTAGGTAATCTAGAATAAATTCCAGAGGTATGATGTCCCATTCCAGAAAATTGGTCAATATTCCAGCTTTTGCATTTTCATTTCTCTAGGTCTTACGCATGTAGTTAATTGTATTTCTTCCATTTCAGAATCTCAAAGTATTAAGGCATCCACTGATATTAAAGTTCTTTGCAATATGCAAATCAGGGGAGGACCGGTGTCTGGTAACAGAAGATGTGTACCCTTTGGAAACTGTCCTAGAGTCACTGACATCTGTGGAAATATGTGCTGGCATGTACAGCATCATTGAAGCTATAGCCTTCTTGCATGATTGTGTAAGTTTAAACATTTAATAAAACAGAATTTTTTGAAACAGAAGGAATAATTCAGAAAACATTGTTGAGCTGCCTTGGATAATGCCCCCTTTTGCAAAAGTATGGTTCACAATTTAAAAAATTCCAGGGAGTTCACATTTTGACAACTATGGCCAAAATCAGTTACAATATTAAAATAAATTCTTTAGAAAAGTAAATTTGATGCATGACCTTTTCGGAAGAGTAAGATTAAATATTCAGAATATGGAGGACAATTGAAATACTGACCCGCCTTTGTGCTCATATTTTAGGGATTATCATCATCATTAGGGTCATCACTAAGGCCATTCTTTAAAATTAACAGATTACAAGTAAATAGAACATTTGGACTTATCAAATACATTGTATGGGGTTGAGGTTTTTTTTAAGTAATTTATGTTGACCACAGTTTGGCTTTATGCTGTATCTAGGCCTAGTATAGTAGTAACACCTAAGTCATATATGTTATGTGCAATAACAAAGTCAATTATAATCATCAATTAATATGTAACCACAAACAAATCAATTAATTTAAGAGATTGAGGGGAGCAGCTTACTATAAAAAATCAGTTATGTTCAAGTACATTTATTAAGGGAAAGACCAATCTGAAATGTAATTTTTTAATTATATTATTGACCTGACTAAAAAATATTTCATAAATCATTCCTTATATCTCAAAATTGATACAGTGATCTCCCCAGCATTAAAGCAAGTGGGTGCAGCACCCACTTCAAAATCCATTTGCAACCACTTAAAAATGAGAAAAACCATGAAAAATAGGCATATTTTGACCAATTTTGGTCTGAATTGTGATCAAGAGAATTTTGTACCTACTTGAGAAAAAATACTGTGGAGAACATTGTAATATATCCCAAGGATATGAAAATTGGATGAAATATGAAATGATTTTTATGTTGTTTGATCAATGTTTCTTGTACTTGCAGGGACACATGTGCCACAACAACATTGCTCTGTCATCAATCTATGTCAGTCAAGATGGTACATGGAGACTAGGGGGTACGGAATTTCTTTGTCGCTTCGAAGATGCTTCACAAACCTTTCTTCAACAATCCAGATCAATGCGAGATGAGAAGACAATAGCTCCAGAGGAAAAGGTCAGTCATTGTTTTGAGTAACTATTGTACCATAAAGGTGCTATGATAGTTGATCCAATTTGCCTCATTGAAGGTGAAACTTAAAAATGAGAACTTATTTCAGGCTTAGGCTAATTCTTTATTCTTTATAGTATAACATGCATATGTTTGTCTTTCCTGTCTATTTGTCTAAACATTTCAATCTTCCAACTTGGTCCAAATGGTTTCACTCCCATAATATGCCATCATAAATTGATTAAAAATAGAAAGGGATTTTTCCCTCTTATCTTTGGGAATCCAAAAAATGATGCTAGGGCCAATAGTGGGGCTCTATTTACAGTGGAGAAAATTGGGGAAGAGTTTATGAAGTTGATAATACATGCTGAGAATGGAATAATGGTGAACGTGTTGCACCATGTAAAGTTGAACTTTAACTAAAAACAATGAGGTGAATGCTACAAGAAGAAACATTCAGAGACTGCAAAACATTATAGAAAGGATACTGAAGCAAAACATGATTGATATAAGAACAGAATATGAAAAATATATCGAACTATGAAAAAATGAAAATGAAACGTGTAACAAAGGATAGAGATTACAATATTTTTACTCGCTGCATTCCTTGTCATAACTTTTATCTTAAAACGTCAAGAGTTTTGACTTAATTTTGGGATAGCAGTTTGATCATTTTTGGCACACACAGTGAGCCTATGGGATTGACTTGGCAACCATCCGTCTGTTGGTCCATCCATTCGCCTGGTTTCTGAGAAATTTGATTTTCACGAAAAAAGTCAATTTTTTTAAATATCTGACATTTTGTATAACTAGTATAAAGAAAGTATAACTTTCAAATAAATTAAAGTAGTTGCTATATGTGCAACATATGTCCTCTGAAGAATTCAAAGCTCTTGGAATACAGTTTCTGATGTTTACTCTGTAACATTTGTAGGACTCTTTCAGGGAACTTTCTCATGTATAAAGTCAATGGGGTCATAGCCACTACAACCTTTAAATATGTTACATTGATTTTAATAAATAAAAAAAGGCTTTTTCTGTTCAAACTTAATCCCTTCCAAACATAATGTGATTACAATTCACTTTATTAAAACTAGACATCCACTTTTTTTCAATATTTGGACATATTTGCATGTTAAATCTTCAATAATTTATATTTGATAATTTGATATCTCAAGCTTGCTTAGATATTAAAATATTGTAAAAGAAACATATAAACATGGAGATGCTATTTTTCCATTCACTTTCCTCTGCTGTCACTTTATTATGAAAATAATACAAGAATAATAACAATACTGTATATATATATTTTAGTTTGAGTACAGCAAGTATGACAAATAAAAACATCTATGAAATCATGGTTGGGCTATTTTAAACCAATTTTTTGTTATAAATGCTTTATGCTATTAAAATCAGAAATATGGAAGACAATACCATATTTGTGATCTACTACTCAACGTAATTGAGGCATATTTTCTAACGATGAAAAATGTGTGTGGCTATAATGAAGGCCTGTAGCTATCTTACATCGAATGGGGCTTTAATATTTCAAATTTTGAGAAAAAGAACCTTGGAAACAATAAATCATAGGACGTTGTAACTCAATTGCATTGAGACATTATTGATGAGGACATTCATAATCTAAGAGCATAGGGTTTTATTGTTTCAAGTCAAATTTACAGAACTGACAATTTTGGTATTTCAGTAACTTTGGCAATACCCTGCATGCAGAGTCTAGTTAAACTACACTCTGCCTAGTAGAGACCATATTGCAGTTTAGTAGCCCCACCCCCACGACGGGTACCGGTGACAGTTTGGGTAATAAATCACTTCTGACCTACTCGCTGACCTTTCGTCCACCAATCAGCGAGCTTGAAGAAACATACGCCAAATGCGTTCTAATTAAATATGCGCATGTCATTGGTCAATTCCGGGCTCAACGATGACGTCAGAAGGAATGACCATTTATAGAATGTCGGTCAAATTTGGCCGACGAACACTGATTAGCGCGGTGAGTTCACAGGTTTATTTTAGTTTGAAAGAGTGAAGACGAAGCTCTCTTTTAAGAAGTGAAGTCAAACGAATGCAAAGGGTACTTTGGCAAGTTTTAACTTTCCTCCTAGGGGGTTTGGGTCACAATTTTTTCGCTAAAACATGCCTAATTCAATATCCAGAAAATTTCAGATCTAAAGACAAACAATGAAAAAAGTTATTTAAAATTTCCTTGGAGGGGGGACAGATTTATGCCATTGCCTACTATTTTTTTGTATTTTTAAGAAGTTTTAACCTGCCTTTTTCGAAAATAACAAAATTTTGGGTTGTTCCCGGGGTCCCGACTGATATTTTGAGCTATAAAGAGAGAATATACAATAATAAACAAATGTGGAAAATGCTGTACAAAAAACTCACGATAAAGGTGTTATTATGATGATTGGTCTGGCAATTGCTCGGATGATCGGCCGGCCATTTGATTTTTCGAAGATTTCTAAATTTAGAATGTCACGTGACTAGCTAATTAGAAGTTTAGATAAGGTCCGTTAAATTACTCATGCCAATTAGTGATGTCGGGGTAGTACACTGGTAGAAAGCTCGCCTAAGCACGCGGACGTCCCAGGTTTGAAACCCAGCCTGATTTCTTAATTTTTTTCTAATTATATTTTTGGCTTTGATTTTACGCTTAAAAACATTAATAACTACGTCAACTTTATATTAAAACATTTATTATCTTGTCAGTTGTATGAAAATGTAAAAAGTAATATATGTCAGCTTTTTGCCTTTTCGAGAACAGTCAAGGTTTAATGTTATTAAAAGATAGATTGCATTCAGATGCTTTATAGCCACTTTGTTTATCTAAGAGATAAACATTTATGTAATCACACACAGTCAGTGATTACACTTAATGCCTTAAAATTGCATGTCAGAATATGTTTATAAAGCAGATAAAGAAACAATTGGTATTATTAAAATTACCTAAGTAGCATAATCACACAATATTTGCAGCAGCAAAGCAAGCAACATGCTTTAACATTTTTGCTCCCTCTAAAAATTATTTACTCTCAACTTTAGTATCTTAACGTAATATAATTACAAAAGGGCGATGGCAGAAGAACAGACTCTAAAGAAACACTTGGAAAGTCATCACTTGTTGATAAGCCATCAGACAAATCCAAAAAGCAGTCATTTTCGATTCATGCAGATGGGCAACTCGTGAGCACCAATCAGCAACCTGGACATGTTTCTATAACTGATTGGAGTATAGCCAACACCCATATTTTGGCTAGCCAGTTGAATGCAGGTAAAGTTGCCAGAACTCAAGGAGCATTAGAATAGCTGGCATATACTGTAAAAATTTTGCAACTTGCAAAAACATAAGAATGGTCGGGAGTGTTAGAGATGGATGCGGAATATTGGGATGCTCAACACTCCGGTGGATTTACCTGGGGATCTGACCTGACCCATTTGGAAAAAGTGCATCTAAAATCAAGGCTCATTCCTCCAAAATCAAATAAGGTAAAAGAAAACACTCGACTGTTACCCCATTATGCAGGGAATACAATTATGGATTCTGCAGTCATGTGAATTGCCGCTACAAACATGTATGCAGCTCATCCATCAGAATCACCCAAAAGCAAAACACCATCAGCAAAAAGGTGACAAGCAACAAGCTTACATCCAAATATGGTTATTTACACTATTGAACTTTGCTCAAACCTTTGAATTGTTTTGGAGAAATTGTCCTTTTGAAGAAAAAATTGATATTTCGTGATCGTAGTTGTGATTGTGTCACACTATTTTGTCATTGGGATTCCAGGAAAAATGCCAATCGGATTAACTTATACAGGTGAACGAAGGTATCAAGTTCTATAAAAAACTTTTATGTGGCCTCTAGCTTTTGGCAAGCATTTCAATATTTTTCAATAAATCCTTATCATCGCAGAGAGTCCAAGAAAATCATTGATTAGATTCACTTTTGTACAATTTCTAAAATGGATTGCTATCAAAACAAATTATTTTCATTCATAGATGGCTTGATTAAATTACGAAACAATTTTTTACACCAATGCAATATAGATAGACATATAACTTGCATGTGTTTATTTATTTTGGTTTCAGAGTGAAAAATATATGACAGACCCTGCAACTGGACATGCTCGGGATGTCTTTGCATTTGGTGTTTTGGTAGAGGCCCTGTTGGAATGCATTGGAGATATGGGTGAGATAATTTGCTGTGTTCATGTTTTTTGGAGTATCTGATAATGTGCTCTGTACTCTGTTTTACAGGGTTGAGTTGACTTGGTGTTGAGTTTTACTGGGGTTGACTTGACTTGGGGTTGAGTTTTACTGGGTTGAGTTGACTTGGGGTTGAGATGACCAGGAAGTCATATTAAAGATCCAGTGCCTATTTCTGATACTAAAATACACCAAAATTAAATTACCTGTAACGTATCAATAGATATAGTTACATTCTTTTCTGGAAATATTAGACTTTATAAAACATTGTTTACTCATACTTTTATATACTACACTAAAAATGTTAAGGACTTTAATTAAGTTTAACCACTCAGGGATTGACCTCGTAATTCAACAGAATGGTTTTTGGAGAGGAACAAACAGTTTGACAGTTATGGTACCAGCACAGATTACCAGAAATCAATAAGAAACAATTTGCATTCTCTGACGTATAATTGATTATTTAAATTCATGTATGACAATGTTGATATATATCAGGAGAGCTGGCTCAGGGCTTTGAAAGGACAATTCAGGATTACTGCCTCAACCCAGACCCAACCTTAAGACCAAAGATCTCAACACTACTCTCAGACAGACTCTTCAGGTAAACACCACAACTTTGTTGTGTATATTCTTGTTCTTTCTATAAAAATCTGATCACATCAAGAACAGTTTATTTTCATGTAATCGTTTCAATAAATAGATTCTTGAGTTACGTGAAGAATAAGTAGCCTATTGGTATGGTTGATTTATATATGAAACAAGATGTTAGAATCTTTTTGGTGTGCATGTATGTTTTAAATTCTAACACTCCTATATTCTTGCTTTAATCAGAATTATTGAAAAATGACAATTTTTTTCATTTTCAGCAATGAATTTGTGGAAATAACAAATTTCTTACGGAACATAACTTTGAAGAGCTTGGCAGAAAAAGAAGCATTTTTCAAGTAAGAATATTTTTTGTCTTAACATAGTTTGAGACTGCATGATTCTTACAACCTCATTATTCAACTATTACTTGTCTACAAAAACATTACTCATTACTCTAACCACATTTTGGTGGATATTACAGCACAGAGTTTTGAAGGAATAAAAACAGTAAAATTTGATCAGGTTTTCTACTGTAGAGTTCTTGAGTACAGGGATTAGATTTGAGCAACAGGAGAAAAATTGCAGTCTTCTATCAATGAATTTAAACATTTTTTTATTGTCTCAAACAGAGCAAATTGAATTATGCTGTAGGCATTTATCATATAAGTCATGAATATGTGAAGATTACAATCAAGGAGCATTTCTAGAAGTTAAGAAGAATTCATATTGTATGAATATGGAACTTGACTTATCAAACTAAATGGACAAACATCTTGGAGTGAACAGAGGGGTAGGGGACATGACATGATCAGAAATGTTACTTGACTTCATTTACTATAACTCCAAATTTCCCCAATTTTTCAATCTTCAGAGATGTAACATCCAGTTTCTTACTTACCATAATATCAGATTTGTTGAATTTTCTAGCAGAAACTGTGCTACTCCCTACCGCAGTTCATTTTTCTGACCATCAAGTGTGGATATACACTTGATTCTATACCAATTATCAGGCTACGTTACAAAGAACATAACAGAAATTCAAGAAAAGCAATGGCTTGTGGCCGCAGTACAGTTTATTGCAATGTGATGTAATTCAGGTACATGCAAACATGGACAGTAACACAATACGTAGGCGAGACACGCTGTTTTAAAAGAACGAGTTGCACGCAAGACAATAGACACTTATGAATATTCCAATAAAATGGACTCCTTCTGCAAAATTAGTTCTAAATAAGTCGATTGATTTTCGGAGTTGTTTACACCATTAAAACCTCAAAATTTTGAGGAGCTCTTAATTGCAAGGCCTAAAAGGTATGCAACAACTCTTGGACCTATCGACTGTGTGATATAAAGTCTAGTAATGAAAGGAATTTACCTTGCGGAGCCAAGAGCCAGAATGATGTGTACAAACCTAACAACACAGCTCACTAAACAGCTAATAACAATGCAGCTCGCAGCTGGATCAAAATCGTGTTCGATTTTCACGACAAATACATGTACTACACCCCACAATAACTATAGAAATTATTTATATTCTAAATTCGTAAACTCTACCGAATATAAATTACAATTATATGAAAGGTGAAAATAAAAAGTGTATAAATGTATTTCAACTGTCATGGATTGAATTTTTATTGTAGATCTATTCTAAAGAATCTGTTATTACTCCCTGAGAGTCTGATTGCAACCCGACTTGTGCGCCCTCTGTTGAGTAGATTTGTTGTGTTGGATGCAACTGCTAATGAACACTTGTTACCCCACCTATTGACTCCAAGACAAGGTATGCACTTTATAATATAGTTCTTTACATAAATGTTTTAATCCATTTGATAAAATCAAAGGGATTATTGCTTTCTTTTCCAATCTAAAGGTAGGTGATTTAGGCTTATGTAAATAGGATGAATTTCACACATGGTAAGTGATTGACTGACAAATATCCAGTTTAAAAAAGGATCGATTCTTGAACATAGCCATCTCAGCATCAGTACACTCAGTTTCACTTTATTGTGAAAGATGTTATTGTGAGAGATGGCATACTTGTTTAGATGTAGCCAGATCTGGCTCTATGTACCATAAAATTCTTATAGGAATTGTTAGGATGGTTTAGGTTAAGAATGCACTTATGTTCTTTTTAGCTACATTACCAAAAATATCTTGTTGCATTCTTCATGGGGGCTTCCATATTGGACCATGAAAAGTGCATTGTTGTTCGCACTTTTGTTTTCACACTAATCAAATCATCATTTACCCCCCCCCCTCCCAGTGAAATTAATTTTAACCTTTTCTTCCACAGCTGCCAGCTTTTGTTTGAGCATCATCCTTAATTATCTGTGCCAGTCTTTACTTTATTTATCATACTCCTTCAGCCAAGGGTGGATTTGACAAAATACTTAGATTGAAATTTACTGAAGATACTTGTAGGGAACCCCTAGACATGTAAAAAATTGATTTGTGACAGGTTGCAAATCAGGCTCAAAAGTGCTGAATCAGCAAAATTTATAATTTCCAAGTCAATGTCTGACCATATGTTGAATAGTATACAATAGCTCAGTTGTGGATGCATCAATTATGATAAAAGATTGTAAGTATATCATTAAAGCCTACACGTTTAAGTCTTATCCACTAATATTAGAGAGATATGCCATAAGTTGTCCTTAAACTACAGGATTTTTCTTCAATTTTCTTTAATCGGCGAGAAATTAACCTGTCCCCAGGGAAGTACTGCCTAAGGTATTGAAGAGTTCTCTTAGAGCAATGAGGGGGCGCCCCCTCCTGCTGAAACACCACAGTGTTAATATCAACGCCCCTCCTCCTTCTCAAAGCTGGAACAAACTTCCTGCGCATCATCTCAATGTAATGGTCTGGATCAACAGTCATACGATTCCCAAAATTTCCTTTTTTGCCAAGAGCACACCACACAGTTACTTTCTCCTGACTTAATGGCCACTGGGTATGTTCACGGGGCTGTTGAGATGTCCAAACTACTATGGGGTACGATATAGACAAAATAATTAATCAGGCGAGATAAGAAGGGATTAACCACCGAGGCGTGTAGGAAATCCGCTGGCAAGCCTCCCAAACCGCCGGGCCCACGACCAATGTCGTTTTAAGCCTGTATTTTAGGGGCCCAGGGTAGAATTTATCTTTCTTCTGCAGCAGTTCTCATTACTGAGGGTGTACTAAGGCCCTCTTCCTCAGAACAATATCTTTCTTCTGTAGCAGTTCTCATTACTGACGGTGTACTAATGCCCTCTTCCTCAAAACAATATCTTTCATCTATAGCTGTTCTCATTACTGACAGTGTACTAGAGGTGTCAAGTATTAACCGGTTAACCGGTTAACCGCCGATAATGCCTTGACCGGTCTGAGTTTTTATGGGCGGTTAGTTGACCGTGTATAATTCTGTTATTTCCCGCGCTTATTTTGCATGCTAATCCGTTTGGTTTTATGGTGTCAGTTTCACGTAAGCTACTCATACATGTCATAAGTCCCATAACTCCTTACAAACATCCAATCAGCAACTTTAATCCCTGCCACATTGCTTTCCCGCGCTTACTTTGCATTTTAATCTGTTTGTTTTTCAAGCGTCAGTTTCATGTGAGCTACTCATAGATGTGATAGGTCCGATTTATCCCGTTCCCGGACTATGGTCCTGTGAACATCTCAATCTTTTGCCTGTGCGATTACAACATGGGAGAATTTTTTACTGATCTTACACTTCAGATACCTACTTCAATAGATTCCTTGGTAATTTAGCATTCTTTTCGTGTAGTTGAATCCACAATTGTCTGGGTTTATCGGCAGAACGAAGACATTTTCGTTTTTGATCGTAATATTTGCTACCCTGCGTGCAGAGTCTAGTTAAACTACGAAGCTCTCTTTTAAGAAGTGAAGTCAAACGAATGCAAAGGGTAAATATTTGCGTGTAACATTTAACTTATTTCAACCGTCAAATTCCTCCATATTGGTACTTCCGGGCTACATCCGGGACAGCCAAACGGGGGATTCCCCTTTTAAATCCAACCGCCATTTTGAAAAGTGATGGAATCTCTCTCGATGAAAAAGAGAAAATGTTCCCGTTCTGCCGATATACCCAGACAATCGGCGGTTCCAATATATTAGAAGTTACATCTTGAGTTCTATAATGCATTGAGGTAGGTATCTTAAGTGTAAGGGGCGTAGATAATTCTCCCAAGTTGTAATCGTACAGGCAAATGAATGCGATCAGTGCAGGACTATAGTCCGGGAACGGGATAAGGTCCGATAATTCCTTACAAACATCCAATCAGCAACTTTAATCCCTGCCACATTGCTTTCCCGCGCTTACTTACATAGAATAGCGTAAAGCTTGACGAACGTAAAAAATAAACGCCGATATATCATTTTTCCAATTTTTTCAACTTTCAAGATCGAAGATGAAGATTTCATTTGAAATTATAAGTTCAAATTTCCCGCCGGTTAACCGACTTTAACCGGTAAAAAACCCCGGTTAACCGGTTAATGCTCAAGCGGTTAATTGACACCACTACAGTGTACTGATGCCCTCTTCCTCAAAACAATATCTTTCTTCTGCAGCAGTTCTCATTACTGACGGTGTACTAATGCCCTCTTCCTCAAAACAATATCTTCTGTAGCAGTTCTCATTACTGACGGTGTACTGATGCCCTCTTCCTCAGAACAATATCTTCTGAAGCACATCTCATTACTGACGGTGTACTAATGCCCTCTTCCTCAAAACAATATCTTTCTTCTGCAGCAGTTCTCATTACTGACGGTGTACTGATGCCCTCTTCCTCAGAACAATATCTTTCCTCTGTAGCAGTTCTCATTACTGACGGTGTACTAATGCCCTCTTCCTCAGAACAATATCTTTCTTCTGCAGCAGTTCTCATTACTGACGGTGTACTAATGCCCTCTTCCTCAGAACAATATCTTCTGAAGCACATCTCATTACTGACGGTGTACTAATGCCCTCTTCTTTAAAACAATATCTTCTGAAGCAGTTCTCATTTCTGACGGTGTACTAATGCCCTCTTCCTAGATGACGCGAGATGAACATGCGAGATGTGAAAAAACATATTTCAGATCTAGGGTTAACTAGCCGAAATAAGTAGCCAAGCGGTAATTTAAACATAATTGAAAAGATACATGGTTTTATCGTACACCGCTACTTTAATACTTTACTTTGGAAATTAAAGGAGTGGTGTTAAAGGAGTAATATTATATTTACATATATTGTATTTACAAATTGTTATGGAAAAAAATTGTACGATAAACTGACAATAAATCGAAATTAAGGTGATGTAAAATGCACCAAATGGTTTGTCTCCGATGCATTCAACATATTGTTGTGTTTAAAATCTTTACTTTGTGGAGGAAATAATGATACTGAACTGAACTAAACTATATATTGTACAATTTTGCAAACAATTTGTGATAACAATGTATTCTATCGTATAGAGAGTTATTTTTGCATTTTATTGAGCAATTTTAACACCGTCTCAAGCAACCTTAAAGCAAACATCAATACTTCAGGTTGAAAGGGATCACCAGATCCAGATGCAGGCCGCACCGAGGAATTGTGAGACAAATCTTGTCTCAAAGATGAAACGGTGTGAGTGGCGACCATGATGGCGGCAGGGCTGTTGTTTGGGACCACGATAATAGGGCTGTTTTCAACAGCACTGATAGGTGGCCAGTTGTTTGTTGTTGTGGGAGTCCCGTAAGAAACTGAGGGCGCTGCAGAATAAGGGGGCATGCTGCTCTTGACTGAAGGCTCGGTCGCTATGTCATCTTGATCGCTTTTAGGTGGCATGCTGCCTAAGTTTAAACTCGGCTCATTTAGAATCCCTGAAGCAAAATTGAAAAAAAACATCCTCTTAATATCAAACTTAAAAGGCATAATTTTTTAAAATAAGAGAAAAAAAGTTGAATTCTAAATGATACATTGTAGCTTAAGTTGATGGAACTACTATTTTTTGGGGGGGGGGTTAAAGAAAATATATTGATCTGTAGATGGGCAGCCATTAAAATTCAAAAACCGGTGTATGACGTCATCCATTAATCCGCTAAGTGTATTACATAACCACTGCGATAAGTGCTTGTTACATAAGCATTGGAATAAGTTCAAGTGATTGTTACATAAGCATTGGAATAAGTTCAAGTGATTGTTACATAAGCATTGGAGTAAGTGATTGTTACATAAGCATGGTGGTGGTATACCATCAAATACATGTGTTAACGCTACAACACATATCACCATTGCCATATTGTAGCTTGCGGGTCCCCATATTCCCATGCCAATAAAGTTAAAAAATGTACTTCTACAATATTGGTGATGACGAAGAATGGCCTTATCGGCATCTGTTATTGTTTTGTATAGTCAACACCTGGAGCATATGCTCTGATTCTATCCATGTTTATCTCAATGTGAATAGGGACCTATGTGTTAGCGGGTATTAGCAGCGATCTCTTTAACCTAGTAACAACATCAACCCTATCTATAGGGCAATCTCCACAAAACACAGGTCTGATACTCAATCTCAGTTTGTCTTAGTTCGTCATACCCCACAAGGTGGTTCTCAACCTCCAGACCATTTTCATTGCTGGTCAAAAACAGTCCAATATGTATGTCTCAGCCATCAACAACATTCACAGCCTCTACTTTATAATGAAAGCGCTATGCTTGTACGTCCCCTTCCAACACGCCTGTGACAGACTGTATAAGTTTGTTCCACTGTCTCATGTAAGGTGGTGGTACCAAACTAACGTCCAGTTCTA